CCCCCCCTGAGCTGGAGAAGCCGACGGGTCGACTGACTCGTCTCACCCTGCGCCACTGTGTTCCTTGTTCGGTGCTGTGCGCCACCCCCAGACGCCGCACAGGACCGCATCGCGCAACCCCACAGTGCGGCCCGGGCCAAACGGCTCTGGAGTCTGGAGCTCAAACATGTTGTGCGAGAACGAGCGGGCCAACAGCGGCCGGCTCTCGGGCTGGCTCGTGCGGCCTCAATCGGGTTCATCAAGGCACCAGACCTTCATCGAAATATTACTGCATCCTACAGTGTTGCGACCAACGGCCAGTTGTTTGACGCAGGCACACTTTAGGCCCTGGTCGTCATGCGGAACGTCTTCCGCCGGCCATGGAATGCGCGTCAGCTTTGTGCGACGGGATGTGCAAAGCAAGAGCATGGGCTCAATTCCAGTTCCCAAACAATGGACCGCGTACGTCGTCTAGCCTCCCCGGTTCCTGTCTATTATTCTCCCACCGTCTCTGTCCTTTTCCTCTCGACCATTTCCTCCTCGGGCTTCGTGGGGGACTCGACGGGTTTCACCGGGTCCATGGCCTCGACCTTGCCGCTCATCAATGCCTGGACGTCCACCTTGGGACCCTCGTAATTCTTGCGCCCGTCAAAAATCCACGTCAGGCCCGCGATGAGGAGAATCACTCCAAACGCGACGATGCAGTAGTTCATGTTGTTTGGCGTAACGGGGATCTCTGGCGGGAAGACGAAGAGCACGGTTGTGAGAATCGTCCACAGAATGCCCACCTGGTGACTCGTGTTAGCAATCGTCGGTCCCTGTGCCTCCATTGACCACCTCTACTCACAATGTTCAGAATCCATCCGAATGGCTCAGGAATCTTGAACGACCGGTCCTCCGGCAGCATCCTCCTACCTCGGAGGACATTGATGGCTGGCGGGATCGCATACGTCACGCCAAGGGCAACCACTGAAGCCGACGTGATGGCGTTGAACGTGCTAGACGACCCCAAAAAGATGCAGCCAAAGACGAGCACCCAGCCGGCGGTCCAGAGTAGAGCATTGAGCGGCACGTCCAGGCCGGGATGCACCCGCGCAAAGACCCGGCTGAATGGCATCCCGCGGTCGCGCGCAAAGGCGTAGCTCATGCGGCTACTGGTGGCCATGAGCGTCGTCGCCGTGAAGACCATGCATATCAGGGGGAATATCAGCAGGCACGTGCTCCCGGCCTTGTTCTTGGTCGCGTCCATGAATATCTGGAGCAAGGGCCCGTACGGCGCCTTGATGACGTCGTCGATGTTGTTGACGCAGAAGAGGAGACAGGACAGGAAGATGAAGCCGGTGAACATGCCGATGCCGATGCAGTACAGCATGATCTTGGGGCCTTGGCGCTGCGGCTCGGATATCTCCTCGATCATGTGCGCGGTCGCGTCGAAGCCTGTACAAATGCCGATTAGATGACAGTCAGGTTGCCGGGAATCCGGGCCAAGTGCAATACGTACCTGTCAACGCAAAGGCCCCCTGCAGCAGGCCGAGCATCCAAGCCAGTCCGTCGGGCCAGCCGACCTCGTTGATGAACTGGCCATAGACAAACTCGCCGCTCTGGTAGTTGGGCGACGCACACGCCAAGACGGTGATGCTGATGATGACGAAGCCAGCCATCGACCAGAAAAACGCCGCCTTGGTGAGCAGCGGCAGCAGGCGCGTGAAGAAGGTGTTGAGGAGAAAGGCAATGAGAGTGAATCCAATATACAGGAGGAACTGGTGCCATGGCTTGGCCTCATACTCGGCATTAAACAGCGTAATGATGTTGACGACAAACGTGCTCCCCAACAGCCCTCCCGTCGCGCTCAGGGCCACCCAGCCAGACACGTTGATCCAGCCGGTGGTGTAGCTGATGGCGCGGCTGGCGGGCTTCCACGCGATGATGGCGGCCCAGTGGTACTGCCCGCCGGCGGTGGGGTACGCGGAGAGGAACTCCGCGAGCGAGGCGGCGAGGCAGAGGTTGCAGACGCCCGCGACGATGAGGCCCCAGATGACGGAGCTGCTGCCGCCCGAGGGCAACGCGAGGGTGATGGACGCGGCGAGGGCGGTCCACGTGTTGAGGATGGCGAAGGCGAGGCCCAGCATGGAGATCATGGAGAACTTGCGCGTGAGCTCCTGCTTGTGGCCCATGCGCTCGAGGTTGGCCGAGTCGTCGCCCGCGTCCATGGCGCTCTGCCGGCGGTGGTGCTGGTGCTTGAGGCTGCTGCCGGCGCTGTGCCGGCGGCGGCGTATTTGATCCTCGATGTCCATGATGAATGCGCTTTTGACGGAGGTATCCTCATCGGCAAACGGGAGAGGTGTGTGCGTGAAAAAGGGCTGGTGTTGTTGCTGCGCGGGCGTGGTTTATCCCGCCCTCAAAAACGGGCGTGTAAGTGAAGCCGGGAGATGCGAGGTTGATATCGCGAAACCTCCAGAGACGGGCCACGGACGCGACACCACCACATGGCGGCACACGATAGGAAGGAGATATGTACGCCAACAGCACAAGAGCCCATCCCGTTAACGGCCGGCAGCACAGCTCCACGGCGACGGCGGCCCCAGAGATAACGTGCCTTGCTTCGGTCCAGCGGGGGATCCGGAGGCGGGACAATTGCCTATTGCCCACATACTAGTCAACTGCTGCCCCAGAGAGGATCTCCATCGGCTCCATCTCCACGACGATGATACGGCGGCGCATGCGCCCTTGCGGCACTGCGCCGCCGATCCCATCGCGCGCCGGAGGGGCCATTTTTGGCCTGCCGCGGGCAGTGTTCCAGGCTTCTAGCCGCGTTCTGCAGCCCGGCATCAGCGATTTACGTACGTATCTGGGCGCGCTTGATGCGTAGCGGCGGGTGGCCTGTGGAAGGATTCCCCACAGAACCCGGGCGGGAGGGCGGCGACGGCAAACACGGCACATTAGTTGGTCTTTAGTTGGGCCTTGGGGCATGGGGAGCCCGCGGGCAGCGGGATGTGCGATGTGACGTCGGCTCTGTATCTGCTGTATTGTGTGGTGAGATTCACTCGCGTTCTGGCTTCGGGAAGGCCTGTCCTTGCGACTCACACAAACACATGCTCTCCTATATACAGGTCCTCCAAATGCCCACACACATCGAGACTCTGCTCGTGGTGAAGAGCATCTCCCCCATCTTGATGACTGCCTCCATTGATGCCGGACTAAGGAAATACTGCGGAGTTCTCTCCGACCGGGGGTGGATCTGCCGAACTGGAGCCTACCCACACCCACCCGGCACACGCACGACAATGCCATGCGCATCCCCGACGTCGGACTCACCGAGATGAGCCGGTGTCGCGTGTCGATCGGGCCTGCCATTGCGGAGGGATGAGGGGTTTGGCCGGCTCCTCGGTGAGGGCAGATGTGAACATGACAGGTTGCACCATTGTTGTTGACCCAGCAGGCCGTCAGGCTCCCCGCCCAATCTCTTCCAGCGATGGCTCATCCGTGTGCGTTTTGTCTGGTGCCTACCCTGCGCCGGCCAGTCGTGGCGGTGATCTGCTCACTCCATGTTCCCCCTTCCTCCAATGGCCGCACCCCATCATTAATCGCCGGTGCTTTTATAATGCTTAATCACTGGTATCGCGCGCTTGTTGTAGATCAGGTCAAGTCACTGTTTTGTTCAAGGTTGTACCCCGATTGAGCAAACCTCGCTGTCATGAACCGCAAGTACATGGGATTTCCACGTGCCGCTCCAACGCCGCCGCCGTCCCTTTCTACGAGACTGCCTGGCTTCAGGAGGCAAAAAGCTACTTTCGAATTCGCCTGTCAGGTAGCATGTTTAACTGACCAATGCCCACTCTTTGCGATATTATTCAACTCGTCAAGCCCTACGCGGCGAACCGCGTCTCGGCACTGCGATCCTCGCCGTAAATGCACGTGGTTTAGTTGTCAGCGGTGAGCCACGCACGTTCAAGGCCAGACCCCAAGGACCCCTGACCCATCGATTGGGTTTCTTGCTTCTCGCGTACGATCTGATTTTCTTTCCATGTGCGGAATTCCGGGGTCCTGAATGATTTCTGCGGCGCAGATTTGGCAGATGGATCCCGCAACTGCGTGCATCCTCTGTTGTCAATGCCTCGACGCGGAATACGGCACAGTAAATGGAGCCGTCTACTTGGCACGCTGGGAAGCAGGAGATGAGTACTACTGTAAGCCACCCGACGGGTCGGTGATGGGGTTTGTGGGTTGGCGAGCCGATGTGTTGTCAAATTCGCTCTCATGCAGCCAGGGGTTTACGGTAGGTCAATGCATCAACAGTGAGCATTGAGCACTCTCTTACATACAGACAATCAACAATTGTTGCATCCTGAGAGCGCCTTCCTCGAGTCAAACACGTTGAGCAAGATCCCGAGACTGGAGAGATTGACTCGAGTGTTGAGGCGTTGGCCGGTGCGACGGTTCTGTGGCCATCGCTTGAATCGCCACACGAGCCCTCAGTCTGCTGGCAATTATGTTCCACTGACATCATATTACCGGGGAGAGGAGCATCCTGTGGGAAAGTGCGATTCGAACCTTGACCTTGAAGAAGAGATGGAACGGTAGCCAGCAAAGAGCTGAGAAGCAGACACAAGCAGTAGAAGAAATATCTTCCATAAAAGTGATTCAGAGGCCCAAGAGGTTTCATCCGAGGAGATGTGAAGGCCTTCAGAGAATTGAATGAAACCCCTATTCCGTTTTCCGCGGCGTGGCGCCTTCAACTTGATATACAGATATCAAACCAGACACTTCCACGAGAAGAGAAGGGATTTACTGAAGACAGAAACAGACGTTGGCTGTTGCTGTGCCGGAAGCTTACCTACAATAACAATGGCGGACGACTAGAACCCTCATACAATCTAATCCGGATGACCGACCACCAGCCGCTCACAAATTCACGTGGCGTGTGTCGGGCATGGAAACAACATTGAAGAGATGCCGTTCACGACATGGTCAAAGGGTGCTGTTTCAACCTCGGCCGTTTACGGCAAGCCGCATGCTCTGAATAATACTGACACTTTCTGAGTCTCGAGCTCGAATGTGGAGTGAAGCACGACAGTCAGTCCCGTGGCTTGACTAAGATGTTGTTGCGTCGGTCAATACCCGAGCCCGTAACGTGTTTTATGTTCCGCGGGCACCGGCCTGTCCCTGCAACGGTAGGAAGCGACGCGACCCCTGAGCGCAACGCTACATATGATATCAGAAATTTGGCGAGCCTGACGCGAGTCGAAGCCGCCAACGTGCCATGTCCACAGGTGACGCGGCGGTGACGATGTTCGCATCATGTGGTCCTGCTCCAGTCATGTTTTCTTAGGCCTCAACGTCTGGTTGAAGAGAATCGCCGAGATAGTCGAGCCCAAAGAGGGTCTTGGTGAAGACGGGGCCCACTGCACTGCGGATGCTCGCAACTGGGGTCTTGGGTACGGTAATCAGCAACCTGGGCCTGTTTTGCTGGCGATACGAGCGGGCCTTCGACTGATTTTGGCGGCGTGCCTGGTACCTGGCTGGTACATGACTCCGGAGCGTCGGTGAGCGTGGAATCCGGTGAGTCGTATGTATTGAATCTGACACTACAGGCGCGCCGTTCTGCAAGATTGCCTGCTTGCACGGAGGTGGATTCGCCGTGCCGCTGTCGACATGCGGCTGCCACGGCAAGGCAAAGGAAGGATTCAATTGAGCGCTTCGCGACCAGCGGGATGCCGATGCAACCGACGTCGGGCCACGCAGACTCTGGTGATCAAAGCTGCGACCCTGCGGTTAAACGGCATTTTCGCAGTGCGCGGTTTGCGCATTGACGGCTCATACCGGATGATGTGTAGTTCGACGGCACATGTACCTTTGCACTGCCGCTCGCTCGGCTCTCGGCTAATCCTGGCATTGCCCTGTGAGCTTGATTGATTGCCGCAACGGCAAGAGTCGTGTGACGTGCCGGGGGGGAATCTACACTTGAACGGCCACACATTTGATGACGACGGAGAAAACCCCCTACCACCTGCGCGGGCTCGCTTAGATAGACCATGACCAGTCCCGCTTCCCTTTGCATCCGTCAAAAAGAACCCCGACCCTTGCCTGCCTGTCAACCAGACCCCGCATGAAGCTGCGGTGTTGCCGGTGGCGGCGAGTCATGCACTCCTGGGGCCAGTCCGTAACTACATCCGTACGGACGCACCACCCAGACGCCAAGGCCACATGAATGCAATAATGGACTGGTTTTATGCGTCCAAGCTGAACCGTACGAGGGGAGCTCCAACGACCGCTCGAGTCGCACGAACGCACCCCCACCCAGCCCGGGCGAGAGTATCCTTATTAGGTGCCCGCGTCCCCGTTCCTGAATCCTTCCTCCAGAAGGACCCTGGCCCACGCGTCCGTGTGCCCGGTTCGGGATCCGCTCGGCATGGGAGTTTTGACAGACGCATCCCGGACACGCCAAGGTGACCAAATGACTACACCCGTTGCCGGGAAAAGCTCCGTGGCTAGTGTGCCCGCGACCTCGAGGTGCCGCCTCGCCACAAGAGCTGGCCTCTACTCGTACTGCTTACTTGCAAGATGGGCTGCGGGCCGATAACAAACCAAAATTATATACATGCAGCTTGGTCTCTTCGTTGAGAGTGATGTCCCCCAGCCGTCTTTGAACCCAGCGGTCTCCTTGCCCGTCGACAGTCACTCCTTCAAGGCAATCATTGCATTGCTAAACACATTCTTTTAAAATAATGGGTCTTTTCATTTAAATCAAGGATAAACAATATGCCTCGCGGGGCAATCATTGGCTTGCTGGTGGCCGCGGCTGGCGTTGGGGCTCTCCCCAAGCAAGATCGCTTCCCTTCGTTCAGGAACTCTTCAAGCAGCGGTATTGAGGCGACCAGCACCAAAGGCCTCCAAATCCTCAACACCACAATCATTCACACTGCAACTCGCGACGCTCCCATACCTAGCCCCACCACGGGCGATCCCAGGGTTGTTTCCATCACGGTCACCTCGACCGTGACCACATGCAACAGGTTCGGGTTCTCTGGAGAACAGACAGCCACCTTCTCCAGCGCTGCCGAGACTGCGACGCTGGCCCCCAATGTTCACTGGGGGCAGGATACCAAGAAAGTCACCAATGTCGTCCCCGTTCCGCCCAACAAGGGGTCGGAGATGTACTATGGCGTCGGTGATCCATCTAAGCGCGGCAGCTTTGGCGTCGTGACTTACAACTTTGTTTCGCCTTCTGTCAACCTCGACCACAGCGACCACGTCAAGGCCGAGTATGACGAGAATGGGGGCCTCAGAGTCACCTTCACGAACAAGGATGCCTTCAAGCACGCGAGCCGGACTTGGGACCCCGCAGGTAAGGGACTGGTCTTGGTCGCCTACGGCAAGGGCTGTGAAGGATATCAGATCGGGGAGCGATGCTACTTCGACGCCACGCACCTAGTTGTGAACCGTGAGGACATGACCATCGACGTCTCGTGTCGACCCCAAGCTCCGAATGACCTCATCCACTCTGCAGAGGCGCGCTGGGGCTATTGGGATCCGTCACAGGGGCAGGACCCAGCCCACCCAGCACATCAGCCCGCCAACACGGAGAAGAAGCCCGGAAACGACCAATGTAAAGCTGGCGCAGACGAAGCTTCCAGCCTTTTCATGCAACAGATATCTCCGGACCGTAACCACATGTGTACCAACGACCTGGGCCGCCGCAGCTTCTGGTCCTGGATTGACGACCACATCATCGAGCCCGTCGGAGACTTTGTCAAAGGCATAGCCGAAGATGTCACGCACTTTGCAAAGTCCCTGTCCGTCGGGGGTGACTACGACAAGACGCTTTCGTTCAGCCTGCCCAAGTCGAGCAACGGCATAATGAGCGGGCTGGTTGACCCTTTGGCGAAGCAGACCAGGTCGCCGTGGGGAGACGCCCTCCTCCTTGGGTCGCTGGGCCCGAAGCGCAATGCGTCAGTGAGCATGTACTGCGTGGATTGCCGTGCGGGCGGTCGTGCCAACCTGCGCGGAAAGCTCAGATGGGGCCCGGTCGAGGGCCTCACCGCGGGCGAGGTCGAGCTGCACGTAGATGCTAGCGCTGCTTTCAACATCGGCATCGATATCAAGTACCCATGGCAGGCCGACTTGTCCGTGGATCTTTACCACCTCGATCTATCCGGCATTGGGTTCGGGCCCGTCGTGATAGGACCCAGCATCAGCGTGGGTGTCCATGTGGGACTGGCCGCCGAGGCCGCGGGGCGGATGCTTGCGGGCACTGAGATAGCCCTGAAGGACGCACATGTGGTTCTCGATCTTGTGAAGCCCTCTAGGAATGATGTTGGCAATTGGATGCCGTCCTTTCATCCCAGGTTCGAGGCCGAGGGCCATGCCAAGGTTGAAGCGACCTTGGGAATGCCCCTCGGCATAAACTGCGGCATCAAGCTCGCGCTGACGAGGAGGATGGTCTCGGTCTACAACGAGGTGTCCATGTCTGTCAGCGCCCAAGCCGGGGGCGAGGCTGAGCTCGAAGACGACGGGCAGCTCGAAGCGGGATTCGACAACACCAACGGTTGCGAAGGCATCGACTTCGAAATCAGCTGGCGGGACAGGGTCTGGGCTGACCTGAACGCCATCTTCCTCGGCACGTATGACCTCTGGGATTCCCAGCCGCAGCCCCTGCTGAAACGCTGCCTCGGGTAAGTTGAGACCACCCGACCTGGTGGCGTCAAATGCCAGTTGGTGTTTTGGCGTCTCGTGTGTTGCCTCGACTAACTCTTCATTTCCCCGTGCAGGCCCTCCGTGTACAACAAAGACAATGGAGAGCAAAACTACGAGTCCACGAACACCTGGACCTCTAGAAGCATCCTTCCCACAACCTCGACTGCAACACCACCCTGGCTACGGACCGCAAACATCTCCATGACGACTACACCGTCTGCCACGACCCCTTGGTCTGAAACTAGACTCGGCCCCAAACCAACGAACTCTCGCGCGTCCACGACTCTCGAAAAGCCCAGTACGGTGTACAAATGGACTATGCCCACGATAGAACCCACATCTACCGCCACGTCCACATTGGTGCCGACCATGCTCCCCCCTGTCACAGCGAGCCGAAGCTCTTCTCCCTCAGTGCCCGACCATCACAGTTCGGACAGCTCAGACTCAAGGCAGAGCACTCGCACCACGGAAGACACAGCAGACTCAGCAACAACGAATGTCCCACCGTCGCAGACACAGGCGCCGCCCGCGCTGGACAAGCCATGGAACGACAGCAAAGGATTCGAGCACGGCCCCCTGATGGACTACAACCGCACCATCAAGGTTACGTCCTGCGGCGATGGCAGCGTGTACGCGGTCCCAGCCGGGGCCAAAGAAGCCAGGTGCTCCGACCAATGGATCACCGACCCGGACAACACCGTCATCGGCCACGGGCCCTGGAACAACCTGTACTACTCCAACGACACCATGGACGCTGTCGGCGTCTCGAAGCTGAGCGTCGGCACCTGCGACGACCTACCCTCCGGCAACGCGGCCGCGCTCGTGGCGCACAACGACCCCAAGACGTCCCTCCCGCCCCGCTACATTGCCGTCACTCCTTACAAACAAGTCTTCTATCTCATTGTCTGCAACTTTCTGGACATGGACGGCAGTCAGGTGTTCCTGACTAGCCATTCCGTCGCGGGCATCAAGAAACTGGAAAGCAACGAGGGCATTGAGTCGGTGACGAGCTTCAGGGTCGACCAGTGCCGAGCGCTGATGCTTTCCCCTGGTAGAGAGGCGCGGAGCTGCACTCCGTAAGCGAGCTCTCCAGGGCACGGCCTTTTCATCACGCTTCATGCTTCATGACTGCGACAGCAGCTGAGGTTGAGGTGAATGCTTCAGACTCCATGTTGGCTGCTGCTGGGCATTTCTCCCACCAGGCCCCTTCAAGCCAGGCCCTTCATGTATTTAATTACCTAGTTTCTCTTCTGCGCCTCTACCGGCCCAAACCAATCTTCAAAGCCCTGTCCATATCATAAGCATTTGCACCACTGATATATACAAAAGGAGACCAGGGTAGGAACTGTCCACTTACCAAGTCACTTCTCCATGCGGGGGTGTTGACTCGCTTCTGCTTCCCGTTTGCCGCCATGGAGTTGAGCAGGTCCATGTCCTCCTTGGGCAGCGCGACCACTTTGAGGTTCTGCTCGATGCGGGCCGCGGTCACGGACTTGGGCAGCACTATGACGCCGCGATTGACCTGGTAGGAGATGAGCACGGTGGCGGGCGACACGCCGTTCTTCTTGGCCACGGCCGCGATGTCTTCATCTTCGAGCAATGGCGCGCCTGAGGCACGGGCGTCAGCTATGCGTAGACTGGTTACGGCAAAGGATGGAAAAGTACCTGTTGATCCGAGAGGGCAGTATGCCTCGAGGACAATGCCGTGCTGGTCGCACCACTCCTTGAGCTTGTGCTGGGGGTTGTACGGATGCAGTTCGACCTAGAAACATGTTAGCGAGTGTCGCGCGGGCCGAGTCGGATTGATTCGACAAGCGCTTACCTGGTTCACGGCCGGAACGACGGTCCACATCTTCTGCAGGTGCTCCAGGTACGGCACGCTCCAGTTCGACACGCCAATCGCCTTGACCTTGCCAGCGCGGTACACCTCCTCCATCTGCCTCCAGGTGTCCTGCTGGTTCCATGAGAAGTCGATGGAGCGCGTGCCATCGGGGTTGGTGGGGAGCAGGTCAGACGTCTCGTTGGGGACCAGGCGTCTTGGCGACATCGGAGTCAGGACGATGTGGTTTTATGAGTTGCTGCTGGGGGGAGTCAACTTACACGGGCCAGTGAATGAGATACAGATCCAGGTAGTCTGTCTGAAGATCCTTCAGGGTCTGGGCCAAACCGGCTGCGACATCGGGCTGATGTGTGTTCCAACTGAGGCAGGATTAGCCACCCATCCGGACGTCTCTCACCCCAAAGTCTTGCGTCACATACAGCTTGCTGGTGATGAAGATTTCGCTCCTAGGCACTCCGGACGCCTTGATGGCGTCTCCAACCTCCTTCTCTGTATCTCAGTCAGCGCCGGACACGAAATGTCGGCAGCCCCGCACCCGAGGTGGACCATACCATTGCGATAGATGAGCGCGCAGTCAATGTGCCTGTAGCCGCTCTTCAAAGCGTGCTCAACAGCCCTGCCAACCTCGCCGGGCTTTGCCTGCCACGTCCCTGAGCGATTGTCAATTCGGAGATCATCCCTGGACACAAAACCGGGACCTACCAAGGCCAACTGCGGGGATGGAAGCGCCAGTGTTGAGAGTAAGGTGAGTCGCGGGCGCCATCTTTGCTACTGATTGGGTTAATGAGGCGATCGGCCTTTTGGAGAACTACGTCTTCAACTCGCATGAATGTTTTGGGAGCGTGCGGCCTTTATACGCGGCTTTTCAACGACGTCAATTGCCGGATTGTGGATGTCGTCGGAGTCGCTGTGGACGTGGCGGATTATTGGTGGAGAATGGCATTTCCGTGTAAGTCGGGTGATTGAATTGGGCATCGCACGGATATATGTCCGACATCGCAGAATGCTCCCCCGGCGCGCGACCAACCCTTGAAGGCCTCACTACATGTGTCGCCGTCATCATGACGTCGTGTATTCGTGTACATGCGCATTCCCACAGGACTGCCTTGTCAGGGACGTCCGCATTCTTTCTCGAGAATCACCTCTCCACGGCCGCTCAAGGTCCTCAACTTGCATCATTGATCTGTGTCATATCCTATTCGGTCTCTAAACTCATGAGCACGTGCTTGAAACGCTGCGCAAGGCCCCACGGCATGCTCTCCAGCCTCTCGCTAAATATTGACAGAACCTTGGTGCTACTGAGGTCGTTCAAGTCTCCAAGTCCCTGAAACGACACCGGACCACCATTTCTTATCCATTCACTCGCCCCAGCGTGGTCGGACCCTGCAGTCACCGTTAGGCGCTTGTAAACATTAGATGCAAAGGCAACTAACAGGTGATTATTGTCCGCCTCTGGCTCGGGGACGATTCTCCGATGGACGTGGAGAACTTGAGAATGGCCCAAAAGGTGAGAGCCAGGTCAAGAGTCAACACAGTCTCGGCCGGTGAACTGCATGGTCAGTCGGGCGCCCTGGAGATGCACACACGGCGGCGACTTACTCAAAGGTGAATCTTGACAGCAGGGTGCTCAATTGGCCGGCCTGCGCAAGTATTGACCTCGTACCGATTGGATCCTCATCAATACGAGCTCGCACCCAACTACGGGCATCTTGCTTGCTCTCCTCTGTACCAGACTTGCCGGCCGCGATTTTGACGTTGTTGAGAAAGCCTGGCCAGGTGAATTGCATGTGCCCAAGATGCGAAAGGGCTGAGACACTGACAATCAGCGAATTCGGCTTGTTTGGAAGTGAGTGGGACGACGCCGATAACTGGTCAAGCAGCTCTTGCGGATTGCTGTATTGGTCAGTTCCGGGGACATAGGATGAAAGGACACGGCTTGACGCACTAATTGAATGTCGGTGGGAAGGCAAGGCGATAAAGATTGTCGCGGCAAAGGCTAGGCTGTGAGAATATCGGATCGAATGCAGCTGCATCAGTGCATAGTCTGCCGCACCTTTAGCTTCCCTTCTCTTCACGGTCGAGGCCCGCCAAGCCCTACCTATACAGCGTGTGGGCTATCACGGATAGCCCAAAGGAACTCAGTGGCTGAGGCAAAGTCCCGTGCGAGAGCAGGGAATCCAGAACAACTCTGAAATTGGAGGAATCTTGGTCCGACGGATGGCCTGTGTATGGTGGTGTTGTGTTGTAGGCTTCATCGTCCCCTGGCAGAGGAACATTGATCTCACCAACAGATAGAAGCGGCGCAATATTGAGCAAAGCAGAAATTTGCATGTCATAAAGCTGTGCGCAGGTCAGTCAACCAGGTCCAGCCGTACTCAGGATTGCCACCTACATAAATCCCCCACCCCAAGTTCCTCCGCTCGTCATCGTCGGCTTGTGCTCTGCGGAGTTCCTCATCGCTGGGGCTTTCGTTTCGCTTTTGTAGCTCTTTCACAAATGAGAGGCTTGGACGGAGAAGATGCATTCGTCTCGCCGCCGTCACCAGGCTGCCCCTGCTTATCTCTGCATGTTGGTACAGCATCCTCGATCCGCAAAAGAGTCCAAAGGTCGACTGAAGCAGCGACGCCTGCACGAATGTCGTGTCAAACATGGCACGTTGGTCGCTCTCTCTCATGTAACTAATTGCCCTCCGCGTCAGCTCGTTGAGTGCGATTGCCAAACCGCTCAACTTATCGCGCGAGTACATGGCGCCGATTGACGCCATGGCGAGAAGGAGGATTGGCGGCGCGTCGCTCGTGCGCATCTTTGACCGCCGAATAATAGGCAAGGTGTCGTGAAAGTGGCGAAAGTAAAGGTTGACGCAGACAGATAGTGTTTGCGTGGACGGGAAGAGAGTCACATCCACAACAGGCCAGTTTGGCTGGTTGGTCGTGCTGACAAGCGTCATCATTGCCTCGCGACTAGACTCTTTGATGAAGTCGAGGTTTGGGTCTCGGAAGATTGATGGTGTGGATTGGACAATGGGCGAGAGACTGAGCTGGCTGTCCGTCTCGCTAGGGCGATAGACGTGTGGCTGGAAGAGCGGCTTGAGCAGGCAGGCCATGCAGTAAGGTTTCTGAGGGCGCTGTAACTTACCCACGGTGTATCTGGAGGTTGCGCATCTCGTATGAGCTCTGAAGACGGTGGTAGCGATATGGCCTTGGCCGGTGTTATTTGGTGTGTGATGGATGGTGCGGCGTCAGTATTGTGAAACCAATTGAGCGGTGACATGTTCAAGATGTCCATGTGTCCCAGCTCAACGTCGCCAATGTCCCAGCCGAAGAAACTCTCCGATGCATCAGTAGCAAGTCCATAGAGTGGCTCGAATGGGAGAGTAGAGATTTCTAAACAGGCGTAAGCATGCGAATAGGCGTTTGTTGGTGCTGCATACCAGTAGTTGGGACGGTCGTAGGCTGCTCCAGGACGCTGGAGGCTGCTGGCTGGCCTGGACTCGAGGAGGACGATGCGCGCCCTGTCTCACTTGGAAGGTCAGAGTTGACTTCAATGGGCTGTTCGGAAACATTTCCGGTGTTGTCGTTGCGATACATGCACTCTCGTCCTGAGGCAGTACAACGGCTGCAAGTTGTCCCTCGCTGGCCGTCACAGCGGACCTTGAGGGAGACACACGAGACACTGCCTCATCAGTCAAGAACCAGACTAAGGACGGCACAGGGCGCTTACCAGGACACTTTGCGGGGCTTCTTTGCTCGAAGATCATGAAGAGCAAGATGTCTGGTCATAACATCTCTGCAGACGTGTTAGCACTCTGTACCCCCAGCACTTGCGCCGCTAGACGACGTGCCTTCGAACAAATCTCTTCTTGCATGTCGGACACTCGTGCTTAAAGTCGCGCGCATCTAGACATGTCAGCGCAACCGACGGTGAGTGTGACTAGGGTCCGGGCGTACGGCTGCGTTCGTGTCTCTGGAGGTGCTCCCGCTTCCTGTACATCCGCCCGCAGCCCGACCAGGAGCACACAAACGTGGCATCGCTGTGCGACTGAGCCCGGCTCGAACTAACGGGCGACGGCTCCGACACGGATTCAGACGGCATTTGCGCGGCAGTCCCCCTTTCGCTTGCGAGGCGGGCGGAGATCGCTCTGGTGGACGGACGGAGTGGAGGTGGAAGGTTGACGGTTGGGCGGAGGAAAGGTGGAGGCGATCATGCCGGACCGGAAGTGGGTGGAAAGAACCCAAACTGACTCGTGACCACCCGCAACCCACTCACCACCACCACTTACAGCGTCAGCATCCAAGGTCGACTTCAATATTTTCCCCACGGGGCCTCCGGCTTCACTCTCCACTTCCCCGCGAGTTGCGGCGTGGCAGTCATGCATATATAGCCATATGCCATGAGCCGGAAATCCGGGGAAGCAGGGGCACGGATAAGTCAATCTGCTGAGGCTCACACTGTCATTCAGCTTTCACCATGTCCAAGGAGCTCTCGACCCACAGCGAAAGCGTCACGGACGCGCAGGAGCGGCCGTTTGTGGAGGACCCGGCCATGGAGAAGCGGTTCGTCGTGACGATCTCGCCTGGGGAGGTTCCGTGTATCGCTGACAACATGATTGTAGGATCCTTCGCAAGGTTGACATGCGGCTCATTCCGCCCCTGTTCGTCATGGTAAGTCCACCTTCCGATCATTGTTCGGATGGGAGTGTGCGATCGTGCTGACATTGATACAAGTACATTTTGAACTGTAAGGGCCATTGAGTGCCGGTTGAGGGTATCCTGCGGTTGCACCTGCTGACCAGTCACTGCCAACTCCAGACCTTGATCGAAACAAGTACGTGTGAGATAACTCGTCCTTTCGAGCGTGACTGACAGCATCTGCAAAGCATTGGAAATGCCAAAGAGGCGGGCATGGCCGAGTCGCTCCATCTCAGCTCCTCGGACTACTCCCTCGCAGTGTCCATCTTCTTCATCGGATACCTGCTCCTCGAAGTCCCCAGCAACATGATCTTGAACCGGACGAGACCGAGCCTGTATCTCCCAGGCCTCATGGTATGTTCGGAGCAGATCTCGCCAATTATGAACTGCAGAACGCTGACAAATAGCCGAGTAGATTGTTTGGGGCGGCATGGTGTAAGTGGTGGCTGCAAGGCCGGCCTCAGTTGACCGAACTGACAGGTCTCAGAATTGCATACGTCGGTATCAACACCAAGGGGCATCTCATTGCCCTACGCTTCTGCCTCGGTCTTCTCGAAGCAGGTTACTTTGTACGCCTCCCCTCCGTCCTCGAGCCCGGGTTCGATCGTGCTGACAGGCCTTGCAGCCCGGCGTCCTCCTATTCATGAGCAATTGGTACAAGAAGACCGAGCTTGCGCGCCGCTTCTCTGTGTTCTACTGCGCCTCGCTTCTTTCAGGAGCCGTAGGCGGCCTCATTGGTGCGTATTCCTTGGTTTCAAATTTCCTCCATGTCGTGCCTTGACTGATGTGGCAACAGCCGGTGTCATTACCGATACGATGCAGAACCGGGGAAACTTGCCAGCGTGGAAGTGGCTGTTCCTGAGTATGTAACCCGAATATCCAAGGGGCTAGCCCCCGTCAACGTGCGTAGCACTGACTTGGTCCAGTTGAGGGCTGCATGACGATTGGCTTCGCCATCATCGCAATGTGAGTACGGGGCAGGCATGGCGCATCCAGTGCCGACGACTGACAGCCTCAGGTTCATTCTGCCCGACTTCCCCGCGACGACAAAGTGGCTCACCGCCGAAGAGCGCGAATATGCCGTCCGCCGTCTCGAGCAAGACAACAACTCCACGCAGGCCGGCACGATGGGCCACCTCGAAAGCTTTGTTCGCGCCGTAAAGGACTGGAGGTGAGTGCTTTGGTGGCGACCTCAATCTCTCTGTATACGGACTCTGACACGACCGGGTGTAGGACTTGGATGTTTGTCCTCGCGCAAAGCCTGTGTACCTGCGCCGGCACCATCACGTACTTTATCCCGACTCTGATGGCGGCGCTGGGATACAAGGGCCATGAGATCCAATACGTGAGTGTCTCTCTGGAACACGCCCCCAAAAGTTTCATGGACTGACAGATGTATAGATGACGATTCCCATTTGTAAGAAAGACGAAGCTCCCGCGTTCGCCCAGGGGCATGCTGACAATCCACAGACATGGTTGCGCTCGTCATCGTCCTGGCCTGCTGCTTCTCGTCCGACCTCCTGAACGAGCGACCGAAGCACATCATGGCTATGGGCGCCATGTCCACCATTGCACTGATCATTACCGCCGCAGTTACCAACTCCAAGGCCCGGTACGCCTTTTTGGCGATTGGTACGTTGAAGAAGTCGGTGACAATAGCATGCATTACTGACTGTGGACAGGTGCTTCCGGCATCTGGGCGTGCAGCCCCTTGACTTTGAGCTACCTCTCCAACACAATCTGCAGGCCAGCCGAGAAGCGCGCCGTCGCCATTGGCGTTGTCAAGTGCGTAAACCACGGCTCTCTATAATGAGCTTCTCTCAGGCTGACAATATACTCTACAGCGCGCTCGCCAACCTTTCTTCCGTCTAGTACGCTGCCCCTATTCATCCCCCACGCAAGCGCCACGCATACTAACAACCTCCTAGTGGATCGTACATCTGGCCGTCCAACTCGGCGCCGCGGTACATTGCCGGCTTCTCCGTCTCGACATCCCTCATGTTCGGGTGCATCGTCACCGCCGCGGCCCTCATGTTCCTGACCAAGAAGTACCCCTACGACAACACCAAGGACGGGCGTCACGAGGAGCAGGTGGTCGCCGCCCGGGACGAGGAGGCTGCTGGATCGAACCGTGCTTGATATCGGATATGTGTATGTATGAAAGAACAAACTATAGCGCAAGCCTTGGATGGCTACATAGCTACGTTAGATAGTAGCGACAGAATACTACGAGCGACATCCTGATCAGTCGTACGCATACAGCGAGGCGTTCGTCCCCCGTGCGTACACGGCCGCGCGGTCCCCGCCCCGGGGGTCCACGACCGGCGCATCCGTCACCACACCGCCGATGGACTCCCAGTCCGCCCACGCCGAGCCGTTAAACTCCTTCTTGTAGACGGAATTGTTAGTCCCCTGCGCGGCGAGGGTGATCCTCCCGCCGCCCCACGCCGCCGCCGACGGGCGCGACATGACGACGCCCCCCAGGCTCGTCCAGCCCGTCGCGCTCGGCACCCACGCGCTGCCGTTCCAGCTCTTCTGGTACACGGCGTTGTTCGTCCCGCGCACAAACAGGTCCAGGCGGTTCGGCGCCTTGGCCACGGGCGTGACGTCGTCCATGACCGTCCCGCCGAGGGGCTGCCAGCCCAGCACCGAGGGCAGCCAGGCGCTGCCGCTCCACGTCTTCTGGTAGACGGCGTTGTTGGTCCCGCGGACGAGCACGTCGATGCGGCCGGGCGCCCAGCTGACGGCGCGGGGGCTGCCCACGATGGTGCCCCCCAGATGCGTCCACCCGGTGACGCTGGGCGTCCACGCGCTGCCGTTCCACGCCTTGTGGTACACGCCGTTGTTCATCCCCCGCACGAACAGGTCCAGCCGGTTGGCGCCCCACGACACGGCGCAGATGTCCCCGATGATGCCGCCGCCGAGGGATTCCCATCCGCGCCACGCGCTGCCGTCCCACCACTTGTGCCAGCAGGCGTTGTCGGTGCCCAGCGCGAATAGGTCGATGCGGTTCGGGCCCCACGACACGGCGGTTACGTCCCCGTAGATGGTGCCGCCGAGGCTCTCGTATGCCGTCTCGCCGGGGGACCAGCCGGAGCCGCCGCCGCCGGCTTGCCACTTGTGGTAGACGGCGTTGTTGGTGCCCCGGACGAAGACGTCGGTCCGGCCCGGTGCCCAGGAGACGACGGCGGGGGTGCCTGGATAAGACTCGTTTGTCAGTCCGTGTAAAATTGCATCGTTGGCCAACATCAGAGAGTTCTGAGGGGCCGTATCAGGAGCAACTCACCGTAGTAGAGCCCGCCGAGGAAGCGCCACGCCGGGTACAGGTTGCGAATCGCCAGCCGGTCATCCTCCGTCAGGGACCTCTTGGTGAGATTCGACGACACAGACGGATACATGACCGCCCCCGCGACGCTCGAGTGCGCAAGCCCCAGAATATGCCCAAACTCATGCAACCCAACCGTCTCAATGTCAAACGCCCCCGCGACCGCGCCATCCACCCACTTGTGCTCCTGGTCATCATAATGCACCGGCAGGGGCAAGCCCTTGACGATGACGGAGTACCCCGGCGGGAAGTCGGCATGCGCCAGCACGCCGCCGACCATGGAGTGGTCCGGGTCGTTGGCCGGGCGGAACTCGACAAACACCTCGGGGCTCTGCGCCGCGGCCACCTCGGTGAAGGTCAGCCCCACGCCCGCGTCGGCCCACGTCTTGAGCGCGCGCCGGATCGCGGCCTTGCACGTCTCGGCGGGGAGCTGCGACGACTGCGCGCCGAAGGTGTAGCGGATGTTGCGGTCCTTCCAGGGGCCCAGCACGGTGAAGTCGACGGACTGCGTGAGGTCCGGGAAGCCGCAGCGGTCTTCGGCCATGGCGCTGCGAGTCTCCGGCCCGAAGACGCCGTCGACCTTGAGCTTGAAGAACTCCTGGAACGCGCGGAGGGCGGCGGCTGTGTCCTCGCCGACGGGGCCTGCCTCGGCGCCAGAAGCAGCGGCGGACGACGACGACGGTGACAGCGGCATGTAGCCGTAGTGCTGGAGGTAGTTGTTCACCTCCGTCACGTCCACCTTGTCCCCGGCACAAAAAGTAGGCGTAGCTTGGATCTTGGCCTTCGAGACGGGGACCTTGGCCGCGTCTCTGGGAGGGGGAAACACGATGCCCGTGTCCGTGGCCATGGAGGTGCCATTCTCAGCAGCGCCGTTGACAGGGCCATCCTCCATGACGGGGATTTTTTCAACATCCATATTCAGAATATCAGTACTTTGTAGATTGATAAGATTGCTATGCTGTCACTCGGGAGAGGATGCATGTCTGGATCGCGGTCCCCGTCTGCAATTTATACCTGAATTTTGGCACGGCCTGCGGCGTACACTCGCATCGACGCAGTGCGCGGACAAGCGATAGATCGAACATGTCTCTTCAAGCCGCATGTCATGCATGCAGGCATCCATGCCACCAAGTTCGTCTCTCGCCTCGCCCACGAGGGGGACATGTAAGCCCAAGCGACGGTCTAGATCCCGCATCAGCTCCCATCAACCAAGTCACTCCCGGTCCAACATGAACTATCCATTCCCCAAACGCAGATGACGACGTCCACCCGCCCAGCTGATCCAAGCGACCACCACTCCCAATCAACGCCCTCCCAAAGCCATGATTCGACCCGACCCGGACGCCATCGCCTCTGCCCGCATCAATATCTACCGCGCCACGGCTGTTGTTTCCTGTTTCACTCGCCTTGGCCTCACTGGTCGGCGTCCCGAGAAACCAGGGCAGCCGGCTGCCCTCCCGCGGCAGCTGAACAACCTTAAAATCTGCCTTAAGCCACAACCCTCAACGAAGCAATTCGGATAGGCAGCTAGCTCGCCCTCGCTTGCCGAGTGCCACATATAGGGCTGAGCCGTGGTCGCATCTGCCGCAAACCCCCAGTCACCTGCCGTGCTTGGCGGGCGAATCACCGCGCTGGGCGCCGCCATGCTGCATGCCTGTCGCAACGCCAAACTCATACTATACATGCACTTCAGTCGGCGCAGCAAGCCTCACATACCCCGTTTTCGGGCACATCATGCTGTGTTTCGCGAGAGCTGTTAGTAGAGCCAAGGCGCCAAAGGCCGTCATGCATATTCATGGGTATCTCCTTAGACTCTGGATGGGCGACTACCGTCGCCATGCATATTCCATCCCAGCAATAACCAAATTTGTACATAATTCAAGACATGTACGAGCAGCTCCGTACTCATCGACTCGTCCAGACTCGATGCTACTCCGAGCAGCATCGAACGCCCTGCACCGCAGCCGACCTGTTGCTCTCCACGCTGCGTCTCAAGCGTTACCCCCACTTCCCGCAAGGAAGTAGTCGAGCTCGTTCCCCGTCCCCGTGTTGAACCTCTGTTCGTCCTCAGCCAGCTGCTCGAGTAGGCTCAAAAACGGGTCCTTTTCATCCGTTTGCGTCGTGCCAGTGCTGCCGCTCTTGGCACTCTTGGTGCCCGGGCTCGGTGCCGGAGCGCCCGAGTTGAGAATGCTCATCTTGTTCTGCTGGCCATCGTCGCCAGTCCACGTGGCAGGACTGCCAAAAGCATTCGTCGGTAGTGTTCCAAACATGGGGTCGTATGTTGGATTGCTGTCATTGCCCGAAATCTGGCCCGTGTTGCCGGGCGTGAAGCCAGAGCCATACCCGTAGGGGCTGAGTCCAGTGCCAGACAACGACGGCATGCCCTGTCCCGCGGTCCGCGGCGTCAAAGGCGACACGCCATACGCCTGCCCTTGGCCCGAAGCCGACGGTGCGGGTACCGGCGGCATCGTGTTCCGTATATTGCTGGTGCTCTGGCTATACTCCGGATTCTCGTAATGCGCCTGTGGCGGAGACGGCCCGGCCTGTGATGGCTGCACGGCTCCTGGCTGGTATGAAGCGGCTCTTGACGCTTCGGGTGACGGCAGGGGAGCCGATGCCCCAGGTGTGGGCTGTCCCCGCACGTCGAGCCGTTGGGTTTGCTGGCTCAAGGACGTGGCTTTGCGCTTCAGCTTCGGCCGTTCTGCGTGGCTGGCCGCCTGCGCTGCTTGAGCCGCAGTTCCTGCATAAGATCCCACGAAGAAATCCACCACAGTGTCTGCGAGGCTTAGGTGGGCAGGGTCGAAGCGGAAAGACTTGCCACCAGGACCGCCAATGTTCGAATACCGGTCGAAAAAGTCCTCGAGATGGAATCCAGGCGTGTACCGCATCGCGCTGCCGAGCATGGCATTCACCAATTCGCCGTGGGCGTTGTAGATACCCTGCAGAGTATCCCGTTCATGCTGCACGTTGGCCCAAGCGTATTGGAGCTCACTTAGCGTCTGCATCTCCCGCGACAGGGACTCCGACGATTGGCTGAAGACGTTCGACTCGCCAAGGGCGCTGGTGTTGGTGTAATGTGTGCCGTGGATATGCACCGTCGCTGCCGTGCATATGCAGTACCCGACGATTGCAGGCCACTCGATCGTGCTTGCTTGTCGGGCAAAGTCAATCAGCTCCGCTATGGCGTTCGCGTGCAGAAAGCACATGTTGGTCGCCTCAATCTGCCATGACTGATGCTGGCCGTTGCCAGCCAACTCCGCCAGATCGATAGGTAGAAAGGGTCGGTAGACCAGGCAGTGGATGAGATGATAGATGAATTTGCCGAGGACGAGGATTGTTGCCTCTGGTTGTCGAAACAGCACATGCAGACCGGAAAACATCTCCCCGGCGCCGGAAGCCCAAAAGTCGAGTTCTTGGCGAATCTTTGACAACGTTGACAACGAGTGCCAGGGAAAATGAGAGTCCCCTTTGACGCCGCCGGCCGCAAGATACCTGTTGGTGATGCCCAGGATGCGAGTGATGTCGATGAGCATGCCAGTACTACCCTGGGACTTTTTGCCATTACCATGGAAGTACTGGACGTTGGAGCCGCGTTGGAAGAATTCGCCATCGATGGGTAGGGCAGAGGGGCTAGGGGACCACGATGGCAGGCGGAGGGCGATGCCCTTGTCGCGTATCAGCGATGGCCGTTTGGAACCACATGTCAGGAACCGATCGAGGATGTAGCACGTCCAGAACAGCCGTCTCCTCAACTCTCGATCTGCCAGTCCAATTGGTGCCTGCGTATCGACCTCACGATGGAGCTCAAGAGCTGTCGCCATACCAATGGCGTTTGCTATACAGTGTCAGCGATCCGGTACCGGAGTTCGGTACTCTGGGCGTCTTACCCATGAGCATATGTGCCTTCTTTCCTTTTCCAGACGCAATGAAGGCAAGAACGAGAAGCAACAGGGTCTGCAGAGCATCGATTGACGGCTCGTCAATGTCCATTGATTGTCTTGCCCGTGCAGCATAATCCTCGCTGAGTTGCACGGCAGCCTGAGCGCCTTGAGGATGAGGAGTGAGCCTGAGAGGGCGTCAGCCGCGATTGCACAAAAGTAGGTACATGTGCTCGTCTCACCTTGCAGCCACAGCCCAGATAGCGCAGCACAGGTGATGGGGCGCTTGGCCGGACTGAATGCGATGTCTCGTGGACGACTCATCGACAATGTAATACGGTTTGCCATGAGAGCGGGTAAAGTAGGTGTGAAGGAGCGTGTCGACCTGTACTGGCGAGGCCGGCGATTCTCTTCAACAAGGTCAGTTGATGCATCAAGAGAGATGGCAGATAGCAACGCACCTTGGATCCAGAACCAATGAATTCACCCGCGATGAGGTGCTCGTGGGCGCATTATCTGACCCGCTAGCAATTCGCTTCAGGGGCGGCTCCATTGGCTCGGCCCCATTACCATCAGACTCTTCAGGGGTCACATCGTTTCCGGCGTCTTCGTCCTTTGACGATGATCCCTCGGCGTTCTTCTCCTTGAGCTTGGCCTCGAGCCCGTCAACCCGCTTGAGCAGCGCTTCCAGCACATCCGTCTTGGGACCGCGCTTTTTGGGGACGGCATCTGGACATCATCAAACGTTAGTAAGCGGATCAACGCTGTGTCACCTCAGGATTTCTGGCAATGTACGCGTCGCCAAGACGGCAGGCCAGCATGGCGATGCAGGCAAGCGAGCCATGTGCGCGAGCACGCACGCAGCCGCGTTCATTCAAACTCACCATAAACGCAAGGGCACTGAAAAATCTGACAGGCCTCGCATGTTGGCCGTAACCGGTTGCACTTGATCTGCCGCGCAAGAGAAGGCCGGGTCAGCGATGGTCGTACAGGACAAGTTGCCGTCGGACCACGGTAGCATGAGCGCGCGGGGCCCGCCAAAGGCTCAACGCTGTCCATCGGCCAGAGGGGGGAGGACTGCTGGCTTACCTTTCGCTTGCGACACGACTTGCAGTTCATGGACTCGCGCGGGCCCGTCTCCTGGCGCCGCGCGGGCAGGCGCTCGATGCTCACCTGCTGCCGGGGGATGGCAACGGGATGAGCATGGCCGGCCGCGATGCCATGCGGTGAGGGGTTCATCTCATGCTCCGTCGCGGGACCCGACAAAGGCGCACTGCTCCTCCTCCTGCTGCTGCTCAGTCTCGCGTCGTCGGATGATGGGTGTGAGGGCCTCGCGACGCTAACGGTCTCGGCCGCAATGGCAGCGACAAACAGGGCGGTCGTTGGCGATGATGGGTGAGTAAGGACGTGGTTGACGCGAGAGGTTGATTGAACGAGCGCTAACTGGCGGGGCGCTGGGCTCAGCGTCAGGGACGCAGGGTCAAGCCGCGGAGTATCGGCGGTGGTCCCTCTTTCCTCCGCAGAACAATTTCAATCCGGCGTCCAGCGTCACCCCCGGCGCAAAACCCCGGGTGATGGACGACGGCGACGCCGAGCAATCAATCAATCCAATCCACTGCACTCCACGCAACGGCAATGGGACGTCTGTGCTTCCCTAGATCGCGAATGCGTGCCGACGACTGTCTTGAATTGAAGCGCTATCGCAGCAAGTAGTAGCCGCAGAAGCAGCAACAGCACCACTCTGGCACACCAACGTGCAGTGCAGACCGCGCACGGCCCAGGTGCTGGCCCAGGAATGGATGCCGGCAGCGGGAAGTAGGCTCAGGGTCGGGGCGGCCCCGGACCGAAGGATTGGAGAAAGGATCGTCGCGGGCGGCTCGAGCTTTCTCTGCGGCACAGCGCACGCGCACGGCACGCACGAGTCAAGGTGCGCCGCGGGCGGCCGGGGGACACACAATGGTACGGATGGACCTCCACAGGAGACTCAGCACACGCGCGCGCGCACACCCAGCCTTGCGGAGTGGCAAACTCTGCTAGAGCCGAAATCGACGGCGCCGGCAGATGTGCTTTCGATGAGATGAGATGAGATGCGATGCGATGCGATGCGACTTGCTTGGAGCCAAGGCGAATCCTGTCAGCGCGTGGCGAGTAGTAGTTCAGGAGGAGCTGCTGCTGTGCCGCATCGCGAGGGTCGCATCCGTTCCCTCCATTCGCTGAAGAAAAAGGATCGAGGGGAAGAGGAAGGGGAGGAAGGGTCCGAGCTTTCCCTCCCTCCTCCTGCCTCGGGGCACGGCAGCCAGTTATGTCGGAGAAAAAGCCACGCGATCTGACAGCTCGCCTGTCACACCTGACTCTGCGAAGCAGGCTCTCTCTCACGACGGTTGAATCGTGCAACCTCGAAAGTCGGTGCGCCGGCGGCGGCGGCCAGCCCACCTTCAAGCTTGCAAATAAGCTAACTAAGGTAGCGTAGCGTATCTGCAGCGACGACTGGACCCTCCGGGCTTCGCCAGCTCGTCCCCGGCCGGCCGTCGCTGGCAGACGGGACCGACGATGCACCTCAGACGCACGCACGCGCTGCATGCAGGGCCGCCGCGGGCTCCAGGCTCTAGAGCTCCAGCGCCCCAGGCAGGGCTGGATGCCCCGCGCATTGCGGCAACCTTGGAAACCCTGCCGGGCAAACCTGCTGGGAACCAGTCAGCGCCTGCGGAGAGGCCGCCTAGCGCGCTGTAGCGCCGCGCGACGGCCCTTTCAGGCGAGCTCTGTGGCCTTGGCAATTTACCACTCGCACGAGTGTCGGAGATGCAATCACGGGCCCCGCTTCGCCCACCCGCGCTTGCGGGCACCTGCTACCGGAACCCCGGGTCCGGGCCCTGGGAACTCGTCACTCGTCGTCATCCCTTCAGCCCTGTTCAATTCCCCGTGCCCGGCTGTCGCCAGGTTCGTTGCGCGGCCGCCTTGCTTCAAGGGCACTGGAGCTTACAGATTATAAAACATTTAAACAATGGCCAGGTTCACCCAGCACCCGGGCTCACGATGCCCGGGGGCTCGACTCCCCGGCCTCGTCGCCTCACTGGCCCGGGTATGGTGTGGCTGACGACGATGCATGGCTTAGCCTCAACACCTCGCCCATTATCGCCTCATTTTCTTCCCCGCAGCCTTGGTCGTAACGCTGCGAAAACGCCAAACATGACACGATCCCGGCTCCTCGGTCCGTTTGCGTCCTTCAAGTCCCTTATCAATTGCTGACTGCAGACCGCTCGCGACTACATGCATGCCCCCTCCCCGACGAAAACACCGGCCTCGCCGACTCGTCTAGTAGTAACAAGTGGTTGAATCCAAGCTCCAAGCCCGCCGCTTGAGTAGTTAGAGAAAAAAAAGGCACAAATGGCGTGCTAGCCAACTCCAACATGTCCATACCTAGCGGCACCACTGCCCCATTGTCATTGTCCCTTCCAACGCCGTACATAAGATGCTGCATGTAAATTTCGACGGACATCCCACCCCGCGCATCCAAGCTTCGCTCCCCGTCCGAATCTCTGTGTCACCGACGGGGCCGGGCCCAGCTCCGCACAGCTCCGCGCCCCCCCCCCCGCGCGCGCCCCCATTTTGGGCACAGCGACGACTCAGAACGGATTCCTGCCGCTGGCGAGCCTGACAAAGCTGTACGGGACGTTTTGCCCGACCAGCAGGCGAAGGCTTTCCACCGTCGAAAACGCCGCCACGTCGGCCGCGCCATACGCCACGAAGCCGCTCTTCTCGGCGGCGTCGCTCGGGTCGCTTTTGCTCTGCGCCGTCACGTCGGCGAGATTGAGGAACACCTTCTTGGTGTTTGGCCCATTTCGCGGCCCAGATGCGCCGAAGACCCTCACCAGCATGCTGACGAGGTTGCTCTTACCCGGCCCTAGTGCTGACACGATGACGAACGGAGCCGTGTCGTCCGCGACGGATCGTGCTCGTTGCAACGACTCCATACTTATGAACTGCTCGATGGGCGGTGCGTTGCGCGCGAGCGCGGGCGGGGTCCGGAAACCGACCGTGTAGATTTTGGCAATCTTGAGCGCCTTGAGCGCATAAAAGACGGGCGCCGCGTCGTCCGACGCCGACGCGAGCACCACGGCCGCACGTCCAAAGTACGCAGAGGGCGCCAGGTCCCTGATCAGGGTGTGCATGATGCCTCGCCATCCGGCATTGTCGAATATGAGCGACGCGTTCGCGCCGAGGCCCTCCTGTTTCGGCGCCATTGTGCCGTCGGCTTGCTGGTGCGGCGGGCTCGATGCCAGCGATGCCGGCGTCGACGATGCCGACGTGCCCGCCTTGACGACAATGGTATCCACGATGCCAATGGCTCGAGCTGCCTCGGTCAGAGTTGGGCCTCGCCCGTTGTTCAAGCCCGCAAAGAACTTGTTGTGTTTCGTGAGTGTCTGCACCGAAACACCGGGATCCAGGTAGGCGCCTCCAAACTCCTTCTGGTTGCACCATACTTCCATGCCTGCAAAGTTGTTTGGCTGCCGCTCGACCATGGCGAAGTGGTGAGGCAGCCCCAGCTCATTGAAACACTTCTCATAGAAAGGCGCCTGAGGCACCGCGCTTCGGAACGTCGATATGCTAATGCCGAAAATATTCTTCTTCGGCAGCTGGCCGACCATGGCCAATGCGCTGTGTATCTCGGCGGTGCTCATCTGACCAGGTGCAGCGATGAGGGGAAGAAGCGGGTGCGTGATTGGTGTGAAGACCTTGTTCAACGTTCGCGAGATCTGTCCCACTTCGGCCATGTTGAGTCCGGAAAACGGGGGCGCGTCGGGGAACTCGGCTCGTATCTTGGACCGGAAGTACTCGAGCTCGAAGTTTTCGTTGTGTTCGTTGATGATGGCAATCATCTTGACTAGGTCGGCATACGGACATGATCGTTGAAAGACGTCGAGTGCATACTGCGACGGCCAGCGGAACGTCCCCGAAAAGTCGTGAAACGCCGACATGATGCGCGAGTTTCCCCTTCTCTGATAGAGGTCCCGTCGAATGTCCTCCGGCAGCCAAAGCTCGACATCGATGTATTCGACGCCCCACTGGATGGCCTTGTATAAGTACCTGTGGTAGAGTTCTGGATCGTCCATGGGAAATCTGCCGTTCTCATTCGTGCACCTGGTTGTGAAGATGATGGGTAACTCTGTTCGCTGACGCAAGAGCATTACCTGCTCGCCAACGTAGCTTAGGCTTGGCACACCAGCAAAGTTGCCGCCGCCGAGAGGCTCCCGCAGTAGGTCGACGCGAATCTCGACGGCGTCGGAGCCGACAGTGAGGATGTCCAGGTTGGGCAAGGCTGCGCGAACATCGGGAAATGTGGTCGACATGAAATATGTCCTGGGCTTCGCCATGAGCTCCTCATGGTGGCTTACCTGTCCCAAGACGAATGAGATGAATCTTGCCAGATAGCGTCTGAAGGATGAAGGTTCGGTGTAGAGGAACTCGTAGTCGCAGTGAGTGGATAGTTGGGCATCGGGTGGCATGCCCAGGTGGACGCAGTGAGCGTTGATGGCAACGACCAGCTCGCGGTCTCTCGTCTCGACGTCGGCCTTGGCCTCGCCAGCCAGTATGCCAATGACATACCCGCGATCAGCGGCGGCGATATTGCCAAAGCTGCTCTTTAATCTGAAGGGCTTGCCCAGGACCTCGGCGAAGACAGACACGATCCGATCCTGTCCATGTCCATAGACGATGACGACTATCCTCTTGTCTCCTTCTTCAGGAGCTCCTCGAAGTGATCTTCCATGAAGCATGACGGGGCTCTGGCTTGGTCTGGCGTCGAGGTCCATGGCGGGAGATGCCGGGTTGCCATTTAACCCCATGGCGGGGGAGGGCCCTGGCGAGGGGCTGGTCAACAGCTGCTGCACGGCAGCCATGGTCCTGATTCGTGGAACCACGAGCGGTGTTTGAAAGGATCAGACCGATATTTCCGCGCCGGCTGCCCCTTATGTCACGGCGAGTCTGCTGTCGGCACTCATCCACGGTGCGGCGTGGGGTGCGGCGGGAGGTGCAAGAACGACGGGTTCGGTCAGACGCCAGAGGGAAGAAGATGCGAGGTGAAAAGAGCTCAGACCGAGTCGCTGCGAGTGGCTTCTGACAAACTGCCTGGTTGAAGGCGCGGGAGAATCATCCGACGACACCACTTTGCCCGAGATAGGTCAAGGCGGCCAGGGCGAAGGCAAAATGGGGGTGCCGATTGCCTCTTAGGTGCCGTCGTAGATGCTGTCGATGCTTGAGCCAGGGAACGCCAGCATATGAGAGGCCAATCTCGGATTGGAGTGCAGAGCGTTAAAAGCCAACGACGAGCAGGGGAAGCCTGAGACGGTTAAGTGAGACCGAACCCCGGGTGAGGGTGAGACGTCAAGCAGAGTATCTGAGTCTGCAAGGCGGTCTTGGAACGGGTGGAGGGCCTGGCTGAGGCTGCGGAGATCCGCCTCTCGGGAACAAGAAGCCCGATTCCAAAGGGCTCGAGGCGAAAGTCTTCTGGAACGCCGTTGGTGGAAGGGCGAGCGGGACGAGGGAGAGGCGGGCGTGGCCGGGGGGGGATAAAATGTTCCACCAGAGGCGCAGTGTGCGAGCGAGGGTTTTGGTGCGCGCAGTAGGCCAGCCGCTAGTGGTGGTCGTCGTTGATATCGTGCCGCGTGCTAGTGGGCCAGCGATCTGGGGCAGATGAGTCGAATGCTGCGCCGCAGCAGGCAGGCGTAAGTTGGAGATGCGGAGGTGGTGAGGCGGCGGTGACTGACGACGGGTGCCCGGTGGACGACGGGATGTGGGACGGCCAATGATTCGAGCGAGGGGCGGGAGGCGCACCCGGTGCCAGTGTTGCGTCGCGTGCGGTCGTGTGGCGACGGGCGTGGTCAGCGGCGCCTGGTTTCTGGCGGAGAAGGGCCGGGCGCGGCGCGAGCTGGGCCAGCGAGCTCGAGGGCGGTTGATGAGGTTTTGGGATGTGAGGATGGGGGATGGGATGGGATGGCGTCGCCAGCCAGGACGGGTTGCAGTAGCCGCTCCGGCGGCGCTTTCAATTGGGAGTCGGTGCCGCAGGCCGTCCGCACTCCGCAGCGAGAGGTGCCTGTCATCCCCAACCTGGAGGGCTGCTCCAGGGCTGCTCCCTCACTAAGAAGGGGTGTCGGGGCGCCTCCCCAGCGCCAGTGCCCGCGCCAGCGCCAACGCCTCGGGGCGGGGTCTGGGCAGACCCCAGCGCCTGCAGCGTCCCTATAGCTGGACTTGTGCGACCTGAGATTCTCCGCCAATGGGGTCGCGTCGAGCCTGGCTGGCCCAGCGTTCTCCGCAAACCCAAGCAGTTTGCGAAGACCCGGCGACCAGCCATGCCACGGTCGACAAAGCTCGGCGTGGCGACGGTGGGGGGCGGGCAGGATCTGCGTATTTCATATCAACAGCTGATCTGGCAAGCACGCGCGTGCCTCGCGACGAGTCCAGACTGGCTGGCTGTTGTGCGCCGTTGCGGTTGGCGCGCATGTCAAATGTATGTAAGACGAGAACAACAGAGCCGCTCGCTCAGGCTCAGGGGCGTAGGTTGCTGCACATGGCCCCCTCGACTTGGCCTTGGTATGCTCTCCTCAAAGAGGAGTTCTCAAAGAGGACGGCAAAGGGGGGTGATGCGGCGCTTTGCGACGAAACTTGCATCCGTATCGGGAAAGCGCAAGTTTGGTCAGCAGTGCAGTAGCCACCTAACTAAACGCCATGCATCCCGTCGATGCATCTCGTGGAAGTCTAGTTAATGGTCGAATCGTGAATGGCTGCCTCACTGCCTGCCCGAGGGTCGCGCTTGCCCTCTGTTGGCCCTGCGCCTGCCGGCCGGCAAAATGAACTGGAACACTATCAACTCGACGACCTCAAGTCAATTGAGCGTCATGAAACGTCGCACGCCGACAAGACATCCAATGCCCCATCACCACTGCCCTCCGACTCTGCATTTGTCAACAATTCCACCACCGCACTCATGCCACCAAGGACGCGAGACCAGTGACCTCCGCCGGTGGATACCGCTTATGGCCGCGGCCCGAACTCCCGTCGGCAACTGAGCCTCGAATTCAAAACGTTGCCCCAGCGCCTGTTCAAAAGCCGACATCACCATGGCCATGAGCGGAAGCGCCCGTCGTGACAAGCGCACTGCCAGGGCGACGAGAATGCCCCATCGCCCACTCGCCTCGGTCGCCCCATTCAAGGTTCGGCAAGCGGGCATACATGACCCGAGCAGCGAAAGCCTGTCGCGGGGGACGACACGTTTGAGCTCAACCATTCAAACTTCCAGAGTCCACAATCGGTCCTGAGTTCCCGACTGCAGCCCGACGCCACGCGTGGAGGAACTTCCACGAATGGCTGTCTTTGTCTCGCATCCGTGGAATCACGTTGCTTGGGTTTCGAAACGCCGCATGGCTGCAGTCCAACCCCCATCGTCCAACCCAGAGGGTGAAACACATGACGCCCGACATTATACCCGAACAAGTGGCAATTCCTCATTCAAACCTTGGTCCAATCGCTGCCCGACTTACCCACCGGTTCGCGAGGCGTTGGTGGACAAAAGTGACGACTTTCTCGGCGACATTGTTAGCGCAGAGCTGCACCCTGGAAGTCTCCGAGCTTTGTCGGGACTTGGGGGGCATCATTCTGTGGGTCCCACGCTTATCGTATAAGCGCCAACCTTTCCTCTCTATTTTTGATCTTTACGCTGATGTTGCGATTCCACGGAGACCTCGCGTGGTGAGAGCCGGCAGAGAGTGAGCGCGGGTTCTTTAAACCCCGAACTATTCGAGCGGAGCCGGTTGTTCTAGAAGAGCACAGCTCTCCACATTCCAAACGCCGAGCTCCTCCCGTCTTCCTTCCCTGCCCGTGGCCAGCGGCGAACAAGTTGGGCTACCCGAGACTTTCATGCACCGCACTTTTCGAGCTTCACATCAGCCAACGCCGGAAACTGCGCGACAGAGAGAGCAATAAACTGGATGTGCCACTTCATATTGAGGAAACAACACCACCCGTCTTACTGGCACTCGCCGCATCACATACTAGACTGCGCTGCAAAACAAGGTCGTGGTGAGGTCATCTCATTACGGGGCCAAGGTCTTCACATCTCCCGCTTCTGAGCTCGGATGAAGGGTCATTACCCGGCCACGTCTTCTGATTTCGACGCCGGCCTCGGAGTTTCGGTGAAACAATCCGCATGAGTCCCCACCGCAAGATTCCATCAACGGGTTCCATGAATCGGCGCAACAATTCCAAAAATACCTGACCAACTGCGGTGTTTAAAAGATGACACCCCCCGAGCTTGCTGAGAACGACAACCTTCTTACAAATATCTCAAGCAAACCCTAGAGTAGAGTGTTGTCAACGACAAGCCAGCTGATGCCTAGCAACGATTACCACCTACTACCCTACCGATGCCACGCTGCGTTAGTTGACGAAAAGCCGATATGAGGTTGCTCTGTGAGATTGGTCATATGCCCGGGTAATATGAACAGCGCGTGCGCCCGGTGTTGCAACAAAGCCGCCCATTCTCATGTGAGACCGCACTGGACGAGTCCGGAGGCTACATTCGGGAGACGACGCGATCATGGGGCCCCCACCCCCAACAGCGATTTGACATCTCCGAATTGCGCGACATGCAGATGGACTGCATGGTGCACGGAGATGAGCGGCTTAGCAACCAGACAGATATGAAGGGTCGACCCGCATATGACAAGAAGTGGTGGTCCGAGGTACACTGCTCCAGACGAGCCCGCGGTTCCTCCCTCTTGCCGCACCTCGCAATTTACCGCTCGCAGTGTTCCCCGAGAAGACAAGATACCAGGATAGACATGGACGCTGTCGCTTTGAACACCATTTTCAGGGCCTACGATGATCGCCTTGCCGAACTCGATGCGTCTGCAAGCACCAATCCATACGCGCGGGGTATTGCTTGGATCGCGGGCGAATATGTACCGCTTCATGAAGCACGAGTTCCGCTCGTCGACCAAGGGTTCCTGCATGGCTATCAAACCTATGACGCACCCGCGGTCTGGGATGGGCAATTCTTCCGCCTCGACGACCACATCGCGCGACTCGAGGCCAGCTGTGCCAGGCTTCGATTGCGACTGCCCATTTCGCGCGAAGAATTGAAGCGGTTGCTGGCCGAAATGGTGGCCAAGAGCGGCCTACGTGACGCCCTAGCCGAGATGATTGTCACGAAAGGCATCGTCGACACACGACAGCTCGCCTCGGATACTGTGATCAACAATTTGTACATGTTTGCCAAGCCGTACTCCTGGGTCATGCGACACGGCATGCAGCAAACCACGGGCGGGAGTGCAATCGTCGCTAGAACCGTACGTCGCGTGCCGCCAGGGGCCATAGACCCTACGGCCAAGAGCCTGCAGTGGGGGGATCTTGTGCGAGCCATGTTCGAGGCGCAAGACCGCGGCGCGACGTACGCCATGCTTACCGACGGGGACGGCAACCTCACCGAGGGACCCGCCTTCAACATACTGCTGGTGAATGATGGCGTCATCTACACACCCGATCGCGGCTGTCTCAAGGGCATCACTCGGGAGTGCGTTTTTGAGATTGCAAAGTATTCGGGGCTCACGGTCCGTTGTGAGGTTGTGCCCGTTGACATGGCGTACCACTGTGATGAGATTTTTCTCTCGAGCACGGCGAGCGGCATCATGCCCATCACGTCGCTTGACGGACAGGCCGTGAACGGAGGTGAGGTTGGCCCCGTGACAAAGATGGTAATGAGCGAGTACTGGGCGATGCATTACGACTCCAAGTATAGGCTCGAGGTGAAGTATACCGACTGAAGCACAGTCGGCTTGGCCACGGCCACAGTACATGTCGTCAAATAGCAGAGCTCCCGCGTGCGGAATGCAGTTTCTAAATAAACAAATATACTTTGTACTGTAGCGTCAAGCCCACAAAGAATGGTCAATAAAACGTGGCGCCGGAGCCACGGGTAGCTTGGAGCTCAGCTGGGGCGCGGCAGCCAACGATGCTCACGATGCCCCATCGGGTGGGGTGGGCAAGTGACGAGAATCGTCCCACGTACCCCAACTTTCCCCATCATTCATCCGGGGACAGACTAACGGTCGTTGGTCGCCACTAGGAACCTAGTCGCCATCCAGCATTGTTTCCGTGCTCGTCGTTGGTGCGGCCCGGCGTCGACTCCGAAGGCCACACAGAGGGGAGGGTCACTCCCTCCGCCCCGGCCAAGAGACGTTCCATTACCTCACCCGACAAAAACGGCAGAGGTGGTGCGGCTGCTGGTTCGTGCCTCACGGATACCTGATTGAATGCCTGAGACGTCGTCGTCGAACCGTTGGCCTGTTGCCAGACTACTACGACCGCTAGGGGTGCGAATCCCAATCTCATCTCGTCTCCATCGCATCGGCCGCTGCAGCACTTGCTCATGTCGTCCTCGGGCGAGCCCTCTCCGCCTGACCGGCGGCTGTCCACCCAGTCTGCCGGCGGTGTCGCTGGTCCCGCGACGTCCGCCGAGGCCGGCAAGAAGAAGAAGCGCATCAGGAACTGGACGGCCGACGACCGCGCCGTCCACCGCGTCTTTGAGCGCTCCCGGCGCGAGGCTTTCAAGGAGCGGCTGCAGGTGAGTCGTCGACGCATTCCCCTTTTCGGTTGAAGAGAGGTACGGTTGAGATCTCGCCCTCGCGTGCTGACGGCCCGACTGCAGACACTCGCGTCCCTCGTCCCGTCCTTACAATCGGTGGACCCCAACCGCCTCTCCAAGCATGTCGTCGTGGACGAAAGCATCACCTTCATCAAAGCCGAGCAGCAGACGGCCGCGCACTCGCTCCGCACCGTCGACGCCCTGCTGGCGGAGCGCGAGGGCCTCCTCGCCGAGCTCAACCGCTGGCGGGCCAGCGCCGGGCTCGACGTCCGGCTGCCGCAGGACCTGCCCGCCGATGTCCCTACGCAGAGCCCCGTGATCCGGCAGGGAAGCATGCATCCCGTCGGAGCGGACCCCCGCGTGGACTGGGTCGGCGGCCACCACGACCTGCTGCCCGCCGGCGACGAGCCCGCTCTCATGGAGGAGCCCGAGCCGTTCGGCGCCCCCGAGCTGGAGCTCGACAACTCGCTCGACCTGATGCAGCTGCCGGTGGGTTCGGGCTCGTCTGCGGGGCCCATGGGCGGCGCGTCCTGGAGCCCCTCGGCGACCGACTTTGCCATGCCCGGCCTCCAGACCGACTTTGGCGACCTCTTCTCGACCAAGAGCCTACCCCAACAGACCATCGCGCAGACGTACGGGCTGCCCCTCACGGATATGGAGCTAGCGCAGGAAGGGTCCTGTGATCGGGTTGGCAACTTGGACGTTGCCGATCCGCTCGCCTTTGGCGGCGACCACGCACACATCTACAGCGGCTCAATATGAGGGCCTTATATCATCAACACGGACAAAGTCTCAACGCATCGCAATGCCATATCATTCCCAAGACCTTGTTCTATCAACCGCTACATCAAATCCCCCAAGGCTATTGAGAATCTACAGGGCAGCCAGGGCCTTCTCGACTTTGTCCTTGCTGCGGTTCTCGCCGCGGGTGAACAGCTCCAACGCAATGGCCAGGCGCTCTTTAGAGATGGGGTCGGCCTCGATCGCCTTGGTCAGCTCCGCGCCTCCGTTGGCGAGATAGTCAATGTCCGTGCTCGCCAGCTTTCCATCCCACGCGGCGGCCGCCAGGGGATCGATCTGGGCCAGCTTTCGGAGGCGCTCCGGCGTCGGGCCCGCGTCGCGATAGACGTGCACTGGCTTGGGCACACCCTCCCCGGGTTGCTTGCTGCCGTCATACTTGAGCTTGGCGAGCTCGTTGAGCACCGTGTGCGAAATGGTGGCCGAGTGGCAGCCGAGCTCGCCCGCCGCCATGGCCTCCTTGGCGGAGATGAAGCTCGCGTTCTTGAGCAGCGGCTGCTCCCGCCCCGTCTCCTTGTACAATCGGCGGTACGTCTCGAGGATCTGGAAGACGCGGGCGCTCATGGGGTGTTGCGTCGCGGGGTCTTCGACATTGGGCCACAGCGAGAGGTCGTCGTGTGCACGGGTCTCTGCAAACACAAGCAGGTCAGTCTTCCCTTTGTCCCTTCATCGGCTACAACTTATGGTGTGACTAACCGTTAAAGTAGGGGCTGATGTACAGCATGCCTGCCTGGCTACACGCAATTGCCTGCGGGAGGCTGAACAGGGCTGTCCCCAGCGTCGGGATGCCCTCGGCACTCAGGACCTTGGCCGCGTTGAGGGCCGCGCCGGTCGACGGGATCTTGATGCAGTAACGGTCACGGCCGATGCCCGCACGCGCAAACTCGGCGTCATAGAGACGTGCGTGGTCGAGCGTCGCCTGGGTGTCGTACGCCTTGGAGGGGAGCGTCTGGAGCAGGACACGGCCCTGGATCAGGTCGATATTCTTCTTGCACATGAGGACGGCCTATTCTCGTCAGCGGACTGTCGCGTTTCCACTTGTCGATTTCCTTTGGAGGGCGAGGGCGCGCACCATGCGGGTATAGATGGCGAGCCAGCCCTTGTCCTTGAGCTCGCGGGCCGTCTGGGCCAGGAGGTCGGCGTTGGAGGGGCTGCCGAGCTCAATGTCGACCCAGAGCTGGTTGCTGGTCTGGTCGTGGGGCTTTATGGGCATGTTCTTGATGTACTCGGGGTCCATCCAGTCCACGTCGACGTTGACTGAAGGGCTGTCAGCGCGAGCTCGCAAGGCGGCGTACAGCGGGACTGACGCTGCTCCTCGAGCTTCTCGAGCCATGTCTGGGCGTCTTTGCTGCCCATCTTGACTGTATCGTATTTCCTCGCTTTCGACTCCGTTTTGAATATACTTTCGGTTGTACGGCGAAACTAGCGGCCTCGCAGGTGGACGTAAGAGGTTGAAAACGGGCTTGCTGGATGAAGAGGCTCGATATCGCAAACAAGCTCGGAGCTGGGCAGTCTTATACCCATACAGGCCGGAGCAGACACACACGCAGCGCTGTGCCTCGATGGGCCCGTTCGGACGATGGAACCCTCTCCAGAGCCGCCGGCGCCTTAGGCTGATATCCACCTCGCCCGGCTGCGATTGCGCATACGCGGGCTCTCCTCCTTTCGGCGTCGGAGTGGCACGCAGGGAAAGCCGACGGCCAACTGTCAACCTGCACGCATAAGGAACATCGTAGCGGCGCCTCGAGCTCCCCGGCCGTGAAGTACCCCGCAAGTACATCGTGCAGTCTTCCACGCAGCTCCTGCGCAGGCCTGTCGACGCCCGTCTGTCACGTGTGCCGCATGCCTCAGGTACGAAGTACCGACCTAGGCAGCTACACCGTTTCCGCACATCCCGCTCCGCCTCCACGATTCATCTTCCCGGGGCGCCTGCACAGGTCTCGCCGCCAGCCTGCGCAGGCCCTCATGCCCTGTACCGGTCCTGTACAGGTCGTTGGGCAAGACACACGCAGGGCGACCCTCACGAGGTGTAAGCCAGTGGGGACGCCCCGACCACGCAGCCACCGATCCCGGCGTCTTCTCCAACTCGCGGAGCCAATGGACCGCCCGGTCTGTCGTTGACACACGCAGGGCACCTGCGCACCCCGCATCCCGAGATGGGGATCTGTACAGGGCACGGCAGGGCACGACTCGCCAACCGCTCCAAAGCCGGAGCAGCGTCCGCCGAAAACGAAGCCACCCCAAGCCTGCGGGGGGCGGTTGTCGACCGCGGCCGGCATGCCACGCCACCAATAGCGCCTCGAGGCTGGCGACGGCCCGTGGCCGGTTGAACGGCTCAATGGCGACCTGGAGACGGGCCCCTAACACCACCCAGTGATGAGTGCTGGTATTTCTGCTACTGCTCGACGGCGCCTGAACGGGCTGTCCTACTTGGCAGTTCTCGACTGCTGTGCCGGCTTTCACCCCGACGACGTTCGCGACCGGGCCGGCAGACAAGCTTCTGGTAGGTCTGAATCCGGGGGAGCCATGACCACCACCCACTGTGGATGAGTGAGTGAGAGTGGGACCTGCCAACCACCCCATGGGGGAGGGTCGCACTAGGAGCAACAGACAAAGTGCTAGCAGCGATCACCAACGACGCGTCTAGGCTGTGGCGTTTCTAGATGCCGTTGGAGCGGCCGTTGTACGGACTCGGAGCCATCTATATAACACGAATGCCGATCCCTTGGCTTCACGACAATTCCCAAGTCTCGCGCTTCATCATTCGATGCGATCGGATAGAGCATTGCTTATAGATTGCTCACTTTCTACATTGTCACAACACCTGCGTTCGCCAGCGAGACTGCCACCACCGCCATCATGGACCGGACCGGCGATGTCCACGCTGCTCAAGACGTCAAGGACGAGGTCTTGAGCCACGTCGAAGACACGGGCAACGACTATGCCCGCAACGTCAATGCCAAGTAAGTCTCAATCTACTCATCAACCGTTCAATGAGCGGTACTTACAGGCCGCCAGGATTTGGAACCCGCTCATGGGCATCTCCAAGGACAACTTGAGGTCCCAAGTCAATGCATTCTGCGGCGAATATGGCTTCACCGACAAGCAGGATATCTTTTTCCGCGGCGCCTTGGCTGCGCAAAACCCGCACCCAGACACAATCGCCTCCATTCCAGAGTTCACCGATGATGACCGCTACTGGCTGCAGCGCGAGATCACGCACCGGTGGCACCTGCCTAGGGCACTCTACTTCACCGTCGCCCTCTGCTCCTTGGGCTCGGCCATCCAGGGCTGGGACAACACGGGAGCCAACGGCGCCAATCTCTCGTTCCCGCAAGAGTTTGGCATCGAGCATAACGGCTGGCTGATTGGCGTCATCAATTCGGGTCCTACCCTCTTCGGTCTTTTGAGCGCGTGGGCCGCCGATCCCGTAAACAACCTCCTCGGCCGCCGCGGCACCGTCTTTGTTACGGGTCTCTTCTGCATCTTCCCCGTCCTCGCCCAAGCCTTCACCCAGAACTGGCAAGGCCTTCTCATCTGCCGCCTATTCATGGGATTAGGGATGGGCATCAAAATTTCGACCATACCCGTGTTCTCGGCCGAGGTGGCCCCTGCGAGCATTCGTGGGGGCCTCGTGACAAGCTTCCAAATGTGGGTGTCGTTCGGGATGTTTGTTGGCTATTGCTTCAACCTGGCGTTCTTCCGCGTTGGCCGCTTGGCCTGGCGCTTCCAGCTGGCTGCTGCCTTTGCTCCGGCTATCCCTGTCTGCATCTTTGTCTGGTTCTGCCCAGGTAAGCTCACATGGTCCTCTCGTGAAAATGGTGACTGACATGATGCCAGAGTCTCCACGCTGGCTCATGAAGAAGGGCCGGTACCCTGAGTCGTTTAAAGCCTTCTGCCGCCTGCGCAACACCGAGATGCAAGCGGCCAGAGACTTGTATTACGCCCACTGCCAAGTCATGGAGGAGCGCGACGCCTTTGCCGGCGTGAGCTTCTTTCACCGTGCGTGGGAGCTCTTTACGGTCCCTCGCCTGCGCCGTGCTGTCGTCGCCAGCTCCTGGATTGTCATCAGCCAGCAGTTCTCTGGTATCAACATGTAAATCATCTCTGAGCTCCTAGCGCTGTATTCTATGACTGACAAATCGTTACAGCATGGCTTTTTATAGCTCCACAATCTTCGCAGAGGCTGGCTACTCGACGCTCAACTGCCTGCTCGCCTCCATGGGCTTCGGCATCGTGCTCTTCGTCTTTGCTTTCCCGGCCGTCTACACTATGGATACGTTTGGTCGCCGCAATTTGCTACTTGTCACGTTCCCGAACATGGCATGGTGTCTTCTGGCGGCCGGACTCTGCTTCCTCATGCCGGAGAGCTCGGGGGCACGAATTCCCTTGATTGCCTTTTTCATCTATCTCTTCACTGCATTCTACGGCCCGGGTAAGTTTGTCCCGTCAGTGGTCATATGGGGCTATTGCTGACATCTTCAGGAATTGGACCGCTGCCTTCCATCTATTTCTCTGAAGCCTTCCCCCTGTCTCACCGAGAACTTGGCGCCGGTTTCACTATTTGCGTCAACAATGCTGTCGGCAGCGCCCTCGGCCTCACATTCCCATCGCTCCTTGCCAATCTGGGTGCGACTGGTGCCTTTGGCCTCTACGCTGGCCTGAACATGTTGGCCTTTTTCGTCATCTTCTTCATTATCCCCGAGACCATGTAAGTTGAATCTTCATATGGCTAATGCCTACAATGATACTGACCGGGTTAGGAAACGCACACTCGAAGAGCTCGACTACATCTTTGGCGTACCTACGAGGCGGCACATTTCTTACCAGGTGGGCACTTGGCTGCCGTGGTTCATTAAGCGATACGTTTTCTTCCAGCACGGCGCCAAGCTGGAGCCGCTGTACAAGCTCGACGGCTCGGGCGCGCAGTAGAGCAAGGATTGTCTTCTTGATGGCCATGCTTTGTCGAGATCGACGTACTATTGCGGCGATCAGTGGCTGAGCCCCGATCCAAACGTGCGTATGCCGGGGTTGCTTGTGGTGAAAGGAGCGTCGCATGATGATTTAATGGAGTAATATTAGTTTGTACATGAGCGAGTCGAGAGATCTCAAGCCCTACTTTACAAGACAATATGCCGGCTTCTACGCTGCTCTTTTGGTGCTACTCCAAGTCTTCGCTGAGCTCTTCAAACCCGTAGTCTTTCACAGGCACGGCGTGAGCCGGTGGACCTACGAACCGTACGAGCAGCGAGATCAACCCGGACCGGTAGAGCACGAACATGATGGCGTTGAGCACCCACACGCCCCACGCTGTCTCTGGATGCAGGATATGCGGCATCCCCGGCACGAGCTTCTGCGCGCGGGCAACTGTCGGGCGCATGGCGGCCTCGTACGCGGCGAATGCTGCCGCCGGGTCGTTTGGGTGATGCAGCAGCGCTCCTGCGAGGTTGTACGCGCCGCTGAGGGCGAGGGTCGTGCCCATGCCGGAGATGGGCGATGCGCAGTACCTTGAGGAGGTTTAGCCTCTTCGTCCATAAACACCAATGCCTTTGCAAAGAAAGGGGTCAACGTAGGGGGGGAGACTCACCCAGCGTCCCCCACGAGGACGACTCGACCCTTGCTCCACGTCTCCATCTTGACCTGCGCAACCGCGTCGTAGTAAAAGTCGTCGGTGGCCATCATCTCCCTGATCACCCTCCCGCTCTCCCAGCCCACATCCTCAAAGTGCTCCCTCATAAGCTCCTTCTGCACCTGCACGCCCCCTCGTCCACTTGTCGCAGCGGCATCCAGCCTCGCGTCGTCGCTCACCACCGCCATGAAGACCGTCGTCCGCTCGCCCGTCCCGTCCGGCCGCAGCATGATCCCCCGGCGCCCGGGAGCGTGGAACCACCGCCGCCAGGCCGAGTCCGTGGCCGTCACGCGCGGCATGCTGAAGAACCCCCCGTACATGCCCAGGCGCCTCACCCGCTCACCTTCCCCCTCCGCGCCCCAAGCCATCCGCCGCGTGCGCGACTGCAACCCGTCCGCACCAACAACCACATCAAACGCGCGCCTCACACCACTCTTCGCAAACCGCACCTGCACCGTATCGCCAAGCTGCTCCAACTCATCCAGCTGCTCCCCAAAGACGAACTCGATCCCCGCGCCCCCCTCCCTTTTCACGCGCTCGCTCACCTGCTCGCTCCGCCGCCAGCACAGCTGCGCGAGCCGGCCCCGTAGGATCTCGATGTCCGCCGTGGGCGTGGACACCTCGCCGCTGCGGTCGGCGGGGAAGGCGGCCCAGACGCGGTTGCCGGCGTCGACGAACTGCACGCCCTCCTCGCCGGTGGTGGCGGCGCGGACGGCGGGAAGGAGGCCGAGCTTGCGCAGGATGGTGACGCCGGCGCCGCGGACGTCGACGTTTTGGCCGTGCGGGCGGAGGGCGGGCGCGCGCTCGAGGATGGTGATGTGTGGTTTCTGGGGGGCCGGGAGGGGGGAGAGGAGGAGGAGGGTGGCGAGTGTTGGGCCGGCGATGCTGCACCCGACGATGAGGATGTTTAGGGGTGGTGAGTCGGCGGCCATGTTTGTTGCCTGGGTGTCGAAGGGACTGGCGAACAGTGATGAGTTTGGTTACGGCGTTGTTATGGCAGGCTCATGAGCAAAGCTGGAAGTAAGGTCGTCAACCTGAATGCCTGGTATATATGAGGTAAGTCGGGAGTCAGCCGATGAGGGACTTCTATGAGTATTGTCCACGGGGTCATTGTCAACGTGAGTCACAACAGCTATCGAAACGACACACCCGTTTGCTTTTCAGGAAGTTCAGGTGCCTGGCATGCAGCTTACGCGCTGCCCAAATCGGGTCATCCTTCAACTGGCTCGCGTCTCGCGCAGGGGCAGCTCGGCCGCAGCCGAATACGTCATGGATTGCGCGGGCACGGGTAACTCGGCCAGCTAAACGGACATTTCAAAATTGAGAACGGGATTCGGGACCGACGATGGTGTTGCACATTGGAATATCTCAATCGCGCACATACAACAACTAGGCGCCACAATTGACCGTTGTCGGGGACTCGGCTCGCAAGTCGCGACTCTCAGCTCAAGACGAGTACCGCCTGGCATTCAAGTAGCTTGGACGAAATCGGCTGTCCGAAGCCAGTTGAAGCCAATTACTTTTGGGACCAGATGCCAATCACGTTGCCCTCCGTGTCCGTGAAGCGCGCATAGAAGCCCATGTCGTTCGGGATCTCCGTCTTGGGGCTGCACTCTTCGTTAGCCAGCCATCCCTGTACCAAGGAGCGCTTGCATCAATGCGCGCCATCACACGCAGCCAAACCGAGCACGCACTCCTAAACCAGACCGGTCAAACTCACCATTGCATCTTGCCACCATGGCTCTTGACCTTCTCCAGGGTCGCATTGCACTCGTCGACGCAAAACGTCGCCAGCGGCGGCAGCACCTCCTTGTCCAGCTTGCCGTACTTGGTGGCCTGGTAGCCCTCCTCCAGGAGGTTGAGCGCGCCGTTCAGCGCCTTGCCCTGGCTGCTGAACATGTGGAACGAGACGATGCCGTCCCTGCCCGCCGGCATGGCGTCGGCGTGAAACTCCCAGCCGAAGACGTCGGCGAAGAGCTTCTGCGCGCGCGCGGCGTCGTGCACGGGGATCTCGAGCCAGCAGATCTCGCCGAGCTTGTTGGGGCACTGGAGGATTTGCGGGTGTCATGTCAGCGTTGGGGGTGTTTATTCGAGGGGCACGATGGTGGTTGACTATCAATACCTCGCTGGTCTCTGCCATTGTGTCGTGTAAAAATGGACGTGCCTAATAGCTGTGTTGATAATCTGAATTGCTGAAGCGGGCCTCAATTGTCTGAGCTTCTCGAATGTCTCTGATTCACAAAAAGGTCTTGTCCCTCAGGTCGCGAGTCCGCGACTTCTTATACTTTTCTGCGCGCATATCCGACAACCGTCCGCCACGACAATATTGTGCCTTTTCGTCCAGCACGGCTGTTTCAACCCTCGTCCGGGCGCCGTCGTCTGCCTGGGAGTGGCTGCCGCCACATGTCCAGCTCGCGGTCGGGACTGGTGCGGATTGGCGCCGACAGCCGCAGGCCGTTGACGGGGTTCGCAAGGCGGCTTGCACGGCCGACGCCTCAATTGTGAATTCCCGCGCGGGGCAGCTGAGCTCCCGATCACGAACAATACGGCCTGTCGGTGAACGGGGGACGTTGCAAGGGCATGGGCCGTCGGCCATCACGGCACAACGAGCTTTGAATAGTAATCATAGCCAGGGATGATCGCTTTCACGGTCCATGATGCCATACTGCATCCAAGCCGGCACAGAGTATTTGAGCTCTGCGCCGCGGAAGCCGTGAGTCCATGCGCACCGGGACATTCATTGTGTCCTGCCAGCCACAGAAAAGTAACGTGCATGTCCCGACGTAGCTACGAGGTAATTCGCCCAACCTTGAGCGCTTAGCCGGGTGACGGCCAAATGCCCCTTGTTGTACCGCTCGTCTTGTTGCGTCTGTAGGCTGAGCATTGCATCGATCTCTTGGCAGGGGGGACCCAGTCCTTGGTGTGAGTCGTCTCATGTGGACAGGGTCTGGCAGATACCAAGAGCATGATTTACCAGCCATGCAGGCTCCGGACTACACATTCTACTTTTGCTGAGATGCCATGGCTTTTAATATGCTTCATCAGAACTCCGTCAACGTACAGTACTGCAGGACATAGAATACAGTACGCTGCTGTTTCGATGGCTGCTTGCTTCGACACCGACTGGACGCACTTCTCCGAATGAACTTCCATGTCGTGCTTCGTAATAAATTTCATGCTTCGAATACGTGTATGGGTTCTCCTTCACTCCCTACAGCAAATATGACGCCTTGAATACCTTTTGTGGTCCATTGAGTTGAGTCATGAATTTCATGCTCCGATATGAATTCATAGATTTGGCTTTCCCTCCCTCCCCTCGGCTAGTGTGACGGGTTGAGTATTTTTTGGGCAGTCCGTCGAGTCAAGTCCGGTCAAGGCCGCGCCAAATTCGCGGACCGATTTATGCGTGACCATGTCATGTTATGCGACGCGTCTTATCACTTTGGACTGGAGTCGTACTATCCGTAAATCACTATTTAACGTCGTCAACGTACCCACGACTAAACTAACTGACCATCTTGTTTGTCACCTCTTCTCACCTTGTCAGCCCTTTGGTTACAACTTTTATCGATTATCACAACACGATGAAAGGGGCCATTGTCTTCGCCTGGGCTGTCACGCCTTTCGTCCACGCGCTCGCGCCAGACGTCAAGGGTCGAGCGAACGGTGATATCGCCAATCCTGGGCCGACGAAGCAGGGCGTTGTCGACCAACCGCCCAACTCCATCGCTCAGCCCCCCAAACCTTCGCCAACCTCGGAGACCAGACGAGCTGTGCTGTTGCCATGGACAGAAACGCCTTCTCGGGATAAGATCAGGACAAATGGATGCTTACAAATGGCCACGGAGGATCGTTGCGGCACAGACATCTACTGCACCAGTTACCTTCCCGAAGTGGGGGCGAAAACTGACGGGAAATACTCGAGCAGAAAGGAGTGCCTGGACGCCCATGAACCAAACCCTCACGAGCCCACGCCCCCCGTTCAGCCAGACACGCCTAAGCCCCCCGGAAAAGCTACGCTGCTGCCATGGATAGAGATGCCGACTGGGGGTAAACTCAAGACCAATGGATGCTTCGACGTAGCCACGAACGAACTTTGTGGCACATGGCTCTACTGCGTCACTTACCTTCCCGAAATGAGGGGGAAGAGGAAAAATGACGGGAAATACAAGAGCGAAAAGGAGTGCCTGGACGCCCATGAACCAAACCCTCACGAGCCCAAGCCCCCCGTTCAGCCAGACACGCCTAAGCCCCCCGGACAAGCTACGCCATTGCCATGGATAGATCAACCTACTAGGGACGAGGTCAAGGCAAGTGGATGTTTCGAAATAGCCACGGACGAGCGTTGCGGCACAGAGCTATACTGCAACACTTACGATCCTAAAATAGGCGGGAAAAACGACGGGAAATACTCGAGCACAAAGGAGTGCCTAGACGCCCATGAACTAAACCCTCACGACCCCAAGCCCTCCGCTCAACCAGCTCCTCCTACGCCTAAGCCCCCCGTTCAGCCAGAACCTCACATGCCTAAGCCTTCCGGACAAGCTGCGCTATTGCCATGGATAGATCAACCTACCAGGGACGAGGTCAAGGCAAGTGGATGCTTCGAAATGGCTACGGACGAGCGTTGTGGCACAGAGCTATACTGCAACACTTACGATCCTAAAATAGGCGGGAAAAACGACGGGAAATACTCGAGCACAAAGGAGTGCCTGGACGCCCATAAACCAGAACCTCGAAAGCCCAATTGAGCGGTCCACTAGATTAGCCGTGCTCTACTTGAAATACTAAGGTATATTAGCGCCAACGTTATGGAATGAAGTGCCATCGATCGTGACGGCGAAAAAACATGTCAAGAAAACAGGCACGGGACCAGCCGAGGCAATGAGTTCAGTCACTCGGGAGTCTTGGGCTTCAGCTACAGGCCATGTTGGACATCGCGCTGTATGTGCGCCCACCACCTGTTCCGGTAGACTTGAGCTGGTACATGCGATTAATCGACGTCTTCACTAGCCTTGCAGAATTGGGCAAACGATATTGAAATGGATGGGGAAAGTGCCATGTCAGACGTTGATCAGAATGCACCAGGCTCCAACGTGCTCGCTGAAAGACTCCGGGAATCCATTATAGATATGATGGAGATTCTAAAGCTTCTTTCTCTGGGCCTAAAGTGAGTGAGACCCTATTTCCTTTCCAATTTCTGAAGCGGCCTCTCAGCGTTGCAGACGTGTCTGACAAGAGGATAGCTGACAACGTGACTGCACGTGTCCAGAAAGGGAATCAACAACGAGCAACTAGACGAGCTCGAATCGACAGCTGATCGTCTCAAAAACTTTGTCAAATCCGGGAGAACCTTCTTAGAGGCCAGGAAGAACACCGGCAACGTAAACGCGGCATGACAGCGGTGGCAGACGATTTCGACAAGACCGCACATGCTGGTTCAGCCGAGGAAGGGATACCGGCCGATCATCAGGAAGCAGAGGCAATGATTCCCGGCAGCGCGCGGCCGGAACAACAGCGTACACGTCTTGGAGTCACTCGATAGCATCTCCCTCAGATTGACCGATGCTTGAGCTGGGAAATGCAAGTTTATGTGAGGTCTTGTTCAGCGATGTCGCATTCCCAGAACAGCCACGGCCAGGGTGCACATGAGGAGGGTCCTCTTTCCACACGGGTTTCAATTGGGGCTAAGCGGCTGAAGCGACAAGCTGTGGCAGGTTCGAGACTCCATGTCGACTGGCGCCTGTCAGCTCGCGTTGGTCGTATTCCAGGGCCTCGCGAGAACCAGGCTTGGCGAAACAGCAGCCACAATGGCCACGAGATACACTGCGCGGTCTTTCGTCACCGAGAAGGGGCGCATGCTTTTTGGAGTTGATATATATACGTCGAATGAGAGGAGCGGTAATTGCACGAGGCGATGTCGACACAGATACAATTCGACTGCAACGATTGACCCTCAAGGCAATTCGGCGCAAAGCAGCAGAGTGTTTAAACACTCGTACCAGTAATGGCCAGCCCAGTCCCGCGGCGATTCACCATCGACAGGCCGCGGTCGTTGTTGGAGTACTACTACGGCGTCTCGCCAGAGGGCAGCGAGGACCAGCGGCTGTACGTGCGCAGGAGGGCCGCCTCGCGGACAAACCCCGACTTGGTCCTGTACGACGGGCCCAACGACCAATTCCCCGTCCGGGCCGTCTCACACATCCTCACCATGTCGCCCAGGTTCAAGCTCGGCCTCGGAGATCCGGCGGACGAAAACGCCGTGGTGTGGGAGGACATGACCCGGCCCCTCGGGCTGGCGAATAACTTTTCGTGGTCCATGCTGCTTCATGCTCCCGATAACGGGAGCGGGCGGGCCGAGAGGCGATCGTTTGTGTGGAAGAGAACGCGCCATGTCACGGCGGACGGGATGGCCAAGTCGGCGCTCAGCAGCCGCAATTGGAAGCTGCTGGAGGGGCGGGCGGGCGCGGACCGAGACGGGACGGTGCTGGCCGTCTTTACGGGCGTTATCAAGAGGGGTCTGTGTGGGACGCTGCAGGTCAACGTCGACTACGGGGCCGAGTTTGATACGATGGTGTTTATTACGTGCTTGAGCCTGTACGAGCGGGCGCGGAGGGACTGAGCAGGGGAAGAAGGTTGCATAGGTGTCTCTCTCCAGCGCTTCGGGCGGTAGTTGATTAATGGTTTTTGTCTGAATAATGTGATGCCGCAGGATAAGCACCGTTGGAAGGCGGAAAACTGCCCAATTCGTCGCGAACCGAAGCTGACGGCAGCCAAGAGCACTACAACATCTGCCTGTAATCCGGCACCACAGAAGGGCGGCCAAGAGACGACCGTCCCGGAGCCGCGGGTAATATCTCGCAGCAGCGGCGGCGGCGGTGGACCGTGGGCCAGGCCAGATGGACTGGACTGGACTTGTTGGACCCCTGCCCCGACTTGCCGTGTCCCACCCAAAAATGTCGGCCCAACGGGCTCACCAGCTCGGGCTTGCACTCGACAAACTCGCAAAAAGGGTCCATGAGAAGCGGCCTCATCCAGTCTCCAGTGTGACGGCCCGGTCGTCAGTCCTCTCACTCACTCACTCACTCATTCACTCGATCGATCGCTCGCAGAAATGGACGGGCAGCGCAGCAGACTCCCCCACCCTCCGGCCCAGCAGCAGACCGCCGAGACGGCGGAGCAGCAGCGGCTGGGCAGGCCCGACACCAAGCCCGTCGACCTGGCCGTATCAAGGCGAAACTTGCACCGCGACTTGATCCGGAAGCAAATCATCCAGTCGGGGATCGTCATTGCCCCGGCCTTGGGCGCCGCCTTGACGCTGGTTCATCAGTACATGAAGCAGACGGCGGGTGTCGACGACGACGACCACGACGATGACCCGGTGGCCAGGCGGTTGTTTGTGGACCGGGCGACTGGAGCCAAGCACGTCGGCGGGGACGGGGAGGAGGATGGCGGTGAAGAGGAGGAGGAGGAGGAGGAGGGGGGAGAAGAAGAGGAGGATTATGACGATGAAGACGACTACGACGATGAAGACGAGGAAGAGGACGACCTGGACGACGACCACCGAGACGACCAGCCTGATGAAGCCGCCGCCGCAGCGGATTCGGGCAAAAGCCACAGGCCCGCCCCGACGCCGCTCAGCCAATCCGCCAACGCGCCCGCTGGCCCTCGACGGACCCCGCTGTCCCTGCCCGAGACGGTGGCGCTGTGGCGGACGCTGCGCTCGCAGTCGCGGTCGCTGGCGGAGCAGCAGCGGCTGCTACAGCAGCACCAACAGCAGCGCCAGCAGCACCAGCTGGACCAGCACCGGAACGGGCAGCACCAGAACCACCCACAGCACCATAACGGGCAGCAGCAGCACCTCCAGCGGCCCCGCGCAGAGCTTCCCCCCCGCCAATCAAACGCGCCAGCACGTGTCCCCGTCCCCCAAGCTCAGCAACCTCAGCCTCAAGCTCCCGTCGCCGCTCCTCGCGTCATCCCATTGAGCTCCTCCCACCTTACATCACATCAATCCATCCTCAAGCGCAAGGCCCCGACCACCCACGAATCCATCGCAAAGTGGCTCAAGACGGTTGAGTCCGCCCGCGTACCTTCGCAGCCTCCCCCCAACTGACCCCGATCAATCCCTCCCTCGTGTCGCATTTTCCTTTTCGCATCAGCCCACCGCGCGCGTGCTCGCGGACCCATCACCACCACCACCACCACCCTTTGTCCGCCATGTCTGAGCCCACAGCCGAGCAGTCGCACCCGGCTGAGGCTGCGGCCCCCGAGGCTGCACCCGCGCCCGTCGAGGACGTCAAGCCTGCCGACAATGTCGAGGCCGCCGCCGCCGCCGCCATCCCGGCCGAGGTCGCGGAGCTCAAGGCCGCCGCCGAGGAGGAGGATGTCGCCACGCCCATCTCTCGCGACGAGGACCCCAAGTCTAGGAGAGTCTCCCTCGCCGACCTGAGCGCAAGGGGCACCACGCTGTATGCCCACAAGAACTACGACGACGCCGCCGAGATCTTCTCCAAGGCCAGCGCCATGCAGGCCGAGCTCAACGGCGAGACGGCCCCCGAGAACGCCGAGATCCTCTTCCACTACGGCCGAAGCGTCTTCAAGGTTGGCCAGAGCAAGAGCGACGTGCTCGGCGGCCCTGCTGCCGCCGACAAGAAGGCCAAGCCCGCCAACAATGGCGGCGCATCCAAGAACCCTGCCAAGACGGACGAGCAGAAGGCGGCGCAAGAAGGTGGCGCCGCTGCAGCCTCGTCTGCCTCCGAGAACAAGGACGAGGGCTCTGCTGATGCAAAGAAACCGTTGTTCCAATTCACCGGCGACGAAAACTTTGACGACTCTGATGACGAAGAGGTGAGACCCTTCACCTCTTTCGTCGCCGTTTCGAGCTAACCCGGACCAAAGGCCCCCCAGGAGGAGGAGCAGGAAGAGGAAGAAGACGACCTTGCCACCGCCTTTGAGATTCTCGACCTCGCCCGCGTCTGCTACCTCAAGCAACTGGACCAGCTCCGCCAGGTGGAGGAGGCGGAAGGCAAGGGCAAGGAGGTCGCCCAAGACTCCCCTGCCGTCCGACACATCAAGGAGCGCCTGGCCGACACCCATGACTGCCTTGCCGAAATCTCCCTTGAGAACGAGCGATACCCCGCCGCCATAGAAGACGGCCGTATCTCGCTCAACTACAAGATGGAGCTGTACCCGGAGGAGTCTGAAATCATCGCCGAGGCACACTACAAGCTGTCACTTGCCCTCGAGTTTGCGTCCGTCACCACGTCCGGCGACGACGGCAAGAACGAAAAGCGAGAGGCCATGGACCAGGACCTCCGCGACGAGGCTGTCAAGGAGATGGAGCTCGCCATCAAGAGCTTCAAGCTCAAGATCCAAGCCACCGAGGTCGAGCTCGCGACCAGCTCGTCGCCCGAGGACAACGAACTCACCCGCAAGGCCATTGCCGGGATGAGGGAGGTGGCCGCCGACATGGAGCAGCGGGTGCGTGCCCTGCCCCCGATGCCGTTTGAGATTCTTTCTGACTCGTTATTATAGCTCGTCGACCTGCGCAAGGACCCCGTCGACGCCAGCGACCTGCTCGGCGGCGATGCCGCGGCCAATGCCCTGGGCGGCATCCTCGGCGCCGTCGCCGGCGAATCCGAGGCCGACAAGCAGGCCCGCGTCGAGCAGGCCGCCAAGAACGCCACGGATCTCAGCGGCCTCGTCCGCAAGAAGAAGGCCAAGGAGCCCGAGGCCGCGCCCGAGGTCCCCGCCGCGGCGCCCGCCACGTCCACCAACGGCAAGAGGAAAGCCGAGGACGAGCCCCTGCCCGAGGGCGGCGAGTCCCCTAAGAAGGCCAAGGTCGACGACGGCGAGGCCGCCGAGGCCTGAGCTGCCCCAACTACGTCTGTCCTTCGCCCCGCCCCGTTAGATCAACTTCGCGGGAAGAGAGACAGGCCGGGATGGGAATGCGTTTGGATCTAGGCTGGGGAAAACGTCCTTTTGGGCTCTTGGGCTCTGGAGTTGCGGCGTCTGTGCGGCATCTGGCAGATGGGATCGGTCTGGGCTGAGTCGGCGGGTAACGAGAAGATTGGGATCGCTGACTTTTTGGGCTCCCGTTTGGGGGACGGATGGTATGGATAGGATGGAATGGATGGATGGCCGGCATGGCCGTTCGTGTTGATTGCATGTACCACAAACCAACCACTTGTATACCTAGGTAGTTGTGCGCACTCATTTACGGGATCAGGTCACTTTCAAATGTTCTCATCGCGTGACTGCAGTTCAAAGAGGTCGATTTCGGACCCAAAGCTTGGTCTACTTGTAGCGAAAGCAAAATGAGAAGTCGAGGTACATGTAGCGCGACAGCAAAGGAAGCAGCCCTCCCCAACGCCAGATACAATGCATGCAATGCGTATCCCACCCACACCCACACCCGCTTTAGAGCTTGTAGCTCCCGCTCGACAGCGCCTTGGCGGCCTTGGCCTTGTTGCCGTCCACGTCGGTGATTTCGCCCTTGCGGTTGATGACCTTGACGCCGCCCTTTTTGAGCTCGGCGACGGTCTCGCGCTGCATCTGGGCGCGCGTGGCGCCACCCTTACTTCCTCCCCTGGCGGTGGTGGTACCGGCCGCCGTGGACGTGGATGTGGATGTGGTGCCGCCGGCCTTGCGCACGCGCTCCTTGTGGCGGCGGCGGCGGCGGGTGCGATCCTCGCGCGACATCTCGGCGCGGGCGAGGGGCATGCCGCCCTTGGTGACGACCTCGGTCTTGGGCGTGCTGCTGCCTTGGCCGTCGGGGGCGGCGACACCGGGCTTGTAGACTTCCTGCGGCGCCATGCGGCTGCTCTCGCCGGCGACGGCCTGGGCGGTGGCGGGCTGGGCGTCCTCCATGGCGATGGTGGCGACGTCGGCGACGACGCTGATGGCGGGCGCGGCGGGCTTGGGCTTGTAGTGCCAGCTGGAGAGGGCGTCGAGGCGGGAGCACACGTCGCGCCACATGGCCTCGATCTCCTTCTCCTCGCGCTGGACCTTCTCGTCCGACTTGGACACGTAGGCGTCCGGGTCGGCGTTCTTGGCGTGCTCCTCCTCGTACACCTCGGCGAGGCCCTTTTCCGGGCGCGAGTCGTCGATCTCGGGCAGCGCGCCGCGGCGGGTGCCCTGCGGCACGCCCTCGGCGTCGGGCCGCCGGCGGAGCACCTCGTCGAACTCCTGCGCGAGGATGCGCCGCTTGATGAGCTCCTCGATGCCCTCGCTGACCTCGGGCGTGATGACCGGTACGGGCTTGCCCACGTGCTCAAAGTCGAGGTCCTCCTCGAGGAGCGAGTTCATCGGCCGGTCCGCGGCCTGCGCCTCGCCTGACAGCGCCCACTCACGCTTAGCCACCGACGCGGCCTCGAGCTTGCGGATCTCCTCAGCGAGCTTAGCCTGTCTCCTCTCGTGCGCCGACCGGCGCGACTTGGGGTCCCCGGCGTCCACCTCCGAGAGGTCGTCGTCCTCGGAGCCCTCCACGTCGGACTCGTCGTCAAAGAGGTCGCGGCGGACATCGGCCATGGCTCGCTCGACGTCCTCCTCGGCGGGCGCTTGGGCTGGCGCGTCAAACTTGACCGACTTTCTCGGCTTGTCGCCTCTGCTCTTCCTGGGCGGCGGCGCAAAGAAATCTTTGTAGTAGACCTCGTTTGCGTTCAAGTCTCCCGATTCGTCCTCGGGGTCCTCATCCATGTCCTCCTCATCGCTCTCGCCTTCGGGCGCGTCGAGAGACATGTCGCCAAACGTCGGGCCGTCCTCCTCGTCATCGTCATCATCATCATCGCCGACCTCGTCGTCAGCCGACTTTCTTGTTGATGACTTTGCATCGCCCTTGGAGGGAGCCAGCGGGTCTGCCTCCCAGTTGATTTCCTCGTCGTCGCTGACCTGGTCCGTGGTGGGGTCGCCGCGGGTGTCCTGATCCTCGAACCATTGTGTCTGCTTGTTGAAGTCGTCGATGGAGAAGAACCCATCGTTGAGGCCGTGAGGGTCCTGGACGTATTCTTGCTCGTCCTCGTCGTCTTCATCGTCGTCTTCGGCATCCTCCGGTGCGTCTTGCTCGAATTCGTCTTCCAATTGGCCCTCGAGCGCCTCGAGATCCTCTTCGTCGCCCGCTTCCTCCTCTTCATCCTCGTCGTCTTCCTCAAGTTGCGAGCCCGACTCCTCTTCCTCTTCTTCCTCGTCAGAGTCGACCTCGAACCCGTCCTCGCCGAAGGTGAGGCTCTTGGGCTCCGCCCCATCCTCATCCTCACCATCCACGGCAACTTCATTAGCCTCCTCCAGTTCATCCAGCACGCCCTCTGAAAATTCCAACACCCCACCAATAATCTTTTTCGCCTGCTGCCACACCTGTCCCGTCTCGAATCCATCCACGTACACCTTGCGCAGCTTCAGCACGTCGATTTCGTCGCGGCCCTTTCCGGCGGAGCCTGCAGCACGCTTGCGCTTTCTGCTCTCCTTGAGCCGCCGCTCCTGCTCCTCGCCAACCTGGGCCGCGAAGCCCTCGAGCGTGTCCTTGACCAGCCTCAGCGACTCGGCCGGCAGCGCCGACTCCGGCTGCAAAAAGGCATGTCGGTTCGCCGGTCGCAGGGCCTCGAGCAAAGCGGCGTGCGTCTCGCCATTCGGCGTCGAATTCGTCGTGGCGGGCGCCATGCCCGGCGGCAGTGCTGTGAGCGTGTGCGACGTCGACGTCAGTGTCGGCGATGCCACCGCGGCCATGCTATGCCGTGCAGAGTTGCGTCTTGCCGTGGGTTTTGTCGTAGCGGCGATGCAAAGCAAGCATACGAATTGGTGCTGCTCAGTCGGGGCTGACACTCGATACTTTTTCTGCCGCCGCTGCGGGAAAAATTTTGGCCCACCGCCTTTGCGCTCCACCACTCCCACCATCCTCGCCCCGCACACGGCAAAGGCAGCCAGTTCGGGGTCTCTGAGGCGTTTGACCTAATTGCTTGGATTAACGGCGTGATGCATGTTCTCGTCATCATGGTATATCAAGCAGCGGAACGAGTCCAGGTCACCACTCACATATATACTATCATTGCTTTCTCTCGATATTTTGATTGTAAGAGTGCTCCTTTATTGAGTTATTGCCCTCAAGACAAGCACTTACAAAGTACATCGGCCCTGATGTTCCCTGTAGCCGTCCAAGAAACCAACGCTGCGCATTATACATGATTAAGCTGCTTATGATAAAGAACCCAGAATGGCCTACGCGGCGGCGTCCTTCCGACTGCGGTTCGCACCCGCGGGCCCTCGCCTTTTGCAGCACACCATCCAAGGTCACCCCAGACCTCGAGTCAGAATCAAAGGCCCACTCGAGACAGCTGTGTGAACATCTATTCCTCGTCTTTCTAGATCGCTCAATTCCCTCTCCTGCCGCCCGTGCTCATAAGCGTAATCTTCTGCTTCTTCTTCTTGCCCTTCTTGCCACCGCCACCGCCCGCAACGCTTGCTTCTCCGCCGGCGGTGGCGTGCTCTACGGCATCGATGGCTTCGAGCTGCATCGCCAGCTCGGCTGTGCCCAGGAGCTCCTCGTCCTTGAGCCAACCATCGTCCACATTCGGCCGTGTTGGCTCCAGCTCGGGCGACGCAGCCAGCGCACGGGTTCCCCACACTGTTCGCTGCGTGGATGGGCTCGTCGACATGGACGCCAGCGTCTCAAACCCCGGACGAGGGTCGGGAGGAGTCGTACCAGAGTGTACAGATAGCGGCTGGAACTCCGAAATGTCCAGCTTCTGAACATCCTCCTCCATTGGCTCCATCATCCTCGGCGTACCCAGGGTTCGCCGGAGGTCAGCAGCCTCTATGCGCTCAGCCTGCTGACGCTCGCGCTCCTCTTGAGCAGCCTTGTCGCGATTGCGCTTCCGACGCCGTTCGATCTCTCCGTTGAACGACGCCAGTGTCTCCGCGGGAACAATGTCGGTCCAATCGCACTCAAGGAAGCTGACGACACAGCCGCGGGGGAGGTGACCAAGATATTTCGCACGCTTGCGCATCGCATCGTCCACAACGTGCCCCGTAGAGATATGCTCGATTCTCGGTAGCAGAGTCGACGGAAAGTTGGAGAAGGCCCCGTACTTTGTCTTCAGGATCCGTATGTCGAGTGGCGAGAGATACAGATGAGGCGGCGAGCTGTAGAAATAAAAATCAGCCTCGCCAGGCTGTTTTGACGGCTTTGGGCCTGGGATTGATGTCGCTGCTTCGGGATTTGCCAGGCCCTCGGTCCGCTCTTTGGCTTGAGTAACAGCCTTGATGGCCTTCTGAGTCCACTCGTTGTCCTGTCCAAACAGGAGCTCGTCTTCTCTTTCCTGCTGCGTCAAGGCAGAAATTTCCTCATCATATTGTCCGTGCATATATTCCGTCGTGCCCTTCATGATGCGAGCGTAATCCAAAACATTGGCCGCAAAGTGCCAGGGAACGTCGTCTCCGGCGTTCAGAACCTCTGCTCCGCCTTCCCAAGGCAGAGCCAAGGTGGAGTTGGCCTTGCGTGCCATGAGCCGCAGCACGACATCATCGCCGACGTTGGGCAGAGGCGTCTCCTGTCCGGCGTAGAAACGGACGGGTCGCACCTCGTGCAGATAGATGGTGTCCTCGCATATCGGGCACCTCTTCCATCGAGCTCCTTTGCCTGACTTTGAATCGTCATCGCTGGATGAGTTCATGAACCGGATCAAGCAGGAGAGGCAGAAGATATGGCCGCACTTGGCCATGCGCGGTGCCACTGGCTCGGAGAGGCAGATCGGGCACGATGCCGACTGGGACTCGGGAGACGCGATAACTTGCAAGATGTTGGTCCACTCCAGGTACAAGTCCGCGTCGGCCGCATGTGTCTTGTACACGCCATCGGGAGAGACGACGAAGCGGTAGTTGGCATGGACGTATCTCGCTTTGTCGGCGGCATGGTAGCCCGAGCCGGGACCCCAGGTCGGGTTTCGACGGAACGATCTCGGATGATGATGATGGCCGTGATCCTGGTACGATCGCGGAGCCGTGTAGTTCAGCAGGTGCGTGATGGAGGTCTGGCCACGACGGCTGGACGGATTCCTGACTGCCCGCATTTCCGCCATATGGTCATAGTCGTCGAGGACGGTGTTCGCCCTCAGCCCGCCGCTCGGTCGTCGCTGGTTCTTGTGCTGCTTTCTGGAGGCCTGCCCCTTTCTCGGCATCGGTTGGGGCGCCGACGTCCCGGTCTGCGTCGGTCGACGCGTGGATTCGAAGCTCGTGGTCGACGGCCCGGCCTGGTTCGACGCGGGGTGGTTCGATGTTGCTGGCAGGGACTTGCCCAAAGTCGGGTTCGACGAATTCATGGCCGGATGCCAGGACCGTGGCGCGTGTCGCTGTGTCTCGATGGCGGACGCGAGATGAACGGGGGTACTATCTCGGCCAACCCGTCGATCAATGGGGAGGAACCTCAACGGTCACCATGCCACAGGCGAGGGCACGGGCCGCGTTCACCGGCAGTGAGCGAGGGACACAGGGTGTTGGCGCGGGAGAGGATATTTGAGAAGCAGCGCTGTACTCGGCCACAACACAACGCGCTGGAGGAGCTGATGATTGTGCAACGTAAGGATGTGATGTCGAGCAAGAGGGGTCCCAACTTGGGACGGACCCCGGGACTGGTGGATAGATAGGTAGCGAGTCGAGTCAGCGGGGCGAATCGTGACGATGAGGCACCACTTGGAATTGCCGGCCCGTTGCCTCCCTTCCGCTGCCTTAGTCAGCGGCCGCCACGTGATGTCACATATGACTTGGATAGCTTCATCACCACTCAATGTCGGCACGTGGGAATGCAAGACGGCAGAGGTTGGAGGATGCGGGGTGATCGGATTGATTAAAGCTTAATGACTGACGTCTGAGGTCCGATCCCGAGAGCTGACATGCATGCTTCCCGAAAGTACGCGCGTAGCAACGACGTTCCATGACCCGCCCGCCGAACAGGGACTACAGCGCTGCTCGACCAGGAGCGCAACGTGACTACACAAACCAGGCGACCACCCATAAGCACCGTGACGTGGTTTCTCATTCCCGTCGGTATATATGTAGTGAAGATAAACTACTTGACAATTGCCTTTCCACCAAACCGCCCAGCCCAAGACATCAGCCAACGCCACCACATCCTGTTATACATGGTTGCCGGTGCCGAATCAAACAAGACGGGGCGACTCCGAAAATGATCATGAATTACCTAGGTATATGACGGTTGGCACCAGACGTCCCAACGGCTTTGACCATTCTCTCCTATCGCAGAATCTGGGGGAATCATTTGACACAGGTAACACTCGACAAGCCAAAAAGAAAAACCATTACCGCAAATTGAACCTCAACATGGAACCTCTTTCCCTCTCATCTCCTCGTTTTCTCTTTGGCGCGTTTACTTGAGCTTCTCCTTGAGCTTGCTGAAGATGGTGCTCAGGCGGCTCTTCTTCTTGGCCTGCGCGGAGGCGGGCTGGCTGGCCTCGGCGGGCTTCGTCTCTGTGCCGTTGGCACCGTTGGCAGCACCGGCCTTGACGGCCTCGGCCTTGGCAGCCTCGGGGTTCGCCTCGGTAGCCTTGCCCTGTGTCGCCGCCGTCTCCGTGGGCTTAGTCTCGGGGGCCTTGGCAGCGACAGGCTTGGTCTCGGAGGCCGCGGCAGCGGCGGGCTTGGTCTCGTCGACGGCGGGCACCGACTTGACCTCCTTGAGCAGCTCGGACTCGACCTGCTTCTTCTCAACAACGGCCTCGGTGTTGGCAGCCGCCTCAGGGCTCTTGCCAGCCTCGGTGAGCGACTCCTTGACCTCGGCGGGCACCTGAGGGGAGACCTCCTCCAGGGTGGTCTCCTTGGACTGAGCGGCCAGGTGGTTCTGGGCCGCCTCGGGCAGCTGGGCCTTGACGGAGTCAGGCAGGTTCTTGTTGGCGGCGTCGGTGGCGGCGGCGGCGGCGTTGTTAACGGTGGGGCCAGCAGTCTCGGCGACCTTGTCCTTGGCAGCAATGGCCGCAGCAGCAACAGCACCACCGGTAGTGAGAGCAGCTCCGGCGATCAGACCGGTGTTCTCTTGCTTCTCGGCGCCGACGCCAGCGTGGCCCTCGGAGGTTCCGGGAGCTTCCTGAACCTTGCTCTTGAGCTCCTCCTCAACTGCGGCCTTCTCCTTGACCTCCTCCGGGACGGCTGAGGCCTCGGGGGCGACGCCGGCCTTCTCTTGGCTCTCCTTGACGACCTCGGGGACCTTGGCGTCCTTGGACTCGAGCGGAACCTGGCCAGCCAGGGCAGCGGTGGTGGCGCCAGGGCCAACGGTGTTGATGGTGGCATCCTTGTTGCTGGTAATTGGCAGGCTGGACTCGGGGATGGTGTTCTTGGAGACGGGCGGCAGGTCAGTCGCGACGACGCCGGGGAGCGCATCGCTCTTCTCGTACGACTCCTTGTCGAGCTTGACGTTGTCGTTGACGCCCTGCGCGGCGACGCCCTGGGGAATCTTCTCGCCGGGCTCCAGGGTGATGGGGTTGACAGCACCGGGCGCAGCGGGCAGGGGGTTGACGCTGACCGTCTTGTCCTCCTCGTTGGCCGGGGTCTCAGGGAAGCCGCCGGGGACGATGGACGGCGTGGCAGTGTCCTCCCTGCTCTCGGCGGCAACGGGAACAACGGGCTCAACGACAGCGGCAGTGGTGGCGGCCGCAGCCGTAGGCTCGGCGGTCGCAGCCTCAACGGGGACCACCTCGGCGGCGACAGGGGCGGCGGCAGCGGTCTCGGCGGGCGCGGTCTCGGCAGGCTTGGTGGCCGCCGCGGCCTGCTGGGCCTTCTGCTGCTGCTTCTTCTTGTTGTTCTTCTTGCCGGCCATTGCGACGGTGGTGGACTCGGGGGTGACGGTGTTGAGGATGGAGCTGCTGAAGCTCGGGTGCTCGAGGTCGGCCTGGGTCAGGAAGTTGTTGACGTTGCCGTCGCTGTCTGGCTCGTGAGGCGAGGACTCGTTGATGGTCCAGTTGTTGTCGACAACAAACTATAAATGTCGAGTGGACCGGGTCAGCGAATTGGCCCGGGCGCTCAACTCAAATGCGAGAAAGAGATTTTGTTTGATGACAAGTGGACAACTGGGCAGCGAATGGGCGCGGGCGTGACGTGAGATATATGCAAGCGGGGAGGCTGGAGCAAGGGGCTGGCCCCAATGCTGTGCGTGGTGGGTGGGTCGCTGTCGTGTGAGTGGAGTGAAGGGCTTCGCGCAGGGCTCGCGCAGGGCTTTTGGTGCTGTGCTGGGGGGGGCGGGCATTGGGGCTCGGTTCAGGAACCCTGTCGTGTTCGTGGGCGACGAACGCAAGCATCCGGAGGAGTCGAGGAAGGCCGTGGAAGGTCCCGTCAGGGGGGGCCATTGGGGGGGGAACACTCGCACCCCCCAGTGTGCACTGTCGGGTCCGGGTGCTTCAGGTCGGGTGCCTCAGCTGGGGCGACGCAGGCGTCACTGCTCGGCGTCGGGGGCGGGCCACGCGCGCTATCCCACCCGCTAGGGTACCTTGGTCGATTTCCCCAGCGCCGTGTCTCGCCTGTCGCGGTCTCCAGTGTCTGAGCTCGTCCGCATCCAGGCACCGAGAGGCACGGCACCATGCCGTCTGCGACAGGCTCACGAGGGCGACAGTCGCACCTCGGATTCGATCGCGTCCGTCGTCGCCACACGACCGCGGCAGCCCTCGCTCACCCCTCGGCTTTGGTCGGGCCCGCCGTCGGCCGAGCATGAGCGCTTGCTCGCCTGCACGGGAAATTAGGTAGCCAGCCCGGGCGGTGGAGGCGCGCGCCGCCGCGCCGCAACGCAACTCAACGCAAAGCAACGCCAGGCAGGGCCAGGCGGGAACGCTGTCGATGGGCGATGCGACGAGGCCGCCAGAGCAAAACCCCTGATCCGCCAGCCGTCGGCCCACAATTGCAGCTGCCCGAGCTTGATGGGAGCTTCCCGTGGCCGACAATGCGCACCAGGGAGCGTGCGACAATGGCTCCGACGTCCGCAGTCAAGCATCGCCGTCTCCCTCGGCGCCAATTGATGCGGCGGCCAGGCCATGAGATGCATGTTTCGCATTCGTCGTCGCTCTCGCTGCGCCGGGGTCGCTGTCCGTGGTTGGTCGATCGGCGGGCGCGGGACCGTCGGGGTGTGTCGCAAAGGGCGCTATAGTTGAATGCAGCAGGCTGAGACGGACCGGCCAGGCAGACCATTGTGTCCATGTCGCACGCACTCGCGCAGGCAGACAGAGGGAGCGGCGAAACCATGTTTGACCAGGCCTGGGGTGCAATCGTGCAATTCGGCAAGGGAAACGGCCATTGAAGAACCGAAGACACGAAGAAACGGAACAACGCCGGGCTTGCGTCCACGTACCTTGTAGTAGATCTTGTGCGAAGGGTGCGCAATGTCCACCGTCTTCTGGAAGACGCCGTCGCTCTTCTCAAGCTTGACCGTCTTTTGCCAGTTGTCAAAAGTGCCTGTGACGTAGGCCTCCTCGGCGGGATGCTCCCTGTGCGCGGAAAGAAATTTGTCAGCGATATTCACCCTGGCGCCCAACGGAGCTCGACCAATTCATGGCATCGAGAGGAAGCAGCTCGCGGTGGATGGTGCATTCGCAATCGCTGGTCAAGCAAGATGGCCGCTGCGATTGTCGGCGGCCGAGCCAGCGGGTGCCGATGACGATGACGCCAGTGTTGCCTCGATTTTTTTTTCTCCCCTCCCAGCTCGACTCGCCACCTCTGCGAGCTCTGCCGTCGGGCCTGGCAGAACAACGATCGGGAATCGACTCACCACTTGAACGTGTAGCTCCCCATTTTGGTCGATTAGAGATTAATAGATAGGACGAAGGTCTCGGCGTCTCCAGCTACGCAACGGTCCGCAACGGAGCTTTGTATCGCGCGCAAGTCGGACGAGCGCAGGACTCGAGGTGGGCGGGAGCAATGTGGGTGAAGGAGAGGTTTGCTGTAGGTTGTTGGGAGGAGGGGGGGAGAAAAGATAGAGTGAGGTGGCCAAGCTCGTCAAAACGGTTGGCGGTGACGACGGCACGGGTACGACCAGCAAGGCTAGCTCAGATCGGAGGTACGATGTGGATGGGATGGGATGGGATGGGATGGAAGCGCTGGGGGAAAGCAGGCGGCGGCTGGCGGTCTGACCGGTCCTCGCACCGCAGCAGGGAAGGGCGTGGATACGGTGCGTCGTTGGGGGGTTTTGGGGCGGATGGATGGCTCAGGTATCAATCTATCGCCTACCTAAACCGTGCGGTCAGGTCGGGAGTCCTGGAGATGGTGCATCGCACCACCGGCGTCGCAGCCCCTGATGAGCTGGTGGATGACTCCGTGGCCTGTACAAAGTATAACACGTATCTCCCTGGCGCTGTCCTAAAGCTTGTTGGAAGCTTCCAGCTTGTTGAGCTGTGGTGGCGCTGCGCCGAAACGAACGACGACCGGGGGAGCTCCTGGGCCGCCACGGCGACGACAGCTCCAGTAGCTGGGCCTGGGCCAGCGAGCGAGACCTAGAGAGGGAAAACAACTCGGGAGCGACGTCAGCGGGCCAGGCTCGCTGTCGGGGATGCGGTCACTTCCATCCTTTAGCCTACGGTCGCGCGGGAGCTGAGCTGGATACCGCTGGCGGCGGCTGGCCCGGCAAACCAGTGGGGTCCAAACCCCCCGGGAGCTCGCCGTCCGTGTGCCGTCGATCACCTCACTGATCACTGATCGGGTCAGAACCTGGAAGCGTCCGAGCAGCCAACACCCACTGGACGGCACAGGCCAACAGTGGGGACTGCCTACCTGATGTATTGAGCCCCGGCTGGACGAGGACTCTAATGCGCACGCATATATTTGCTGATACGCCTCTTCGGTCCGGCCTCGCGTCGTACATACTTGCCTCCTTCACATGCTTGCCTGCAGTAGTAATCCAAATTGACACGGCCCTCGTGCTGCGGCTCGCTTCGAGCCGGGCGCATGCTGCGGAGCTTGGGCAGTGGAGCCTGCAAGGCCTGGAACACGGCGCAGCCAACAGATGGGTCCTCACAGAGAGCGAAGGTGAGGTGCTGCAGATGTTTCCAGTGGCAGCATGAACGAGACGAAGTCCCCGGGCGGTTCCCTCCCAACAGCGCACACCGCGCTAGGCCTATCGCGGCTGCGCGACCATTCTGTCTCTCATGGCCTGGCCGCTTCCGGCGCAGCACCTCTCCCATCCGTCTTCAACCACAATTACCATCATGCCAGCAGCGAGGCCAAGCGATACCCAGCGACAACCCTCTCCGGCTTGGAAGCTGCGCCTCGCACCTAGGTTCGTCCGTGTACAACAGGACTTGGCACGGGCCCGAGCCACGCCACGCCATGCCATGCCTGTCATTTTTTTGTCGACGCGCTCTGCACTGCATGGCGCGCGGCCCGTCACCTCTCACAACCCGTTGGCCCGTGTTCCGACAGCCTGCACACGCAGACACCCATCTGCGACATGCGAAAAAGACAGTCCGTTCGCCCAGGAAAACCCTATCTGTGCGCCCGCTGCTCCATTTATAGGACATGTGGGCGGCGTTTCAAAACCCGTGCCCGGGGCCCCGGCACTCACAACGACCGCCGCACGTGCCGCACCCTTTGATATGGATGTTATATGAAAGCTGATGAGGGTATCATATCGTATTATCGCGCAGCAGGACATCACATTGCATCACATCCACGCCGTCGCCATCCGGGCCGGTCCTCCTATGGATGGCAGCGCCCTCCTCTCACCTCCAACTCCGTTTTCCCCTTGGCTTCGTCGTCTTCGTCTCATACACCTTCCCATCGCAGTACTCGACCCAGCCGTCCAGCTCCATCCTCTTCATCACCGTGCTGAACCCCTCCGCGCCCTTGGCCTTGCCCTTGCGCCCGCAAATCTCCTCCGCCGCTGCCTTCAAAATCTTGCCGCCCGCCGCGTTCTCGCCGTCCACGCCGTCCGGGTACTCGATGTGGAAGACGGGCTTCCCCGCGGCCACAAACGCCGCGAAGGACTCGCACTCGCCCTCCTCGACGCACTGCTCGTTGACGCTAAAGTCGCACAGGTGCAGCACCTCCGGGATGATGCCGGCCGCGTTCTTGAGCCCCATGGACATGTTGTGCCGCGACGCCTCGGCCTGCAGGAACGTGACGAAGGAGATGGTGTCGTTGGCTGTGAGGCCCAGCCCGTTGTCGTTTTGCTGCCCGTCGTGCCATCGTATGTCAGCCGCGCGAGAACTTGATAGCTGCTTTGGCCTCTCGCAAGGTGCTGGTACTTGGCCAAGTGAAGGGGAATGGGAAGAGAAAGGGGGGTGCATACGTAGCCGTCCACGTTGTCCGGGTCAATGGCGTCGCACCCCTTTTGCGCCGCGTACTCGACCCTCTTGCTCATGATGCGCCTCACATTCTCGCTCCCCAGCTTCAACCACCTCTCCCCCGCCCACCCACGCAGCGGCTTCCCCAAGTCCACGTCCTTAAACTCCCCCTTATCCGCGCGCCAGTCCTCGTACGACCCCGCGCTGAAGTAGCACACGACCTTCTTCCCCGCCCCGTGCAGCTTCTGAAATGTCGCCGCCGAGTTCTCGTACATGTCCAGGTCGTAGACGTCCACGTCCGGCGTGACGCCGCTGCCTCCGCCGCCAGAGCCCAGGTCGACGGGGTTCTTGAGCACAATCTGCCAGCTCGTGCCCGCCTTGGGGCGCCAGACGGAGCTGCGCGATGAGCCGGTCCCGTTGCTTGGAGGAGGAGGAGCGCCGCCGTCGCGTTTCTCGTCGTCGCTGCTGTCGCTGTCGCCGCCGCCGCGGCTGCGTGTTAGTCCCACGCCGAGACCGACTGCGAGGCCGACGACGACCAGAAAGATGGCCCCAGCGACGGCGAGCTTCTTCCACAGCGGCCAGCCCGGCCTCTTGTCCTTCGTCTTGTCGCCGCCGTCGTTCTCGTTGCCGCTGCGCTTCTCCGAAGCCGCCGGCGCGGCATGTTCCGCGTCGGACATTGCGCCTGCGCTTTCTCTAGGCCGGATTTCGCTGGCGGGTCGTCAAGGCGTCGTTGTCGTGCGAAGTGAGCGAGCACCAAGAACTCGGCCGTAGTCTAAATACTCTTGCTGAAAGTGAAGGCTCGTCGAAGCATTCCACTCTCAGTCATGCCATTGTGTCGGTCGCATCGTGGGCAGTTAAAGGACTAGCTAGTAATGCGACGCGCCTTGCGTCTGCAAGCTGCAAGTCCCCGAGCCCCGGATCCTTGCCGAAGGATGCCTCGCCGGCGCGCTCGGGGCGGTGCAGCACCATCGAAGGGGTCCAGAACAGACAGGCCTGGCTCGAAGGAGCATCGCATTGAGACTTTGAGACCAAGGATCCAGGCTACTACTACCTCATATCGTCTCCTACTAGTGCAGGACCCTGCCTGGTTAGGCTTCTTCTCCCCTCGGCTCCCTCCGAAGCTGTGCCACAAGTGCCGGCGCGTCCAGACCATCTACGTACGTTTTACTCAATGCAATTGTTTCTTAGCTAGTATTCGCATACCCTTCGTATACTCGTACTAAAATTGCCATCGCTTTCCTTTGTACATTTGCTCAGCCTTGACCCCCGTCGTCACGAAACTGCGCCACCCACCCGCCGAGTTAATCGCAAGTGCTTACTCTCCGGCCCACCCTCAGCCAGGAGCACTTGACCTTCGGCGAATCCCTCCCGGGGACATCACGCGTCCGTCTTTGGAGCCCAGTTCCCGACCTTCCGTCCTTCACGAATATTCGACTTTGTGTCCCACAGTTGTTTCGCAGTGTAATACAACGCCCTGTCCGTCAGTGTTTGCGCCACCCGCTTCCTTGTAGCCCAACGCCATTGCCTAATAGCACATTCGAGGGAACTGTCCCGAACTCGATTTCCAACCGGCCAAGCAGGCACGCGGGCAGCATCCGGCCCTGCCCATGTCTCGAAGCACGCCCGTCCTCAGGCCATGAATTTTGGGCCTTCTTGCTTGAAGAGCCAATCGCTGTTGGCGTCCACCATGAAGTTGGTAATGTTGAACTCGTTGAGCGGTCCGATGACCTGACCAGAGCTACCGTTCTGCGCCTCCATGGACGTTTCGGGTGCCAAGCCGCCATTGTCCGCGCCGAACGGCAGACGGGGCATGTTGAAGAAGTCAAACACGTCCAGGTACTCGAGCTCGTTCGGGGCCGGCGTTTTCGCTGGAGTCAAGCTGGGCACACGCTGGAGATGCGGTGCCGCCGCACTTTGACGAGGCTGGCGAGAAATGAGAAAGTCCAGATCGAAGGCGGTGCGTCTCATGTCAGCCAGGATGCGGACTGAGCTCGGCGTGACGCCGCCACCCTGTCTCTCGCTGTCGGCGTACTCATCCAGAACCCTCTGCAGCAATCCACAGTAGCGGGCGGCCACTGGCCAGTACCTCCCCATCTCGCGTAGGGTCTCGACGAAGACGCTGATCTGAGGCGACACGTTGCGCTCGACTGTAGAGCCGTGCACCAGCAGTAGCCGGGCCGATACCCAAATGGTAAACGCAAACGGGGGCCCTAGCTTAGACAGCATCCCATTGTTGACGACAAACTCGCCCAAGGCGGCAATGTTCTCGACGGCAGCGTGGCACCTCTGAGAGGCGCTGTACGATGGCGCAAAGATGGGCGATCGGGTCGTCGGGTATGCTGCCGACGAGTGCAATCGGATGACAGCCGTGTGATAGGTCGCGTGAAGCATAATCCAGGTGCAGCTTATGTTCTTGCCGATCCCAGGCTGATACAGCCGCGACATGTTGCCAAACTCGCTGGGAAGGCTAAACTTCCACTGCGTCAGCTCGTTGTCCAACTCCTTGTACCGGAACTGCCACTGCTCCACGTCGCTCAACGCGCTGATGTCAACGGGTTGCTTGAGGAATTGGTGTATCTTGGACAAGATCCCCAAAATCTCGATGTAGTACGCAAAGGCACCAAGGTTCTCCGGCTGCGACGTCTCCTGCTCCGGCTGGTCTCCGTGGTGGTGTCTCGTCTTGAACCATTTCGTATCGACCTTTTCGTTCTTTACCCAGAGGTCATCGCGACAAGGCAGCGTCCGGTCAATCTCCTTGTCGGCCAATGCAAACTCGAACGCCGTTGCAATCGTCGCGTATCTGTCAAGCAGATAGATCATCCAGAAGAGCCTCCGCCGCGATTCATCCTCGATAAAGTCTTTTGGTTCTGGTAGAACCATGGCCCTCAGCGTATAGATTGACTTGTAGTTGGGCGAGACACTGAAGGAGTTGGTCTCGACTGCGAGACCGAGCTGCACCACGGATCTGGTGATGAGCGCCATGATGTTCCAGCCTGGTGGTCCGTTGCTGCTGCCGCAGAGATCGAGGGCCAAAATGACGAGCGCCTGGAGCGATTTCACCGAAGAGTTCTCCATCCCGTACAACAATACGCGCTCCTTGGAAACCCGGTGGTAGTGCTGGCGCCGCTCCTCCGTGAGTCGGGCGTCTGTGGAATAGCGCATTGTTGTCGCCACGATGGCGTGCAAGAGGATCCTGTCCGTCTCCTGGAACGTCGATGGCCCAAACAGAGAATCCAGGGTCGTCTTCCGGTGCAATATCGGGCACCATGAGTTGATGTGCTTGAAGTACAGATCAACTAAAGCGTAAAGGAGATCGTACGGAGGCATGTCCTGGTCAGCGGTTGACACTCCGCCAGGCGGAGGCAGAGTGCCGGGTCCCGGCTGCATGCTCGGCGTCTGAGACCCATAGTACTCGTGCAAAGCAGGGTTCGACTGTATCGGCGGTAGCTGGACCGATGCAGAGCTTCCGCTCATATGCATCTGCGGTCGGAGACTGTCATGGATGCTGGGCGTCGACGGGAGGTTGAAGTCGGCGCCCTGCGAGCCGGCACTGAAGCTCGTCTTTGGCGGATAGGCAGTCAGGTCGCCCTGTGGCGTGCTGGCGGGTTCCGAGGGCTTGTATATGCTCGTATGGTCCCGTGGGGTGCCAATATCACTGGGCAAGCTCGGATTGCTGTTGCGGATGCTGGCCAGCGTGGCCGACGCGTTTGGGGTGATGTGAGCTTGGATAATCTCAGAATGTGACTTGAGAATGGCCTCGAGCTTGTCCATGCGTTCCTGCAGCTCCTTGCCGAAACCAGCGCGAAGGCCTGGTCGCTTGCGCTCCTTGTACTCGCATATCGCGCCATTGCGAGCACACCAGCCGCAGGACGGCTGGCCGCGATCGCATTTAACCTGGGACGAGCAGCGTCAGCCAGCCTCTTCATACCAGCGAGGAGTCCATCACGGTCGGCATGTCGTCGAGCATGGCAATGAGCAGACGTACCTTTCGTTGCTTGCAGATCTCGCACCTGGTAATGGGAATGTAAGTGTCGGCTCGCACAGTTTGATGGTCAGACGAGGGGGATGAGGGCGGCGACATGGGGCAACGGCGCAAGAAGCAAATGGGTCTCGGCAGAGTGGAGAAGGGGACGCGATGATGCGATGCGACGGCAAAACATTGCACCACGAATCAAGCCGGGCAGCACAGGCGAGAGCAGGCGGGAGGAGGAGGGACGCGACGTACGAAACAGAGATAAGGCGCTTCCGCTTGCCGCTGCGCGAGGCGGCATCGTCGTCGTCGCTGTGGGAGTCGCTCTCGAGCTCGGGCTGGGTGCGTCCGGCGGCCGAGGCGCCAGAGGGCGACCGCAGCTTGTCGTCGGGGCTGCTGTGCATGTCGCCAGGACCGGGTGAGACAGCCCCCGCCGACAGTCGATTGGATCAGGGACCAAGGCCGGGGCAGGATGCAGCAGGCCGGAGCGAGCGAGCAGCAACGGAGGCGCGCATTCGGGACAAAGGCGAGCGACGCGGGAGGGAGAAGGAGGCTCGGAGTCGAATGTCCTGGCCCCGAGCGAGCGACCGATTTTGGTGCTAACACGGACTGGGAGATGCGGAGTGGAGGTGGGTTCGAGGCTCGACTCGACTCGACTGCCGGGTCGCACCGCGCAGCTGGCGGGCCGTCTGACTGACGGGCGGACTCGACGCTGGAGGGGCGGGCGGCCGGGGTCGTCGCTTGGGTCCGCGAAGAAGGTCTGCCCTAGCCGTGCCTGGGCAGCGATGAGAGAGAGACGAGGGCAGACGGGCGTGCCGAAGCGTCCTGGATGGCGATGATGAGGATTGGGGAATTGCGGAAAGCCGGCTCGCACAGCCAGAAACCTGAGGTGCCCGCCAGCCTGCCTGCCCTGCCCTGCCTGTCTGGTCGTCTAGTGAATCGGGCACTCAGTAGCTTATCCGGCGGAGCTTCTTCTTCAGCTGCACCACCCTCGGCGCCCCGAGACGCGCAAACCAAAACCGCACCCCATGGAAGTCACTTGCTTGACTTCGCTTCAGTTAGGTCCCTCACTTCACCTCGCTCACCGCGCCCGCTCGCCCGCCCGCCCCACGCGCTTGCTTGCTTGCCTGCTTGCTTGCTTGCCCGCGGGGAAGAGGCGCGCCGGCTGGCTGGGCTCTGAAGCCACCCGTGCGACTCGACAGCCCATCGGGCTCCGAGAGCAACAGCCAGAAACTCGAGCGACACGAGACACTCTGCCGGCCAGCGCCCTCGGGCTGCGCAGCGCGGATCCTGGGTGGTGGCGGCTCGGCCTGGAGGCCAGAAATTGCCAGGCGGCATCAGCTAAGGTTGGTGGCGCGGCGGTGGCGGGGGAGCTTGGGCCACTGGTGACATGTGCTGCAGCCCCCTGGAGCCCGGCCGCCCGGGGTCCAAACTAAGGTTCCGCGCTCTCGACTGAGGTGCCCGCCAGGTGCTTGTGACGTGCTGGGGCCTGGGGGGCAGTTGCGGGAGCGAAAGCTGGGGCAAGGTTTGCCGGGAAGCTTCCCACCCAAGGCCATGCAAGCCACGGATGCTCCGCTCGCCACTTTGCGTCGACTGCGCTGCTGCGGGCGGCCTGTGGGTGGCCTGTGCCATTGTGACGTCCGCTCTGCCGCTGCACCTCATGCAGTGGTCCCATCGTCCAGGGGGCAGCCGAACATCGGCATTCGATCTGTGCAGAACCACCTCACAGAGGCTGAGGTGAAGAGCAAACCAGGCGGGAGGCACAATCAGACCGGCATGACGGGTCGCCAGGGATGCCCCCCACTCCACGCGGGGGTGACAGCTGGGGACAGGCCACACGCTGCAGGCTGCAAGCACCTCGGGCGTTCCTTCTCAAGCTCCGAGCCTCCGACGTGACGTGAAATGATGGGCAATCGCAGGGAAGGCACACACTGTGGTCCCTGCCGTTTGATATTGGAACCCCGTGTCACGCGCGATCTGTAGACAAGCCAAGGTTTGCTGCTGCTCAAGGCCGAAACGGCCACCCGTCATACGTCGACGAACCAGCGCCGTGTCCACTGGTTTCTCCCGTCGTTGCCAGGCACAAGCCATCTCGACCTTTCCTGCCGCAAAACGTACTACGTATATGGTAATTCGTCTTATACAACCTCGTCGTACCTATCTTTGCATCGCAGTATCGGGCGACCGATGGCGCCCATGACAGCATCTCAATCCCCCCCCCCCCCTCGGCAGTGCGGCAAGACCGCGACGGGGGTCAGGGGTCCCATCACGCATCCCGCCAGGACGTGCTCGGCGATGGCTTCAGCTCCCAGTCGAAGGGGTCCAGAACCCATGAGCAGCATGTGCCTCCCTGGGGACATCACCAACACGGCTGCCCGCTGCAGGAGCGCCATTGGGCCGCAATCTCATGCTCGGTCACACAGATGTTTGGTTCTGTCATATCTCGACCGCAACCAACACCCAGCCGAGAGCTTCCGCAGCAAGCACATCGCATCACGGCATACTTCGTGCGGGCCAGATGCACAAACATAGACCTCCAGAGCGATGCCGGCCGAGTTTGCGCTCGACCCGTCGGTGGTTGCCCGCGCTGCCGCCAATCGAGTGGTGGAGAAACCGCCCAACCGCTCTCGTCTCTCGGCGCGGACAGTGGCAGGCTTCCCGCCTCTCTCGTCGGGCTATCTCCCCCCGAAACACTCCCATCGCGGCGGCAGCCATGATCCACCGCGACGCCTTCCCCACAGCCTCCAGGCTCGCCATCACTTGACCACTCTTGCCTCGCTACATTTTTCTCGCCGCGTCGCGGAGTCATGCCATCCGTTTGTTTATTACCGTCGGCTTTAGTTTGTCCTTGCCGACCCTCCGTTCCGTGTCCCTGAGTCCCTATATCTGTATCTCTCTCTTCGTCTCCTCACATGCTTCGCCAGCGCTCTTGACCTCGCCCGCGCCTCTCGTCAAGCCACCATGTCATCGACGTCAAGCATTCGGAAATTCCCCACGATCAAGGCCGTGCGGTCGTACGTGATCGGGGGCGTCGGCTCCGGTGCGAACGAATTCCAGGACTCCGCTTAACAAGCAATCAACTGACATTATACCGCAGGCGGTGATTATCACAATGTAAAAGGAGGGCACTGGTAAGCTACGCCCAGCCCGCAGTACAACACGAGACCGGCTAACCGAGAGGCGGGTCAGGCTCATCGATACCGACATATCGACGCCATGCTCCCAATGGGAACAGTACCGCCAGTCGCGCACGAGCTGGGGCATCAATGTTCTCGGCTCGTTTCTCGTTGAGATAGAAGCCTCAGATGGGACCGTTGGCTTCGCCACGGGCTTCGGAGGTATGGCCCTTCCATCTGATCCAACAGCTCGTCTTGACTGACCTTTGCAGGTCCTCCCGCCTGTTGGCTCGTTCACCAACATTTTGAGCGCTTCCTTATCGGCGCCGATCCGCGCAATACAAACCTTCTCTTCGAGCAAATGTATCGGGCGTCCATGTTCTACGGCCGCAAGGGCCTCCCTATCGCCATCATCTCGGTGATCGACCTAGCCATCTGGGACTTGCTGGGCAAGCTGCGCAACGAGCCCGTCTACCGCCTCATCGGAGGCGCCACCAAGGAGCGTCTCGACTTCTACTGCACCGGCCCCCAGCCGACTGCTGCGAGAGAAATGGGCTTCTGGGGCGCCAAGGTGCCGTTGCCATTCTGCCCGGAAGAGGGCCACAGCGGCCTCCGCAAGAATGTCGAGTTCCTCCGCAAGCACCGCGAGGCAGTCGGACCCGACTTCCCTATCATGGTGGATTGCTACATGAGCCTGAACGTGTCCTACACCATTGAACTCGTCAAAGCCTGTCAGGATCTCAACATCAACTGGTGGGAAGAGTGCCTGTCGCCAGACGATACCGATGGCTTCGCACAGATCAAGCGGGCTCATCCCACGGTCAAGTTCACTACGGGCGAGCACGAATACTCGCGGTACGGCTTCCGCAAGCTCATTGAAGGTCGAAACCTCGACATCATCCAGCCGGATGTCATGTGGCTCGGAGGCATGACGGAGCTGCTCAAAGTGGCGGCCATGGCGGCAGCATACGACATTCCCGTTGTGCCGCACGCCAGCGGACCTTACAGTTATCATTTCGTCATTTCGCAACCGAACACTCCGTTCCAAGAGTATCTGGCCAACTCCCCCGACGGCCGCAGTGTGCTGCCCGTGTTCGGCGACTTGTTCACCGACGAGCCGATCCCGACCAAGGGCTACCTCACAACGGCGGACTTGGACAAGCCTGGCTTCGGGTTGACCATCAACCCCGCGGCGTGGTCGAAGCTCATTCCGTCGACAAATCTCCTCAACCCATCGCCCGCGCATGCACTGCCTCCGCCGTCCCACGCCGTTGATGGGCAGAGAGCTGAAACGCCAAATGGGAGACCTCAAGAGATGAACGGCGGTGTGGCAGAAAACGTCACCGCTAAGATGGGAGAACTAACGACTCGATCCTAAGCCGAGGGCAGGCGCTCGCTTCAGCGGCCCTACGAGACGAGTCCCTCTCTCTCTTCCAGCTGAGAGACGTCATCGCGTCCCAGCTGCCCGGGTGGTGGAATTCAATAGCGCTTGCCGTAGTGCGCCTCGTCTCAGCCGTGCAGGACGAATGTTACTTGACGTACGTCGTCGTTGCCGTCTTGATAGTACCGGCTCTCTGGTCTTTGTCCTCGGCTTCGGACACAATCGCTAGCGTTTGCGGGCAGTGCCGCTGCGAGCACGAGGTGGCGAAAATGGAAGGCGGCGATGGAAAGTCTTTTTCGGGTGACGGCATACACGATTGGACGAGCGTGGGCGATGGGAAAGTAGCTGGAAAGCCAAGGTTGCATCGCCACAGAAGCAGGCTAGAAGAAAGTTTTTGCAACAGAATTCAGGTCCATTTGGTCTATGCACTTGTACGAGGTTGGCGGACTTTGCAGACTCACAGCCGCCGACCGAGGCGATGTAGCCGTTCGTATTGCGGCGCGGCAGTACTTTACGATTCAAGAGCCTGCGGGCAGACGCCGCTCGCGCTCAGGGGCCTTATTCAGCAAAGAATCCCTTCCCTCCGTACAAGCATCGTGACTGCTCCAATGAAGGCGCTCAGCTGTACCCCAGAGTCTGGCACTCCACGGCGAGCACACTGCTGTTGCATCGTGGGCCTGAGCCGTGGAGTTTTTGCAGGGACGGCGCAAGGAAAGCGGCCCACCCTCTGCGGCCACTCCCCCCATTGCAAACGGTAGACATCGTGAGTCTTTTTTCGTAACGGTAGCCGTTCAAACGGTGGTGGAGGTGCGCCCGAGTCACGATGGGGGGGTTGCTGGGGGGGATGGTCACCGTAACGCCCCGTCTGCGCTTCGCCCACGTGTGGGAAAACGGTGGGCTCGCATGCACTTCGCTGGAAACTGCTGGGCGGGGCGCATGGGACGCACGACCCGCGCGGCGGACTTGTCCACGATGGGCGGGAGGAGGCATGAATGACTTGCAGGGCAGGGTCTCACTCACGATGCGCACCTGGCAGCGGCCAGGGGGAGGGATGGAGGGTGGGTTCCACGGTGCCTTGCTTGTCGGTGCGGTGGGGTGGAGCGACAGCTGGGGCGCATGTGCGCACACGGGAAGATGTGATGAAGCCATCGTGAGTCTGATGGGCTTGCAGAAAATGAACCTGTTCTCGGCACTCGGTGTTTCTGTTGGCTGCAGGGTGAGATTATATATGGTTGAGCCGCTTGGCGGCAGGCAGGCAGGCTGGCCCCTGTCGAGGGTCTCGCTTGTAAATGCCCCGAGGTGCATTCCCGCCCCTCCTCCTGCGATGCGATCTCGGCAGCGAGATGATGCTGGCACCATTCCGGTACGTACAAGTAGTGCGAGGCTCGACCTCACGAGCCGTGGAGGCTCTCGTGATCTTGATGACCCAGTGCATCTTGGATACAGAGGTACGACGGTGACGACGGACAGACGCACTGCAGAGTACAGAGCACGGAGTACAGGGTACGACGCTCCTTCCCAGCCTCATCAGCCTCAACCTCCAGCTCCTGCCAACGCAAGCGCCCAAGGTTCGTCATACAGGCAACGACCCCCACGCCGTCGTCACCATCCTACCTTTCCCTCCAACGTGCACTCCTCTCCGCAACCGTCTGCATTCCCGCAATCACGAAATCGACGCTGCTGCTGTGCGACGACGTAACCGCGCCTTAGCTGCCTTTTCATCTTGCATCTGACGCCTTGACCCGCCGCCCGCCGTGCTAGAGCCCGCTGCCAACATACTATCGCGTCCGGACCATCCACCGGCGCCGCAGCACGGGGCACGTTGCGTCTGGTGTTGTGTGTCGCTTATCGTCAGACGGGCGCAGCCATCACAGATTCGCGCCATCTGGAAGACCCGCTCGCTGCAGAGCCGCTCTCTCGCTCTCTGACATCACCATGCCGCTGACGGGTCTGCTCGCCGGCAAGACGGCCATCATCACGGGCGGCACGACGGGCATCGGCCGCGCCATCTGCCTCGAGTTCCTGCGGCAGGGCGCCAGCGTGGTCGTCAATCACCTCGGCCTGGAGAGGGACCAGCCGCACCTCGACTCGCTGGTCGCCGAGGCCAGGGTCCTCGCAGAGAAGGACGCCGGCGCGGGACGCCTGGCGCACCAGGCGGGCGACGTCCGTGACCCGGCCACGGCGGCCAGGCTCGTCGAGACGGCCGTCGCGCACTCGGGCGCCACCAACAAGCGGCTCGACATATGCGTGTCCAACGCCGGCGTCTGCACGTTTGCCGACTTCCTGACCCTCTCACCCGACCTCTTCACCACGACGGTCAACACCAACCTCGGGGGCGCCTTCTACGTCACCCAGGCTGCCGCCCGGCAGATGGCCCTGCACCAGTCCCCGCCCGGCGGCAGCATCATCGGCGTCAGCTCCATCAGCGCGCTCGTCGGCGGCGGGGAGCAGACGCACTACACGCCGACCAAGGCCGGGGTGCTGAGCCTGATGCAGAGCACGGCCGTCGCGCTGGGCAAGCACGGCATCCGCTGCAACGCGCTGCTTCCGGGGACCATCCGCACGCAGCTCAACGAGGGAGACCTCGCCGACGACAGCAAGCGCGCCTACATGGAGGGGCGCATCCCGCTCGGCAGAACCGGTGAGCCCAAGGACCTGGCCGGGCCGGCCGTGTTTCTGGCCTGCGACGAGCTGAGCGGCTACGTGACAGGCGCCCAGCTCCTCGTCGACGGCGGGCTGTTTGTCAACCTGCAGTGACGCGGCATGTGAGAGATGTTTCGCCCGAACAATATGTGTACATGGTCATTGGCGGAGGGCGTAAGACGGCTGTTCTGGCGGTCAGTTATCAATAGGTGTTGGTGGACTGCGCGGCTGCGACAGAGACATGTGGCGCGGCGCACAACGCGGACAGCTTGGGCAAAGCGGAAGCGGGCGCGAGAGGAACATGAATCCTGGCAACAGGGCCCCTGGAGCCGAAGAGCGGTATCATGTAAGAAGAACTTCTTACAGCCAGCCAAGCGTGTGGCTTTTCGGCCGGCGTTGATCCTCGCCCCAAGCGTCAGGTCGTGATGTGCCAGCCAAGGCTCCTTGAAAAAGTACAGGGTGGTGGGGGCCGCGGCGCGCTGCTTTGAAACCAAACCACCAACGACAAGGATTATCCAACGTCGGACAAACCACAAACCCACACACGTCCAGCGAGTGAGCACCGTGTTTGCTAGTTGCAGGGCCCAGCCGGCTCATCAACCCGCGGCTTGCCTCATTCTGCACGCCGCCAGGGGGTTGGACCGGGCCCGCTCTCCAGCTTCGGCGGCCGCAGATGTATCTGGTCCGCTACGCGCACGAAGTACCAAGAGTACACTTGGTTGTCGCAAAGGGGACAGATGGACGATGGGTGATGTGCAACGCATGGCCTGATGTGCGGTGATGTACGTGCTTGATCGGCCCCCTCCACTTCGCGTTTGCGGAATGTACTCTGGCGCTAGATACATTGTACATGTGTGCGGTGTGTGCCCGTGTGCGCCCGTGTGTAAGTGCGTATGTGTATGCATGAGTTGAGGACATCATGTTGCATACGGGTGGTGGTGGTGCTACGTGGTGACTGCTGAGTTTCCCGGCGGAAGGGCATGAATGAAGGCTGTCTTGTCGGTTCCGTGCGTACATACGTACATACCGCACGGGCGGATGGAGGGTCGGGAGTGAGGGGTGCTTTGACTGCTTTTGAACATCGTTTCCTGATTATGGTTCTACGTGCGCACGAGGAGGAGGGAAAGGGGAAGACGGGCAAGACGGGAAACTGGCATGGACTGACACATGTAGCACCGCTCCGCCAGGCCAGTGTTGAAAGCTATTTGTCTTTGTCGTACAGCTCCGTACCGTTTCGTACCGTACCGTACCGTACTGGGTTACACGCAGACTGCCTGCTGCTACGGAGAGTACTTGATGCGCACGTCCAGGTATGAATCGTGCAAGACGTGTCAAAGCGGAAGCTTGAGCTTTAGAGGACATGTCAGGTCAAGAGAGCGCAGCTACCCTGACGGCCATTCTGACCAGGGCTCTGCGTACTCGTCTAAGCGACTGCCAGTGCTGTTCTTGGGGGTGATTGCTTATCTCGTCGGAATCCGCCTTGGAGAGACGAGTAAATATAGATGGCACGCGCGGCGACGAGGGACCCGACCCCCCAATCTATTCGCCGAGGCCCCTGTGCAAGGACCTGTGAGTAAGGGTGGTGGATGGGCATCAGCAGTATCCAGGCCAGGATGCCAGGATGCCAGGGATGGAAGGAAGGAATCCGCATCATCAGCACCACCTACTCAGCCCGCGCCCATCAGCATTGACGTACGTTCCTCCGCCCCGCCCGTCCGCCCGCCCGCGCACATGTTCAAACCCCCGCCGGCCGGCCGGTGAATTACGCAGCGCGCGTGGGCATACCGCCATGAGAACCACGGCAATGGTAGGTAGATAGAACGACGTGCTTGCTACTCTTCGGGCATCGCAGTTCATTACCAGAATCTGCCATCCCGTGCCGAATCTTGTCTCACTTGGTATCGGACAATAGCGCTATGCCGACGGTTGCAGTGCATTGCCGCTCATCACAGAGCGGGAGGCACCTATGGAGGGGTCGCGCGGCGGGCGGAAACACGACAAGGCCGTCGCCCTGCCGCCTTGGCTGCCATGTTGCATGCCACGCTGCGCAGGAAGGAAGGAGGGGCCTTGCGGCCATCCGCCCCACAGGGGGCTGCCTGCCTCCGAGAGGCTCCGTAGCGGAGCCGAGCACGGCGACTGATAGGCCTCCGGGCCGGTGGAGCGGGGCGGGCTTGACGTCAGTGTGGGAACCCCGAAAGGCCGGTCCGACCGCCAAGGGGGGCCGCTGGGAGAGCCGAAGGGACCAGAGGGAAAAAAACTGTGGCCGTTTGGCCCCGTCACCGTCTACTGCCGTCAGGCACCTATCGCCGTCGCTGTCATTGTCACCGTCACTGATTTGTGCGCTGTGACCGTCGCTGTGGCTGCTAGCTCGCCGTCGCCGTCACCGACTCCTCGACGTGAGTTTACTGGCCTGGCGGCGGGTTCCACGATTCCCACCGTGTCGTAACCGAATCGCAGCACTGCAAAGACGGTACGTACGTATCTCATCGCCATCGCTCTTTTGTTCGCTAATCGCCTCGCGCTTGTCTGGCCTCCCATTGTACAGTCACCGTCTCCGCCGCGGCCGCCACCGTCACCGCAAAATTTCCCGCGCTCCCCTGCCGTTTGCCGCTGCCGTTGCTCCCCCACCCCTTCTTTTGACTCTGACCGTCTCGTCTCGGCGTTTCCTGGATGAGTGGTGACTGACGGTGAGTGGTGATCCGCAGTTACATGTACTACATGCCCCGACGGGTGGAGGGTACACGTTCATGCACGAACATGTCCCGGCGGAGGAGGTACTTTTTGCAGCCTTGGCTGAGCCGGGCCCCCTTGTTACTGCTACTGCTGCGTTGCTGATTCCGTTGTTTGTTTGTCTGTTACGCGTGCCGAGATAGCATGTACAGCAGGGCCTCATCCTCACTGGACGGGACATGGCCAACACTGGAACCCCCCTCCATCTTCCGAGGACACGGATGCGGTTGCGCATGCGGATGCGGATGCGCGGGAGGCCGTCTCAGCCAGTGAACCCATCTGCTGGTCTGCGGCGCAGTCTCCCATTGGCCCCGCCAGGGCGTCAAAGAGCCTCACAGCCTCAGATCCGCCGCTATCTGCATGGACGGACGGACGTCAGGCTCGTACTACCAACGCATGTAGTACCTCATCCTGCGTGGGGACTGCTGGAGGCGCGGGTAACGACAACAGGACAAGCACAACGACGACGACGTGACCCGAGAGGTACGCACGTCATCGTGCTTGGCCCCCGCCGGCGCCGGCCTCGTGGTAAATGCCTCGAATGTCACTAGGAGGTTACCGTCGTGCCGGCGGCGGGGGCCACCAGTGCAGCAACCCCCCGGCACCGCGCGCGCGCTTGTGTACGAGAACGTACGTCAAGCGCAGGCATATTGCAGGTCTGGCGGTGCGGGTCGAGAAGAGCTGCCCGGACGTATACATCCTGAAGCAAGGGTACATGTTGTACGCGATACACGCTGCGTCAGAATCCTCACGGCAGTGTCCGCACAGCCGCGAGAGAGGGACGGTTTGTCCCCCTGTGTGATTCAGCGAGAAAGAAGATTCACGAACGGGCCTCGCATGGTCCGGCAGTTCTGTTCTGCACACCAACTCTTTCCCGCCGTCCGCCAGGGGCCGAAGCAAGATGCGCTGTCGCCCCGAGCCAGTCGGAAGAGGCGCCAGCGCAACAAGGGCAGCCAAGCCGGCAGCGCAGCACCAGAGACTGAGACGGTGGGTGGGAGGGAGGACGGAACGGTGGCTGTACGCAGGTAGGTACTCGAGGTACATGCCTGCGTATCGTGTCGTGCATGGGTACATGCCGCCGCCGGGGGCTACCGTCCAAGCAAGGCAGTCCGGCGTCATCATCGAACCCCCCGGCACCGTGTGGGCGTTTCGCCTCCCAGAAACGACGACGACGACACCGAACAGCCGCCGCGCCAGCACCAGGCAGAGCCGCCGCGCCGGCGCTGTGTAGTCCGTAGGTCCGTATCTGGGCCGTATCAGACCAATCAGACCCGTCGGCCATGAACGAAACTTCACTTTGACTAGAAAACTCGCCCTATCCACTTTTTGCTTTCTGCCCCTTCGCGGGCCCTCCAGTCCCTTCGCGCGTCACCACCACCGTCGTCACCACCAACCCTCCGCGCGCACATGTCATACAACTAGAGTTTTCCAGCGGACAAAAACTGTGGGTACGGGTACCGCCTCGGTGGGTACGCGAGACGGGCGGCGGCCCCTTCGCCACAGGGGGCAGGGACTTGCCATGCCGCCGTTGACGCCCGCGAGCGCCTTGTACCGGCCCAAGGCGCGAGGCCGTACCTTGTTCCCGTCAGCAAGGGGGGCGGAACCACTGATGGGTACCTACGTAGTTTGGCGAGATACGTAGCGTCGTCCAAACCAACTACGTCGTTGCAACAACGGATTATGACTCGGTTCGCTTGTCTTCAGGGGATATCCATTCTTTTCCAACGGACCCAGCGGGCTCCACGCGGGGGGGATGGGCCATGTTTGCGTCTCCTCCTTGAATGTTGCAGCCACATCATGGGAGTCTGAGTAAGGATGCCCTCGAGCGATTATAAAGGCTTCATGCCCTCCCACCGTTCTTGACGGTAGATCTCTTCCCATCAACCATCAACCCACGCCTCCCTTCACCCTTCTATCCCTCTCCACCGGTCCACCAAGTTTCCACACTCATTCATCCCAACTTCCACATCAACTACAACAACAACCATCACCATTACCGACCAGAGGGAAAGAATCACCACCATCAACACAACCGCCGTCATGGAGCCCAAGCAGAGAGCCGCCTTCTACCGCAAGGTCTCCCAGGCCAAGATGGAGTTTGACGACATCTCCATGCCCTCCGATGGCTCAACCACCCCCAGCTCGCCCGACCTGGCCTCGGACAGCTCCCGTGCCGTCAGCGTCTCGAGCATCCCCACGCCCAACTCCCCCGTCGACCCGGCCTCCGTCGCCGACTCCTTCGTCTTTGCCTTTGACATTGACGGCGTCCTCGTCCGCGGCGGCGAGGCCATCCCCGAGGCCATCCAGGCCATGCGGGTCCTCAACGGCGAGAACGAGTTCGGCCTCCATATGTAAGTTGACCCAGAATTCATTACCCACCCCCGGATTTTCCCACGATGCCTGCACCTTCTCCACCGGTGTTGCATCGTGGGTCAGGGGCGAGTGGCACACAAACACTCCTACAGAACATGATTAGCTAACATGTCTTCCTCAGTCCTCACATCTTCCTCACAAACGGCGGCGGCAAGACCGAGGAGGAGCGCTGCGGCGACCTGTCTCGCCAGCTCCTCCAGGACATCAAGCCCGGCCAGTTCATCTGCGGCCACACGCCCATGAGGGAAATGGCCAACAAGTACAAGACGGTCCTCGTCGTCGGCGGCGAGGGCGAGAAGTGCCGCCACGTCGCCGAGGGCTACGGCTTCAAGGACGTGGTCACGCCCGGCGACATCATCAAGGCCGACTCGGCCACCACGCCCTTCCGCAAGCTCACCGACGAGGAGCACGCCAACTCGCGCGACCGCAACTTCGACGACGTCGTCATCGACGCCGTCTTCGTCTTCGCCGACTCGCGCGACTGGGCCGGCGACATCCAGATCATGCTCGACCTCGCCATGTCCAAGGGCGGCCGCCTCGGCACCCGCAGCGAGACCATGGACGAGGGCCCGCCCTTCTACTTCTCCCACAACGACGTCGTCTGGTCCGCCGCCCACGAGCACGTCCGCCTCGGCATGGGCGCCCTCCGCCGCATGTTCGAGGTCACCTTCAAGGACCTCACGGCCGGCAAGGGCAAGCTGCACACGCACGCCTTCGGCAAGCCCCAGGTGCCCACCTTTGAGTTTGCCTACCGCCTCATGAGCCAGTGGCGCAACGACGAGCACGGCCTCGAGCGCCCTCCCCAGACCGTCTACTTTGTCGGCGACACCCCTGAGAGCGACATCCGCGGCACCAACGCCGTCAACGAAAAGGCCGAGAACGACTGGTACAGCATCCTCGTCAAGACGGGTGTCTACCAGGACGGCACCGAGCCCGCCTACAAGCCTCGCGTCACCGTCAACAACGTCCTCGACGCTGTCAACCACGGCATCCAGCGCGAGATGCGCAAGAAGGTCGTCTCGTCGCTCAAGAAGGACGTCATCGGCCTCCCCGAGGGCGCCAGCACCGACGCCATGATTGTGGACGCTGAAGATGCCATCACGGCATAATTTCACTTCCACCTCTTTCCCCATCAATCATCACATCCATTGGGCTGGCGTTTTTGACCTTTCACACTTTTGGCTCATAAATTGGCGAGTTTTGCTCTATTCAAGCTCACGGCTTTTACGAAATTTTCCTTTTCATTTTTCCTACATGGCATCTGCATCGATACAGAATCGGACAGATAGATTGCGAGCGAGGCTATAGACCATAGACTGGACTGCCTTTGCTGCGTTTCTTTTAGCTAGACCTGGGACCTTTACCCAAAAACCTCATGCACCACCTTATACCCTGATGAGCATGTCATCATAAATAGCATAAAAAAAGACAAATTCTATCAAGTTGAAACAGTTCCTCAGTGATGAATAATTGTAACTTTTCGTGAAATGAAAGGGGCCTCCTCAGTCGACCCTTTGTGATCCTTCAGGGGCACTTGGTAGCTGAGCTCCCCTAAGCCCGTCGCAATCCGCCCAGGGCGCCCAGTGTTACCCCTGGACGTCATTGACAAAGATGGCATGCCCGAGGTAGATGGCATCCAGCCGACCCCACCATGCCACCCACACACATGACACTTCAGCCAGTGAGTGGACATGGACAACGTCTTCACCATGGTAGGTACCGCCGGTACAGGAAGCATGTACGAATTACGAAAACGGTCCTTTGTGGCCTGCATAATCCCCTCAGGTCTTGATCCCTGCCCCTGGCGCCAGCTCCGTCCATTCCCGACTTTGAGAGGCAGCAGGACCCGAGGCTGGCGCCACACAGGCCGATTTGCGTCCCTTGCCGATATCCTCGCAGAGGATCGACAGAAGTACCTCCTTCTGATGGTGATGGGGATTGTCATTGCACATGCGAAGAGTACTTGTGCGTGCGTCGTGGTACTTCGCCGGGATATCGATGCTAGGTGCGCGAGATGGCGTCACTCGCCGAGCGCCTGCATAGCCCATCTCGCCCGCCATGTCACCCTCAATCACGCTCGGCCGCCCAGCCGCCGTCCTCAGACAATGTCCTCAGAAGGAATGCGCCGCGGTGGCTTGCGAGTGGAACGGCAGATCCTTGTGGATAGTGCGCGACGCCCAGCCCAGCCCAGCCCGAACCAAACCGCCCGCCTACCCCGCCGGGATACCCAAAACGAACAGTGAGACGGCGTCACATTTGACGTCGCGCCGCGTCTCTCCCCACACTTGTCCACCCCACAATCCAGACTTGTCACTTCAATCACGCATGTAAACACAAGTGTAACACTGCAACACACGCCAGCGTCTCCCCACCGGTCGGGCTACGCTCGGGCTTGTCACTCTTCTTTCTGTGGAGAGCAGCTGTCAACCCCGGGTCCGCGGGGTGTATTCGTCGCATAACGCGGGGAAGAAGGGGGGCTGGACAAAAGGGGCGAGGGGGTCGGAAAACGCGGCTCTGTGCCAGGACGCAGTATGATGGAAGACGAGCAAGAGTCCCGCCTCGGCCGATCTTGGCTGCAGCACAGGGCGTGGAACGACGGAAAAGCACGGCGGACTAGGTAGTTTGATGCTCACACCCTCCTTTGCCTCATATTCGAACCTCCTGAGTCTTCTCCTGCGTGTTGATTCATAGCACTGTGACCGAGTCATATCTCTGCTGCCCCGGCGCCTGTTGAAGAAATCTCCAGGGCTCTTCTCCGTCGGGCTTCATCCTGGGACATGGAAGGATCCTAGATGGCCGAGACGAACCAAATCAGGCTTCCCGGGCAACCATTGCCGCCCATGTGATGGCCGAAGTCCCGACGTTCTTGGTTAGGAGTACGAAAGGAGCTGTCGCAGTCCTCTGCTCAGTCTCTTGTTGCCCTGCGCTTCCATCAAACGTGAACCTCTCATCACAGACTATACATGAAATAGTATTATGTAGTTTGCGATCCGCTGCCGTTGCACGCTCATCACCCTCCTCAGGTCCCTGTCTCCCTACAACATCTTCAGAGTACGTTTCGCCACTTTGAACACCTTGACGTCGCAGGTCCTGACGAGCAGAGGCAACGTCTGCCATGTCCTACTTCGCTTTGGCTCCCTGAGCCTCTAGCTAGGGCTTGAGTGTCTAAGTATCATGGGCGGAAGACGACAACAAAGTGTGTCAAGTGCTTTAGTTGAGTGCTCTGCGTGATCCAAATATATTCCGAGTTTTGTGGCCTTCCATTCACTCCCTACTGCCTGAGCATTGACAGACCAACAGCGTATTTACATGTGCTATTATTCACGGGCACCAACTCCGCGCTGCACACCCTCCACGCACCAGAGAATACCTCAGCTCAAGAACAACAACTTCAAGCCTTGCAGCGGGCGCAGGTCTTGGCCACCGTCGTCCAACTGCCATCCACGTTCTGCCGCTGGTACGCCAGCCCCGAGCGCGCACCCCCCTCGCCAAAGCTCAGCACAAACTCGCCCTCCTCCTTGCCGTCCACGATGGACGTCGCCAGCTGGCTCCTACACGCATGAACCACGCGGTTGGACCCCTCGCGAATGTCAAACTTGGCGCCGGGCTTGGACACGACGCGGACGTCGTACCGCGGCGCGCCCTTGTCGTCCTTGGAGCAGGTGGCCTTGATCTGGATGGGGTACGAGTCCCGCGGGAGGGGCTGGTCCAGCGCCGTCAGGGACATGCTGAGGGCGTCGTCGGAGCCGAAGCGCACGGCCGCCTCGTCGAGCTTCATGCGCGTCGTGTACAGCGAGCGGCCGTTGCTCGTGCTGTTGCGCGCGTGGTGCACGTAGAACAGCTCCGCGCCCTTGCGCGTCCGCAGCGTCACCTCCTGCGGATCGCCGCCCTCGTCGTGGCTGGGCGGCGGCGGCGACGCGACGATGCTGCCGTGGCCGGTCGAGAAGATGGGCCGGGCGCCGTCGGGCTCCTGCGACAGGATCGGGTTCTTTGACGACTTGCGGAAGGGCCCCAGCGGGGACTCGGCCGTCGCGAAGCCCACGCCGTAGTTGGACGCCTCGTAGTTGTTGGCGCTGTACGTCAGCAGGTAGATGGGCTTGCCCGTCTTCGCGTCCGGCCGCCGGATGACGGTGCTGCCCTCGGACCACCGCCTGTCCTTCTTCTTGCCGTTGTACTTTGTGTAGTCGTTGACGTGGAAGTTCTCCCACTCCTGCGGGTCGGCGCCGTACGAGATGACCGTCTTCCAGCCGTCCTTGCGCGGCGGGTTGCCAATCTCGCCGGTGCCGTTGTACGAGGCGATGTCCTTGAGCGGCGCGGGCGCGTCCTTGGCGTGGGCGTCGACCTGCGAGGGGATGATGGCGGGCATCGTCTTCGCCTGGGGGTCGTCCCACCAGTCGCGCGCCAGCTCGACGACAATAATGTTGGACTCCTCAATGTACTTGCCCAGCTTCGTGTCCCAGTTCCAGTTGCGGTAGGCGTTGCGCGACGCGTACAGGTAGATGCGGCCGTCCTCGTCGAAGAAGATGTTGGGGTCGATGAAGGGGATGTAGGTCCCCTTGGGCGCCGTCTGGCCCTCGCTCAGCTTCTGCGGCGGCAGCATCTGCTTCTCGTCCATGATGAGGTTGACGTCGTGATAGCTGGGGTCAAACGGGTACCAGTCAATCGGCTTCGACTCAATCTCCTCAAAGGGCCCCGTCGGGGAGCGCGACACGGCGACGCCGAGCTTAGACGGCTCCTCAAAGGCCGAGTAGCGGAAGTGATCCTTGGCCAGGTCGGCGCGCAGGCGGCCCGCGAAGATGAAGAAGTACCAGCCCGTCTTCTCGTTGTAGTACGTCTCGGGCGCCCAGAACCAGTCGCGCGCCCAGCACGCCTGCCCGCCCGCGAGCTTGTTGCCCTTGTCATCGAAGCACGCCTTGAGCACGCCGCCCGGGTGCCGATGCCATGTCGAGAGGTCCGGGCTGCTGTAGATGGCAAAGTTGAAGCCCGCGTCGGCGCCCTCGGTCGAGTACGCGTAGTAGTTGCCGCTCTTGCGGTCGTACAGCACGTACGGGTCCGCCCCGGCGTGGCTGGCCGCGTTGTGGAATTGCGGAGGAGGCTTGGGGGAGGGGGAGCGGGAGGACATGGTGGTGCCGGCTTGCGTGAGGGACAGCGCGGGGAGGCACACGAGTGCCGCCCTGGCAAAGACGCTGGAGAGGCGCATGCCGTTTATTAAAGCGGTGATCCACTGAGCAGAGGGGTAACTAGAGGGGGCGGCAGGCCAGACTATGGATTAGGAATCACTCAGATATATCCTACCCAGACACGAACCAAAACACCATCGACCTAATGCGCGATATCGTCGCATTATAAGCACTTACAGTAAGACGGCCGGGCCGTGTGCTCTCGTCGTGTTACCCTCGGGCCTCACTTCCCCCTCCCTTCGTGTCGTGAGCTCTACGCGCACCAAGGAGAAACCGCGCCGCCTCCCATCAGCCAACGTCCATCCGTCGTAGTGCGATCGCCCTCCTGACGGCGGCGCCCACCCCTGCACCATCCGTGCAATCCTACCGGCGTGGGTCCGGGAATCTGGGGACACAAGTCGTGGGGTCCCCACATATTCCCCTCCGCCGTTCACGCCGACACGGGCCTTTGTGCTTTGTACGATGTACATTTACCGGAGGGACACGACTCGGCCCGCGGTGCAACGTGATTTCTGGGACAGCAAGACCTGATCCGGGAACTCTAAGTGCTATTGAAGGGCGGGGGATACGAAGACGGAGGTCTTTCGGTTTGCGAGTGGACCCCGAGTGAAGCCCGGTTGAAGCATCGTGAGCTCCGTGCTCCGGTGTCGTTCTCGCATATGCCAGGAGATTTGATGGCCAAATGACGGCACCCAGATGCGAAAATTAGCCAAATTTGCCGCAAGAATATAGACAGAATGGCGGTGTATTAAGTCTAATCCTCAAAGTACCACGCGGCACCAAAACAGGGAAGCTGGATGGTCGTACACCCGAGCCATGCCGGCTCTGATATCGCTTCCTCCAGCGACTTTGACTTATTCATATCAAACTCGTGCACAAAGCCACTAGCAACTCCAAATAAACCCCAAATAATACCGCACCATGGCACCAGCAACGAGACACTATTCTTCAGACCATTGCCCGTGTACGAGGACACCCAGGTGTTGGCCAGTGTTCATGCTTGAGCAGGGCATAGGCGAGCAGCCAAGCACACCACACGATCGGCCAAACATCTGATCACAGGCCGAGCTCCGTATGAGCAACAGCCAGCGCCGAGCCTGCAGGACGGTTACTCAGCCTCCCAATACTTGCACCTCAATCGTCCCATATACTAAAGTGGACTCATGTACAGCAGAGCAGTGGATCAAGAGGGTGTAGTGCAATTCACGGCCGTCTGAAGGCAAGACTCCAGCCTCATTCGAGGCCGGTGCAACCCCTACTTCCCCGTGAGCTTCAGCAAGGCCTGTGCCCTCGACGCGACCGCCGCGCCGTCGAGAAACGCCCTCAACTCAACCGCCTTGAAGCCCGCCGCCCCTCCCTCTCCGTCTCCTTCCCGCGCGGGCACCAGCTCCAGCACATTAAACTCCCTAACGCGCACCTCGACGCCTTCCGGATCGTCCTTGAACACGGTAACGCTCGTCGACTCGTACATGACGGTCCTGGCACCGCCGCCGCCGTCGCCATCGTTCCCGCGCGCCATGTCCCACGCCACGTCCACCTCGTGCCGGAACTCGGCGACCGTCTCGGCGCGCCGCTCAAACATGGGGAGCACGTCGCGCGCGGGCATGGGCGCGCCGCCGTTGATGACGAAGACGGCCGACGGCGCGAGCAGCGACATGAGCTCCGGCGTGCCGTCGAAGGGGCCCAGCGAGTCCAGCTCCGGGAGCAGGGCGCGGAGGAAGAGGAGGCCCGGGGAGGCGTCCGCGGGGATGGCCGTGTAGGGCCCGCGGTGTATGGATACTTGCGACATGGTTTGATGGTGGCGATGCCTGCGTGGGTGCGTGCGGCGATGGGGTGGTCGTCGCAGGGCTGTCGCACGCCGGGGATGAGGTTGGTTTGTTGTGTCGCGGTCAGCCTCATTAGTAACGCCAGCTGAAGAAGTCGCGCTTATACTTGGGCGACGTATAGTTGCCCGAGTGGCGGCTGACTGAAGCTGAGCCATAACGAAGGCGACACTAGGAGGTCAGCCCCCCGCTCCGGCTTCATCCCGCGTTTGGCCGTTGACTCGGCATGTTCACGGTGCAAGACTGATGAAAGCTCATCTCTCGTGAAAGACGAAGCCGCCCCACGGCGAGGTGGCCGCCCAACCGGCCGCATCGACGGCATCCTGCCGCGCTCGTCTCTGCGCGAGGGCCTCATCGGCGCTCATGCCGAGCGCAAAGGCCGGCACCTCATCGCGGTCGACGCGCAGCCAGCCCCTCCATCCCGTCACGACGTCTCCCGCGCCGGGCCCTCCGTAACCCCCTCCACCAGCTCCTCCTCCACCGCCGCCGCCTCCGACGACGAGCGTCCCCCACCACTGCCGCGCGCGACTCGCCTGCGCCGCATCGTCGTAGAGCATGAATGCGCCGGCGTCGGCGACGAGCGCGCGCAGGTGCCCCTCCATGCCCGGCCCCGTGACGGCGCTGCCGCTGTGCGCGGGCCGCTGCACGTAGACGTGTCGCATGTCGTCCTCGGTGCACGTCAGTCGCGTGGCGTCGAAGCGGCCGTCGAGATCGACTACGAGGACGGCCTGCCGCAGCGGCGGCGCGGCGAGCTGCGAGACGAGCGTGTAGAGCAGCGGGAGGCCGCGGCCCGAGATGGACGTCGTTGCCGCCTGCGTGTCGCGGAAGTGCCGCGCCGCAACGCGGTCGAGCTCGTCCATGTGCGTCGTCTTGACCTTGACCTTGCTTCTGGTGTTTTGGGGCGGCGTCGCATCGCTGGCTGCAGGGTCGGGCAATGATGCACGGAGGCTGTCAAGGATCTGCGTGATGCGTGTAAGTGGTTGTACGACGTAGGTAAGCAGGCAAGGCTGCGGTATCGGGGAATGAGGCGAAATGGCAAGCGAGCATCTGGATGATCCGGCACAGCTCGGTCAACTAGACCAAGAGGCTTCATTCTCATGGGGGCATGGTGGCGGTCTCTATGTGGTACTGAACCGACAGTGAAATTCCGTGATGTGCCGGTGTGGGTGAAGCTTCGACTTCATGTGCATGCCGAAGAGACAACCATGCTGCCAGGCAAGAACGAAAATTGGCGCAAAAAGAGAAGAAAATTCAAACAAGAACTGATGGGATGTGAAATGAACGACGGGGCAACGCCGAGCAGTCCAGGCTTGGAGCTTGCTCGCGTCGCGAAAACGCAGCCAAATTCAGGCACCCAGGCCCATCCATCACCGCACCTCACCACCAGCCAAAATAAAAAAAGCAGCAACACTCACTCACTCAAACTCACTCACCTCTTCCAAGCTCGCCTCCTCCACCGCCGCCAGCAGCATCCGCCCGCCAGCCGCCGCCGCAGACGCAGACGCAGACGCGTCCATCGCCCTCACCTCTCGCAGGTCCCCCCCACGGGACAATCAATCCATCCACCCACTCAAAATGACGCCGCCGTGCCACTCCTTCCCGGCCTCGGAGCTGCCCACCAAGGTGCAGCTCGACGCCCGCGGCCGCCGTCGCAAGCCCCCCGTCGTCGATGCCGCCAGCAGCAGCAGCAGCAGCAGCAGAGTCGACCTCGCCGCCTGCGAGCTCCTCCAGATGCTGCAGTACAAGTGCGAGGTGCAGCGCCCGCACGCGCGCGACAGCCCCGTGCAGTGCTTCGCCGTGGAGCGGCTCTTCCGGAGGTGAGAGCTTTTTCCCTACTGTTGCGCACCGCTTCCCTTTCTTGCTTTCGCTCGTGCTCTCGCGTGTGCCGCTGCGTGTGTGTTGCGCGAGATGGCGGTGCGATGTGTGTGTTGTGTTGATGCAAGGTTGACGTTTGGTTTCTTTTCTGGGCGCGCGCAGGTGCAACGACAAAAAGGGCCCCTTCACGGTCGAGACGACGGCCTGGGAGGGAAAGGCTCCCACAACACCGCCGCCGCCGCAGCTGCAGCAGCAACAACAACAACCGGGTGGCAGAGATGACGAACCCAAGCCTGCCGCGAAGCCGTATCAGTGGTCGTCGAATTGGCATGACGCGGATGTAGCGCCTTGATGCCGGCTCCGGGAATCGACAGCCACCGTACCACCACACCCATCATCCTCACACAGAAGAGCACCCCTACAGCGACCATGATGGCCGGTACATGCCTCCGCACATGGCCACGCCTGAATGAATGGTACGCAGCTCCGGGATAATTGCGCCACCTCGCCGTCGTTTGGAAGCCGCGTGCGCCCAGGCGATGGCATCACGAATGGCTTCATCCTCCGGCCGCGCTGGTGTGGGGAGCCCAGCGCCGAGAACGGCAGTCTAGCTATGGCCCCTACTCCGCCCGCCTCGAATAGTCAAGCAGGCTCAAACCAGCAGGAGCTCCTAGGCTTCGGTAATAACCAATTCGCACGCTCGTTGCGATCCTGGCCGGGCCAGAGTCGCCGCCATACGTTGCCCCCTCGAGGATGCCACTACGCTGATGTCCAGCGCCCGGTAGGACGGGGGCAGATGAGTTGCCAGGTGCAGCTGCAATAGCTAGATGAGAAATAAAACGGACACTCTCCTCTCCCATCTGTCGGCGGCCCAATCCTCAACATCCCGTCTACATCGCACATGCCAGCTCCACCAAGCATTCTCGGTGCAGCACCACAGGCCATCATCGTGAGTCACAAAGTAAAGTCAAGCATTGGTCGACTGGGTTGCCCTGGTCTATTGTACAGTATCGTCCAGCGACCACGCTGCCGCAGTTCTGCGCAGGATATACATCCCTCCCTCGTCTATCCGCACCTTCGGCGCTCTTTTCCCCCCTCCCACCGTCCCGTATCACACACTTTGCCCGTTCGTCCGAGGCATAAGCGCGCCCGTCATTGCGTCGTGCTGGCAACAGTGGCGGCGGCAGCTTTTTACTCGGTCTGCTTGCTGGCGCGCTGCTCCTCGAGCTTGTTGTAGAAGGCGTCGCGGAGGTTGGTTCGGGGGACGTGGTAGCCGTACCTGTTTTCGCCAATTCGTCAGCCGGCCGACCCCAATTGCACTCTCCTCAAGCAGAGAGGATTCGCCGAGGCAGGGCGTCGTTTGACTTACCAGAACCAGTTGGCCATGGCGAAGCCGGTACCTGCATCCAGGCGTTAGTCACTGGCTCACCAAGCTCCACGAACCAAAGCTCCCAGCAGCTCCCGTCAATGCCGCCCCCTCGTCCCAAATCGAGTCGTCGGGCCAATTCACGTACCCAGGCCAATGGAAAGGTCCAGGACCAAGCGTCGTCGCAGAATCTATAGCAAGAGGAACCACCCGTTAGCTCGCTGCAAATTTGCCTTTCCCGGCCGGCCCATCACCAGCCGTCTGGTGACCCCACCGCCGGCGCTGCTGCCAATTGACTCCCCCCCAGTGCATACGTACTCCGGTGATGGGCTTGATGGCCATTTTGCTTATCGAGTCGGATGCGGGGAGAGCTTCGTCTCGTGAGAGTTTGTCGGGGCGGGTGGATTGTAGGTCAAAGGGTGCGTCCGGGACGGGTGGAACCGAGGATGGCCATGATCGAATGTTGTTAATCGCGCTAACGAGAGCCGTCGAGTCACGTGATATAGTTTTCGCTGTGGCGGCAGAACATCGGCATTGGCAAAAAAAGGCGACGCACCGGCGAGCTCCAGACGGCAGGGCTCCAACTACACCCAGGAGGACCATCGTGAGGAACTCGTCTGGCAGATTGTCGGCGTCACAACTCTTCGCCATGAGTGTCCGCCTAGCCGCCCGGCGGCTGGCGCTGTCAGGTAAATGCCCTGTCCTACAAACACGCCTCGCCTCGTTCTCAATGGCTGACCACCGCGTCTCGCACGTGCAGGCTCCTCGTCCCCTTCACCATCCTCCCTCCTCGTCGCCTCGCCCACATGCGCCGCCCTCCTCGCCTCCCCTCCGACCTCCTCCCAGCGCCGTCACAAATGGTCCATCAACGTCTTCAAGGGTTGGGGAAAGTCCAGCTCCAAGGACGCCTCCGCGAGCCGCGGCGGCGGCTCCGACCCGCTCACGTCGGAACTCGACGACCCCAAGAAGCGCCAGCAGTTCCTCGAGCGCAACATGCACGGCACCGTCGAGTACAACATCTTCCAGGACGAGATTGAAGCCGGCCCGAGCGGCGCCGCGCAGGAGGAGCGCACCGGCGCGGCCCAGGCTGAGCAGAAAACGCGCGAGAACATGGCCATGGTCACGGACCCGGATCCCCGCGCCCGGATACGCTGGCACCGCAAAAAGGTGATCCAGATGGTCCGCACCAACGGCCACCTCACCACGCGGGAGCGCCTCGCCCGCACCGAGCGCCAGCTCCTCCACAAGAGCACCTTCCTGCCCACCAGCGTCAAGAAGCTCGTTATGCTGTCGCGCCAGATTGCCGGCAAACCCGTCGACGATGCCATCGCTCAGATGCAGTGGTCCAAGAAGAAGATGGCCGCCGAGATCAAGTACTACCTCGAGGAGGCACGCGACCTCGCCGTCGCCCAGCGTGGCATGGGCCTGGGCAAGGTCAACGGGGAGCTGCTGGACAAGCCGCGCAAGATCCAAACCAAGGAGGGCAAGTGGATGGACGTCACCGACCCTACGCGCATGTACATCGCCCAGTCTTGGGTGGGCAGGGGCCCGTGGCGCGGCAAGGAGATTGACTACAAAGGGCGTGGCAGGATGGGCGTCATCCAGCACCCCAGCACCAGTTTGTCCCCCAGACACACCCACCGGCTTTCCCCTAACCTACTGACACACCACCCAAAGGCTTCACAGTCCTCTTGAAGGAAGAAAAGACGAGGATACGAGAGCACGAAGAGCGCGTGGCTAAAAAGAAGGCCAAGGGTCCCTGGGTCCATCACCCAAACCGCTCCATCTACGGACAACGACCATACTACACCTGGTAGACAGGCCCCACAGACCCTTCACTTGCATACAGAGCGGACGACGGGCATCGACGTCAATGTCACTGGCGGCAGAGTATGTACTTCCACACGGGATACTGTAACAACACATGTACATTGAATACCTAGTTGTACAACTGAGCTAAAATCTCCGTTGCTTGGGACTCTCCATGGATATCTAAAGGCAGCCATCCTTGCATGGTAAAGTAACAGGTGGCACGTTAAAATGGAAAGTGAGAACGCATTCCGGTACGCCGCCGCATCCTCGTGGCACTGAGCGAGCCATCCTATACGTTGCTCCTCTAGTCATGAGGCGACGCCTCCGTAGTGCTGGCACGAATCATGCAAGCTCATTGCATCAAGCCACTGGCATCGACTGTGTGGATGAAATGATTGTCCCGAGGTAAATGAAAAGCGTCTGCGGCTTGTCGTTTCGAGCCTGCTCGTCGAGCGCAGACTAAGTCAAATGAATGTGCCGAACCCCGAAATCACACCATCGTTCGCGGTTGCGTACGCGGCACCATGTCCTCGTACCGGTTGGAGGACAGCTCAATGTCGTTGTGATACTTCTCGAAAGACCCGTGGTCGGGGCTGGCATATGTCCTGCCCGCCCCGGGGAGCGGCTTTGAGATCTCGAAATGCGGATGCTGGCTGGGTCGGCGCTTCCGGTTGCGAAGAAGAAGGCAAATGACAATGCCCGCGATGGCAATGACGGCAGCTCCAATGCCGACGCCGATACCGATGACAGCAGCCTGAGACAAGCCCGAATTCGAAGAACCGCCCGCAGCCGCTTGCGACGAGGTTGCGCTGGCCGGGATGCCAGCATCAGTCGTCGATGGCGCGGATGTTTGAGTTGAAGAGGCGGTGGACTGTATTCGCCGGTCAGCAACGCCAATACGATTCCGCGGCAGGTACTTACAGTAGACTCGGCCGTAGCAGATGCCGTAGTGCTCACTGATGCTGACGTCGATGTTTGCTGCGCAGTCTCAGAGGCAGAAGACGCCGAGGTAGAGGTGGAGCTAGTTGTCGAAGTCGTCGTGGTGGCCGGAGTCGTAGCCTCGGGGGTGGGCGTCGGCGTTGGTGTAGTTGGCGCTGCAGTGGTCGAAGGGGCGGCCGGCGCTGTCGTCGCGCCGAACGTCAGACCTGTATTCAACCGTGATGAGTCTTCTGCCGTGCGCGTAACAGGACTGAGCGTACTTACCGGGACAGAAACCACCAATGAGTGCCTGGCGTACGTTGGGCTCCGTGGCACCGCAGGCAACGGCGCAGTCGCGGACGCCATAGAAGAAGTCTGCTTTGGCGCACAGACAACCAGCATCATCAGCATTCACGCAAGCGAACTTGGTGAACTGGCTTCTGGTAGTGGCCGAGCATTGGGGCTGTTTTGGTCGTCAGACCTGTAGTCATGAGGCTTCGGGAGGATGGGACTCACGATACAGTCTGCGCTCTGGGCAGCAACACTGAGCATCTGTAGCGCGCTCAGGGCGCCAATCAACAGCGGTGCGAATCGGCCCATGTTGAAAGTTCAGAAAGTAAGGATTTCGCGCGCCGTGTCGTCGTCGAGACTACGAGGCAAGCAAAGCCTCCGGCTGCCGAGCCGTGTCGATGACTGTGAGGTCCTTAAAGAGCGGAGGCGGAGAGGTGCTGAGGTAGGCAGACACGTCCTGAGGTGAGACCAAGGGTGATCTCCTCGGGTATTACGATGCCTTCGTGCGCACAAGCCAAGGTCGGCGGGTACGTAGCCGGGCACGAATGGTGTTGCGGGACGCGGCCGAATACGAAATCCGTGTAGCCAACGTGTAAAGGAGCGGCTGAGAATTGGTAGGCTGGAAAGAAAGATGACGTCGGTGGGAACGATTGGAATGGAATGTCGAAGCGGCTGTCGCGTGTCGAGATGGTGACCAAAAGAGCGCGGTGGTCTGAGTGTGGAGGCGGTGGAAAGTCAAGAATGAAGGTGGTCACGAAAGCGCGAAAGAGAAGTAAGGGTGGGGGACAAGAACGAAAGACGGCTTCACGACATGTGAGGGAGCGCGCTGTACAGTCCGGTACTGCAAGGTACGGTGAAGAGAAGAAGGCGGAGAAGGCCCTTTGGTGTTGGTGGGCGAGGACCGAGGAGGGGGCGGCTGTGAAAAGTGAGAAGCGAGGACGAGGACGGGCCTGGGGCATGAAACGGGGACGAGGAAGGCGTGGAGGTGCGTCTGTGGATGGATGGATGGATGGATGGCCGGGACCGGGACCGGGAGACGGGATGGCAGGCTCAACCCGCGAGCTTTCCAGCCTCAAGCCTCCCAATCAAGCCCAATCAAGCCCAGCTGCAAGGCTCCTTCCGCGGGCTACGATAAATCTGGCAACGGCAGGAGCGAAGGGGTCCTCTTTGCGGTGCCTTCCCGTGGTGTGCTTGGCAGGAGCGAGCCATTCGCAAACTGATCCGTTCCTTCCCTACCTTTTTACCTTACTCGCACAATCAGATCCATAAAGCATCAACAGAGGCACGTACGATGGAGCATGAAAGCTGATCCTCGCTTGGTCTTCTCTTGGCCGCGGCATGAGCGAGGCGCTTCGTCGGCAATGCCATGCCTCGCTTCCTCGAGCCCCCAGAGCAACCACGCCCGCTCCGTTTCGTCGACAAACTCTCCCCTGAAGAAGCCGTCCCCGCTCCTGCACTTCGCTGCGCTGTCGCTGGCGTTGTCGACGCACGCACGGCGGGACGCACTTCCCGTAGGACGAGCCATGGATGGACGATGGTATGGCGAAACAGCCAAGGGTGCGTGCTGAAAAGGCCCATTCCACGGTTGGGCTGGAGCTGTGAGTGGCCTGTTGAGTGAGCGGCGTCGACCAGGCTGGCGAGCTAACCGTCGCGTGCCGCCCTAGCTCGCAGTAGTCAGGGGTAAGCAATGCTGCTCCTTGGCTTGCTGGGCGGGGCCGAGCTTCCGTCAGTCGTTCCGTGGGTGCTTGGCTCAGGCGGTGGCCACGGCGTCTGTGCAGTGCGGACGGTGCGAGATGATGATGTCGTTTTTTTCTTCCCCGTCTCGTGGCAACGGCAAAGGCAAAGGATGAGACCGTGGGCTTGAGACTCGCGTGGCAGGGCCGGGACATGCATTGCGGTTCCCGACTTGGCAGGTGGTTTGACGCAGATTCGCGCGACCCTGCGAACTGGTCGATCTGGATCTTGACCATTCCTTTGCTCACATCTCATCAGTACCAGGACCCTCGTCTCGCATGTCAAATCTCCGCCGGCGCCCGTCCATGCCCAGCTCGGGCGACTGACTCCAGCACAGGGAGGGGCGCAGATGGCCGTGGCGCAAGCTCCTCGAATGTCACCCATGGCCCCATTTCGCGGGCTGTCGATCCCCATCCTAGCAATACCGCCCGTCCAGTCAGCTGCGAAGCAAGCGACGAGGGTGGCCGCTTGGGGCCGACTTGAAACGACGGCCAGCCACGACGCTTCCAACGCAACGGTCGCTTGCGGGGTGAGGGTCACCATCGCCAGGGGTCGCCGCGCGCTGCCTCGCCGCACGTCAACACGGCTGCCGTATCAATACGAGCTCAGGCAGTCCGGTCAGTCGTGCGCCGTCAACCACGGGATGCAGCGCTGAACAGCTCGAGCATGAGTACGGGCGGTGTGCTGCACTCTGTTCGTACACTCAGAAGTTGCGCTCGCTTGGCCAGCACAGCCACTGTGAAACGGTCCTCGCTGAGGCCGCCGAGACAGCACATACGCATGCCAGCAAGCACATGAGACGGAGAACGGGTGTGGGATTGGCTGGGCCCCGGGGACCGAGGCCCTCGTCGCTCCATCGTTGGCGGCTTACTACGACGACGTTGCATGTGTCGTCTATTGGGTCGCGATTCAAGCTTCAGGGCGCGTGCCTGAGCGACACCAGCGGTTGCGGCCCACGAGACGTGCATAATACGGAGTACAGGTCTGGACTTCTGACTCCTGAGAGACGTCGGTAGGAACAGGACGGACCAAACGGACGCGCGACACCGGCTTCCAACAGCCCGCCATGTTGGGTCGGCAAATGGTCTAAAATTATGTCTGTCCCAGGCTTCGTCACAGACCTCCGTCCGAGCTGCCGACTGATTTGCGCGAAGCGTGGCCCGCCTACATACAACACCTCACAGGGCACGGGAGGTGACATCACTCACGGTCGCGATAATGTCGCACGTTCTGGCGTCGATCTCTGTCTGGTGGAGGTGAAGAGCCTTCAATTTCAGCCCAAGAAGCTGTGCGTTCGTGCCAATCCTGGTGATGGTGGCAGGCTACCCTGGAGGCATCTCGTCACAGGGCGAAGTACAGGTTGCGGCCGTCGGCAGTTGCGCATTGGCGCGGTTCGCGGCTGGGGATGGACGGCCGGACCGGGCATCGTGGCCTGATGTTGAAACTCTATCGGCACACACGCGTCGAGCGGTCAAGCGCGGTTCCTGTCACTGGACACGAGAAGTGCATACTGCGCATCTCGCGCGCAAAGGTTGACATGCACCTTGTCCACAAAGCCGCCGCCGTAGCCGCAGATGTCATTGTCAGTGTCCGTTGCGCCGATCGCATACTAGCGCCCAGAGCTGCCTTAGCGGCGATCGGGCTGCTTGCCGGGCGAGCTCTGAGCAGCGAACGCGACGGCGAACCAGCACGAGTCGACACGAGTCGACACGAGGCGAGGCTTGGACTAGTAGTCGTCGCGATAGATTCATCGGCAGGCTACAGCATGGCTGTTGTAAGTGAGTGCGCGCGGGCGCAGGCTGAGGCGTTGGCGGGTGATTGATAGGAAGCCACGCGACCGATGGCAAGGCGACGCCTCACAGGCGCCCATCTGCCTGGCCACTCGTGCCAGCACGCAGGCCAGCCGGTCTAGACCTGCGGCGCCAGAGAGGCTCGACGAGTCCGCAGCCTAGAACGGCCGAGATGGCCAGAAGCTGCCAATGGGGCTGCCTTGGCGCCCGGCTGTCGTCGCACAAATCGCCCTCTGTCGACGCCCCGTTGCATCATGCGGTGCATCGTATGTACGAGGCATGGGCTGGACCGTCGGCAAACCGACGCGACGACCTTCTGCACCGGCATGGCATGTCTGGGCTGGTCCATCGAACGCCGCCTTGCGTTTTGCGGGCATGCACTTTTGGTCCCGACACGAGCTGCTTTCTTGTCTCTGCATTCTGCATGAGCGCGCGGCGCGCAGCCTTGCTTGCCTGCCCTGCAAGCTTGGTTGTTTGGCTGGCCGCAGGGTTGGCTGAGGCTGGCCTCTTCGCCCTCGATTCCATTATTGATGCTTTTCTTTACCGCATTTATCTCCTGGTGGTTGTCCGTCGGACAGAGGCCTACGCCCAGACAGTCGCTTCTTTCTGACCGGTTGGCCTGCTTCGCTGTCTACACATTTCGGCCGTGACTGCTGGTCGACTCCGCTCTTCGCGACCGAAAGAGGTATGCTGCAGCTCACTTCCCAGCCTGGGGTGCCTGGCCTTGACAATCTTAGCTACCTAGATCATCGAAGACTGGAGGCACACAAGGCAATCACGGCACGGCACAAGCGGTACATGCATCGAACCGCGCTGTACCGGTGAATCAAAAGCCCGGACGGCCTTGATGGGCAGTCCAGTTGCCAGGCTGATCCCCATAAGGCAGCCCGGCACCTTCAGCCCTGGGCTGGCGCTACTGTCCGTCAGCAGCCGAATTTCTAGGCCCCCCCCACTGTAGGCATGCCTGTGCTGCCTGCCCATGGCGGCCATGGTGGACCCTGTTTTACCCCCACGGCAGCACGCGCCGCCGCACTTTTCGCACCTGGAGCGCCAGCTTCGGCACCGCACGCAGCTGCAGCGCCAGCCGCCTCCAGCTTTGGCAGCTTCCTTCGCGTCCAGCGACCACAAGCCCCTCCACCCTGACATCGACCTCTATCTCTGCCGTCGCTACCAGCCCGCCGTCGTCCGCAGCCCGCCCTTTGCATCTGCCCGACCTTGTGATGCCCGATTGCGCCGCTCGCACGCGATAACCACAATGGCCAGCCCCGTAGGCGAGCAGAACTGGCTCGCCTACCTCGAAGAGGCGGCCCGTACCGCCGTCGACCTCGAGCAGCGCGTCAACGTCGTCGAGCTCTACAAGCGCGCCATCGGTGCTGAGCCCGGCAGCTTGCGCCTATGGCTGGCCTACTGCAACTACTTTTGGAGTCTCTGGGCCAGCAGCCACGCTGCCGATGCCTCGGACTCGACCTGGTCCGACGAAGAGCAGCTGATGGGCCGTGAGATCTTCTCCTTTGGCGCCGCCCTCGACCTCTGGCAGCAGGGCTACGAGGCCATAAAATACCGAATCAATGATAGCAACCAGTTCTGGGACCGCTGGGTCTCCCTCGAGATGGAGCAGCTCGCCAAGACGAAGACGCCCGAAGGCGTCCGGCGCATCACCCACCTGTACCGCGACCGCCTGGCCATACCGCACCTCACCTGGGACGAGACGTCGCAGGCCTTTTCGAGTTTTCTTTCCCAGTACAACAAGGCCGCCTGGGAGGAGACGATGAAGGAAGTGACCTCCGCCGCACAAGGCGTCAAGCGCGTCATTGACGCTCGCGATCCGTTCGAGCTCAAGCTCCAGGCAGCAGCGCGACAAGGCGACGCAGAGGCGGAAAAGGCCGCCATGCGGGACTATCTCGAATGGGAGATACTGCAGAGCAAGAGGAACAATGACGTCCCTGAGATGGCCGTCGACATTTGCAGTGGCCTGTTCTCGCGCGCCCTGACCGGCATCTTTTCGTCGGACGACGGCATCTGGCACGAACACGTCGTCTTCGTCTCCTCCAACTCGGACGCCCCCGCGACCGACAAGCTTCTCGACATCCTGCGCAGAGCTGTTGTGCACTGTCCTTGGTCTGGGCAGCTGTGGAACCGGTTCATATTGTGTGCCGAGGAGGCCAAGCTCCCCTTTTCCGAGATTGAGGCCATCAAACACGCGGCAACGAGCGACAACCAATTGTACCGCGACGGCATGGAGAGCGTGATTGAGATGTACGTTGCCTGGTGCGGCTTCTTGAAGCGTACGGCGCTCGAGCCTACGGCAACGGACGAATCTGTGGACGTTGCCGATGTTGGCCTGAGAGCTGCGCTCGAAGATGTCGACGTTGTCGGGAAGCGCCTCTACGGGAAGGAGTTTCAGGGCGACCCCAAGTTTCGACTGGAGCGAATCTACATCCAATACCTGACCGAGAGGAAGGGCGCGATAGATGAGGCTAGGGGCGTCTGGAACAAGCTGAAGCGCGCTCAGGTCCATGCCGACAGCTACGACTTTTGGTTCCGCTACTACATGTGGGAGATGCTGATATTCTCGTCGCATCCGCAGTCCAACAGAAGCCCCACACCGTCATCGTCTGGGTCCGGCCTCCGCACCCCTCAGCTTGCGACAGCTGTGCTCCATGCGGCGGCGACACGGCGAAGCATAGACTGGCCAGAGAAGGTGTTTGAGGTTTACCTGCAGCACTGCAACGACTACGAGCTGCCTGCTTCGGTGCGTCGCGCAACCGACATGGTCCACAAGGCGGAGAAGGCGGTCAGGAGGCGACGGCTGCGTGAGGAAGAAGAAAAGGCAGCCGCTTATGCTGCCTACTACGGTACGCAACCTGTCGAAGAAGCCGTTGCTGAGACGGAGTCGCCCAGTGGATCAAAACGAAAGCGGGAAGCCAATGCCGAGGCTGCAGAGGAGGACGAGACTGTCACCAAGCGACAGAGGGGCGTCAACGACGCTGCCGATGCATCGCAAGCCACACCACAAGAGGGGGTCAAGCGAGATCGCGAAAATTCTACGGTTCTTGTGACTGGCCTGCCCGCCGACGTTACGCAGACAAAGGTGCGCCAGTATTTCAAAGAATATGGCCACATCAACCACATTACCGCCCTCGTACAGGAAAAGGACGGCCAGTCCTCCACCTCCCTAATCGAATTCCGCTCTCCCGACGACGCGCAGTCTGCGCTTCTAAGAGACGGCAAATACATGGGCCAATCTCAACTGAGTGTCGAGTCTGGCCACGATTTGACCGTATATGTCGCCAACTACCCGCCTGCCGCTGACGAAAAGTACATGCGGGAATTGTTCAAGGATTGCGGCGAAATGCTGAGCATACGATGGCCTAGTCTCAAGGTCAACACTCACCGCCGGTTCTGCTACATCTCGTTCCGCGACCGTGATGCTTCGGCCAAGGCCGTGGCAAAGGAGGGGACCATGCTTGACGACAAGTACAGACTCTTGTCCAAGTACTCTGACCCGGGCCGCAAGAAGAACCGCGAGGGCGCCGTCGCAGAGGGCCGCGAAGTGCACATCTCCAACTTGGACAAGGCTCTGAGCGAACAAGACATTCGACAGGCGTTCTCACAGTACGGGACAATCTTGCGGGTCAACATCCCAATGACACTGGCAGGCAAGAACCGTGGATTCGCATATCTCGACTACGAGACCAAGGAGCAGGCCGAGAAGGCGGTCGAAGAGATGAACAACACCAAGTTCCGCAGCCAGATCCTCTCTGTGGCCCTGTCGAAAGAGTCCAAGGTCAAGCATGCCTCCACGATAGTCAACGCTAGCCGCGAGTCTGCATCGCCTGCACCGTCACGCGACCACGAAGGAGACGAGGCCATGAGCGAGTCAGGGGTGCCGGACCAGTCCAAGCCTTCGGCAGAGGATATCGCGGCGCGAACCATCGCGCTGATGGGTCTTCCCGACACCGTCAACGACACTCGCGTCCGCGCGCTCATCGAGCCTCATGGGGAGATTGTTAAACTCGTCCTGCAGCCCGCCCACGGCGGTGCCAAGATTGAGTTTGTGGACGCCGCAACGGCCGGCAAGGCGGCCCTGTCGCTTGACGGGACCGACTTTGAGGGCAACAAGCTGCGCACCGGTTCGGTCGAAGAACTCCGACACGCCAAGGCGGAGCACAAGGCCGACCGCATAGTCTACGGGAACAAGGACAAATCAAGTAGCAAGCCTACCAACGGCCCGGCCCCGAGTGCCGCGTCCGGCCTCATGCGGCCCCCTGCGCCCGTTCGACGCCCCGTCCTCGGCCGCCCCGGACCCAAGCGCGGCCTCGGCTTCGCCCCGCGCCGTGCACCCGCGGCTAGCTCCACGGGCAAAGCGGACGGGGATACAGCCGCGGCGGAGAAACCCGCGCCCAAGAGCAACGCAGACTTCAAGGCCATGTTCCTGCAAAGCGGCGACGCCAAGAAAGGCGAGGCCGAGAGCGAGGCAAAGGCCCCCGACGGCGAGAAGGCGGCCGATGGAAACGGAGCTTAGGGGATAATGTAGAAATGGGGCCCGGGACAGACCAGCGGAACACCCTGCTATTAGAGTATTGGCCGCAGGGGTTACTGGTCATCATGTACAGTATAATGTCGCATGTGTGTCTGTCGTCTCTTGCTCGCTCGCTTGCCCTGCTTTGCTTCTTCCTGTGGCGCGTGTTTTTCTTTCCCGCCTCCATGGGGGTGTTCTTTGGTTCTCTTCATTCATGTGGTCGTTGTTGTGTTACATGGATGTACTACTTCATACCCAGTTCTGCGCGGACGAGCACGGCGCACGCGCGGAGGCACACGGATCGAGGCTGCTTTGCTCTGTTTGTCTTTGAAACTCGAGACGGGACTGGAGGGCGGACAGGCGGGCGGTGGTTATAGCGTAATTTACCTAGGTTAGAGAGGGGGCACGGCGCTGAGCCTGCGAATGAATGCAATGTAGGCTGCGCTGCGTAGGCCTGGCGCCGCCTCGAATCCTTTGTCGTGGCTCTCTTCATTGGGGAATTTCGTTCCCGGAAAACTCCTTTTCAGGTCTATACTTGGCCATGGGCGGCGTGTCTCTTTGCTTGCTTCCCAAGCCCGTCTATCTATGCATGGGCCGGGAAGGCCATTCTTTCTTCTCTTCTTCTACGTCTCCGTTCGTTTCGCGTACAAGGCCCTCCTGAGACTCTCTAGCATGAGTCGCTGGCCAACCTGTAGTTTCCCACGTTCCCACGATTGTTCTGCGAAAGAACAAGGCAGTTCCCTCGCCTTTATCGACTGGCACCTGGATGCAGGTGGCCATGGCCGTGACACCAGCCCCTTCGCGCTTCCCCACACGTCTACCACCACGCAACGGTTTACAGCTCTGCTCCTTCGGACTTCGACGCCCCGTGTAGCCGCAGCCTGGCAACCTATGCCCTGCCCGAAGCGACCGACGAGCCAATGCGTGTGTCTTGACCCTGTATCCCGCTGCTGCCGACGCCGCCACTTCCGCCGCCACTGTCCTGGGTGAAGAGGCGCTGCCAGACGTCGAGCCACTTCTCCTGCTGGGCGGTGGGCAGCTTGCCGGGCTGCCGGAAGGAGCGCGTGAGGAGCTCGCGGAGGCGCGTGCGGAGGACCTTGACGACGAGCATCGACTTCCAGTCGGGGAGGGCGAAGCGCCCGCGGTTGCCGTCGAGGACGATGACGCCAGAGAACATCTGCGCAAATGATGAGTACCTGAGGACAACGATTAGGGGGGAAAACCGGGTAAGAACGTACGTCGCAGCGCACGTCGCCGCAGAGGAGGGCAATGGCGAATGGCTCGCAGGCGGTAGTTTCGTGGGCGTGGTAGACTCTGTATAGATGCATGAGCAATTGGCCGTGGAATTGATAAGGGGGGGCGATACTAACGTCTTGGACTGCATGATGTGGTAGTAGGACAGCCACTTGATGTCGAGACGGCCACGGTTGACCGACGACGGATGCAGGCTGATGGATTGGTTGTTGCCAATGTTGCGGAGGCCCTTGCTCCCGGGCGTGTCCCTGACGAGCAGCTTCGGATAGAAGCTCCAGGCGATAACGGACGAAGACACCAAGTCGTTGTCGCTGTTGATATTGACTCTGTGCGGAACCTCAAAGAAGTTCTGCTGGCGACGTCCACGTCCGCCCTGGAATCTTTGGCCCTTAAGCGACCGGCGTTCGTCCTCTGTCAGGGAGAGGAACCCAGAGTCGGCCAGCGACACCAACAGCTGACCCTTGAGATCCTCAATATTGGCGAGCGTCTGCTGGCTCAAAAAGTTCTTGCGACAGAACTGAAACTCCTTGCCGGCGCCGCTATTAGCCTGGCACACGCGCTTCCACGCGATGTAGGCATTGTAGATGGTGAGCAGATCAGAGTCGGCACGCCGGAACAAGAGACGAGCATTGTCGGCCTGGGCACGTTGCCCGAATGGAGCGGAGAAGGGCGACTTGGATGACAGGATTGCGGCAACCGTGATGGCCATGTCCAGGCTCTTGAAGACGGTGCCGAGAAGGATGAGCTTTCCCAAGAAGACGTCAAGGGGCAGCCGGGCAAGTTGGTGGCCGAGCGGAGTGAGATCCTCCCCGGCAGTCAGGGCACGGACGTCGACCAGAGCATCGATGGCTCGACGTATGTTCTTCGCCGAAGGGGGATCTAGTGCATCCCCGAGAGTCTCCTCAATGCCGCCAATCTTGCAAATTTTGACGCGGATGGCAAGGTCTTGTAAGGATAGACGAAGCATCTCAGGTGTCTGCTGGTCGCTCATGAGATTGTCATGACGGTACTTTGTGAACATGTGGAAGCAGAGGCCGTTCTGCACACGACCGGCGCGACCACGCCTCTGCTTCGCGTTGGCTCGAGAAATGAACGTGTCAATCAGCCTCGAGAGCTGCCTTCTTTCGTCGAAACGCATCTCTCGATGCTTGCCCGTGTCGATGACGCACGTCACGTCGGGAATGGTGATGCCGGTCTCTGCAATGTTGGTAGCCAGTACAATCTTGCGCATGCCTGGCGGTGGCACAAGGAAAGCCGACTCTTGGTCTTCCGTAGCAATAGATGAGTGTAGAGGATAGACGAGCCAATCTTTGGCGAAGCGGGGGTCTCCGAGTAAAAGGTCGTTGAGAGTCCGGATTTCCGCTATACCCGGTAGGAATACCAGAATTGCCTTGCTGTATGCTTCTAAAGACGAGTCCGACGCAATGTGCGCCATAAGCTGAACGATAAGATCGAACTCGATATGGTATTCATCCAGTTGTGATAGTGCGTTTCTCGTCTTGGGAGAGTATGCAGCAAGGCTCTGTGATAAATCACTCTTTGGTCCGTTGGTCTCCTCTTCTGTAACATCATCGTCAAGATCAATCATCTTGTCTGCCGGAGAATTCGTAGGTTTGTATTTGGTGATTTCGATGGCGTCTTCGAGATAGCGCACATCTACTGGGAATGTTCGTCCAGGGACATTCAAGACGGGGGCGCCGCCGAGGTACTTGGAAAAGCGCTCCGCATCGACAGTTGCTGACATGAGGACAACTTTGAGGTCCTTGCGCTTGACAAGGAGCCGTTTGAGGACAATGAGGAGAAAGTCGCTATCGATGGTCCGCTCGTGCACTTCGTCGAGGACGAGGTGGGTGACTTCGCGAAGATCGTTTGAGCCCTCCAGCATGCGCATAACGATACCTGTCGTGGCGTATACTAATCGAGTTTCGCGCGACGTGTTGGCTTCGAGACGGATAGAGTAGCCGACCAGGGATCTGTTGGTGCCCAGGTCGTTCTTGTTTTCCCCCAGCTCGTCACTGACGCGGCGTGCCAGAGAGATTGCCGAGATTCGCCGGGGCTCTGTACAATAGATCTTGCAAGGCCGGCCCTGAGAAAGTTCATGCTCGAGCAAGAAAGCTGGCACCTGGGTACTCTTGCCACTAGTTGGATGTCAGACATTATCCAGCGAGGATCAAAAAACAAGGAGGATTCATACCATCCGGTCTCACCACAAACGATGACAACTTGGTTCTTGTCCACGGCCTCGAGCACTTGTGGTCTGAATTGCCACATTGGAAGCTGCATTCGTGATTGCTGTACTAAAGTTAGCCGTGAATACCCGGCTCGGTCGGTGCAAGTTGCGTACCAGCATCTGCTGAAACTTGCGTGTCCCAGACTTGTCAGCCCAGATCTTCTTGAATTCGTCGGGGTTTAGTGTCTGCGGCTTCTTCCGGTCGGCGCTATCAGATGAATCTTGTGCAGCCTTGCCGCCGCGGCCCCTGAATGCGCCTTGCAAGATGACTCCATCTTCTAGTTCTTGGTCGTGCCTTTGCCGAACCAACGTTCTCAGCGATCTGACGACAGCGCGATCCTCGGAATCGAGTTGCTCCTTTTTCGCCTCGGCCAGCTCGTTCCACAAGTCTCTCCATACTGCCGGCAGTCGCAGGTTGGCCTTTTCCTCTCTCGCGTTGCCGCTGAACACGTGGAATAGCGCCGATGTAGCGATGTAGGCCTCTGACTGCTTTGCATCGGAGGCTGCTACCCGTTGCATCGTAAAGGTAAAGCGCGTTGGATCTGCAATGACTTCGACATCAGATTCCGGCATAGCTGCCGGGGGCTCCTGAGGCTTCGTCCACCAGATATCGATGGACTGGCGGCTCGCAAAGGTGGCCTCTGAAACTATCGTATAGGTGATCTTGACGGACGGATCCCTGTTTCGTGTGAGAGGTGATTCTGTAGTGCTCGACGCATACCAACAAAGTCTTACCTCGCGCGACAAGCCTCTTCCAAAACTCGCCGCGGACTGACTCCTGTCCACTTGCCAAAGTCTCGCAACACCATCTTCGACCCATCTGCTGAGTTGATGACCGTGTGCGTCTTGCCCGTGCTCGGGTCGACTTCGTGTTGCGGTAGCGACGCGAATAGCCCAGCAATGTCGTCATCGTCGTCATCGTTTGTTTCAGCGAGGATCTCTGCGGCCATTCGCTCCGCCTCTGCGGCAACATCGTCCTCATCTTTTGCCTTGGGATCTGGAGTCTGGGTCGACGCCTTGGGCTCTTCCGCGGCCGCTTCCTGGGCCTCCTTCTTGGCGGCTGCCAGCTGTCTCTCCACAACTATCCGCTCGCTCTTCCACTTCATCTCTGCAGCAACTTTATCGAACAGGACGTCATTCTCGATCTTGTGCAGCTTTGCTTCAAGCTTCGCGATTGCAAGCTCGGTATCGTCACCATCTGCTTCAGCGGCCTTGCTGACTGGCCCGCGCGTGAGCTCCAGCAGTTTCGCCTTGGCTGAAACATACTCAGGAACCAGGTCCTCTGGCTCAATTTCGGCATCGTACGTCACAATCAGCTTTTTGGATGGACCCTTGCCGGGCCGCCCGGCAGCATTGGACTTGCTGGAGTCCTTGCCCCGACGTCCACCGTGGGACTCAGGCTTGGGCGTGTGCGGCCGGGAAGGGAACGGGCTGCCGGACGGCGTTTCTATGACTATAGCATGAGCACTGGGTTCGCGGGGAAGAGCTAGGCCTGGACTGCCTCGAATCATCAATACCTCTGGAGACGGGTTTGCCCCTGAACTCGTAAGGAGGAAGTTCCTCTGGAGAGCATTCACGCGCCAACCAATCAAGGGCTTCCTCCAAACCCCAGATAGAATCCTTGAAGACATTTGAGACACTGGCGGCGATGTCGAGGATATGCTGCATTGCAGCCTCGACCCGAGCCTCAGGAAAGCCGACGGCTTCGAGCGTCTGCCGCAGGGTCCACAGGCGCAGGACCAAGTCATCCTCGGACGGGATCTTGCCGGTGCCTGCGTTTTCGGTGGATATGCTAGAGGAGGCGAAACGAGTCTCGGCCTTGATGATGTCGAGTATGTAGTCCATCAACTCCGGGGGAAGCCATTTGGGTATGTTGACGGTATCGGCTTGGTTGCGCAGCAGGCGCCGGTCCGTCTCGAGCCGCGAGCGCTGCCGCTGGGCATCGCGCTTCGCTTTTTGGGCATGCTTCTCGACAAGCAGCTGCAGGGCAGACTCCTCGAGCTGCTTCTCGAACTCTTCGGCGCTCAGCGGCGGGGGCTCCTGGGCAGCGGTGTCGGCCGTTGCGGCGGATGGCGGGGCAGTGACGGTTGGAGGAGGGGCATCGCCGCTCGGTTTGACGGTGCCGGTGGGCGCTGGCTTTTCGTCGACGGCCTCTGCGGCCTCGGGGCGTGGCTTGGAAGCGATCGACGTTGTCGCGAAGCCGCGGGCCGGGTTGGCGGCGGGCTTCTTCTTCTTCTTGGCGCCAGCCATGGTCGCGCTCGCACGGGGGGAGCAGATGTCGTGGAGCAAGAGCGCGAGGGCGGTGCCGCGGTGTGACGTCGGATGGTTCGAGGTCGAGGTTTTGCCTGAGAGACGTGCGCTATCCGGAGCGGCAGCTGGCGAGCCTCTAGCGTACCAAGTAGTGTAGCTACAGGTGCCGCAGCTAGCGGCCGCGGGGTTTCGCCTACAAAAGGTTCAGTGGGTGCCGGCTCTAAACAGGGCTGCGACGTTCCATGCCGCGACCTCGGGAGCTCCGCCGCTGGACACCGCCCGCGCCCGATCGCTGTACTGACACAGACTGCCCGTGGGCTTTCAGGCCTACAGTTCGAGCGCCTCGGGTAGCCCTTGGCTTCCAACCTCAGGTAGGTTCCTCGCCAGAAGCAAGCGGTGGGTCGCTCGCAGCGGAGCTCTCTCGTCTCTGACTCAGGCCGCCGTCTGGTTGTGTTGGCAGATTAAGGCTGCAGGACTCTTACGAGTCTGCGAGGCGCTCGGGTGTATGAGTCAACTTGCATCATCGAGGTCGACGCAACTGGCGTGGGAGGCACTGCAGCTGGGAAATGTACTGCGAGCCTAGGCGGGTGTACCAGGCATCTCGTCTGCAACCTACCTTCGCCTCTCTATAAGGCACTGTAATGCGTACTCTTGCAGTGGGCGGGCATAAGACAGGGCCCACGCCATTATCACAGCGGCACACGCCTCCTGAGAGCCCTTACCGCGAATATCTCAAAGCTGAGAATCACCTTGGGACACGCCTAGCTCAAGGCTTGCAGCAGCAATCATGTCAGGTACCTAGAGCTATGCAGTCTTCATCAATGGCCAACCATTAACGGTCGCGTGCTGCCGGCTTGTGCTGCCATCTTGTGCACTCTACGAGCACCTTGGGGTCCAAGTCGCGATGCAGCAGGCGGTGAAAGAAATCAGACCTGTGCGTGCGTGCGTGCGGCCCAGGGCGGGGCCGACTTTTGACGTGGGGTCGTCGCCCGACCCTGCGCTATGCTGCGCTGTGCTCCGTCTCCATCGGCCAGACCATTTTGGCCAGACCGAAAACACCTGCCAGGTCCATCGCGAATATCCCTGCTGGCCCGTCTGCCACCCCGTCCTCTCCCTCTCCCCAGCATCGCATCGAACCGCGATCCTCTCTCCCTCGCCGGTCGACACGATACCCACACGGCGCACCACCACCGTCGGCGCGAGACGAAGCTCTCGTAGCCCCCGATGAGTTCTTCACACGCCCAATTCGAATCCTCGACTCGACATGGCTGAACCAGAGGTCAATGGCAGTGGCACCGGTGCCGGCCTCAACCCCGTTGCCGTCAAGAAGGCGCTGGTCTCTTCCTCAACGGCGGCGCGTGTTGCACAGCTCCATCAAATCGACGAGTCAATAACCCACAAGAGTATTGCTGCCCTGCCCTCGTAAGGCGCCGGCACGTCCGTGCTAACTGGCTTTGCAGCGTTGGACCAGAGCCTCGTTCCCGGCCTCCTCAAGCTTCTGTTCGACACGCACCCCCTGTACCATGACCGGGAGTCTCGACTGGCGGTGCAGAAATGCCTGGCCTCCATCATCGATGCCGGCCCCGACACTGCCACCCTCGACCCGCTGGTCAAGGCCATGCGCCGCGAAAGTCAAAAGCCGGGAATCGCTGCCTCGAGCGCATTTGTCCTGGTGGAATGGTGCTGTGTCTTCATGCAGCACCTCGCCGGCTCCCCTGCGTGGGACGAGCTAGCCAGCGACCTTCTCTTGACCGACGCAGATGCCTTGGACAAATGCCTCCAACCAGGTTCCAAGGGCGGCGTTGCGAGATCTGCGCTTGTTGCAACGAGGAGGGGCTTCCGAAAGCTGTTCGCGCCGGCCGAGTCTCGCGAAAAGGTCTTGTCGGATGCAGTCAAGATCCTGACGGCCAAGAGCAGCCAGCCAGCGGCCAAGAACGGACTGATACTCGGTGTCATCGCTGGTGTCTCAGCTCGCCAGGCTGATCTCAAGCCACTTCTCGAAAAACAAAAGCCCCAGTACTACGAGTTTTACATCCGAGAGATTGTCGGGTCCAAGGCGGCAGTTTCCGAGCATGTTGCCGCCGGGCTGGGTGATTTCTTCCTCGACTTTGCCACTATCGAGGAGGTCGAGGCGAAGCTCATCCCTGCAATTGAAAAGGGTCTGTTGAGGTCGCCGGAAGTTGTCCTCGGAGGTGTCCTGAAGCCTCTCGTCAAGTCACTCCCCGACAGCTTCGACTTGTCAAAGATCCTGGAGGGGAAGCTCGTGAAGCCTCTCCTTTCCAACATCAAATCCAGCAACCCTGCCATCCGAATTGCTGCTTTATCGGCATTCCGTGCCATAGTAGCCAAGAGCTCGGACTTGAACGTGCTGGATGGCGTCGTTGCCGAGATTGCTACCCCCTTGGGCTCTGGCAAGATTGCGTCTCCCGACCATAGAATCCTGCATGCCGAGATGCTGGATGCGATCCCTCTTTCAGAACAGAGTGCCACCAAGGCAGCTTCAGCACTGGCAACTGCGGCCACGAAGGAAGGCAATGAGGCGGCTCTTGCTGCCGAAACCCAAGCCCTGGCGAAGGCCAGTTCTCAGGTTCTGACTGCGGGCGGTGAGCTTCCAAAGCCTGCCCTAGACGCGATTACCAAGGGACTGGCCGAGAAGAAGCCGGCTTCTCGGAGATTCTGGATGCTCCGTGTTGGTAGCGTGCTGCACTCCCTCCAAGACAAGGACTCGTCTCCCGGCGCCACTGCCTTTGTCGAAGCAACGATACCCAAGCTCTTGGCCAACTTCGACGAGGTCGTCTCCAATGCTTCAACGGCCGGTCAGAGCGGCATCATCGCCGGAGCGTTCGTTCTGGTCGCTCTCACGCCAGCCATTCTCCGCCAATTCCCCAGCTCCTCAGTGCACGGCTCCCTGACCAAGGCCAACATCCTGACACAGGCCCAGTCGCTGGCCACGAAGCAAGCATTTCTCCTGAACCACCGAATTTACAGCAAATTTACGTCCGAGGACGACCTCCGGTGGCTCTGTCTAGCGCTGCGTGCCGTAGGGCACCGTCTTGACAGCAAGTCGGACCGTGCTGTGGTGTTGGCTTGGGCCGAGGCCTTTATCCACTTGTCCACTGCTGTTGCCGTTCCGCCAAAGGTGCAGCACGAGTCGGCAAAGACGATTTCCAAGCTGTACGCCGAGAGCCCATCTCTGGTATCTGGCTTCATTATTGATGGTCTGTGGAACGGCCTCCAGATTGACCAGGCCAAGGAGAAGGAGGGCAAGTTGGAGCGTGCCAATCTCATCTACGTACTGAGATCCATATGCCTTGAGCCTACCGAACTTGACACTTTGGGGGCCAAGGTTGACCAAGAGGCGCTCGAGGCGCAAGCCTGTGCCATTCTAGTCCTCTCCCGCAAGGAGCTCATCCCGCGATCCAGCTGGATTGATATGTGCCTTAGAATGTCAGTAGACCCTGGGACTCTGGCTCGGAAGCACTTGGATACCCTTCTCCGGGAGATTGCTTTGAGGACATCATTCGACCAGCAGGTAAGGACGAAACTTCGACGCATAATAAGTGCCTGGAAGACTAACGCTTATCACAGTCCATTGTCAAGCAAGCTGCCTACAACGCTGCGGCTGACCTGGCATTTGTTTCCCCGGACACGGTAACTCCTCGCTTGGTAGAGCTCGTCGGCCGCGACCTCAGCGCAACCCAGTTGCGCGATATTGGTCCAGTGGAGACTGCCATCTTCAGAACCCCGGAAGGCACTTGCTTTGTTGACGTCCTGGCCAAGAAGAAGCAGGATATCGTCCCGAACAAGAACAGCAAGGACTACGACATCCTCAAATGGGAAGAAGAGTTGAGGACCCAGCTGGAGCAGAAGAAGGGACAGCAGCGGAAGCTCACCGCTGAAGAGACTGCCAAGGTCAACGCGCAGCTAAGGAAGGAATCCGAGATCCGAGAGTCGATCAAAGACATAGAGGCAAGATTAACCCGAGGCATTGGCATCATCAAATCCCTCGCAAGCGGCCCTCCGACCGACGCAACCTTATGGTTGGGCTCTGCTGTGGCGCTGTTGCTGGGTGTCATCGATGCGGGCGCCAGCCTCATCATCGGGGACGTGGCTGCCCTGGCCTACCTTGCCTGCGCGGACAAGGTGTCTTCCAGACTGGGAATGATGCGGCCGTTTATCGGCGTTGCGACTCTCAGGATCCGCGGCGTGGCGCTCTCGGAGGACTACAACCAGGAGAAGGTTGAAGACTTGGTGACCAGAGTGTTGTACCGCTTGCGCTTCGCCGGCGAACAGCGGCCGTTTGACGCCGTCTCTCTGATCTACATGCTCCCGCTCGTCCTCGATATATTGCGACAGGGAGGCGTTGGCGAAGACGAAGACGATCGAGACGCACAACTTGTCCTCGCTCTGGAAGTTCTCTCCTTCCACACCGACGTTTGTGAGGATGAGGCGATCCCGCGGGCCGAGCTCCTGACGGTTCTGATTCAATCGTTGCAAAACTACGGGCAGCACTACAAGCTCGTTAAGGACTGCTTCGCGGACATGTGCCGCTGCATCGCGCCCAACATGAGCACTGAAGAGATGGCCGTCCTGGCCAAGGGAGCGATCGTTGGACAGTCTGGAGTAAGGACGACTGTGCTGCAATCAATCAGCGCCGATGTCGACATGAGCGACCTGGGTTACTCAGATGAGATCTGGATATCATGCCATGACGATGAAGAAGAGAACCAGGAACTCGGCAAAGAAATATGGGAGGAGAGCAGCTTCGAAGTCGGCGACCAAATCCCTCTGCGCATGCTGCCATACCTGCAGAGTAAGGATGCTCAGCTGCGAAGAGCCGCCGCCCGCTCTCTCGCCGATGCGACTCAGGCGCACAAGTCCTCGCTGGCGGAAGTGATCCCCCAGCTTAAGGCTACTTATCTTGAGCTCGCTAAGCCCAAGGTCCAGCAGCTTGATGAATTTGGCATGCCCAAGAAGATGGACCTGTCCGACCCTTGGGAGGCGAGACAGGGCATTGCCACCGCTTTTAAGGAGCTGGCTGCGGTCATGGACAAGAACCAGGTCGACGATCTCTTCAACTTCCTCATCGAATCCGGTCCGCTCGGAGACAAGAGCGATGCTGTCCGCAGTGAGATGCTGGATGCTGCCATCCGTGCCACGGACGTGCACGGCAAACAAATGATTGACGTGCTGATGAAGAAGTTTGAGCGGACTCTGGAGCAGCCGGACAAGAACAGTGATGCTGCTGACCGCGTTAACGAGGCTGTCATCATCATGTACGGAGCATTGGCGCGCCACCTGAAGCCCGGTGACGCTAAGATCCCCGTGGTCATCGAGCGACTGCTTGCGACCCTGAGCACGCCGTCGGAGACTGTGCAGTATGCCATTGCAGAGTGTCTGCCACCGCTCGTTAGGGCCTGCTCCGACAAGTCGTCCAAGTACTTTGATCAAGTCATGGACGAGCTGCTCAACTCCAAGAAGTACGCGAGCCAGCGAGGCGCCGCGTACGGTCTCGCAGGATTGGTATTGGGCAGAGGCATCTCATCGCTTCGAGACTATCGGATATTGCAAACCCTCAAGGGCGCCATGGACAACAAGAAGGACGCCCACCAACGCGAGGCTGCTCTGTTGGCGTTTGAGCTGCTGTCTACGATTCTCGGACGACTCTTTGAGCCATATGCCATTCAAATCATGCCGCAACTTCTGAGCGGCTTCGGCGACAGCAACGGCGACGTCCGCGACGCTTGCCTGGCGGCATCAAAGGCTTGCTTCCGCAAGCTGAGCTCGTATGGAGTCAAGCAGATCATGCCGACGCTCCTGGACGGCCTTGACGACCAGCAATGGCGCAGCAAGCGGGGTGCTTGCGACCTTCTCGGCGCCATGGCCTACCTCGACCCGAACCAGCTGGCAAACAGCTTGCCAGACATCATTCCTCCGTTGACAGGCGTGTTGAACGACAGCCACAAGGAGGTGCGGGCGGCCGCAAACCGAAGTCTGAAGCGTTTCGGCGAAGTCATTCACAACCCCGAAATCAAGAACCTCGTCGACGTTCTGCTCAAGGCTCTCAGCGACCCGACGAAATACACGGATGAGGCTCTCGACTCGCTTATCAAGGTGCAGTTCATTCACTACATCGATGCCCCGTCACTGGCGCTGGTCACGCGCATTCTGCAGCGCGGCCTTGGCGACCGCTCCAACACCAAGCGCAAGGCGGCACAGGTTATCGGCAGTCTGGCTCACCTGACGGAAAAGAAAGACATCATCGCCCATCTGCCAGTACTGATCGCTGGCCTGAAGGTCGCCGCCGTCGATCCCGTCCCGACTACACGCGCCACCGCGTCCAGGGCCCTGGGTTCGCTCGTGGAGAAGCTTGGCGAGGATGCCATGCCGGATCTCATCCCAGGTCTCATGCAAACGCTCAAGTCCGACACTGGCGCAGGAGATCGTCTTGGTTCCGCCCAAGCCCTCAGCGAGGTGTTGGCTGGCTTGGGCACGACGCGCTTGGAGGAGACTCTGCCCACCATTCTGTCCAACGTCGAGTCTTCCAAGGCAGCAGTTCGCGAAGGCTTCATGTCGCTCTTCATCTTCCTTCCTGTCTGTTTCGGAAACAGCTTCTCAAACTACCTCGGCCGTATTGTGCCGCCCATCCTGGCTGGATTGGCTGACGACGTGGAATCTATCCGCGAAACCGCCCTTCGGGCCGGTCGCCTCCTGGTCAAGAACTTTGCTGTCCGTGCGATCGACCTGCTCTTGCCAGAGCTTGAGCGTGGCCTAGCGGACGACAGTTACAGAATCCGTCTGAGCTCCGTGGAGCTGGTTGGTGACCTGCTCTTCAACCTCACAGGTGTCAAGGCAAACCCCGAGGCCGAAGAGGAGGACGAGGAGGCGGCGAAGGAAGCTGGCGCCTCGCTCAAGGAGGTTCTTGGAGAGGAGAAGCGCAACAAGATTCTATCTGCGCTCTACGTCTGCCGCTGCGATACCGCCGGCGCTGTCCGTTCGGCCGCTATTGCCGTCTGGAAGGTGCTCGTGCCGAGCCCGAGGACCCTCAAGGAGCTCGTCCCGACCCTTACACAGCTGCTCATCAAGCGCCTCGGCAGCTCCAATATGGAGCACAAGGTCATTGCCAGCAATGCCTTGGGAGAGCTCATTCGCAAGGCTGGCGACGGAGTGTTGTCGAGCCTCCTGCCAACTCTGGAGGAAGGCTTGCAGACTTCCACAGACTCGGATGCCAAGCAGGGTATCTGCCTTGCTCTGCGGGAGCTCATTTCCTCGGCATCTCCAGAGGCCATGGAAGATCATGAAAAGACTCTCATCTCTGTTGTGCGCACTGCCATCACGGATTCGGACGAAGAAGTCAGAGAGGCCGCCGCGGAAGCGTTCGATTCCCTGCAGCAGATCCTCGGAAAGAGGGCCGTCGACCAAGTTCTGCCCTTCCTGCTGAACCTCCTCCGGTCCGAGGATGAGGCAGAGAATGCTCTCTCCGCTCTCCTCACCCTTCTCACCGAGACTACGCGCTCGAACATCATCCTGCCTAACCTGATTCCGACTCTGATAACACCGCCCATCTCTGCGTTTGATGCCAAGGCTCTGGCGTCTCTGTCCAAGGTTGCAGGCGCTGCCATGAACAGGCGTCTGCCCAACATCATCAACTCCCTGATGGACAATGAGATCAACTGCAAGGAGGAGGACCTCCGCGCTGAGCTCGAAACCTCGTTCGACACTGTCATCCAGTCCATCGACGAGTACGACGGGCTGAACACGGTCATGAATGTCCTTCTGGGACTATTGAAGCACGAGGATCACCGCAAGCGAGCAGCCACGGCGCGCCATCTGCGCAACTTCTTTGCAGAAACCACCGTGGACTACTCCAGGTACAACCAAGACATCATCCGCTCGCTTCTCAACGCGTTCGATGATAGCGACATGGACGTTATCAAAGCTGCTTGGGCTGCACTCAGCGAGTTCACCAAGAAGCTCAAGAAGGAGGAGATGGAATCTCTCGTCGTGTCAACGAGACAGACCCTGCTGCGCGTTGGTGTCGCCGGCGCAAACCTGAAGGGCTTCGAGCTCCCCAAGGGCATCAACGCAGTCCTGCCAATTTTCCTGCAGGGCTTGATGAATGGCACGGCAGACCAGAGGGTGCAAGCTGCCCTGGGTATCTCCGACATTGTCGACAGGACCAGCGAAGCATCGCTCAAGCCCTTTGTCACTCAAATCACTGGTCCTCTGATTCGTGTCGTATCTGAGCGTGCCACCGAGGTCAAGGCGGCAATTCTGCTCACTCTCAACAACCTTTTGGACAAGATGCCGACTGCGCTGAAGCCGTTCTTGCCGCAGCTGCAGCGAACTTTTGCAAAGTCATTGGCGGATACCTCGAGCGAGACGCTCAGAAGCAGAGCTGCCAAGGCACTGGGAACCCTCATCAAGTATACTCCGCGAATCGATCCCCTGATCGCGGAGTTGGTGACTGGCTCCAAGACTGCCGACCCTGGCGTCAAAACCGCGATGCTCAAGGCCTTGTACGAGGTTATCAGCAGGGCGGGGGCTAACATGGGCGAATCATCGCGGACCGCGGTGTTGTCTCTCATCGACATGGACACGGACGAGAGAGACGATGCGATGACGATTACGAACGCGAAGCTCCTGGGTGCCCTGATTAAGAACGTGCCCGAGGATGCTGCTGCGTCTCTGCTGAAACACCGCGTCCTCACTCCGCAGTCCAGCAACTCGTCTGTGCTGGCACTGAACTCGGTCCTCGTCGAGTCACCCGATGCACTTCTGCAGAGCCCCGCCGCGGACGAACTGCCCGATCTCCTCTGCCAGGGCATGATGAATAAGAGCGTAAGTAAATCATGTCGCGACGGGCTGCAACATGCTAATAGTATGGATAGACGTTCATCGCGGACAACTTCATCCTGGCCACGGGCAAGGTGCTGCTTTCGTCGCCGCCCAAGAGCTTCGACAGCACGAAGAAGATCTTCGAAACGTTGGCCAAGATAATTGAGCCCGGCAACCCCGTCGACTCGCGCCGACTTGCGTTGGTAATCTCCCGCACCCTGAGCAGGACGAACATGGAAATGGTCCGTCCACACGTCCCGCTGCTGGCACCTCCCATCTTCGCCAGCGTCAGGGACCTGGTCATTCCGGTGAAGCTGGCCGCCGAGGCCGCCTTTGTGGAGCTCTTCAGCGTTGCAGACGAGGAGAGCCGCATCTTTGACAAGTTTATGGCCGGGCCTGGAGCGGACTTGCCGCCGAACACGAAGAGGAGCATGACCGACTACTTCAAGAGAGTTGCGATGAGACTCGGCACGCAGGCCAGGGAGAGGAGAGAGGCAGAAGGCGGGCAGGGCGGCCTTGGCCTGTCCAATGACGAGCAAGAAGATGAAAAGGAGATTTGGAGCGTTGGCAAGGTGGAAGTAGCTGGCGAGATGTTCTCATGAGTACAGGTGGTAGAGGAAACCGTCTAGATGTAGAGAAAAGACTTGATGATTGATCATTACTTTCTGACCCAAACATACGCCACGTATAAGGAGGGGGCTAATTCCATTATCAATGTCATCTATACAGACTGTTGTAGCAGGCCGCTCCATGAAATGTCATGCCCTCGGGCTGACCTCGTTCTGAGTCGACACAGCACCAAGGCGAAGACGGACCCACTGGAAATTGTTAGTGCAGCGCTCCGTCGCGCCAAAATGCGCTCTGCGTTGGGCAGGGCGTCATGCACGTGACCGGTGGGCGTCGGTGATGACTCATGCGAGCCCTCGCTTAGCGCCGTTTCGACAGGCCTAGTGCACGTGAACCCACAAACTCTCAGTGCAATCTGTGTGCCTCGAGAAATTCTGGTCATCGAAACCCCTCCCCGACCACAACCAACCTCTCACCCATCGAGGACCGGCCATCACCATCAACGACAATCAAGATGTGAGTATACCGATGCGATACATGATCAATGGAGACTACGATACCGCCGCGGTGATTTTTCCGATACGTCGACGGCCCCGGGGAGTTGATTTGATGGGGGAAAACCGTTGGCGGTCGCGGTCGGCAGCGGCGAAAAAAAAGCTTCGTGCGGGCGATTGGGAGGACCGAGACAGCAACGCAGCGGAACACGATGGGCTGACAGCAATTCCTCCTCTACAGGGTCAACCTGCGAACTCAGAAGCGCCTTGCCGCGTCGGTCATCGGCTGCGGCAAGCGCAAGATCTGGCTCGACCCCAACGAGCAGAGCGAGATCTCCAACGCCAACTCCCGCCAGACCATCCGAAAGCTCGTCTCCGATGGCCTCATCATCCGCAAGCCCGTCACGATGCACTCCCGGTCCCGTGCCCGCGAGCTGAACCTTGCCCGAAGAGAAGGTCGCCACCGTGGCTACGGTAAGCGAAAGGGTACCGCCGACGCCCGTATGCCCCAGCAGGTCCTCTGGATGCGCCGCCTCCGAGTCCTCCGCCGCCTCCTCGTCAAGTACCGCGCCAGCGGCAAGATCGACAAGCACCTGTACCACGAGCTGTACCACTCCAGCAAGGGTAACGCCTTCAAGCACAAGCGCGCCCTGGTTGAGCACGTACGTATATCCCCGACGCTACACAGCCGCCGTGAGGCCCTTCGCGGGGCTCCATTGGCGTGCCCGGGTGACGCGCTCAACGACAGGAATGCTGACTGCGTGACAGATCCACCGTGCCAAGGCCGAGAAGCACCGCGAGCAGATGCTCAAGGAGGAGATGGACGCCAAGCGTGCGAAGACCAAGGCTGCCCGCGAGCGCAAGCTGGAGAGGGTTGCGGCCAAGCGGAATGCTCTGATGGCCGAAGAGTAGACTACACGGACTGCGACGACATTTCGGTCTTGAGAGGAGGCTGCATTCGGAGTCTACGGGTTGGGTCTTTTTTTACGCCCTTCTGGTTTCTACAGTCGTACCGGCGGGGCTTCTGGCATGTAGCATTGAAAATGGAATCCACGATGCTCAGATTTACAGAGGCAACGAAAAGAATCTTTTGGTCTGGTGCCGGACTGGCCCGTGCCCGAGACGCGACGCCTTCGACATAGGGGGTCTCTTGCTGGATGCCGCTAGGCGTAGCGACAGGAGTCGGATGAATGTAATGACGATGTTACAAACCTCGGCGTGCCTCAACTTGACATTGTCGTGCTTGACCAACCACGTCGGACATTTTTAAGTCTCCTGACAGAGAGAGAGTGCTTCCGCTGGTGCGAGATCGGATCTGGGGTAGCTGTTGGACAGGGCCACACGCCACGGGTCCATTACGTACATCTACGCGCCCTTGTCACGAGCGACATGCATATCTGCACACACATTGGCGAGGCGAACATCTCCCCGGATCATGGCCGGCGGCGCGGCGCTGCGATGAGGCCATGGCGTGCTGCCAAACCGTATACTGAAGGTGGTGCTCCACAGCCTTTACATAACGTGAATGGTCGCGGCATGGTGGCCGCGGCGGATAGACGGGGGTAGACGGGGCAAGACGGGGCTCAAGCAGGCCAAGGCCAGAGCTGACTGCCGCGGCATTCACTCGTGCTGGGCTACTAGCCGTACCTGACGACGTGACATGAGCACACTTGTGCCGTGTGTGTGTGGCGATTTCCAAGTGGAGAGGCAAGCACAGCTACATCCGACGCGACAGAAAGAGACGCACGTAGATACGAAGAGAGGGAAGAAGAAGAAGACGACGAAGAAAGGAGGTCTGCACCGGCAGACGACGAAGAGAGAGGATCAACCAAAGGAATGGATCAGTTTCCAGTCACATTGCCCCGTCAAAGGTGGTAACGGTGCCGCCAGGGCATTTCAGCATGCTTCCCGTTCCCACGCACACACAAGGTGTGTTGCGCGGGCGGTAGTCGCGATATGGCTGAGCAGAACGGTCTCGTCACGCCCATCTTTAGTTGATAAAGAAGGGAGGGAAAAAGACGAGAGAAAGGCTGGGGGGCGGGCGGCGCGGGAAAATGGGGTTCGGTGGGCGGTGGGCGGCTGTGCCCTGGAGCGGGAAAAGAAAATTGCGGGCAGGGCAGAGGGCAGGTACAGGCACCGGTGAGAGCTTGGGGCACCTCCAGGGTGTCTTGCTTGGGCGGCTCCGGCTCCGACCCCGGCGGTTGGTCCTCACCACCAACGCGAATACAAGCAAAGGGTGTCAAGGCAGTACAGTACCGACACACTGCTAGACATCAAAGAAGAAGAGCGTGAGGCAAAAAAATCAATTGGCACGAGCATGTACCCATCTTGGCGCAGACCGACCTCGGTGACCACCCCATCTCCAGACAGACAGTCAGTTGCGTGCGCGCAGCAGGGCGCCGTCAAAAGTCATGAGGTAAAGGGCGCTCCCGCGGTACGTAACCCGTTAGCTAATGGGAACGCCAGCGCGGTCATCAAGCTCCCCCAAGCGGCATGGGCTGCTGGAGCCGCGCTGGCCCCGGCCGGTGCGGTGCTGGACAAGCGCCTGCGCCGCCCCCCTCCCCTCCCCCCGCGCGCTGCGCTGCGCTGGGCTTCTGCCCGGCTGCTGGCTGCCCTGGCTTACAGGTGCCGCCGCGAACCCCAGGCGCCTGTGCTGGTGGTGGTGACCGCGCCCCCGGCCCAGGCGTCGCCGCCGCCGCCGCCCCCCTCCGGGCCATTCCAGTGCGGGGGGAGGCGTGGCGGGTATCGGCGGTCGGAGCGCATCGGATGGGCAGATTTCAGATGCGACACTCCCCGTCTCTCTCTGGGAAGGAAGGTCTGGTGGTATCATCGCCGTTGACACACGCCCTCCTCCGCGGCTCGCGCCAAAAACTTCTGGACGGGCCACCTTCCTCCACCTGCGCCGCAACCTCCTCTGCTTCTTCCTCTTTTCTCTTCTGCTGTATCCTTGCGCTCCCCCAGGTGGCATTGGCAGCCATCGACGACCGCACGACGAGCCTCTGCTCTCTCTTTGTGATACCTGCGCCTCCGACCACCACACACAGCTTCGTCTCCAACCAGCCATGTCTCTGCCTGGTCTGCGAGGCACTTCGCGTGCCCTCCGCGGCATCGCGAGGCCGGCGACCCTCCCCGTCGCCGGCAGGAGGGCCAAGTCGTCCATGGCCATGGACGGCCAGCAGCAGGTTCGTGGCGATACCCATTGGCCGTCGTACAGCCTCCGGTCGTTCAGTCACTGACGCTTCCGCTTCTGCAGCTCCTCGCCGCGCACCTCCAGAAGGCGGACCCGGCCGTCTTCGACATCATTGAGAATGTGCGTCCTCTCTCTCTCCCATCGCGGCAGCTTGCCACGCGCCCCGAATCGCAAGCCCGTGCGAGGCGAGCATCATAGCTGGCCGGCTGTGCTGACCGACCACCCACGTACAGGAGAAGAAACGCCAGAAGCACTTCATCAACCTGATCCCCTCCGAGAACTTCACCTCCCAGGCCGTGCTTGACGCGCTCGGCAGCGTCATGCAGAGTGAGTGATGCCAAGAGCCTCAGCGCAAACGGCCGAGGTTCCCAGGACTGACCCGCGGCAGACAAGTACTCCGAGGGCTACCCCGGTGCCCGGTACTATGGCGGCAACGAGTTCATCGACCAGGCGGAGCGCCTGTGCCAGCAGCGCGCCCTCGAGGCGTTTGACCTGGACCCCAAGAACTGGGGCGTCAACGTGCAGGGTGCGTCTGTCGATGGCCCTCACTGATTCGTGCGAGACCATATCTGACCGTCACAACTCCAGCCCTCTCCGGTGCGCCGGCCAACCTCTACGTGTACTCGGCGCTCATGAACACGCACGACCGCCTCATGGGCCTCGACCTCCCCCACGGCGGCCACCTGTCGCACGGCTACCAGACGCCCACCAAGAAGATCTCCTTCATCTCCAAGTACTTCGAGACCCTGCCGTACCGCCTGGACGAGTCGACGGGCCTCATCGACTACGACAAGCTCGAGGAGATGGCCCTCCTCTACCGCCCCAAGATCATCGTCGCCGGCGCCAGCGCCTACAGCCGCCTGATCGACTATAAGCGCATGCGCGAGATCTGCGACAAGGTCAACGCCTACATGCTGGCCGACATGGCGCACATCTCGGGCCTGGTCGCCGCCAAGGTCATGCCCGGCCCCTTCCCGTACGCCGACATCGTCACCACGACGAGCCACAAGAGCCTGCGCGGCCCGCGCGGCGCGCTCATCTTCTTCCGCAAGGGCGTGCGGAGGCAGAACCCCAAGACCAAGGAGGACGAGATGTACAACCTCGAGGGCCCCATCAACACGTCCGTCTTCCCCGGCCACCAGGGCGGCCCGCACAACCACACCATCACGGCGCTCGCCGTCGCCCTCAAGCAGGCCCAGTCGCCCGACTTCCACGCCTACCAGTCGCAGGTGCTGGCCAACGCAAAGGCCTTTGCCAAGCGCCTCGGCGACGACAAGGGCAAGGGCGGCCTCGGCTACAGCATCGTCTCGGGCGGCACCGACAACCACCTCGTGCTGGCCGACCTCAAGCCCCACGGCGTCGACGGCGGCCGCGTCGAGCGCGTCCTCGAGCTGGTCGGCGTCGCGGCCAACAAGAACACGGTGCCCGGCGACCGCTCCGCCCTCGTGCCCGGCGGCCTGCGCATGGGCACCCCCGCCATGACGACGCGCGGCTTCAACGAGGACGACTTTGTCCGCGTCGCCGACGTGGTCGACCGCGCCGTCGCCATCGCCGCCCGCGTCGACAAGACGGTCCGCGCCGCCGCCAAGGACAAGGGCGAGAAGAGCCCCGGCAAGCTCAAGCTCTTCCTCGACCACCTCGGCAACGGCGACAACGAGCCCGAGATTGTCCAGCTGCGGAGCGAGGTCGAGGACTGGGTCGGCACCTACCCGCTGCCCTGGGAGTCGGGCAAGTAAAGAGCTTGCGCCGAGTAAAGCCACCCTGTTGCGCACCGTCCCCTCTCTGTGAATCGGGAGTTGCATGATCTGCGCACAGCAAGCGCTGGATAGAGAGGTTGAGGGGGAACATATCAGCGGATGGAAGTATGGACGCTGTGAATACCGGTCGCAGCGCGTGTAACCAACCAACCAAAACCATTTATGCATCGTCATTTTTTGCGTACACGGGGGCTTCGTCACGAGAGGCCCTTCTTTTGCCTGGAGCGCCTTGGCCTCCCTTTTCTGCGAGTTGGCTGCTTTGAGCTGTTTGGATCTGCGTCTTTTCCCAAGTTTGGGCTAGGGGTGGCTTTTGCTTTTGGGTTTCTTTTAACATTTACATGGGATGATATACAATGATAGGTAGTCACCAATACGAGGATCAACTCCGAGGCACATCACGTTCCAAGTCGTCAGGTCAAGTTAGGTCAAGCCAGGTCAGGTCAAGCGAGCAGTTTCGCGAGGGTTAGGTGGCATATATGTGTGTATTCTGAATCCAAGAGTCGCGCACGCTCGGCTGGGACAAGGGGGGAAAGGGGGAAAGGTAGCATAACAGGCCGTAATTCGCTGATCCAAAACAGCCAACGACTTTTTCGCATCCCGGGCACTTTCAGATGTCTCTCTTGCGGTCATTCGGTCGACGCCGTCTCCTTGTCCGCTCCCTCATCCGTCCCCCGTCCGAGCACCACTCTCGCGCTGTGCCTCTCGGCAAAGGCCTCGTAGTACCGCCGCAGGTGGTCCATGCCAGCGAACGCGGCCGCCGGCCCGCCGTGCGCGTCCGCGAGCGCGTGCAGCACGGGCCAGAGCGCAAAGTCGGCGAGCGAGGGCGTCTTGCCGTCGCCGGCGCCGGTTCCGCACAGGGCGCCGTCCTTCGCGGCCGTTTCCCACACCGTAGACAGCTCGTGCCGGACGACTCGGGAGACCGGCGGTGCGTCGGTGGTGTCCGCACCCGCTCCCGTGCCCTCACGGGTGACGCCGGTGGCGGTGTTTCGGCGGACGATACCAAGGAGCTGCAGCGCGCGCTGGAAAAGCGTGTACTGGGCCGCGAGCTGGGACTGAGAAGTGGCAGCAGCAACATCAGATTTGGCGTCAGCCTTGTCTCGATGCTGTTGCCCATACACGGCGTCGAGGTACAGCATTATGGCCAAGTCCCCTTGTACGACCGACTTGGCGGCATCGTTGTCGACAAACTTGACCGGCACGGATGCCAACGTTTGGCTGCCATCCCCGTCCTCCCCAGCAGTCGCCTCGCTGCCTTTTCCACCGCTGGCGAGGGTCGGCGCCATGCTGCCCTTGGCGTAGTTGACGCCATACTCGGCGAGCATCAGCGCTATTCGCATATTCACGATAGCGTCAGTCGCGCTGGCAAAGAACCTAGGCGAGTTGGAAATGTGCAGCACATCGAAGCCCGCACCGTAGTGAGCAGCCCAGTCGAAGCGCGAGGCGTGGTTCTCCGTGCCAAAGGCGCGCAGCATGGCGACGGCCTCGGGACCCTGGCCATTAACCACAGGGTGCGCCTCGGCACGCGTCTTGCCCGTCGCGCCCTGGCCCCAGATGAGGGACTCGTCGCGGCTCAGAAAGGTGCCAATCTGGCGGAAGGTCAGGGAGATGCGAGCGCCGGCGCGGGCCAGCTCCGCGGGCGTCTTGTCGCGCTCGGCGCGGCGGTCCTGGCGGATGGCGTGCAGCCACTGCTCGTTGGTCGCGAGGCCCATGCGGCACATGGAGTTGTGGTGAAGGCGCAGGCGCTGCGCTTGGCGCTTTGTCTCTGGCGATGCCTCTGCGGGCTGGGAGGTGCTTGATGCTTGAGAATTGGACTGCGGCGCCTGGCAGGAGGGGTCCTTGTGCTGTCTCTTGGTTCGCAAGACCATGGTGCGCTCCGCGCCGAGACTCACATTTGCTATATAGGAACCGCGCACAATGTCTAGAGACTTGTCGCTGTGCTCGGAGATGTAGTCGTTGCCGTCACGGTAGTACTGGATGAGGACGTGGTTAAGCGGGTGGCCGAGATGCTTCTCTGCCTCGGCCTTGACCTCCAGCACAGCTGGTGAGAATGGCAGCAGCGGAGGAGACTCGTCGGACGGGTGGCGGTAGACGGGCATGGACCCTCCGTCGTCGTCCGAAACCTGGCCCTGAACGGCGACAAGACGGGGTACTTCGCCGCCTTGGTGCGACATTCGCTGCCATTGGACCTCGTCGCGCAGTCTATCGAACATGGTGGCTTCGAGGTCCGGCGGCAGGAGGTTCTCAATAATGTCCGTGTCGCCCGCACCGAGGCCTTTCTGGGGGGCATGTTGCGTGGGCTGCTCGTCGTCGGAGTGGTCTGGCTCAGACGCGGCGGCGATCTTGTCCTCTAGACCAGACATGATTACACCGCGAGCCAAACGAGGGGACGACTTGTCAGGCCGTGGTGATGTTGAGGATGATTGGGCTGGTCGTGGTGCCTTCCCTGTCTTGTCCTTGGGTGAAGCCACAGGGGCCGCTTCTGTTGGCGCTTGGTGATGGGGCTTTGGTGTTGCTGCAACATTGCCTTGGCCGTCATCCAATCCGTCTTTTCCATTCGACTTTGTACTCCGTCGTGCTGTCTCGTCGCCATTTCCAGCCCGTTCCTGCAGCTTCGGCTGGGCGTTCTGCGACGACTGTGAGTCAGCCTCAGCTGTGGGCGCAGCGTCCTGACGTTGCGCCTCGTCCACCCCCGCGTCCGAGGGCGATCGCTCGGCCAAGCGCAGGCCCGCAATCTGTCGCACAAGCTCTGACTCGGCAGGACGTCCACTCTCGGGCTTGGCACCGGCTGCCTTGGTCGAGGATGTCGTTGTCGTCTTGTTCTGCGCCTTTGCCTTGACACGCGACGTTGGTGCCGGCGGAGGCGACGGATGCAGCGCTTTGACAACGTCGGCGCAGCGAGCAACCTCGCATCCAGTCAGCTCGTCGAGGTTGCGCAGGGCTTTGCGCTTGCGGGCGGCGACGCCGAAGCCGCAGCAGTCGTCGACGACCGTGATGGTCAGGCCGTGGCCGGCGGCGTCAAGGGCGGTAGCATAGACGCCGACGTTGGCGAGCGAGCCGCAGATGAAAACCTCCATGACCATCTTGGCGCGCAGCAGCCGCAGCAACGACGTGCCCAAGAAGGCCGAGTAGTGGCTCTTCCACAACGTCGAGTCCTCCTTGGCCGCGGGCGACGCCAGCTCGACGCCCGAGGTCGAGGGCTTTACACACCGGGGCGGGTCATGGCTGAGGAAGGCCTCCTCGTCGGCTTCGTCGTCATCTTCTTGGTGCTCGAGCAGCCGCACGCGGGCGCGGTGATGGTGGCTCGGCCGCGCGGCGAGGGCGGCGTCCGAGGCGACGAGGGGCTCCGCGTTGTGGTCCCGGCGCTGCTCGAACCGCGACTGCACCCAGACGACGTCCCCGCCGGCGCGGCGGACGGCCTCGGCGAGCTTGAGGGTGCGTGCGGCGAAGCCCTCGGGCTCGGTCACGGGCAGCGCGCCGTCGTCGACGGAGAGGAAGTCGCGCTGGAAGTCGACGACGAGCAGGGCCTTGCGCGTCGTCAGCTGCGGCAGAGCGGCGAGGTCAAACGGAAACATGATGTTGCCTCTCTGTGTGTCTCTGTATGTTCCCGCGGAGAGTCGGGTGAGCATCAATGCCTCTATTTCATCGCCACGGGCATTTGGCGAGAATTTCTGTGGCGGCGGCGGTGGAGGACGACGACGATGTGATATCTGATGGCCGCCAGACAGAATCCAGCCCTCATTGGAACCCTATTACAGCAGAGACCCTGGACGGGACGCGGGAGCCGCCGTGGCAGTTCAGCCGGAGGCGTCGCGGGTACGAGTGAGTGCAGGCACGGCACGGCCAGCAGGCCAGGGGCATGCCGGGCGGGCGGCGGCGCAGCGCAGTCGGACGGGCCGAATGCTGCATCTTTGTGAGGATCTGATGGATGAGGCGCGAGCTTCTCGGTTGCGGAAAAGAATAGGTTTCGATGAGGGTCGCACAGCAGGCGCAGAGTCGCGCGTTCAGGTAGGGCGAGAAGGTGAGGTACAGCCCGTCGTAACACGGGGAGAGCGAGCCAGTGAGTGTCACTACCTACAGAAGGTCCTATCGCCTCGGGTGCGAAGTACAGCAACTGATCGCTGCTGTAGGCGAGCCGGCCGCTGCATACACAGTGGAGTGGGGGACCTGACAGCAGCCCGCCACCCCTGAATGCCATGCACCGATCCATCCATGGATACCCGTATGGGAGACTGCCCAGGTAGGGCTGCCAGTCCACAGGTGACAACCCCAGCTCTCACACTTGACCCTTACAACCACGCTTCACATCACCGCCTTCAGCGGACGACACCCGCCACGCCATTTGCCCGCATTCGTCGCAGGTCAATCACCCAGTTACAGACACTCTATTCTCTCTCCCGAGCTACCTGTCAACCAAGCTTCACCTCCGCCGCCTTAACATTCACCCCCTTGACCTGCACCGCCGCGCCCCTCCCCTCCCAGTCCTCAACCGTCAACGCGAGCTTCTCGTGCGGCCAGAGCGTGACGTAGTTGTCCGACCACACCACGGGCGTCACGTCTCCCCCCTCTGCGTCCACGAGGTTGAGGCTCACGAAGAACGCCGGCACCTTGGAGCGGTTCTCCAGCACCACGGACCGGGACTCGCCCGTCTTGCCGCCGACCTTGACGGCCACGTCGGCGCTCTTCATGCCGCCCAGCGCCGTGTAGTCGACGTAGTCGCTCACGGGCGTCGAGTACCACGTCGAGTTGGCCCAGTTGAGCGCGTCGATCTGCTTGCCCAGCCAGTACACGTTGCGGCTCAGCGTCTTGCCGCCGTGCGTCAGCTTGAGACGCAGGAACCCGACGTCCTTGATCTCGTCGACCTTGTCCACGGCGGCAATCGTCTTTGCCCCGTTGACAACCGTGTCGGCGTTGACGGTCTTGCTGGAGAGTACCCGGCCTTCGAGGTCGATGAGCTCAATCTCGACGCTGCGACGGCCCTTCTGGTTCAACGAGTGGTTGATGAGCCAGACTTCCTTGTGAACGTAGTCATACGCCACGTGCTCGACGCGCGATCCCGTCTTGGTCCCGAAATACGAACCACCCGGGTGCAGGTAGTAGTCAAACTGGTTCCAATGGAGGCTCGGCCAGCCGTTGTTAAGCATCCAGTAGACGGTCCCCGTTGCAGGGCGCTCAGATGTCCAATGCGCCGAAAAGGCTTCGTGCTGAGCTCGCGTCGCTTCGTAGTCGGTAATCTGCGCCTTCATGAGGTAGTCCTCCAACGACGTAGGCTGGCCATATCGACCAAACAGCCCGGCGTTGTAAATCGTCCGCGTATGGAACTTGGAAGCCGCCGTGGACATGTGAAACAGCCCCTTCTCGGGACTCTTCCACAAATCGTCCATGTCGGACTCGTTGAGGAACTTCTTCAGGCTGCCGATCTCAGGGGTGCCCACGCCGGCGCCCTGCTCAGAGCCGAACCCAAAAGCCGCGCCGAGGCGATCTTCCGAAGGGTCGACGTCGTACCAATAATTCGGCGGGATCCAGTCGTATGGCCCGTCCATCTTCATGCCCGAGGGCCCGAGCAGCTGCGGGAAGCCGCGCTTGGCGGCCGACGAGATGATGGGCGTCTGCCAGTGCGCGGCCCGCAGCGCGTCGACGTAGATCTTGGTCGCGCGGTCGTTGGGCCAGTAGTCACTGCCGACGAGGTACGCCAGAATGCTGGGATGCGGCTGCAACGCGGCAGCCTCGTGGATCATGTTGGACTGCGCCGTCTGGTAGTCGTTGTCGTCCCAGATGGGGGGGTCGGAAAAGTCCTCGGTGTTGTAGATCCACGCCTCCCACTTGGTGCAACACTCCCACCCGGGCATCACGAAGAGGCCCATGCGGTCGGCAATCTCGTACAGCTCCGGCTGCTCCATTTTACCCTCCAGGCGAATCGTGTTGAGGCCCATGTCGAGCACGTACTTGGCGATGGTGGTGAACCGGCTGGCGTCCCAGCGCAGGAACATGTCCGCTCCGTAGCCGCTGCCGAGCACCTGGAAGGGATACCCGTTGACGGTGAAGCTCGTGTCGTTGTACTTGTTGACCTCTGACGTGACGGTGCGGATGCCGAAGGATGTCTGCGCGGCATCGGAGAGAGCCGAGTCGACGGAAAAGACCACCTTGGCGCTATAGATCGGCTGCTCGCCCCATTGCTTCGGCCACCAAATCTGCGGCTTCTTCAACGTCTTGGTGAATTGAATAGTCCTTGTCTCCATCGGCGCCAGCGTGATGTGCTCCTCGTCCTCTGCTGCCTGCTTCCCTTTGGGGTCCGAGATTGTGCACTTGGCCGACAGCTTGACCGAGCGGTTCTCAAGATTCCGAGCCGTGGCATACACCGTGACCTTGGCATCGTGCTTCTCAATCGGCAGGTCGATATCAGTGGTAACAGCCAGCGGCTTCATGGCCACCGGGCCGGTCTGCCTAATGTCAATGTCCCGCCAGATGCCCGTGCCGTGGTCCGGGGCCGGCGGGTTCCAGTCCTCGAAGCTGATGCCAAAGTCGTAGTCGTAGCTGGTGTTGTACGTTCTGACAGCCAAGACATTGTTTTCTTGGGCAATGCCGGTAATGTCGTACGAGTGGCCGCCATACGCGCCCGACTGGAAACTCGAGTTGGCAACCTCGTGTCCATTCAGATACAGGTCCGCCTTGGACGTGATGCCGTGTGTCTCGAGCAAAAAGTGCTGCCACGGGCGGCCCTTTGGCAGGGCAAACTCGTTACGGTAAATCCAGGGGACGTTGTACACGCTGGAGTTGACTTTGCTGAGCGCATCCGAGAACCACAGCTCGCTATCCTTGTAAACGCCCGACTTGAGGAAGCAGCCCATCAGCGTGCAGCTGGGGGCGTCGACAAAGTGCCATGACGAGGTTTCGACGCCCGAACGGGACAGCGCGGCAAGGTTGTTGTCGACGCTCGCCGAGGATTGGAAATGCCAATTGGGGATCGGGGCAGACTGTCCGGCCTTGGACGTCAAGGGCTTTGTGCTTGCCGAGGCGGCGACGACACCCGCTGGCAGAACACCACTGCCGAGCAGTGCCAAAGTCGTGAGCACCTGCATCATGGCTACTTTTGCTCAATCCAAAGGCAACCACTTGCTGAGGACGGACTATCGCCGCCCTGCCCGACTTCGCAGCCCGTCTTATAACTTACACGAACCGTCGAGTTGAGGGTCAAGATCAACCTCAAATACAACGTTACCAGTCATGTCATCGGAAAAGGCGATCAAAAACCGGCTATCCCTCCTCACTCCGCAGTTTCGACCGCCTCCCCGCATCGTTCCCCGAGAGTTTGTCCATGATGTGGTCCAAGTAAGCATCGAGAAGCGACACCAATCGAAGCCTTGACACCACGTCGGCTTGGGGCTTCCCCTCTCCCGACTATATTAGCACCCGGCGTAGTACGGCACAGTACGGCGTTCATCGGCCGTCGCAGACAGACCGCTGTTTAAGACGGCGTAAGCAATGACGGCCGCGATTTACCCGGCACAGCCTGGCGTTGACGATGCTGTCGCTTTTCGAGGACGAGGAAGATGCATTTTTCCGAGTGCCGGGATTCTACACGGCCCTCAAGCATCTCACGAAGGAACCAATAACAACCTCAGTCTTGATTCATGTGACGAAGATGATCTGAATGCCTTCATACCGTCTGTATGCGCCTTCATAATTCCCGTCGCGGGTCTTACAGGGATCGTACCCATGCTAGGTCGCCGACATTCGTCCAGTCGGCGGAGCCAGTCGCCATGAGTTATTGGCTCAAGCGGCTCAAGCGGCTCATGAGCGTATGAATCCTTCCATGACCCTGTCGTGTGGGTTCTTCTAATTAGTCGCTTAGAAATACTAGTACATGAGTTAGCACGCCTCAGATATCAAGTTGTGTTGCATCCCCGTGAGGCTCTGGTCTGACAACTCGTCTGGCGACTCCAGTCGTCTGGCTCACAACCACTCTCCAGAACACGACGCCATAATGGCAACCGCCGTAAGCAATTGAGGCTCAAACGCGACTTATGCTAACCATGATTCCAGGGCCATGGCTCTGACGGCCTTCAAGTCAATATGGACTACGGCAACCAGCCAGAGGCATACTACCCGCCGGGCAATCACCACGACGTCTCATCGCAGAAGGTTCCAGTTGTGAACGACTCGTCACCACTACCGGCAACTCCACCGCCTCAACCAACGATATGCGGTATAAAGAGGCGCACTTTCTTCATCACCGTCATAGTTGCGCTAGCGATCATTATCGCGGGTGCTCTAGGCGGCGGGCTGGGAGGGGGCTTATCGTCGAAACACAACGACTCAACACAACACAGCGACTCAACACATAGCGATCCGTCACCGTATGTGCCTTCGCCCGTTATGACCTCTGATAATTAATCATGAATAGAAGTGGCAGCCCCGCTGCGACGAGCGCATCCACATCCACGTCGGCTTCAGCTTCTGCTTCAGCTTCCCCGTCCGCATCCCCTGGTGCTACCGGACACTTCAGCGATTGCCCCGGCTCCAACGGCACCACATACACGTCCACGGCATTTTCAAGCGGTAGAAACGGCGATGTGCCCGACGGCGCCAGAAATGGCCTCAGATTCATCAAGCTTTGCGGGACAGGCATACAAGGCAACACGAATATCGCCCAGGGACGAGTCTCGTCGCTCGATGAGTGCATCGACCTGTGTGCGAGCTATAATTTCTGGTCAGGTTCCAAAAATTGCACGAGCGCCACGTATGATGAGAACAGTTCATGCTGGATTGGGTCCGGAAGGTGGTTCGGGCCGACGGCGCATAACAATCTGGACGCGGCGGTGCTGGCTGATACCGTGTAATGGGCTCCACCGCCGGCTGGTACGCGAAAGATGAGAGGGCTTCGTGCTTGAGCAATGCAGGTTTCCTGCGTCTCGAGTGCTCAAGCGTGAACTGATGTCTGACACCAGCTCTGCGTGCTCTTTGACGCACCCCCTTCACGGCAGCAAGCATGTCGAGGCAGGCTTTGGAAACATCCCCTTCGCAACTTGGTAGTTAGACCCGAGCCGGAATAGCTATGGCAGAGCAGACAGTCGGGTCCGAGGTTGTCATGCGGAATCACTGAAAGACCGGCATCAGAACACCAGAAACTGACGGCGGCACCATTGCGCGAAGAACTACGGTGCATAATTTGGCCCGAAGCATGGAGTAGCCCAACGGTCTCCTGTGCGGCTACGGCTAGCGCTCCATCGGGGACGGGAAGCATTCACGACACTCTTCCGATACCCAAACGTCACCAACATCAAGGGACCTGAACATTTGCCAACACCCCGATGGTGCTCCGGTAAGCCTTGCAGGGCTGTCGGCTCTGTCGGACGTGCCAGCAATTTACACGAGTGATTTTGCTGGCTAACCCCTCGACGATAACGCTCTGCCACGGAGCTGGCCGGTGTACTGACCCTGAACGCAGCAGAGCCCGGGATGTGGGGATCAGAACGACACTAAAGCGCGTGAGACGAACGGGCCCCTACATCTGCTGCAAAACCCCGGCGCATTGCAGCACGAGGGATCGTGATCCTGACCTCGAGACGCGGAAATAACAAAAGCTTGAATGAGCTGAGCAGCGAGCAGCTCTTCTCACTGTCTGCACAGCCTTACCTTCTCGCTCTCTGCTACATAATACACGCAGGTCATGCAAGAAGGCAGGCAGTGGTGCGAAAGAAACGCCCCTGAGTACATGTATACGGGCGTCCCACCAGGCTTCAAAACATGAAGCGTCACTAGGCTGCTACCGGGCAGTAAGGATCTACGAGTGCCTAATAAGAGCTCAAACCCTAGCCGTAGATCGACATGGAATCTTGCACAATATCTAGCTTCATGCTGCAACGAATACTGGCCATCATCTTATGAGGACAGAAACCCTCTTCTGCGACGACCATGGTCTAATACTCCTCCTCGTATGAACTCAGCCAAGATTGCCCAATAAGCAGCTCCGTGTCTTCCACGGCGACATGCGGACGGGGTAGCTGCGGCCAGACCCACCTCCGCAGCTCCCTTTTGACCTTGGCCTTCTTGGAAGCGGGCACAAGGCCGTGATGGAACAGGACATCGAGCGTATCGAGAAGAAGGTCGTTTCCGTACGCCAACTCAAACGCGGTCCCATACGTCTCTGTCCGCACACGGGCATCGGCCCCGTGCTCCAGCAACACATGCACGATGTCTGCGCTATTCTGCGCTGTGCCCGCGACGAGCGCCGTCCCGTATGGTCCGACCTGGGCGTTGACGTCGGCGCCTCGATCTAGGAGCAGTCTGATGATATCCGTTGTCCCTCGGCTGGTAGCTGCGATGAGCGCCGTCCCGAGCAAGCCGCCCTGGGCGTTGACGTCGGCGCCTCGATCTAGGAGCAGCCTGGCGACGTCCGTTGTCCCTCGCCAGGCAGCTGCCTGGAGGGCCGTGCCAAATATGCCGCCCCCGGCGTTGACATCAGCGCCCTGATCGAGCAGCAGCCTTACGACCGTCTCACTTGACGGGATGTTGCTTGCCGCTGCTTGAAGGGCCGTTCCACTTTGGCCAGCCTGGATGTTGGTATCTGCGCCGCGACTCAGGAGAAGCCTAACAACAGTCTCCTTGCGTTCATAGGCTGCTGCCTGAAGAGCTGTTCCTTGAATGGCACCCTGGTTATTGATGTTGGCGACCCGGCTGTGGAAAACATGAAGTCCATCGGTGTTGCGGTCAATGCTGCCTCGGGACACAAAGTTAACGTCGGCGCCGCGTTCCAGGAGTAACGCGACAATATCGCTATGGCCTCCCCATGCGGCCTCTAGCAGGGCCGTTCCGACCACCACTGGCCCCTCGATTGGGGTAGTCTCGAGGAACCACGGGCACACGCTGCCGCTCAGTAGGCACACGTCGACCCCGCGGCAAACGTCCACTTCGACGCCCCGGTCCAGGAGAAGCTGCACCGTCGTCGCGTGGCCGTTGCGTGCAGCTACGTGTAGTAGGGTGTCGGAGCGCCATTCGTGGTTGACCATGTCCTTTTCTCGGAGGGGTTCAGACCCCTTCCACCAGGACGTGTCATCCAACAGGCTCGCGATGACAAAGTCTAGCCCTAGCGAAGCCGCGGTGTAGATCTGGAGGCCGTGCCAGCATCGTGGAGGATGGTCACTAGGGAGGGGACCTAGACACGCTTCGTACCTTGAGAAGGCTGCCTGGTTTCGAAAGAGCCGCAGAATCATTTGTTCTGGGAGTTGCCGCTCGACCTCGTCGGCAATGCTGCGGTAGTGCTTGAGCCATCCAGCGACTTCGCGGTATATAAATGAGCGCCTCGCTGCTTCGTCCGTGTCCAACATTGGGTCCATGTCCAGTTCCAGATTCCACACAGCTTCCAAGTCCGGCTCTTGAACCAGCTCTGACTGTCCTTCTGGCTTTGGCTCTGTTATCCCAACCTCCACGGAAGCTTCTTCCGCGCCGGGATGCTCCCTTGGCCCTTCCTCCTCCTCGCTGGGTGGCGGGTCGAACAAGAAGTGTGCTAAGTAAATGCAGGCCATCATGGCGTGGCCCTTGTTCCTGTCGAAGCGGAACCGCTGTGCTCTCTTGTCCCACTTTCCAATGTCCCGCGACTCGAGGTATTCTTGCACCGAGGCGTGTGCAAACTGCACCGAATACTTACCGCCGTCAAGGAAGCCGGGGCATACAGACCGGAACAGTTCGGCGTGGACCTGGTCCTCTGGGTCATATATCGCGCTATCCGTGCCGATGTCCACGGCGGCGAGGTGTACCAATTCGTGTACCTCCACCTCTTCAGACGCGAAGCAGACTATGTGAAGAATGCGCCTTGCGTGCTCGACGTGGTGTTCGGGGACGCTTGCTAGGAGTCTTTCGTATGTCTCACTGAGTGTAGATGGCAACGAGGACAAGGTTTGCTTGAGCTGCGCCAACGTGAGGCAGCTCTCCAAGGCGCCGAATTGGCAATCAACCCACCGAAAGCTGCGCATCGTGTCAGTCGTACTCCAATTGTCTGCGAAGGAACGTCATACACGCCATTCGCTCGTCGCATCAGCTGCTCTCTAATCAACGTATGGCTTTTCGACCATTTTTGAAGACGCCGCCTTTCCCGTAGCTGCGAGTTGATATAGTTTGCGATGTCGCTGTCGACAAAGTCATTGTGCATCGAAACGACCTCGGTCGGCGTACTACAGAGATTCCCGTATCTCCCACTCATCGCGGCTCGTGACCAGAAGATGCAAGCCGGTCTCACCCCATTTGCGCATTGAGGCTATTGTCTCTAGTAGCTCGTCCCTCTGTGAGTCGCGGGGCTGGTAGGCGTCATGAGGACATTCATCCAGGGCATCTAGGAATAAGTAGACGTCATCGAACGACCGAACGAGACTGTGGAAACAGTCATGCAGCGCGTGCAATGGAGGTATTCCAGTGCTATACGTGTCATAAAGCTTCTTTGGACAGCTCGAGTCCTCCTGTTGGCTCGATAGTTGCAATATGAATGAGCGCAGCATGCCAGAGACGGTTTGCTTGTTTGTATCCGCGAAGCTGAAGAAGTAAAAGCCTAAACCAATGCGTGGGTTGGAGCGTCGATGGCGGAAAGCGTGCTGAATTGCCGTGCAGCATAGCAGTGACTTGCCAGTCCCGGCAAAGCCATTGACCCAGAGGAAAGAGTTGTGGGTTGTAAGCCAGCTCTGAAATTCCTCCCCCTGGACGAACCAAAGCCCGGTTCCCGGTTGCCGCTTGTTGCAAGCGTAGTTGTAAAGGTCCGTGGGGTCGGGCGCCTTCAGCCAGCTTGTAATGGCTAAGGAGAGGGCGGTAGAGTGAACCAGTTCTAGTATGTCCTTTACGCTCCCGATGTCGTCGCGCATCTCCTCGATGTCTCGCTTCTGCAGGACCTGGAGCGTGAAGCTGACACTCGATCTGAGCTCGGAGATGTCTCCTTTTAGCTTCTCAAGAGTCGTCTTCTTAAATGGGTACGCCAGGCGATGGGCACCTGCGGCAGCCTTGGCCCACACGCTTCTGCTCTGATGCTTTGCGAACTTTTCCGCCTGATGCTGGAGCTCTTCAATGTAGTCGATACACTCGCCAATTGCCTCCTCGATCGCGGAAACGAGGTCTTGCTCGCCAGAGCTGAATTTGCGGCTTTTGAGGCTTTCATCAAGGGCTACCAAAGCAACGCATAGGCGGTCCAGTTCGCCGATCGTGTGTGCAATGTGTGCATCCTGGTCTTTGTAGGCTTTGTAGAACTCGATGAGTGACTTTGTGACTTCTAGTCCGAGGGAGATGAAGCCAGCAACGCCCGCAGAAACGGACAGGGGGTCCATGAGAACGACCAATATCGCAGGTCAAGGGTCCAGTTGTAGCATTAAATTACACATGCGGTCTGGTGCCGCGGTGCTCGTAGTGCTGGGGCCGAGTTCACAGAACACAGCGTCGCAGATATTCATGCTTCCCCGCAGCAGAGCACGAAGAAGCTGACAGGCCCTGCATGGATCTGGCCCTAATTGCGGCCAAGCGGGAACCCATTTTAACGATCCTTCCGACAAACGCATCATCACAGCAGAATGCCCGTGGGGTTGTTGAAGATCAGACCGGACCTTGAGTAGTAGACGAGCTGCTCGATCGCAAAGGTGAGGATGGGCGCGAACGGCTTCGGGTCAGCCCCAACCATCGGCCAAGTGAACGAATGGCACGCAGACAAGAAAGACATTGGTGCCGCTGCGCCAGAGACCATGCTTCCTGGTCGGCGCATGCACCCGGAGCGCCTAGCGCGGCTTCGACGCATATTCTGTCGTCGATGGAGAAGTCGGCTGGGCTGGCACATACACGCTTCGTCACTTAACAGACCGCGAGGACGACAAGACTTCGCAACGCCGTCGCGCGACCGCACCTGCATGGCTCACCCGGCTCACCCGGCCGGCGCACCGGAGCTGCTGGCGCGTTTCCAGGCCACCGAGCCCCGCGGGAAATCCGAGCCCGGCATGGCGGGGTGAAGCGGCTCCGGCGTCGGATATGCCGCGTTTTTGTCGCCCTGCGTCATCGTCAGGCTGGAGGCGCAGAAAACATCGGACGAGCAACTGAAACGCGGGGAAGCGCTAGGCAAAGACAAGGGAAACAAGACGACGGCTGTTCTTGGGGCTGTCGGCGTGGAGGCCGACTAGCCCTGGTGATGTGCAGGCAGCGCCGAGCCTCTGACACAACAACCGCCCACAACGTGTTGAGCACCTAACCAACTTCTTTAATTGCTCGGAAGGAACGGGGTCTAGATCACAAGGCGACTGATTCCAGACAGGCTGGCTCGCAAGGCGCCGAGCCAAGGCCACGCTTTAGATCGTCGCTTCTCATCATCTCATGTACGCCAGCGCCGGCACCACCTCCTGATGCGAGCCGTCCACAAGGTACCGGCCTACTCCCTGCCCCTGCGGCGCTCGCGACACCTGTGTTGCCAAAAACTCCACCTGTCCTTGTTGAGCATCTTCACCTCCGGCGTGTAGCCCAGTTCCAGAAGACAGTTGAGCAGGTCGTAGCTCCGCTCGGCCTGGGTTATAGGAAGCCCAATGGCCACGCTGCGTCCGACATAGTCCGTTACCGGCACGAATCGTGTATGCTCCCTGCCGCCCGCGCCGACGTACGTCTCCGGCTGCAACATCGGGTCGTTGGCGGTGATGATCAAGTCCGAGAGTCCGATCCGGCTGCTGCAGTGCTGCTTGATCTGCTCGAGCTGCTCCAGGCCGCCCGACTTGAGCAGCATCCTGCAGATGTGCACCATGTACTCGTCGCCGGTGTACAGGTCCGTGTACAGCTGGATGCCGGCTTCGCGGCCTGCCCTCGAGAGCTTGTTTTGCATCGGGGCCGAGTACGCCATTTTCGTTGTGCTTTTTGGGGGGTATTGTTGTCGAATGCAAGCGCGACTAGTTGTCGGAGTAAAGGGACGGGACGTAGCGATATTGAACCCTTTCTGGGAGCAGAGCGTGGTTTATTAACCCGTGATAGTGGACAATCATCGACGCGGGCAGGCCAGTGCGCCATGTACGGACCGGGCGACGAGTACCGAGTAATCATTACTCAATGGACGTGTAACGGGCATGAACCGAGTCAAGCCAAGGCCATAGAGGCCGGTCAAGTATTGGCAAATCGCGGCCGGGGATGTCGCGAATGTTGGTTGAACGCGGAAGGGCCAAGCCGTCGGGCGGTTGGATTTGAGGCCAATGCGACGAGGCCACGATCAGGGCCAAGGGCCGCCAGCAGTATCGACATCGACCCTGAGCAAATGTTATTAGCTACCGGGAGAGCAGCGCCCATTTTGGTTCCTACAATCATTTCTCTCTAGCGGCCGTGCGTGCACGATGCCTCCGCCGCACGGTCACCTTGATTCCATCCACACTCGCGGACTTGAGCATAAGACAAGCGCAGGCACCTGTAGTCCCACATTGACGCCTCGCAGCTGCTCGTGGGCAATATTGCCTGGGCGCAGAGCCATCCTGGTCGTTGGTCCATGGCCCGAACACGACTGGCAAGCGACTCAACAGTCGACGCCAGTCGATGACCGCCCGCCGCCTGTCAGGGACAAAGTTTGCGAGTACACCGCGAAGGGACGCAAGACGCAGGTCAACGCCGATACGGCGGCGGCGCCCACGTCATTTCGAGTCTCGTGGAAGTGCGTCAGCATGCTTCGCCATGTACGTACTGCCACTGCCTGCCCTCGGTAGTGCGCGGCATCCATGGCGGGAGGAAACGCGACAGCCTTGACGTGTCGATTCAGGGGCTTGCAGCCGACGTCCGGTGCGATTCGCCCCTTGGTGACGCATCGAACGAGCCTTGAGTTTGATCCGCTGCGCTGCGTCCACTCCGGCCAAAGTGCAAAGTAGGCACCGCGGCGACCGTGGCTTGCACCAATCTGCTCGACTGCGAGGGCCGGTCTGTAGGGCTTCTCACCATCAAACTTTGCCGAAGCCGGCTGGCAGGATTGCTCACCATCAAACCTTGCCCAAGCTGGCTGACTCGACCCGTGGTCGGGTATAAAGGGAGCTCCCCTCTTCCACCTTGACTGCCATCCACGCTCCTCCGTGCTCACCACACCCAGACCGCCGACTTCTCACCACCAGGTCCTACCACGGTCAAGCGAAAGCGGGCCAGCAAGCAGAACGATGCGGTTGCTGCACCTGAAGGCCTACACCGGTTGAGCGTCGTCAGCGGCCGCGCAGGGCCTCGACCTTCATGCGCGTCAGAGCAGCACAGCGGGACCCAGGTTCGCCTGGCAATACTACTGCTGCATGATGAGGCGACAATAGAGAGCAGCGACGGCAGATGAAGGACGTGATGTTCTTTGGAGACTGGCCGAATTGCAAAATGGACCCTCCACCACGATACTCGCAGCATCAACCACGACGCACCACCGCCAGACCTCCTCCCTCACGACGCTCATCAGCATCAACCATGACATGAAGTCGCCCGACCCCCTCCACCCCAACGCTCGCAGAATCAACCACCATGCACGATCATCCGCCCTCCAAAAGCCGCATGACGTCGCGCTGACCCGCAGACATGCTCTCGCGACACAAGTTCTTCTTCGCAGCGCCAGGCAAGCTGACAATGCAATGAAAAAAAAAAAGATGTCACCTGGAGGTAGTGTAATACCAGGGACAAGGGAGACGCAACAAAAAATTGTGCCGCGGCGGTACTACTTACCTGTGACAACCCGCCATCTGCGCATGGGGGTGTTAGTTGCCTCTCGCAGTGCCTCTCGCAGAGGGTCCCCATGCATCAGCAGCCGCTCGACATTCGTGAGGTCGAGAAGCACGACTTTTACCTTGCTACGCGTGTCTTCGCAGATGGGCATGAAGAGAAGAGAAGAACGGACGACGAGCGACGCGAGATTTTATGGACGTCCAGCTTTGCGCTCCTTCCCACAGACTCGATCGAGGCCACAACCAAACAGGAAAAGCGAAGCGAGTCCGCGGACAGCAAGAGCAAAGAAGGCAAGGGCATAGGCAGGCTGTCCGTGCAGTTCCTACCTGAAGCGCGATTGCGGTTTCTGGGGAAGGAGCGACGACATGATGCTCGCAGCGCAGCCCAGGACGGCAGGCTATCGCCCAGAGCAGAACCAGACGACCACGGACACAGGCTCGACATGCTTGAGCGTCGAGCAGCGCAGCTATGCCAAGGAGTGCATGTACACGGGCCAGTTCATCTACATAGGGAAGAGGACGAGAGACGAGCGATGGACGACGCGATTATGGACGTCCAACTTTACGCGGCGTCTTCGCAGATATCAGAGGAAGGGACGCAAGACGGCATCATCGACGCCCAACTCTGCGTTCCTCCTTACAGCCTCAACCGAGGCCACTTCCAAACAAGAAGCGAAGCGAATTGACCGACAGCAACAGCAGACAAGGTAAGAGCGTGCAAGAGTGCGCCATGCAGTTCCTACCGTGGCATGGGTGCACGATCGCCAGGGACGGAGCGGCGGCTTGTCAATTGCGGTGCACAGATGCCTTTGTCTGCGGCTCGCGACCTGAGAGTCACAGTCGGATCGGTGGCAGGTGCAGCTTCCATGAGCACGGCACTGACGGAGGGCGAGACAACGCATGACCTGATGGGGGTCATGCAATGGGCCGAGGTGACGTGTTGAGGGAGGCAGGTGACGCCTTGCACGGGAAGGAACACGACTCGTCTAGGTCCGGCAGGGGAGGTACCGTGCTTGGCACGGCAGCCTGGCTCCGTTGGGACCTCGAGGGAAGGCACCGGGAACATTTGGACTGGCAGCAGTGCGCTGATGGGGGAGGGGCACGGAAGGGGCACCGGATGTCTGGCGTGGTCCGGCAAGACAGAATGACGCCGTGGACGGGAAGGAACACGACCGTCCAGGCCCGGCAGGGAAGGTGCCTTGCTTGGCACAGGAGCGTGGCTCGCTTGGGTTCTGGAGGAAGGCGCCGAGGAGACTTGGGTTGGAACTCGGCAGCACTACGCTGATAGGGAAGGAGGCACTGGATGACACCGAGTCACTGAGGTGACCAGCTGGCCGAGGGGTGAGGACGCTACAGCGTCTACCACTGCATCTACCAGTACATTCCATGGCAGGCAAGGTGGTGTCGGGATCAAGTGGAGGGCAAGGACAGCACGCTGCATCGCGAAATACAGGTTGGCCAAGCGCAGGGCCAGAAGCCAACAATGCGCACTGCGTCAATTCTAGCAATCAATCCAGTGAGTTGTGAGTCGTAATGTTGGTGTTTCCACCAAGTCCACCCCTGCTGGGACCTAGGGCCGAGCTTTTGCCGGCACAAGCTGTCACGCCGCCACGGGAAGCTCCGGCCTCCCACTTGAACCACACCTACCATCGACAGCCGAAGCATCGCACATCTTCCACCACAGAGCTCGGCCGCATCGCGTCGCGCTTAATTGTTCAGATGCTTGCTCCGACCAACTGAAATCCTTGCGGGCTCGAATCGTTGCCTCTCAGCCGCACCACGGCCGCATGCGCGAGCCTTACCCCGGGTGGAATCCGATCGATCCACGCACGAGGCGCAATCATGGCGTCCAAGAGAAGCCTGTCCCCCAGCGACATGCCCAAGTCCGAGAACAAACGCCCTAGAATATCAAGTACCGATGGCATCGAAAGCCTGAGTCAAAGCGCCCCGCTCGGCGCTCGAGCAGACGAGCACGAAGAGGCTGTGGCCTCACTCGCGCCCACGCACCACTCCAACGCCAGAAGCGGACTGCAGCGGTCAATAGCCCTCGTCCTCAAACACGATGGGTTCGAATCAGCCACCGACGAAGCCATGGAGAGCTTCACGGGCATCGTCGAGACGTGTTAGCCACCTTCGGCCCACTCCCTGCTCGTGCGCACCCACCTGACAGCTCTAGACATTGAATCCATGATCGAAGAAGTCAAGCGCTTCGCCCTCGCCGCCCGACGCGAGCATCCTATCCCCACCGACTTTGAGCTGGTGATGGGCTACTACAACCTCACCACGCGCTCGCTCCGACCCCACCTCAAGAACCCTCTCCCCCAGTCCGAAGTCGCGCCGAAATTCCAGGTGCTCCCGACCGCCGACAACGAGGCCCTCGCGACGTTGCCTCTTCTCAGCGACGAACTGAGTGGTCAGGCCGACAAGGACGCCAAGCAATACATCCCTTCGTCGTTCCCCGACTTTCCCAGCCGCCACACCTACCGCTTCACGCCTCAGGAAGACACGAGCGTTCGCGATTCCAAGAAGATACGTGAGGAGGCGGCCCGCACCGCCGAGCAAGGCGAAGATGCGTTGCGGAGGCTTGTTCGCGCGTCCAAAATGCGCAAGCAAAAGGAGGTCAAGTCGCTCGTCGAGCGTGACACCGAAGGCAAAGAGCGCTTTCGACTTTGGGAGGCGACCATGAAGAGGTTCATGGGCGCCGAGGCCGGTCTGCGCAGTGACGGTGCCGCCGCAGACCAGGTAGAGATTGCCGACCACAGCATGATTGTCAACGGCGACACCGTCTTTGCGCGCAAGGAGGTGGCTCGGATGGGGAAGCGTGTCGGCGGGCTCTCCGCGAACGGGACGTAGGTCGTCAACGGGCGCAGCCCCCACGCAACCATTTGGCATGAAAAGAAGGTAGACCTGAGTGACGAGGACTAGAGCGAAGGCTGATGATGCTACCAACTCACTCGGCAAAGACGCGGTGGACGAGGAGGTTGATGATACCCTAGATCAGATCGGCTTTTGCCGATTTTTGCCTGCAAGGCGTTTGGAGTCACCCAATGGAATTTTGATTGACCTGTCTCTGCCGCAGCGCCTTGGGTGTGCGACGTGGGTGATGGTCTCGTCATGTTAGGCTCGTGAGAAGTCTGCTCCATTGGACATCGACAGCTTCCACCCGTCGCCAAGGTACTTCAAAACGCGTAGTCAGCGCAGTCATGACTGATGTCAATAGAATGGGTTGCACCATATCGCGTCGACGCGAGGCGGAATTGCGACTTGCGTGCCTATCTATATCTGTGGTGCCTAGTACAGGGTAGCCCTTCTGACAACACCTAGCGTCCACCATCTCCTCGGCCGTCGTGTCTTCAACCATGCTTTGCGCAATCAAAAGCTCTTTGCATCGCAAAATAGTCATGGCAATGGCCACTTGCGACTGGTCTTAGAGCGACCCCGTACGTCGGAGGGCAGGGCAGTCTGACTCAGCGCCGAAGGTGCGACAACAGTCATCGAACATGGTCGGGCAGATCCATTCCCTCAAGCAATCCTGCGTCTTTGGCAGCCATGCCCCATCCCTGGCCTTGGCCTGATTGCAGCAGGCCTGGGATGCATCCGCGAGGTTCGCGCCGTTCTTGATACATTTGCAAGCCTGTACGGCAGCCTCAGCCCCGGTCAAGCAGAAAGCAATGACAGCGACAAAGGCATTGAGCTGCATGTTGGACTGTCTGGTGATGCGCTTGCTGTGCAGTTGCTGAATCGGGGTTGTTATTTGAATTTGGTGAGAAGAAGATGAGCAAGAGGAGTCGAGAAACGGCGATGCCCAGCTTTCTCTAGAGAGAGATGTCCTCTGCATTTATACTTGCGACATGATTGACAAACGCACAGAGGCACCTCACCATTGTAGGGCGTATCTATCACTACGAGAGCAATGCCAGCCTAGAGTCTTATCCATGTTTTGTCACTCGGGATTATTTCTAGAGCAAACATGAAGCGCTACAATGGGAGAGTACGCCCGATCATCGTCAGATGCAGCGTGCTGGTGCGAGTTGCGCCGATTGTGTAAAATGTACCAGACTAGAACGGCTGTTGTACGGACCGCCAAATGGTCGAGGCTGCACGCCACGGTCAGTTCAAGTTGCCCGGCGAAGCCAAAGTGCATGTAGATAAGCTCTTTGGGATATAACTAGGATTCTGATACAGTCCGTGAGCTCTGACCCGCTCCAGACGGTCGGAGGAATTCCAGGCCTTGGTGTCCAGTCGATGTCGAACTTGGCCCACCACTTTTCCCTAGGTCAGCTCGGTGAACAAGCCCAAGGTACGTACCTTCACCGAGGTCTAGCGGCTCGCCGGCGGAGTCGCTCGGGCGAGACCAACGTGCGGCGGCCCTAATTTTCCGCCCACACAAAAATTATCCCAATTTCTGCCGAGCCAGCCAGCGCTCAAGACCACTGTAGCCAGACCCATTGTGTGCGCCGCACCCCCCAAAGGTTTTGCAGACGAGCCCGCCGACGCCTTCTCTCGATTTTCCTTTTCCTCTTTTCCGCACCGCACCGTTCGACCTCCCGCAGCATCGCCTCCGTGTACCGTCGCCATGGCTGAACAATTGATCCTCAAGGGCACTCTCGAGGGCCACGTACGTTTCTGCTTCCCCCTTCCGCGTCGTGCCTTCCTCGTTCGGGGTCCTGGCTTGATGCCCCTCGGGGGCGGCAAGCCGGTGACCGCAGACGACAAGCACCACGACTCCCGCCGCTGCATGGTCGCGACAGAAAGTGCTGACTTTGGATGCAGAATGGCTGGGTCACCAGCTTGGCTACCTCCATGGAGAAGTACGTCGAACCCGAAACCGACGCTCGACGTCGCCGCCGCCTCCCACTCGCCGATTACGATGCTAACATGGCACCTCAACCTGCAGCCCCAACATGCTCCTGTCCGCTTCGCGTGACAAGACGCTCATCATCTGGAACCTCACTCGCGATGAGACCCAGTACGGATACCCCAAGCGATCGCTGAAGGGCCACTCCCACATCGTCTCGGACTGCGTACGTCACACATCCATCTGCCTCGATGACCGGAGGAACACGGGGGGAAATGGGCTGACTGGAATGGACGCAACAGGTCATCTCCTCTGACGGCGCCTACGCCCTGTCCGCCTCGTGGGACAAGACTCTCCGCCTCTGGGAGCTCGCCACCGGCACCACCACCCGCCGCTTCGTCGGCCACACCAACGACGTCCTGTCCGTCTCCTTCTCCGCCGACAACCGCCAGATCGTCTCCGGCTCGCGCGACCGCACCATCAAGCTGTGGAACACCCTCGGTGACTGCAAGTTCACCATCACCGACAAGGGCCACACCGAGTGGGTTTCTTGCGTCCGCTTCAGCCCCAACCCCCAGAACCCCGTCATTGTCTCCTCTGGCTGGGACAAGCTCGTCAAGGTACGTGATGAAAGCCTTTTCGCGATCAACTTGGCCACGCGGCGCAGGTGCCTGCTGCTCGACATGAACATGATGTTTTGCAACCTCAAGTATTTGCTACTTCAGAGCCCTCGGGCCATGAGACAATCATTACACCTTTGCCCTGATTGAATCAACCACAGCGGCATTGGCACTGCGCTGGGCGTGGCCGCCCTGAACGTCGGGAACATGACTGACATGCCTGCCGTCATAGGTCTGGGAGCTCTCCACCTGCAAGCTGCAGACCGACCACATCGGCCACACCGGCTACATCAACACCGTCACCATCTCCCCCGATGGCTCGCTCTGCGCCTCCGGTGGCAAGGACGGCACCACGATGCTCTGGGATCTTAACGAGTCCAAGCACCTGTACTCCCTCAACGCCAACGACGAGATCCACGCCCTCGTCTTCTCCCCCAACCGATACTGGCTCTGCGCTGCCACCGCCAGCAGCATCATCATCTTCGACCTCGAGAAGAAGTCCAAGGTCGACGAGCTCAAGCCCGAGTTCACCTCGGTCGGCAAGAAGAGCCGGGAGCCCGAGTGCGTTTCCCTCGCCTGGTCCGCCGACGGCCAGACCCTCTTCGCCGGTTACACCGACAACATCATCCGCGCCTGGGGTGTCATGTCGCGGGCATAAACGCCTCGTCGGCTTTCTGCGCGCACGGATCAGCGGTGTCACGGTAATGGGCAGGCTGTGGTAGACGGAGCGAGAGCAGCAGCGGATGAGCGGAGGGCCCCGAGAGGGGTCCGAGCCGTTGTGGAAGATGGTAGATCATTGGTGGGGCGTCATATGGCTGGCTTCCTCGTTTGGTCTTTATTGATGCGAAGGACACGGGGGGGACAAAACACATCTGACGAGGCATGACGCATTGCTGGCTGGGCAGCCTCTGAAGGCAAAAACTGGGCATCATGCTTTGTTCTTCCAATAAAGAACTCGACATTCACATGTGCTTGCACCGTGATGACATGTGGCCGCAACCTGTTTCCACGTGTTGATCCAAGACATTGAAGCTGTCAAGGTCAGATGAAAGGCGCTGGCGCCGTCTCACGCTCTACCCCACAACACCCTTTATGTGCAAGGTCGTGCTTCATTCTGCGTGCTACCTGTCTAACGGCGCCCAGCCGATGCATGACTTCCAAGTTGTCATTCAAAAACGCCATAGTGTACATGTTATCACCGTTTTGCTGCTATGTGTCTATCGGGTGTCTCGCCAAATCGAGACACCGTGGCCTCCCTTGCAGGTCCTGCCCGGCTCACACAAGACCCTACACCGTCGGACGCGGCTTTCAGTTTGTCCATGCTCGTCCACCGTCTGAGACGGCTACCAAGCGCGCGCCTCTCACATAAAGGGAGGGAGCGAGAAGGGGTAGCCGCTGTTCTTGATACGGAAGACGCTCAGCAGGAAGCTGTTGAGGAAGAACATGACGCTGATCCAGGCGATGGCGGCGACGAGCTGCTTCTTGGGCTCGGTGATGCGAGGAATGCGCGACCCGAGGGCAATGGTGGAAAAGGACAACAGGCCGTCTGGTGCAATGCATGTCAGCGCGAATGACTCTATGTATAGGGGTCAAGGTGCTTACACATGGCAGCGACAATCTGCGTCTCCAGACCGAGCTGGCTCTGGAAGCCGCCGGCAAAGTAGGTGATGCCACCGCGGCCATCGCCAGCGACATAGGGCACGTGGCGGATGTGGTTGAACATGTGGCCGCTGGTGAAGAGCAGGATGGCAATCATGGTGCCGGCGGCCCAGAGATTGCGGTTCTGGACGATGGGCAGCAGGTAGGGGCCGGCGGTGGCGATCAGGGTGCCAACGCCGAGCAGCAGGGTGATGCCAGCCGCCCAGCGGATGTAGTTGATGGGTCGCTTGATCTCTGGGTGAGGACGGCCGGGGAGGTGGCGGACAATCCAGTTGTGCACCTGCTCAGCGGCGGGAGGTCTGTAGCCGGTCATGTCAGCAAGGCATGCGCTGTATAGGAGAGAGTCAATACTGACCCGCTGGTGAAGTCATAGCGAAGCGGCTCCGGAGAGGCGACGGCATGGGGGCCGGCGGTGGGAGGGAAGAAGAGCAAGACCGGGGCAGTCTGGAGGCCAAGCTGCACAGACACATCATTAGCACCTCGCATCCAAGCTTCAAGAAAGGACCAAGCCCGAGCATACCGAGAGGAAAATATCCCGCCCCTCGGAAAAGTCCAGCGTGCCAAAGATCATGCGCGCCTCGCCCTTCTTGTCGCCCTTTGTCCAGCTCTTGCCCACGAGATCCCACTCGGGCTGGAACTCGCGGCAGAGCTGGCAGCCGAAGCGGGCGTCCAGCGCCGTCAGCAGCACGGCAACGCTGTAGTCGCGGGGCGCGGCCGTGAGCGACTTGTACGAGACGTCGTTGAGCTGGATCGTCGAGGAGTGGCGCGCCAGCTGGCGGAACTCGGAGAAGCGCTGCTCCGACGTCTTGGGAGCTTTGCTGCCGGCGGCGGCGAGGGCGCCGCTCACCAGCGCGCACGCGGACGCGAGGGTCGAGAGGAAGCGCATCGTGAAGGAAGGGACGGGGGCGTTCTTCGTGGAGCTTCGCAGGCGGCGGGTACGTGCCGCGGGACCCCAATTGATGAGTTGCGAGGGCGATTGTGTGCGGAGGGAGCTGGTTGACGTGGTGGAGCTCCCCGCGTTGAAGATATCTTGAAGCTGAGGTGGCCTCACAGAACGATCGCGGTACGTACCTGGACTGCTGGCCAGGGGCAGCTTCGCTGTCTGTGCCAGTGCCTGAAGCACCCACTGGCCACAGGGTGCCACGAGCTCTGGGCGAAAGCAGCTTATGTCAGCTTGAGCCAGACCCCATCGCGACGTCACGTGCAGCCCTGCTTGGAATTCGGAAAACGGCCCCAGGCGGAGCTAGTCCCGATCTGGAATACTGTTTACCACCCCCGGCGGGGGAACCGAGCCCCGAGCAAAACACACCGGTTCCTGTCGACTGCCCTGGTTGAGCCTCATCGTTCTGGCCATCCACCCAGTGACCGACACGCACCTTGTCCATCTTCCGGGGTTCCTTGTCCAAGTCAAGGGGAGATCTCGCGTCCGTGAACATTTCTATTTCCCATCGCTGCAAGTGCAGTGCTTGTTCCGCGACGCGCCTGTACCCACCGCGTCACCACTGTCCCGCTTGCGCGAGCAAGCTCAACGGCCATCATGGGTGCCAACTCCAGTGAGGTAGGCTTCCTCCAATGCTTGAACCGAATCAGGCTGTGCATCTGCTGACTGCCATGCAGCGCACGACGCGCATCCATCAGCTCGAGCTGCGGCGCCGCGACAACATCCACAAGACGGAGAGCATCGGTCGCGATGAGGAGGCGCGGAGGCTGAAACTCCGCGCCCTGGCGATGCGAGACGACACCGCGGCGTTGAAGGAGAAGATTACACAAAAGGACGCCAAGATCATGGCGCTGAAGAAGCAGAGCGATGCGGTTCGCGTGGAGCTCGATGATGCCAAGCGAGCTGCGCGAGCGCAGGAGACGCGACTAAAGAAGCAGGACATTGAGCTGGCCAACCTCCAGGTACGCGACCTGCGTGATTTATCTCGGGCTACGATATCTGACTGATGATCCAGGCCGAAGTAAACTCGTTGAATGGCTCGGTGCAAGACTCTGGCAAGGCCTTGCAGGAGAAATTCGCGCTCAAGCGAGAACTCGACCGCCTCCGGCCCGAAATGGAACACTTACAGTCACAGCTCGTCAACTATCAGGCCATGGTGGCAGAGAAGAACGACCTGCGGAGGCAACTAGACTCGGTCGAAGTGGAACTCGAGAACGAGAAGCGGTCGCGGCAGAGAGTGCAGTTCAAGGAGGACGAGCCCACCATCAGCGACCTCAAGGCGCGGCTAGTCAATGCCGAGAAGAAGCTGGCCGCCGAGGCCAGGGAGCGCGAGAAGGCCAAGAAGGAGCACGACAGGGAGCTCTCCGAGGCGCAGGCCCACAGCGAACGGCTGGAGGAGAGAATCGAGTCTCTCAAGACAAAGTACAAGACGGCCCACACCGAGCTCAAGGAGACACGAACACAACTCGAACAGTGCCAAGAGGAACTTGAGCAGGCCAAGAAGAAGACTTCTCGCGCACCTAGCGCCAAGGAGGTTGCGAAGAAGAGCGTCGCGAGTGCCGCCATCGAGTCTGGCCTCAGCCGGAAACGCCGTGCCCAGGAGATGAGCTTCGAGGATATCACCATCCAGACGCCCGGAAACGAGGACGTGGCCAGCAAGCGGCCCGCCGCCAAGAAGCGTGGTGACAAGGCAGCTCTGGGTGAAAAGTCTACGTTCTCCATCACGCCCTTCTTGAACCGGACAGGGAAGAGCGTCTCGGATGAGTCCCTGGAGGCGTCGGCACACGATGAATCCGAACTCGGGCCAGACACGACCTTTGCCGACAAGGGCGACAACAGCAAGCAGTCGCTCCCCGTGATCGAGCCCGAGGCCCCAGAGTCTGCCTCCGAGGCTGAAGAGCCCGCACCCAAGCCAAAGGTCCAGCTCAAGGCCGCAATAAAGACGGCTGCGTCCAAGGCGGCACCAAAGGAAGCGCCCAAGCCTCGTGGGCGGCCAAAGACGAAGGGCTTGAGTGAGGCGGCGCCCGCCCAGGCGAATAAGACAATCGCCAAGGCGGACGTCTCATCCGCCGAGTCCGCAGGGGACGCCTCCATGGAGAAGGACAAGTCCACCGAGGCGGCGCCTGTGGTGTCGGTGGCCCTGGAGCAGGAGAACACCACCGCCAAGGCTTCTCGAAAGGCGCCAGCCCTCCAGCCTAAGGCGCCAGAGGGCGACGTCAAGAAGAAGCGGCGGAAGCTCCTCGGCGCCACCAACTCGACTCTGTTCGACGACGATGACGCCGAGGCGGTCGCCTCCAAGCCGGCCAAGCCCGCCGCGCCGGCCGGCAAGCGCGTGCGGACGCAGCTGGGAGGCGGCGTGAGGAACGCGTTTGCCGGCAGCTCGTTTTCGCCGCTCAAGAGGGACAGGAGGGGTGTTAACGCCAGCTTCCTGGCTTAGCGGCGAGACGGGGCATATCGAGCTTGGCCTCTGGGGGGTACCGCGCGGGCGCACGCACACTGGGGACATGCATATGGGATTATCGAGCACTGTACAGGACTACATGCATCAGTGGTGTTTCTGTTTTCTGCTTTTGCTTGCTTTTAACTGCGTTGGTCTTTGGGTAATTGGGTTGTTACGGCTAGGCAGGCAGGTTTGGCGTCTTTGGGATTTGGACGGATTGAATAAGATTCACCCTACGAAGTGCCCGTGTTGCGAATGCAGATCAGACATGTGATACCTGGAGTCAACGGGCCACTGGAATCACCACCGTGGTAGGGGGCTTCCAGGGCTACACGACGAGGAGCTCAGTTCTTCCATGTCACCCTACCAAGGCACAGAATATCAGACATAGCTGGCTACAATTTCTGATAACATCGGAGCAGCTGCAATTGTTGGATTGTGCGGGCAATATCCAGCGAGATATTTATAGAGGCTGTTCCTCGTGCCTGTTAAGGCATGGTTGCTCATTCTTCACTGACTAGGTAGTCTTCGCATTTCCGCCTTTGTTGCCCTGCCCCTGGCCTTCAGTGGCATCGCACCTCGGCTGGACGCAAACTGGTAGACACATGCAGTATTCGCCTAGATCCTCTGCAAGGTCGCTTGTGCGTGCACATCGGGACGTATTCCAGACGACTTCATCCCAGGTGTTGCAAGTGGCGCTGCAGCTTTTCGCCGCTGCCCAACCCATCGTATCCGAACAGTAGAGGGTTCCACGGAGTAGTCGCCTCTCGACTTCTGATCTCGTTGACTGCATGGTCGTGGTGCTATCACCACTTCGTCGGACCCCGTTGACCTCCGCAGCTCTGCCTATAGTGTGCTTGTCAGATTCTGTCATTCCTGGTTTGCAAAGTGGTCGGTTGCATACGTGCGTCGCCGTGGGGTGCAGCCGCGGCCAATACGGCCATGCCCAGACCGAGAATGCATGAGAGGTGCATATTGGACTCTGTGCTTGTCTCTGGGGCGGGAGCGTAGGAAGCACAGAGGGGATGCCTGGCGGAGCGACCATCAAGGCTGACGATGCCTGCCTTTATACGTCTGAGGGTTAGGCGATGTCTCAACCGCTCTGAGTTGGATGAGCAGCAGCATGCGACTTTTGCCCAGCCGCGTCCTGCCGTTGCCGTATGCCGCCTGTTGGATAAGATGGCGCATCAAGCATGCATCGATATTGTGATAAGTCAACCCGCTCGTTGCTTGACATCGCAGCGGCGAGGATCCTCTCGCACTGCGTTCGGTCCGACAGTACCTCGTATCTGCAACTCCGCGCGCTGTGAAACGTTGCTTGATTCCCGTCAGCCACAGCGGAGACACGGTTGCCGCTTGATTGCAGCGCTCGTTGTTATGGCCATGGCCCGTAGTGCTTGTCGTTGATGTCTCTCAAAGGTGAGGATGTTGGGCCGCGAGATGCTTCAGAGTTTAAGCGCGTCGACGCGAGTTGACTATGCGCCCGCATAGGTGGAGGGGGTCAGTCGGCATTCCCAAGTGGCTGCCGGATGAAAGCGATGGGCTTTGAGGCGTGCTGCTCGTCGGCCTAGGACGGATCTCGACGACAAAACGGTTGCGTCGTCATCTCGTTCCCTCCCCAGCATTGCGCGCGGTTGGCGTTGCCGGACAGCCGAATCCCAGCGCTTCAGCCCTGTCAAGCGGGTGCCGGAACCCCTGTCCCCCTCCCCAGCCGGTTGGGCCTTGGACCCCCTTTCATCGCTGTCGATCGTTCTGCCCGACAGAATTGGTGCTACCATCACCCGTTGCCGTGGTTGGGTGCATGGCCAAGTTGGTCGGTAGTAATAAGGCCTTTGCTTTTGGCCTCTCGCTTCACGCGCCAATGGAGTAGCCTCGCCGTTGGCGGACCGGCCCGCTGCCGCTGCCCAGCACGAGCGACGACGAGAGGCGCGCGAGGCTCAGGATGGTGACGACCAGGGGCACGCTGATGAGGACGACGAGCCCGGGGAGGGCGTGGATGTCCCGCGCTGCGCTCTCGACGTCCATGATGGTGCGCGCGTCTGTGTGTCTGTGCGTGTAAATGATGAGCCTGCCGGTTGCAATCCGTCGTGCAATAGCAAGCAGCAAGGGATAAACAAGCGCTCTCGTCAATGTCGCATCGTCGCTGAGCGGGAACTGCCGACGGCCCATGAAGGTGAAGAAAAGAAGGCGAGGTGAGAAAGAGAGGGAAAAGGGCACGCGATCAACGGCCCCTTCTCGGTCAAGAACCACCAAAGAACGACGGAATCCTTCCACCGCCTCGTTTTTACGTACTACGTATGTCCACCGGCCACCGCAGTGAGACATCCATCCTTGGGGGGCTGAGCCATCGTCGCGCGTCGTATTTCGCGGTACTAGCCGGCATTTCCCCGGTGGCCTGTGCTTTTCGGCGGCATGTCCGCGATTGGGCAGAGCGCCCCTGCGCTAACAAATTTCCGCAAACGACGACTGCTGCGGTGGTGGCGCTGTGCTGTGGTGGGAGAGAGAGAAGGACCGTTAAGTTACATACCCGGCAGTCGTTTGTTCGTGATCACGGAACGGTGCGGCAGGCCGAATTGAGTGGTTCGTTGCATGCTTGTGTGATTGCACGTATCGGCTCTTATGACTCTTTTTTTTTGGTACTTCCCTTTTTCCCATTGTGTCTCTTTGCAGAGGGTCCTTTAACCAGAGGACGGCTCAGTAGGCTGTCATGTTGTCTCTGGTGGTGATGAGACGCACGCCGTTTGTGCTCGCGTCTGCTCAACGCGTCAACGTCAACGTGTGCCTGCGCGTGGCACAACAGCACAGCATCGCAGCACTCACGAGATGGACACAGCCATGGACGGCAAACAGAGCGTCGTCCTCGTCGTCTGGGTCCACGCGGTGGAAGCAGCGCCAGGGCCGCGACATGTACGCCCGCGAGGCCAAGGTCCAGGGGCTCAAGAGCCGCGCCGCCTTCAAGCTGCTCGAGGTACGGGCCGCCATGAGTCTCCTCGTACTACAGGTCTACTACTAGCACGACAATTTGCTGATGGATGGTCACCGCGTAGATGGACGCCAAGTATAGGCTCTTCCGGCCGGGCCAAACCGTCGTTGATCTGGTAAGCCCCCCTTCCGTGACACTCTAGGTATCCCGCCGAGGCGATTGTTCTAATGAGCGACGTCCATCATCAGGGCTACGCACCCGGAAGTTGGTCCCAGGTATGACGCGCGTCCTTTCCCTTCACGGTTTGCCCAAACAAAGAGAAAAATGACCATGTGCGAATGTTTGTGTAATGCGCAGGTCGCAATGGAGCGCACCCGTCCGCACGGCCGCGTCGTCGGCATCGACCTCATCCCCGCGCAGCCCCCGCGCGGCGTCGCCACCTTCCAGGGCGACTTTCTCTCCCCGCAGGTGCAGGCCCTCGTGCGGGACTTTATCCTGCGAACGCACAAGCCTCGATCTGGACCGCCACCTAAGCGCAAGCCAGCTGAGGATGGCGATGGGCGGTCTTCGTCGTCGGACGTCGGGGAGGTATCAGACGCGGCTGCAGCTGGGGAAGCTCTGGCTCAGCCGAGCTACATCGACCAGGAGCGGCACATGGGCGAGGCGCCCGAGTCAAACTCGGATGCCACGCCCGCAAAGTCGTCGGGCATGGCGATTGTAGATGTGAGTTGCCGACTTGCAGGCGCCGATGCATGGGCGGCCCATGCGACTCACTCACTCGCTCTATGCACTGCACGGGATGACTGACTGACCGACCGACCGGCATAGGTTGTTCTAAGTGACATGTCAGAACCCTGGCCTCAAACCAACGGCTACACCACGAACACTCTGAGTAATCCCTACCACAGGCTCATGAACACGAGCGGCAACGCCTTTCGCGACCACGCCGGGAGCATGGTGAGTTGCTGTGGCTGCTCCTTCAACACCCGCGCCATCGGTGGCAAATGTTGCGAAGAGAATGTCGTCCGTCGTTTGCTAATTGGAAATAGGATCTCTGCAACGCGGCGCTGCAGTTTGCGAGTGACACGCTCCGGCCGGGAGGTCACTTTGTCTGCAAGTTCTACCAGGGCGCCGAGGACAAGAAGCTGGAGAAGCGGCTAAAGGGGCTCTTTGCCAAGGTGCACAGGGAAAAGCCCGAGTCTTCGAGAAGCGTGAGATCCCTACCTGGTATCCGTGAGCCGGCATGCGTGCTCACTGACACTGGCGTCTTCTAGGAGAGCAAGGAAGCGTACTTTATTGCATTGCGGAGGAAGCATGGCGTTGTCGTCGAGGAAGAGGAGTGACCAAAGAGGACTGACCATACGGAGATACCCCGTCAGACGCGTCTGGCTGTACAATACGTAGCATACACCACTGAGTATAATCACGAGGCGTCAAGGCAGTTGCGTTGGAAGAATTTCATTTTGGTGTTTTGTCGTGAGATACCGAGCCACGCCTGTCCCATGCAAGAACCATTTGTTAAGCACAACACCGGTATCAACCGCTCCTCCGGCCGCTGCCGTGACCGTGTCCGGCCCAGGCCATCCCTTAACAACTCCCAAAACCACCGCCTTAAACCTTGAAGCCACGCGAGCGTCTGCGACCACGGGCACGCTCGAACTTGCGGCCCTTGGACTCGACATAGGGTTTCTGCGCGAGAGCTCGTCAGCTTCATTCTCGGGTTTCGCACTCAATTGGCGGCGGCGGAATCTCACCTTGTGGCTGTGGGGGCCGAAGCCGAAGTGCTTGACGGCCTCGCGGGCGTTCTTGGGGCCACGGAGGATCAGGGTGTTGCTGCCGGTGGGAGAGCGCAGGGCCAGCTGGTCCAGGGTGATGGCCTCGCCGCCGGCGGCGACGATGCGGGCGCGAGCCGTGGCGGTGAAGCGCAGGGCGGCGACGGTGGCCTTGGGGAAGGTCAACAGGCGGTTGTCATCGGTGACGGTGCCGACGACGACGACGATGCGCTTCTCGCCCTCCTTGTTGATGTTGCCGACGATGCGGGACAGGGAGACCGGGGGGCGGTTGATCTTGGACATGAACAGCCGGCGGAGGACGACCTTGTTGAAGGACGAATCCGTGCGGCCTGCAATACTCGTCAGCACCATTCCATGGTTTCTTCTCTCCCTCACGCAGAGCGCGTCGCAACCGGAAAAAACTCGTGCGGTGCGCGGAGATCGGGGGGAATTGACATACGGGCCAGAAACTTGTAGAGCTTCACCAGGAGCTTGAGGTAGACATTGTCGCTCTTGGGCGCCTTGCGGTGCGTGCCCTTGACGTGGTGGCGGTCGAGATCGATACCTGGAAGAGAGTAAAACCATCGTCAGCCACTTGGTTCAAAGTATGCTCAAGATTCGGCAGCTCAGATCTCGCCGCGAGGGCGAGACGGCGCCAAAAGGACGCAAGGAGAGAAAAGACGTCCGAGGAGACTGCAGACTCCCTCGCCCATGATTCTTCACCCCCAACGGAAGCTGCGCGCTTCGCTGGGAGAAGAAACAATTGGGGGAGGGAAAGCAACGTCTGCCTCTTTCGCAATTTCTCTCCTCACTCGCACACGTTGGCTGAATCCGGATGGTTGTTCACGTACCCATGGCGGCGGTGGTTGTCGCTGAGGTGCAGTTGGCGATGCGATCTTCTCCTTCGTGATGGAGTGGTGCTGCGAGACCCAAGGCAATGGAGAGAAATTTCAGGGCTTTGCGCGGTGGTGTGTTCTGATTGGCTGTGGTCTGTTCGCACCAAGGCGGTAAATTGTGGCAGTTAGGGCACACTCGTGGCAGTGGCAGATGTGGGGCACGTGAGCAGGACAGAGGCCGTTGAGTACGTACCTCTCGGTGAAGGAGTCTCGGTGAGCTCACCGAGTCAGCAGGAATGCGGGTCACCGACCATGGCCGAGGTAGCGGAGTCGGCCGCCTGTGTCCTGTCACAAGAGATCCTTGAATCCTTCCGATCGCGGGGTTCGGCAGCGCAACCTCATGAATGTTCAAGACCTCAATACTGAACGCTGACCGTGTCGCGTTGTCTCGTGACAACGCAGTGTTCCAAGTCATCATGGACGACTTATGAGCAATCGCTCGTCTATTCTCAGCGGCGGGATCCTCTACGTCGCGTGCTATCCAGTGGCGACGCCCCCTTGCTGTATGCTATCCAGGACTCACTCCCAAGGGGAAGCGTCCTTGCTCTAGATTGTAGCCCGACTCCGTCCATTCCACTCGTTTTTCGTGCTCTAGTAAGTAGACCACCCTCCGCCGCCCCATGCCCAGCAGAACCAGCAAGGACAAAACAAATCAGGTATGGAAGGGTACGACGAGTAAACGAAGAATGTCAAGGAGACACCAAGCCATGCAGTGCGCCCACTCAACACTTGCTGTGCTTTATACATAGTTACAGGGACGCAGACTCTGCGTCCGCGTCCGGCTTGAGGCCCGTCAGGAAGTCTCGTGTCATCTCGAAGCTCAGCCAGCTCGAGGCCATGCTGGGGGCGACCTTTAACAGGTTGGGGACGATGCCTTTGTAAAGGCCGCGAATGCCCTCTTGGCGGACAATGACGCGAACGGCATCGCCGATGCCCTTGTACTGATAACCCATACCGGACATGGTGTTGATCTGGAATCGGCGTCGCAGCACATCACTGCTGAAGTCAGAGCAAGCTCATGAGGGTAGGAAGAGGATACAATCGCCTTACAAGGGGTATGTGCAGGTCTGTGCAACGGCTCCGGAAATGGCTCCGGCTGCTAGTTTCCGAACGGCGCTAGGGTTCTTATCGCCTTCAGGGGTGAAATGTTTCCGCACGGACTCGTAGACCATGAAGTTGAGGCCAACCTGGCCTGCAAGTTAGCAAGGGGATCCAAGACTGCCTTGAGATTGTACGTACGTAGGGGGCCACGCCCGCCACGGTGGGAACGATGCCGCGGTACAGAGCCCGGATGCCGCCCTCTGTCTTGAACATGTGCACCAGCGTTTGCCACATGCCCGGCAGCTGTTTCGGCTTGTCGCCCAGCTCAGCGAAGCTGGCAGACTGGATGGAGAGGCGCGTGCGGACAATGTCGAGGGGGTATGTGCAGAAGACGGACGTGATGCCCGCCACGCCGCCGCAGACGAGGCGAGTAAGGGGTGCCAGGTCGGCACCGGGGTATGGCTCAAAGATGTTCTTTTCAGATGTCAGCACCGTTCTCCAGACAGGGTTGCGACTGAGCATCGTACTCTCTTGTAAAAGTTGTAGCTGCTGAACTGAACAGCCGAGTACGGGACGATGCGAATGCAGTTGGTTCCGTTGCCGCGCATGAAGCCTCGCCAGCCCTCTTCCCTCCACATCTTGGCGAGCGCCTGGCCGACAGACAGCTTGTACGCATCGCGGCCTACACTCTGGATCTGCATGAGGATCTTTAACCGCTCGAGCGGCGAGACGACGGTTCGCGACACGGCACCGGCTACGCCGCCGGCGCAAAAGGCGGCGACGACGGGTTGTGAGACCCACTCGCGCAGGGCAACGAATTTCTCGGGTTCCCTGGCCGGCTGGCCGATGACGTCTGGTTCCGGAGGCATGGCGGCGGGCGTGGTGGCTGGTGAGGCGGGTTGCAGTTGCGGTCCGCGGACGGCAGACATGATGTCGGAAAACGATTGCTACCACGACGGCGTCGGCGTTGACCCAATTGGGCGTGACGGGCTCTTCCCCAAGTCGCTGAGCCTGGATTCCTCCGCAGCCCGCTCGAATAGCATTTAAATGTTGTGCTCTGGGCGGGTTCGGAGTCGTTGGCGCGCTCGCGTGGGACAAGGAGGCTGCGCCGCCGCCTTTGCTGGCCGCTCGGGTCGAGTTTGCGGGGAGGGCGAAAACTTGCGTCAAAGGCTCGCTGGGCGTCAAGGGCAGGCTCGATATCGCAGGCAGCGGGGGCTGGATGGGGCCGTCGTTCGGACGAGGGATCGCGGGCGATATATCGCTCTGGTATCGTGTTCGGCGAGCCGAGGATGTCGTCGCCTGTCGTTGGCTGAGCGTTGCCGCTAAGCGCCGCTCACCGGGTCTCAGAGGTGCGGGCACCGGTCGTCCGGTGACGGTCGAGAGAAGTGGGAGGCCGCAGGTCTCGGGGGACGCTGACCAGGAGATGCTGGGTTGTGCTGTGACGGAGACGAGGAGCCGCGCAATTGGATCGGGAGCGGACGGCTGGACGGACGAGAAGGGTGAGGCTGTTTGGCGTGTGAGCTTGGCACACGTTTGTTTGGCGGAGTGGCAGATGACTGACTTTTTTGCGGCGGGCGTGAGCGCTGGACCTCAGCAGGCCAGGCCGAGCCGGGGTCACCTCAGTGGAGGCCCTGCCCAGTGTCCCACGGGGGCGGCGCAGGCGCGGGCGCGGGCGCTGAGGTGGCTCCTTCGCTGAGGATTGGATGCGACTCGGGCCAATCCAACAGGCCCGGGGCCACCTGAGGCTGCAGCCTGGACGGGCCCGGTAGCACCTCGCAGCGGCTGCCAGTACCGGTACCTGCCTGCATGCCCCTGTGCCTTGGCGCTACTGCGCGCTGTTTCGCCGTCCAGCCCGTCACAGCCCCGGAGAGCGGGCGGGAAGCCGCGGCTTAGCTGCAAAATGACTAAGCCACGCAAATGTGCCGATTCCGCCCAAATGCCCTGTGCCGCTCACTGCAATTTAATGTCGATTAGTCTTTATAATGGGGTACTTGGTATCCAATAATGCTCTATGAAAGCCATGGAAGATTGCCGGTTGTCAAGAAGCGATAAAAATGGCTCGTCTGTCAAGACTGTCGCCGTTGGTTAGGTTGGGAGCTGTCTAGGCGGGGACTGGAGCGTCTCACAGTAGGCGCCCCTACACTGTACGAGGTACCTGTACCGTATCAGGCGCCCTACCAGGTACCCTACCGTAGACTCTTATCAGAGGCCCAGCCAGCATCACTCATCCTCGTGTCATCTCAACCACGCCTCCACCGTCCATCCGCACCACCACGTCTGCGTCTCTCGCCGCATCCAGTCTATGGCTGACGGTGAGGATGGTGTAACGTGCAAACTCCTCCGCCACGATGCCACGCACCTTGGCGTCGGTCTCCTCGTCCACGCTACTAGTTGGCTCGTCCATCAACACGATGCCGCCAGACGATTGCCTCCTTTGCACCGTCAGTAGTGCACGCGCCAGAGAAAACAGCTGCTTCTGCCCTGCCGAGAGCCCAATGTCGTCCAGGTCGCATCCGAGACCTCCTCGCTCGCTCACCAGATCCCAGAGGCCGACGCGGCGCAAGGCCTGCTGCATGGTTTCGTCGTCGCGCTCAGACCCTTCCCGGTCGAGAGCCAGATTCTCACGCACCGAGCCTGGAAGCTCCACGGCATCTTGCGGGATCGCCACAATGGCCGACCGGAGCGCCTGGCGAGGGACGCGCGACAGATCTATCCCGTCAATCGTGACGCGACCTGCCTCCATGTCGAGCAGGTGCAGCAGCGTGAGAAGGAGAGACGACTTGCCGCTTCCGGTGCGGCCGATGATGGCCACCTTTTGGCCTGGCTGAATATCCAAGTCGACGTTACGGATAGGAGACTGCGGTTGACCGTCTTCGGCGCTATCGTCGGGTTAGTACCATTGTCTCTGTGCTGCCTGTGAAATGCTCCTTACTTGTACTTGGCCGTGACATTCATCATCTGAATCACTCCCCGCTGGGGCCAATCTGCCGGCGGCGCCTCATCCTCAATCTCCAGTCCTTCCGTCTTCGTCTCGGCGATGAAGCTCTTGAGGCGCGCAATGGCCCCTAGCGACGTCTCAAGGCCTGTCCAGGAGTTAATCAGCATCGAGAGACTTTGCTTAAACTCCATGACGTTGATCAGGGCCAATCCAATGGAGCCCTGGGTAGCCGTGTTGGAGAGGCCCAAGGCAAAGCCGACGAGCACAATGGCGATGGCTGCCACTAGGATGTCTAGGACAACATTCAGCCAGCGCTGAATGCAATACCTTTGACAAATCAGTCACCGAACAACACGACCGGGTAGGGTCAGTACTCACATGGTGTAATACGGCTTTTGAGAATGCTCCAGGAGCCGCAGGTTCTCGTTGGCCATGTCCGTCTTCCACCCAAATGCCCGCACAGTGATGATTCCGGCAGCCGCCTCCGTGAAGAGGCGGTATAGCGGTGACTTGGCCTCCAGATCCAAGTGCCGCATCTGGCGAGAAGTGCGAAGATAGAATTTCTGAATATAGTAAATGGCCACAACGCAGACCGGGATGATGGCTGCGACATACGTTGAGCCAGACGCAATCAGCGCCGCTCCCGCAATCACATTGTACACATCTATGACAAGCATGTGAGCACTTGGACAGCCTCGCTGAGGCGGCGGTTCCCTTACCGAACGTTGTCGTGAACACAGACATGGGAAGGACCTGGTCCACCAGCGTCATGTCTTGGCTGAATCTTTGAGGAATGAGTGTCGGCAACTTGAACAACTACATTCTACAAAGGGAACCTACCGGTTCAGAACACTGCTAGTGTCTGTCGAGGTAAAGAACCACAGAGGCGCGCTGCCAATTGCAATCAGAACGCAGTCGAAACGTCAATAGGGAGTAGCTTACGCCAGGACAGCTTCAAGCAGCAGCCAGTGCAGATGCTGTGCAGACTTGGGCACGGCCACAACCATGAAGAAGCTGGACAAGTTAGCTGAGCGCAGCCTCGACGCATCACGAGCACTCACTATACGCAGGCTCCCGAGAAGAGAGTGCAGATCACGCCAAAACCCAAGTATGTCCCAAAGTAGGCTTCGGCGTGACTCGTGGTCCCATGCTCGGTCCAGATCCTCAGCCAGATCTCTGTGGTGGCCCCAAGAGTCAGCAGTGTGAGAGGGCACGGGGTTTCGATACTCAGGCGGCAGCTTTCCGGAGAAGATGTATCCTGCAGCGAGAACAAGCCAGACTACGAAGACGAAAAAAACCGCAGGATTGTAAGTAAAACTTGTATAGGCTCACGTCTCCAACCTTTCTCGTCAGTTCGGGGGTGACGGGCTGCTGGGCGGAGGTCTTTGTGGGAATCTTGTCCTTTGGAGGCGGCTCCTGTGCGTCACCGGTTTCCGTTATACCATGCCCCCCCCTCTAGGGCCTCCACGTATTCCTTCTTGAGGTGGACGTCACCTGGTGCCGATTGGCTGACTATAGAACCATTCTGATCGAGCGCGACAACGATATCGGCCGAGGAAAGGTATTCCACTGGTAACAGTCAGAGACAACCCCTTGCAACAAACGATGGGACTTACACGCATGTGTAGCCAACACAACAGTTCTACCTGCTTCACGGAGCAATCCACCAGCGCCCAGCAGACGAGCAAAGACGCCGCGCGCCGTCTGCTGATCGAGCGCACTGAAGACGTTGTCGAGCAACAGGATAGGGCAGCGACTGTAGACAGCTCGTGCTAGGCTCTAGAACACAGCAGTTAGGTTCGGCTCGCGAATGCTCTGCGATTACTTACCACTCTCTGCTTCTGTCCTCCACTGAGGGCATTCCCACCGCTCCCGACACACGTCATATCTCCGTCGTCGAGCTGCGAAACGTCTCTTTCCAGGGCACATGCCCGTAGCACCGTGGCATACCACTTCTCGTCGAACTTGCTAGGTCCCAGGATGTTGTCACGGACAGAACCCAGCCTCAACCACGCTGTCGGGTCGCAGTACGCAACTGGGCCACGAGCGAGGTGCACGTGGCCTCTCAGCAGCCGTGCTTCACCCAACATAGCCTTGAGGAGTGTCGATTTGCCCGAGCCAACTGGTCCGACAACCATGATCAGCTTGGATGGCCAAACAGTGAGGTCGACGTCTTTGAGAATGGGGTCTTCACCGCCCTGCGGGGCAAATGACGCCTTTTGGATGGACTTCGCTTGGGCACTTCCTCAAGGACGAGGATGAGGAGTTTGAGGGCTAACGCTGCGGTGCTGACAGCCCCTATGGTGTCGAGGTTCCGGCGAAGAAACAGCGATCGCACATTGGCAATGTCGACGAGGATGGTCGCAGAGAGGTATAGACTCAGAAGCGTGGAGGGCGAATAGGACCGTCGATGCTCAGCATACACAGACCGCCAATGGCCAAGTCAACCACGGCGGAGAGTGCCGCGGCAGCGATGGCGGCGCGCGTGTTGACGGAGGAAGGGCTGGTGCTCCATAGCGCCAAGATGGCCAGCTGCAGGCCCAAGAGAGTGCATAGAGGAGCCTTGGCCGAGATCAGCAACGCGTCAGTATTGTGCTACGAGGAGGATGGAATGACCCACGAGCTTGGTCCATAGCAGGCTGCTGGTACTGAAGATGGGCGAGCTCTTGGACAAGAGCGCGACACGAGCTGACGAGACCAGAAGTATCACTAGCGACGGACCGATAGACAGGACAGAGTGTTCAAACAGGAGAGTGAAGTCGAACTGGCCAGTCAGCTGCGGTCCGAAAGCAGCGTCGGCCGAGGCAGAAGTGCGATTCATGGCTTGCCTATGTTCAGCAGTCGAAAAAGCGGTCACGTCATGAGAATAGTCAGCCCACGCCACAGGATTCCCGAGAGAGGTAGCTAAGACACAGAATATCCAGATATGGTATTCGCGCCAGTCCGAGAGCCGATCTGGGGTTCGCGAAGTTTGGGACCGATGTTGTTGCTCGTCACCATCCTGCTCGTCCCCGCATGCGACGATGCCTGGTTGTCGAGTCGAGTTTTCGTTTCTCGGCGCAGCGGCAGAAGGTCCCGATGACTCTTTGCTCAGCCGGACCAACACACAGTGTAAAATTCAGAAAGGCAACATTGTACTGATACATGCCCGGTACGGTTGTACTGTACCAGGTCATAGCTCATAAGTGATCACGCCCCCCCGCTTTGTGCATAACGTCTCGTCCCCTCTGAGGCTCTGGATTATGTGGCTTCTGGCAAGCACCATATCCTGAGAGGAAATCGCTTCGCGTTTTCAAATTCGAGGCCGCTGTCCAACTATCTCTGTTGCTTGACCTGGAAATTTGAAATCGCAGCTGTTACTCGCTCGTTTTACCCATCTGAGCTTCCTCATTCCGAACGATAATGACCCGGCAGTTGACCTCGAGACCTTCATCGAATACCCCACCTTGTGATATCGGCTACTTTGAATGCCTATATTGCGGCTCTCCGCGACAGACATTGCAAGCGGCGCAGCAGCACATGCTTGGGAAGCGCCACTGAAAGATTGACATCAACAAAGATGGTTCCGAGTATCGGGACTCCTACGAGATGGGACAGTCAGACGAAAGAATCGAAGCCGTACCGCGTCTGGTTGACCCCACTGCCCACGATGAGGACGAGTCGGTCCGCCTAGCTACGGGTAATGTAAAGCATTGCGTCGCCGGTTGCAGGGGCGAGCAAGGGTCGACCACTCAAAGTTGCTGCAACAGACAAACAAGCCAGAACAGTCTACCTTCCAACAGACAAGTATGTACGAGGGTGCAAGCTCCAGTGTCAAACCCAGGAGGCTCACAAAAAGTTCACCCTGAGCCGCTCCTCGCAAGCTTGATCTTCGTCACAGCGTCTTTATAGGTATATTCCCTGACTCTTGCTATGTTGAGCCTGGCCATTAGCCTACACAGCTCTTTTGCGCCTGGAGTTGAAGGTTCTTTACCAACTTCGAATTCTTCTGATGCGAGGGCCGTTTCAGTCGTGTAGTTTGCCGATCAACGCCGGCGATTTTGCTTCCATTCGGGAATGTAACGACTAAACACAATACCAGTGCAGCCTTTCCCTCTACCAAGGTTCTGCCGAAGCCTACGGCTGTAACAAGAAGGTCTGTGCCGTTGGACCTGCCCAAACAGTATTGGTTGACCCAAACTTGCATCGCCCAAAACGGACTGGGGAGGTGTTTGCGGCATTCTGATGCCGAATGTATAAATGTTTATGTCGGCACCCGGGATTCGTCAGCTGAGATGCTCCGAGTGAACCGGAAGTCAAGTGAACTCATTCTACAATCGGAAGCCGAATTGTGCCTGAGCACTCGGCCCTACTTACACGGACCACACCTTGGTCGTTTGAATTTGATACATATGGTTGTAATCTTTCGGAAAGCTACCACTCGTGCTGTAGATGGAGATGCAACCTTCCTGAACAGTACAAAGGAACAGACATGGTACACCTGCGGCAGCCAGTTCTATAGGCCTAGACATCTCGAGATTATCGGTTCAGAACTGAGTAGAGTGGAGCGGGGCTTTGACATTGTAAGCTATGCACGTATATATATCTTGCTCGCCTCTATTATAGATATCGACCTATCTCGAGCTTTTCGATGAAATATGCTGACAACTTCATCTCTTTGCGCATCAGTGACAAACACCATTATCGTGATCATGTGGCGCATTCCAAGCATAATTGGTCTTGTCGCAATCTTCTGCCAATCTATTGGGGAAGCAGCTATACAGACTGGCAGGTTGCGCGTCGCCAAGTCCGTTACGCTGGACAACGGTCAAGTAATTGACTGGGTTTACAAAGACTCCCAGGGGCTGGTTGCCAGCCCTCCGCCTTTTTTGCCCGGAGGTAGCGGGCCAATGCGTTCGGTCTTTAACGAGACAACCATAGGTCCGAAGGGCACGGTGCCGATACTCAGAAGCAGCACAAAGAACGCGCGTGTCAAAAGACCTCCGCTCACCTCGACATCGGTCGGGCCTCGTATCACCGGGCGTCAGTATTCCGGCCAGCACTGGTACGTCAGCACCGCGGAAACGACCGACAATCTGGGCGGCAGCGCCTTTTTGAGCATGTTCAAAGCATTTGTCGCGGAGAATGATGATTTTTCCCTGTTGCAAACCGCCGTCATACGCGGCATACCGAATTTTGGCATTCAGACTGTCGAAGCTGGTTGGATCAACTACCCAGATCAAAAGGAGAGCCCACACCTGTTCACGTTCTTCAACACCAACAACTATCGAACCATCGGCGATTATCTGGCAGGGTGGAACACCGAGGTCAAGGGCTGGGTCCAAGTCGATAGGCAGTATTTCCCCGGAATCGAGCTGGCACCGCTTTCGGTCGTCGGCGGAGATCAGCACGAGCTTCATGTTCGGTACCTACTCCACAATGCCAGTTGGTGGCTCGGGGTCAACGGGCGTTGGGCTGGGTATTATCCTGCCAATTTATTCACCACAAATGGCAATAGCGCGGAGGCCACCCTTGAGACAAAGTCAGATCGCATCAACTGGTATGGTGAAATCTTCCAAGCAGAGTCTGCAGAGACAACAACGGACATGGGTAGTGGGCATTATGCTGCTGATGGTTACGGACGAGCGGCATACATGCACAACATCACGTACACTGACATGGGAGGCAACGATCAGAATTACGACGGCTCACAGGGAACGCAGGTGGATGACCCTCAGCGATATAGCATCGACGCTCACTTTCTCGACAACGGATCTTGGGGAAGCTATTTTTTCCTCGGTGGTCCCGGTGCGGGAGGACAAATCGGAAGTTGATGTTGAGTTGTATGGTGAAGCTTGTGAGGATGAGGACTTTGAGCGCATGCGATGTGGCCGCGCGAGTCACACTTTGAGGGCGTTGTATTACAATCCGGGGTCTTGTCAACTCCATGTCCCAATGTCATGGGTACCCAAGACGGAGTCGTTCAAGGTCTCAGAACAATACCTCAGAGTAAACGAGTGGTCGTTGTCGCTACAGTCCAACTACTCATCCCATACAGACTCAAAACGGCGTTCGGCACATGCATTTACGAGTTCACAGTGAAGACCTGCAATGCCTTGTGTGCTGTGCTAAATGAATCGCATCGCGATTGAGTCGCTGAACTGCTGACGCCAGAGACCGCCCGCCCGGAAAAGAGCGTGCTGTAGTTAGTTATAATCTTTTTACCCAGGGTGTGACCTCAGCCCTCCATAGGTCACCTGGGCCTGCTCGCGTGCCCAAGATCTGCAGTCTCGTGGCTTCTGCACGGCGCTTCAACTGAAACGGGCAGGACCAATGATACCCTGACACGCTAACGTTTCTGTACTGCCGCCATCAACAAGAAGCGGTCGGTTCCACGGCATTTGAGCGCCACGACCACGATGGTGAACCGTACGTAAAGCCATTTTCTAACCAAAGGAGGCCCCGTACACTAGTGGGTCAACTCAAAGCTGGCAAGGCTGGTCAACACGTCTTCGTTGTGCGCGCCCTCCCCGCGGTCTGTGTCCGCGTCAATGCGGTAGCTCATCCTTGCGCTGTATAGACCGTACCCAGATAAGCACTTACAGTACGGCACGATGCAGTATAGTGCGATACTTGCCAGCGAAGACGAGGCCCCCGAGTTGGGGCTGGTCTTCGGACTAAGATGGCCCTCGGGGATAGGCACCACGCACGGTCCCGGCCCGATCGCGAGGGTGTTGGTGCACACTTGACGCCTGGTGCAGCAGATGCAGCATGACCTGTCAGAAGATGCATGACCCTCGATCGGATCTTTTAGCCGCACGAGTAGTATTTCAACAAGCTTTTAGGGACTCTGTGCACTCAATCTGGTCGATCAGGATTCATCTCACCGTCTGGTGCCGCGATCTCGCCCACAAACAGCGAGCAGTGTTCAACGTCTAGGTTTTGCAATACATTTTGGACTGAATGATGAAGTGGTGCACTGATGCCGCATTAAAGGAATCATTCAACTCAAAAGAAGACAGTTCCCTTGTAGTCGCTCAACCTCGTCAAAGTCCCCCCAGCCATCTCTGTGAGTAATCAGACAAAGCCTGTGCTATACGTCAAGCGCGCCAATGCCTTTTCAGGCGTCCTGAGGAGTCCCACAACTTGAGCCCGTTCTCTCTGGATCATGTTTCCTGTCAGTTGGACGGATGTCTTGTTTGGTGTTTGCATATCCCCTGCCAAGCGCCTCCAGCCACTTGGACGGGTGACTCAGCGTCCATGTTAGTCCGTACGTACATACACTCCCCATTCGAATACTTGCGAACCAATGATTGGAGAGGCGCTTTAGAGGTTTCCTTGCCCTTGGTTCGCGCGGAAAGAGGCTTCCCAAACATCACGAGGACAACCAATGGTATAGGGGCGCGACGGCGCGCCATCTTACGGCGTGACCTCGGCCGATCATGCCCGCTTCAGTAATCACCTCGAGATGCAGCAAGACCCCATGATATGGAAGAGGCGGCATCTGCAGGTGTGCATACTCTGTTGGGCGTCAACGATGACGAGGTGTCTCTCTTTGCTCGAGCGCAGCCTGAACAAAGAAGGGAGCCCTTTCATTGATAGCTTATAAGACAATGGAGACCACCCTGAGTCGTACCAGACCAGACACAACTGTTTTCGACATCGGCCACTGCTCTGATGACAGTCTGAACTCGTCTCACAACTCAAGGCGATCATATACGTCCTCTTTCTGCTTATCGCACGCCATCGGACATGTTGCCGCGACCAGGCTTCGACAAGGCCGGCATCCTCGCTGCAGCCCTTGTTGCTACAGGTCGCCTCGTCAACGCTGGGCCCTGTGACATCTACGCATGCGGCGGCACACCCTGCGTTGCCGCGCATAGCACCACTCGTGCTCTCTATGGCGCCTACGCCGGTCCTCTCTATCAAGTCTCCCGAGGTTCTGATGGCACCAAAGTCGACATTTTGCCGCTGAAAGCTGGCGGTGTCGCTCATTCGAGCGTGCAAGACTCCTTCTGTGCTGGCACGACCTGCCTTATCACCATCATTTACGACCAGTCGGGCCGTGGGAACCATCTAACTCAAGCTCCGCCGGGCGGTGCTGCGAGAGGCCCCGAGGCCGATGGTTATGACTACCTGTCGAGCGCCATTGGAGCACCAGTGAAGCTCAACAGCCAGAAGGCATATGGGGTCTTCATTTCACCTTACAGTGGCTATCGCAATAACAAACCCAACGGCACGGCTGTCGGTGACGAACCGGAGGGCATGTACGCTGTTTTTGACGGCACGCACTACAACACAGGCTGCTGCTTCGACTATGGTAATGCCGAAACCAACTCCCAGGATCCTGGAAACGGACACATGGAAGCCATCTACTTTGGCACCGGTGATGGTTCGGTCCGCGGCACTGGCTCTGGCTCCGGCCCTTGGATCATGGCTGACCTCGAAAACGGGCTATTCAGCGGCTATAGTCCTACCAACAACCCGGCCAACCCGACCATAAACTACCGGTTCGTTACCGCAATCGTCAAGGGGAAGCCGCATCAGTGGGCCATCCGCGGCGGCAATGCTGCATCCGGCACCTTGTCAACGTTTTATGACGGCATACGCCCGGCGAACGGTTACGATCCGATGATCAAAGAAGGTGCTATTATTCTTGGCACAGGTGGTGATAACAGCAATTGGGCCCAGGGCACGTTCTACGAGGGAGTCATGACCAAGGGGTATCCATCTGATAAGACCGAGAACAAGGTACAGGCCAATATTGTAGACGCTGGGTACGCTGCTACAAGCTTGACCAGCGGCCCGGAGCTCACCGTTGGTTCCTCCGTCTCACTCAGGGCCACGACAGCGTGCTGCACGACTCGCTATGTCACCCATGATGGCAATACAGTCAATACTCAAGTCGTCTCGTCTTCTAGCAGCGACGCCCTCAAGCGTGCAGCTAGCTGGACGGTGCGCACCGGGCTTGGCAACAGCGCCTGCTTCTCCTTCGAGTCAAATGACACCCCCGGAAGCTTCATCCGTCACGCTGGCTACCATCTCAAACTTGATCCCAACGATAACACAAAGATATTCCACGAGGATGCCACATTTTGTCCTATGGGTGGGCTCAACTCCCAGGGAAATTCTCTGCGGTCCTGGAGCTATCCTGCCCGTTATTGGCGCCATTTCAACGGGATACTCTACATTGCGAGCAACGGCGGGCCTTTCGCCTGGGATAACACCGTATCTTTCAATGACGACGTGAGCTACGTCATCAGCGCCGGCTTTGCCTAGGTCCTGTGACGTCCGATTTGGGTACATACAGTCTATAGCCTGCTTGTCTAAATACATCTTCTCATGGCCAGCACCACTCCTTTTATCGGTGAACCCCTGAGCTTGCTTAAACTTGGTGCGTGCTCTACTGCCATTTGCACCCACCTCAACGCCGAGCATACATAGAACGTCCATTGCCACGCTCAAAAGCACGCGTAGGTTTCAGAGACACACGTAGGCTTGAAGATATACCAACGACGTAGCATCTACTCCGACTTTGGCGGCCACTTGACCCTCCTCTCCGCCCGCACGTATAGGTTGTTGGGCCTGATGAGCTGGAAGTAGGGGTCGTACTCGATGGGCCCATCCTGGGCGAGCGTAAACTTGTACCTGTAAACGAGCTTGGGCAAGAACACCTTGATCTCCTGGAGGGCAAAGTTGAAGCCGACGCACATGCGTGGCCCCGCTGCGAAGGGGACGTACGAGCCGGGCGGCCGGTTCTTGACCTGCTCGGTGTCCCAGCGGTCCGGGTCGAAGCGCGCCGGGTTGTCCCAGACCTTGTCGTTGTTGTGCATGTGGTGCAGGGCGGGGATGACCACGGAGCCCTTGGGCAGCTTGTAGCCGCCGGGGAGGATCATGTCGATCTTGGCGGTGCGCCCGGGTTGGTACGACGGGTTGTGCCGGCGCTGCGTCTCCTTGATGAACTTGTCGAGGAAGGAGAGGCTGTTGGTGAGATCGGCCGTCACTTGCGTGTCCTCGTCCCAGTCGTGGTCGATGAGCTCTTGTAGCAGACGCTCCTGGTTTCCCGGGTACTGCACAAGGCTGTAGATGAGCCAGGAGAGGAGTGAGGATGTGGTGGTGAAGCCGGCGCCGGTGGCCACTAGTAGTGCGGGAGCGAACTGTGCCGGTGGCAACTTGTTGCCCTTGTTGTCGGTTGCGCGAAGGAAGTAGTCTGTGTTGGGAACAGTGTTAGCGCTTTCATTCATGACATATATTTGCAATAGCCACGCTTCGGGTATATGAGCGTGACTGGGGGAGCCGGGCCTGCGTACCGACTACGTTTTCCGCCTTGAGCGCAGCGTCCTGGAGCTCAAGGTCCTCCTGGCCGCGCGAAGCCTTGGCAATGGACTCCATCATCATCTCCTCGATCCTGCCCTTGGTCTGGCGCAGCTTCTTGGGATCGCCAAAGGGCATGCTCGCATACCACGAGCCCATGGTGGAGACGCGCTTGTTGAGCTCGAGGTTCTGCGCAATCTTGAGGACCATCTCATGCAGCGGAGCGTCGACGCCGCTGAAATGCTCAAAGTCCATGCCGAGGACGAGCTTGCCGACGGCCTGGGCGCCGAGCTTGAGCATGTACTGATACACGTTGAAGGCCTCCTCGCGCTCGTCGAGCTCGTCAAAGACGGCAAAGGCCTGCTCGACCGTCTTCTGCATCGTGGGCGCGTAGTGGCGCACCGCCTTGGGGCCCAGCGCGGGGGGCAGGAACTTGTGTGCCTGGCGCCACTCGTCGGTGTCGGTGTCGCCGAGGAAGACGCCCGCCTCGGTGGACTTGATGGGGTGCAGCGGGTGGCCGGGGACGATGCGCTTGGTGAAGTAGTCGTCCTCGGCGAAGAAGATTTGCGACAGCTGCGGGTCGTTGGTCTGGTAGACGCGGCTGCCCATGTTGTTGGTGACGAACAGGGGGCCGTACTTTTCGAACAGCCGCTGGTGGTTGCCCAGGTGGTCGGGGTAGATCTCGAGGTAGTTGCCAAAGTAGGGGATGCCCGACGGGCCGGGCACGTCGCGAACCGCCCTGCCGGAAATGGAGACGGCTATGGGCTCGTCTTCTGCGTTGAGCACGTCAGACAAGGCCGTAAGTCTACGGTCATTGTGGATGAAGCCGACGCCTGTGAGCAATGCTCGTCAGCTGGGCTGCTCTCATTCGTCCTCTTCCAGTGTCGAAGCCAATTTGGCCGGCGTGAGCTATAAGGCAGTTTGCTCAACTTACATCTCGGGTCCACTATGGCAAAGTGCGAGGCCACTATGCTCTGCAGCTCCTCAAAGTCTGCAGAGTCGTCAATCTCGATGTCTCTGGCCGTCGAGGCGGCCTCGCCAAGGAGGTAGAACTGCTTGGTGGACATGGTGGGTGGGCTGCTTTCAAGCTGAGGCAGAGCGGCAGAGGGCCGACTGACAGGGTGAGTATGGATATTTGAAGAAAGCCTTGTGTCTGTTGGACAGTCGACGATTCGAAATGGCATGCAGTGTAGAGCAGTATACCCTTCAGAGTCCGGCTATATAACTTGGTGACAGTTAGAATGTACATACACACACGCCAGCAACACGGTGATCCATCTAGCTTCGCCAAGGGGGTGAATGCATGGACAACGTCAAGATTACACCCCGACAGCCTCCGTTCTCTTTCGCTCCAGACCGAGGCTGGGCTGCCTCGGGGTCCATGGAAGATCCGTGGCCGTGGTCCGTAGCTGTCATCGCTCCTCGCTCCCATCGCGCTCCGTCCAGCCGTCAATGCACTCGCCACGCTCGCATCGTCATCGCATGCGCAGTGATCGAAAAGTGTTGGAGACGGATGCCATTGGCAACCCGCTCATTGGGCGCAGCGCGCTGCACAATTCTCCGTCGGCCATTTCCAGGGGTTGCATATCAGCGGGCGTGAGTGGCGTCTGTTAGACCCGCCGCTAACATCGGCCCTCGATGGCGGTGCGGCACTTGTTGCAGATCAAGTCGTCGCAGAACCAAGCCTTGTTTTCGCCGTTAGCTTGGGGCAAGTTCTCACTGAGGATCGTCAGCCGAGGCTTGACCCAACATCCTCCCCAATTTAACGCTTCCGCGTCCCTAGCTCTCGAACCCCCCTGGCCCTGGGCTGCCCTGACCCTCGAGTCTCGCATGAGTCGCGCTTACACGGGACATGAGAAGAGACTACTGTCAGCGGAACCCAATTCCGCTGTCGGGTTGTGACAGCTTGACTTCGGCGCTTCCGGCCGAGCTCGATCTGCGGAAATGCCCGTAGCGGCGCGAGGATGACGTTGACGTCTTGACGGGCCGGGCCCTCGTGTCCCCCGATGTGGACCTCCGCGCCGGCCGGTTTCATGAGGCGCGGCGGCGGATGAGCTCGTCAAGCAGCAAGCAAACCTCGGTTCATTCTCTTGTCAGGTGCGGAGCTCGATTCGCTCTTGCGGGCAGGAGACTGCGGAAGGGGCAGAGTACGTTCAATACCTTGTCGCGGTGGCGTGGCTCGTGATGAAGATTGATCATAAGGGCATCCTCGTCCTCATCGACATTTGCAGCGGAGCAATGAATCCGCGATCATTCCAAACAGCAACCCCCTTTATCACTTCGGTGTCTTCCCGTGATTCTGCCACCGCCAGGCTAGACAGGTCCAACCGCTCTGTCGAGAAAGCACTTTCGCCATGGAGTTTACCGCCAGGGAGGTGGCCGAGCACAAGAGCCCGCAAGATGCGTGGCTCACCATCCACGGCAAAGGTTAGTCTGCCCACAACAGTCCCCTACAGTTACATGCATTGCTTCATCAGTCGGGAGAAAGAGCTGACGGGGCGACAAATATACAGTCTATGATGTGACCAAGTACCTGCACGACCACCCTGGTGGCGCCGAGGTGCTCACTGAAGCTGCGGGCACCGACGCCAGCGATGAGTTCGACAATGCTGGCCACTCGGAGGATGCTTTCGAGGCTATGGAGTTGTACTTGGTGGGTACCCTGCAAGGCTTCCAGAAGAAGAAGCCCAAGCGCAAACCGGTAGGCGTTGTCACGCCGCCCACGACGCAGCCTGGCCGGAGCGGCGGCGATGTCAGGGGCGGCAGCTCCGTCACCAAGATGGTCAACCTCGGCCTCTTCTCGCTCAGCGTGGTGGCTCTGTACTACGCCGGCCGCCATTGGGGCTTTAGGTCGCCTAGATGGGTTACACCGCTTTTACAGCGCAGCGGCAGCGGCAACACGTCTGGCGGACCTGGCTTCACCAGAGGCATCCTCATCGGGGGCGGCGTGTTTGCTGCCATTGATGCGGTTGTCGCACATAGGTTCGCGCAGCTGGTATGGGGCAGCAAAAAGTCCTTCACCAGCTATCCTGCGCATATGAAGGTGCCGAGGCGCGTCGAGGAGGACACGCTGCTGCAGAGAGGGCTCCTCGACCCAGTCAAGTACTCGTCGCTGCCACTCAAGACCAAGACGCTCATCGCCCCCAACGTCTACCGCCTCACTTTTACCCTCCCCACCACGAGCACCGTACTGGGCCTGCCCATAGGGCAGCACGTCGTCATCAAGGCCGACGTCGCCGGCGAGAGCGTCGCCCGGTCTTACACTCCCGTGTCCAACAACGCAGACCGCGGCGTCCTCGAGCTCGTCGTCAAGGTGTACCCCGACGGCAAGCTCACCAACGGCTACCTGGCGGGCCTCGAGAGCGGCGACGAGGTCCTCTTCCGGGGCCCCAAGGGCGCGATGCGGTACCGGGCCGGCCTGTGCAGCAAGATCGGCATGGTCGCCGGCGGCACGGGCATCACGCCCATGTTCCAGGTCATCCGCGCCATCTGCGAGGACGACCGCGACACGACGCAGGTCAGCCTCATCTACGCGAACCGCACCGAGGAGGACATCCTCCTGCGCGAGGAGCTCGACGCCTTTGCGCGGCGGTACCCCAAGAACCTGCAAGTGTACTACCTGCTGGACCAGCCGCCGGAGAAGTGGCAGTATGGATCGGGCTACGTCACGCGCGAGCTGATGCAGGAGAAGCTGCCGGCGCCGGGGCTGCACACCAAGATGATGCTGTGCGGACCGCCGGGCATGGTCAACGCGGCCAAGAAGTCGCTCGTGAGCCTTGGCTTCGAGCAGCCGGGGGCGTCGGCGAAGGCCACTGATCAGATTTTCTGCTTCTAAGGTGCAAATAGTTGGGGGGCAAGGCTCGAGCGAGGTGACATGGATGATCGGGTGCATGTAGAGGACTGGCAGCGGGAGTGTAGACCTTCAATCCGGGTGAACAGCAGATCACATAGACGTGCTAGCATCATTTCGGTGTAGATGATGGGCGAAACAAGACCTGGTCTCTCGATAATGATGTATGAATCTCGTTCCCATGTCTTCGAGGCAGTTTATGTACTTGAAGATGTAGGAAAGCGCATTGGTCAATACTCTCTGAGAACCACGTTGAGCCCTGTGCCAAGGTCTTTGTTCTCTCAGCCAGATCGCTCAGACCGTTGGGAGTATGAACTCAACGCTGGAGACTACATGTACAAGTGGTCTGTTAGTGACAATGGTTATAGTAATAAATCATCTTGGGACACAAATCGCGCTGCAAGAGTTTCCTCCTTGCCTCTGTACGAGCACTCGACTCAATGGTTGACGATCAATGACCGACCAAAAAGAAGAGCTCGTTGCGTGTAAGTCGAGCCGCCGAGGTCCCAGGGAGGCGGCTGCCAGCCGGTACTTGGAGATTTCCCTTACCCCCTCCGCCACTTGCCCTAGCGCCGCGCTTTGAGCTCCCCGTCCCATCCAGCTCGTCAGTGGCGGTCCAGGCAGTCTGACCGGGTGGCGCAGATTGACAGCTATGGGGACCGAGCCCTTGTGTGCCCAACTACCGGAGCCCACAATAGCAGCAAGGCAGCTAAACTAGACAGGGCGAGGCACATCTTACTAGCGTCTGATAATGAACTGGAGGCTTCGTTCGGCATGCTGTGCCGAGCTGCCCCTCTACGCGGCATGACGCCAGACCAGGTTTCGCCGTCAGTGCACGGTGTCGCCCCCCTGGAGGCTACTAGACAAGTCGCGATCAGGTCGAAAACGTTGTCCGCGGGAGATGCTGGTATTTCGAAGACCAGACTTTCCAAGCAACACCGACTAATTAATTACGCATTCTGCTCCAGCTTTTCGGTCCACTTCTTTTTCTTCGGCCTCGGGCGCGGGCTCGGGCATCCCCGGGGCGGGCGGTCAGTCGAGTGAGCCCACACCCGCGCCTCGGTCTGTCCCCGCCTTACAAGATGAAGTTGCGTGTATCTCGGCGCAGCGGCTACCTAGAGGTGAAACTCGCCTTTGGATCGCCCAGCGCGATGATCGAGCTCGCTTGCCGAAACGGTCCCGCAGGTTCATGCTCGCCCCGTGGCATCCGGACTGGTTGGTAGCGCTCCGGGCGAAGCAGGGTCCGGCCGGGCATGGTCCGGAGCCGCCGCCGCCGCCGCCGCCGATGACTGACGTACAACGGATTCTAGAAGGCTGGTTCTAAAAGTCAATTGACCTGACCGGATGCTATATAGTACATAGAGCAGCGGGCAGGCACACGGCCAGTCTTGGCTGCTACATGTAGAGAGAAGCGGAACTTGCTCCATATACAGCGTCTTTGTTGCCTCGCATTCCCTCTTACAGATCTGTATCAAGACCCCGTACGTATAGACACACAGACAGACGGACGGACAGACACACACGCTCGACGCGAAATGACTGCCTTCACGTTACCCTCCACGCACGGGCGCGTCGTCACCGTCCTCGGCGGCGGCGTGCTCGGCCGACGCATCGCCTGCGCCTGGGCAGCGAGCGGCTTCGACGTCACCATCCGCGACCCCAGCGCCGAGCAGAGAATCGCCGCCAAGCACTACTGCGACACCAGCATGCCGCAGTACTCGGACTCATCCCGTCGCGGCACCGTCCGCGCCGTTGAAGACATGGCCGCGTCCGTCAGCGACGCCTGGCTCGTCATCGAGGCCGTGCCGGAGAAGCTCCCCCTCAAGATCTCGACCTTTGCCGAGCTCGAGACGCTCGCGCCGGGGGACGCCATCCTGTGCAGCAACTCGTCGTCGCTCAAGTCGCGCGACATGGTGGGCGGGCTAAGGCCGCAGACGCGTCGTCGCGTGCTCAACATGCACTACTACATGCCGCCGGGGAACCGCATCGTGGAGCTCATGACGGATGGGGAGACGGACGAGCGCATCTTTCCGTTCCTCGTGGAGCGGCTGAGGGAGATTGGCATGCATCCGTTTGTGGCGCGCAAGGAGAGCACCGGCTTGATCTTTAACCGGCTCTGGGCGGCCATCAAACGCGAGGTGCTGAATATTCTGGCCGAGGAGGTGTCGACGCCTGAGGAGGTGGAGCGCATGTGGAAGGAGATGTATGTCAATAACCACTCTGGGCCGGTGGCTATGATGGATGCGGTTGGGCTTGATACCGTGTCCTTCATTGAGCAGCATTATATCGACGAGAGGGGGCTGCCGGACGCGCCGGTCAAGTTCCTGCAGAGCTACATCGACGCCGGCAAGCTGGGCGCCAAGTCACCCAAGGGCGGGCTTCTGCCCCCCGGCGGCACGACGAGGGCCGTCAACGGCTCGCACGGAGACCACGACAACGTCCACTCCCCGCTGCTCTACCTGCTCGACATTGGCCTCTCCGCCAAGAACCCCCAGGACGCCTTCCACGCCGGCCGCGTGCTCGTCGGCTCGCAGGACGCCCGACCACTCAAGGCCCTGGTCTCGAACCAGCACACCCCCGACGGCATCGACATCTCCCTCTCAGCGGGCAAGCTCTTCTGGACGAGCATGGGCATCCCATCGCAAAACGACGGCGCCGTGTACAGCTCCAACCTCGACGGCAGCGACGTCACGGCCATCGTCCCCCGCGGCGCGGTCCACACGCCCAAGCAGCTCACCGTCGACAGCGTCAACTCGAAGCTCTACTTCAGCGACCGCGAGGGCCTGCGCGTCATGCGCTGCGCGTTCGACGGCTCCGGCCTCGAGGTCCTCGTGCAGACGGGCGACTGGCGCGACGAGAGCCACCAGGCCGACCAGACGCGCTGGTGCGTCGGCGTGACGGTGTCGCCCGCGACGGGCAAGTTCTACTGGACGCAAAAGGGCCCCTCCAAGGGCGGCAAGGGGCGCATCTTCCGCGCCGATATGGTGTTCCGCGCGGGCGAGGCGGCTGCGTCGAGGACCGACGTTGAGTTGCTGTTCCAGAACCTGCCGGAGCCGATTGACCTCGATGTCGATGAGGCGGAGAACATGCTGTACTGGACGGACCGAGGCGAGCTGCCCCTCGGCAACAGCATCAACCGCGCCAAGCTGGAGACGGTCCACCCGGCTGAAGCCCCGAGCCGGCCGGGCAAGGATTACGAGGTCATCGCGCGCGACATGCACGAGGCCATCGGTATCAAGCTGGACCCGACCAACAGGCACATCTACACAACCGACCTGGGCGGCACCGTCTACCGGCTGAACTTGGATGGGGGAGATCGAAAGAAGCTGTACGAGGGGTCAGGAGCGATTGCAGGCATCACTCTCGCGTACGTGTAGGCTCTCGCGTGCGTGTAGGCTCGGACCGTTCTGTACAAGTTCAGGCAGTCAGCGTGATATGCATATACCACCATACCTTGCGTGATACACGGCCGACTGATCCCTCATCGTCCAGCCCAAGATTGTAAGAGCACTTGCTGCTCGGACGCTATCCGGCGTGTGACCAGACCTCACTCGCGTCTTCATACCATGTCTGCAAGGCAACTCCTTGATTGATCAAGACCTAGAGTACATACAGCTGTCGAATTACCTCGAATGCAAGAACGTTTCCCGCAGTGCGTGCCATCCGAGCTGCTCAGTAAAAACAAATGGAAAGTGGTCCCTCGGCGCGTCCCACGCGCCGTGTGTATCGCAAACTTCTACGCCGTTATATCCGCCTTGACCGACCGGTGAAACAAGTGCAACACGAAAGATGGGGGCGAGACAGGCAGGCAGAGAGAAACAAAACAACCGAAAGAGAAGGCAGGACCTTGGGTCCCGTTTTGGTTCATCCAGCCTCACCTTTGCGCCCACGACACGCGACTGCCAGTCTACTCGGCAACGTCAAGCTCGTCGTGAGCGGCGGGAGGAGGGGTGTCATCGCCTGTCAGATCGATCAGCAGCGGTTCGGGACGAACGCGGCTCTAGAGCGTCGTACCCTTGCGGTCACGATCACGGCCTTCGCCGTTGGTGCCGTTCTCGCGGCGGTCGCGGTCATCACGGTCGCGATCATCTCGGTCACGGTCGTCCCGCTCGTCTTTGACGTCGCGGTCGCGGTCACTGGCACGCCGTTAGCATCTGTACATGTAGTCTCGAGGAGGCGGGACGCACCGAGGATCGGGGCTGCGGGAGCGGTCGCGGTCGCGGCGGCTGTCGCGGTCGTAGTCGCGGTCACGGTCGCGGCGATCCTCCTTGCGGGGGGAGTAGTCGCGGGTGCTGCGGCGAGGAGAGGGGGAGCGGCCACGACGGGGCGAACGGGGGCCGCGGCGGTCACGGTCGCGACCGGACTCGAAGCGCCAGGAAGCAGAAGGAGGAGTTCTGGCCCACTGTCTGACGCGTTAGCGGCTTGCTCACACCGGGCAAGGAGCAGGCGGCAAGTTGACTGACCTCAATCTTCAGGATGTCGTCACGGCCAAGGCGCTTGTTGTGCATCTCATAATACGCATCATCAGCGTCGCGCTTGTCCTCGTACTCGACGAAAGCGAAGCTGCACCAGTCCATTAGCATTCTGCATCTCGCGTTGGAGCAAACGGAGGAACTCACAGTCGGCTGGACGACGAGCGGGGGGCCGGGATATCGCAACGAACGAGACGACCGTAGCTGCGAAAATGCGTTAGCAAAGTTCAAGAACCAGCAGCGACGCCCCCGAGGCCACGAAGCCAAAGGAACCACGGAAGGAAAATGCTCCCCAAACACGGCGATTTTTTCCTCCCAACGACATGAATGATATCATGAACGCTCTCACGCACGAAACGTGCTAGTATAACGTCGACTCGAACGAATCGCCGTGGCGAGCGAGGCGAACCAGCAGACGCACCGACGGACGTGTCAAGCGATTGGGAGGGGTAGCTGGACGGGGAGAGGTTGACGTCTGGGGGGCGGGGGAGCGGGGGCGAGGGCGAGGGCGAGGACGGGCGACGATGACGACGACGAGGAGAAGGGCGAATGTCATGGAGACTTTCTCGCAGTCCCGGTATCGAGAGGTCGAGAGGTGGCCGTCAAGGAGAGCAGGGCATGGCGGGAGCTCTCTCTCTCATCGTCGGGGCGCGCTCGTAGGGCGAGGGCGGAGGAGGGCGGGGAGGACGGGGGGGCGGAGGCGATTACGAAATGGCGCGAGCGTAGTTGACATACCGTTCGAACTCGTATGCGAGATCGCGAGCGCGGGTGCCGTGGCTGAAGCCGGTCACGTAGAGGGTGGTGCCGCCACGAGACATGGTGGGCGACGAGATGGCGCGACGGCGCGACGGGCAGAGTGAGGTGGAAGATGCGGCGGGCTCAAAAGGCGGATCCTCGTGCCACGTGCCTGAAGAGGACCGATGAAGCAGTCCCGGATAGAATGGTGATGGAGGGGGAGAGGTGCAACGAGAGCAAACGGCTGGTGGATGCAGCAGCTGTGTTGCGCGCGAGAGGGAGGTGGTGGTGGTGGTGGTGGTGGTGGCCGGCAGGCTTGCTAAGAAGGTGACAGAAACTTTTGCCTGCTGACGTAATTGACCGTCAAGCGCTCAGTGCACTGCACTGCGCTGGGGCACTTCGCTGGGGCTGCACGGCGTTGGCAGTGCTTGGGCGGCACCGCGCTTAGCGCACGTGACTGGTTCGATGCACAAGGCGATGCTCGACGGACCGGCGGGACGGGTCTGTCACTGTCGACGGTCCGCTCTGGGGGCAGGCAGTGGATCCCGTCAACCGTGACAGCTCTCGTCTGTTAATCGGTGCAACAGCGCCCGTCTGCTGCCATGCGCTGGAGCTGGGTCCCCACCCGGTTCGGGACGCTCAGCGTGTGACGCGCAACGGGCTCATCAGTGATGCTCATTCTATTCATGGGCCATGGCCATTCGATGGGGAGCTGAGCGTGTCTGCGCCCTGCCTCCATCATTCACCCAACTCAAGTAGCTGTGCTTCGCGAGTCCCCCGTACAACGTAAGTGAATTGAGCACGCAGGACCACTGCAGCCTGATCATGCATGCTTGCGCCAGCTGCCGTTTGTATGCGAGGCTTCGTCCTGAACCGCAAGTCAGCCCACGACCTCGGCACACCCAGAGGGTCCCTCGAGCCATGGCCCCGTCGCCACCCATCAAAGGCGTCTTCACTGTTGGCCATGGATGTCTGGGACCCGCCCAGAATGCTCTCGGCATGCAGCGGTCCGGTGTCTGCAATCGCCTGTATCTGTATCTGCAAAGGCTGAGCCTGTTTCCCGTGGGAACGCCCATCCTGATGATGATGCGAATCCCAGCAACAGCTGGGCGCACACTGCCATACTTGGACGATGGCGGCTCGTTCGGATGACCGCCACCTCGGCACTTGTCGGAGATCCCGTCCGCCTCACCGGGGCTTCGCGACTCGGCCAGGACAATCTCGCCGACGTCTGCAACTGGCCACGGGGCCAAGCCGCGAACGATCCCTGGCGATAATGACACGGGCGCACAAGCAGCAGAAGGAAAATAGAGCCATTATTAGGCACCTACCTTATTATTTGGTGGCCCGTCGGACATTTGGAAGGTCCCGCCCAATCCGTATCCGTACCTGCCGATTCTCCAGCTTTGTAACGTCATCAGCCAAGCTCTGACATGCGACCTCGGTCTCGACCGCCACCGATACAATTAAAAGGGCCTCGTCTGCTGGATCTCTGTCCTCTTCATCAAGGCCAAGGTCGCTTCCTCTACCGACACATGAGCCATCCATCGCATTGCGCTCCGGGTTCCCTATGGCGAGCACCGACGGAGCGACAGCCGACGAGGACCGGCCGCTAATGGCCCCGCTCACCGGCCGTGCCAACGGTCACGGCAATGGTCATGCAGCCACCGCGTCCGACCGCCAGCCGCACTCCCTGGCCGAAGCTCTGCACGAGGCGGGCGTTCATCTCAACGGATCCTCCACGGCCGGCTCAGAAACTCCCAGCGAAGAGGACTACGATGAAAACATACGGCCATCATACGCGAGCGGCGTCTCTGCTGCCGCCGCCTCCCGCCCGCAGACGCGACGAAGGAAGCAGGACGCCACCAAGACAGAGCTTCCACCAGCCAAGAAAGGGCGCCTTGCCAACATCATCCGCGATGAGTCCGGCCTGCACATTATTCCAGACAACGACCAAGGCATCCAGGAGCTGCTGCGGCGAAGCCCCCTCCGTTCCAAGGACCCCAAGTCGGCCAAGAAGCTGACCAAATTTGGCAACCTCACCTATACGCAGCAACTCTCCGTCTTTGACCCTCACAACGTTGTTGCAACTAATAGCCCGTTTCATGGCTTCTACACGCTCTTCTGGCTTTCCGTCGGGTTGTTTGTATTCAAAATATCCGCCAACAACTGGAGGCAATATGGCACGCCGTTGGGGTCTCAGGAGATCTTGAGGACCATGTTTTCCCGTGATGGTACGGCAGACGAGCCAATTTGCAAGGGACACGCTAGCTGACTTGTGCGCAGTTATTGTATTGCTTCTCTCAGATGGAGTCATGTGCGGCCTTACCGGCGTCAGCTGGGTCATCCAGAAGCTCGTCTTCCGCGGCTGGCTGGATTGGGACGGCTGGGGTTGGATCGTTCAAAACGTACGTCTCATCCCATGGCACCTCGGTTTGGAGTAGGCAACTAACATCTGCAGATTTGGCAAACGACATTTCTTGCAGGAGTCGTCGCCTGGACCCTCATCCGCGATTGGCCCTGGACACACACCGTCTTCTTCGTCCTGCACGGCCTCGCCATGCTCATGAAACAACACTCCTACGCCTTCTACAACGGCCACCTCTCCACAGTCTACAGGCAGCGACTATACCTGCTCGCAAAGCTCAAGCAGCTCGAGCGCGTCCATCCGTCCCCCGACGAGTGCTCCACGGCGCCAGCCGCCAGCACCATTGACACCACGCGGCTCGACGCGCCGCCCTCGGCCGCCGAGCGCCGGCATTCGTTGGCCCAGCTCCCCAACACCGAGCGAGACATCGATCGCATCTCCAGTGCCCTTGCCTCGCGCCAGCCGCTCGACGACGAGCAGATTCGCCTGTTCGAGCGCGTCGTCAAATGGGAGGTGGACGCCCTGGCCGATGAACTTCGCGGTACAGCGCGGGATGCCAGCAAGGCCTACCCCAACAACCTGACGTTCTTGAGTCATTACAAGTGGATTCCCCTGCCGACTGTGGTGTATGAGATTGAGTATCCGCAGACGGATTCGATTGACTGGGCGTATGTGGCCGAAAAGACGGCTGCACTGGTGGGAGTCATTTTTGTCATGATCCAGGTCTCGCAATACGCCATATGTGCGCCCCCTTCCCTCGGAGCTTCAGCTCATCGCTGACGAGGCTGCAGACCCCGTGTGGTTGAAGACGGTTCAGATGAAGGAGCAAGGACTGTCGCTCGCCGACCAGTTCAAGGAGTTCCCATGGCTTTACGGGGACCTGATTTTCCCGCTGATGATGGAGTATCTGGTATGTGTGACGCTCCCGAAGACTTGGCCGTTGGGAACGTTGTCTAACGCTAATAGCTTGCGTGGTACCTCATCTGGGAAACCGTCCTCAACATCCTCGCCGAGCTCACCTTTTTTGCGGACCGGAGCTTCTACGGCCCCTGGTGGAACTGCGGTAAGTCGTCGCGGCACCATACGCCAAACTCCTCTCGCCGCACTGCGCGTCTTTGGGGTGGGCACTGACGGTATGGCAGTCTCCTGGGACCAGTTCGCCCGCCTGTGGAACCAGCCCGTCCACTTCTTCCTCCTCCGGCACGTCTACCACAGCTCCATCTCCTCCATGAAGGTCAATAAGCACACCGCCACGCTCATCACCTTCTTCCTCTCCGCCTGCGTTCACGAGCTCGTCATGCTGTGCCTGTTCAAGAAGCTGAGGGGCTACCTGCTGGCGCTGCAAATGTTCCAGCTGCCGGTGAGTCCAACCCCTTCCCGCTTTCGTCTCGCCGTTCCTCCGTTCGTCTTGAAGAGCAAACTAACAAGAGGCTGTAGCTGGTGCGCCTGGGCCGGACAAAGTGGCTGCGCGGGCGCCAGACGCTCGGCAATGTGCTGTTCTGGTTGGGCGTCTTTACGGGGCCGAGCTTGCTGTGCAGCTTATACTTTATTCTCTAACTGGCGTATGCAGGGAGGCATTGGATATGCCTGGCAGATCTTCATCTTCATATGTCGATATTTCGGGACGCAATCTACATTTGCGGGAGTTCTTGGGGCGGGTAACGCGGGTTTCTTGGAGACACGGGGCTTTCACAGGTAGACGCCAAGGCAGAAGGAATGACGACAACTTCACTCACACCACCTGAGGACGACGACTTTGAAAAACGCTTTTCTCTTCATCCCGCCAAGCGGCGCCACCTGCATACCCACTACCTGGAACAGAAAAACCACACGACCCGAAACGTAAGCTACATCTTCTCGTAAGTGGCCATGAGAGAACCTGCACGTGTCAAACGTTAGAAGCAAACTTTGCCACAAGATGGACAAGAGAAACTCACCGATGAACGTCGTGACCAGGCGGCTGCGGACCTGGCAGATATCCTCGGGCACCAGCCAGATGGTGGCGCCGAGCTTTCGGGCGATGCTGATGCTGAGCTTGGCGTTCATGTAGGCGTCCTCGTCGGACTGGCCCGGGGTGACGAGGTCGTAGTCGACGTAGCTGCTCTTCATGCCGTTGAGCACGTCGAGCAGGAAGACGCCGGAGCCGATGGACGGGTCCTTGAAGGAGCGGATGGCCGAGTTGCGGCCGCCCTTGCGCGACATGTCGTTGGCCCACTTGACCATCTCGGCGTCGGTGATTTCGCGCTTGCCGAGCTTCTGCGCGAGCGACGACAGGGTGAGCGTAATGTCCCTGCGCATGAGCTGCCAGACGAGGCCGAGCGTCAGCGTCTTCTGCCCGTCGGTGACGTCGGCGCCCTGGATGCCGACCAGGGAGAAGCCGTTCTGCTTGCCCAGCTCGATGGCGTAGTTGGTGTTCTCGACGGCCTTGAAGCGCGACATCTCGCCGCCGTGGGCGGGCCGCTTGTTGACGTGCCGCCAGTTGACCGAGCCCTTGATCACCTTGTCGTACGCCTGGAGGAGGATCGTGCCGTCCTTGAGGTCCTCGAAGAAGGACACCACCGCGGGCTGCACGTCCAGGCTGTTGAGCCAAAGCGTGAAGACGCGGGCCTCGCGCTCGCCTTCCGCATCAAAGTCCTCCACCTCGAGCTTCTCCTCTTCCGTAATGGGGTCGAGGCACGGGTGGTTGTTGAAGAGGTTGGCGACGAAGGCGAGGTTGAGCTTGGGGTTTCCGGCGACGAGCGACTTGGGCGTCAGGAACTTGCGGCAGTCGAGCTTCTCCGACTCCTGGAGAACCTGCTCCGCCCGCTGGAGCAGGTCGGTCGTCTGCAGCGGCTTCCGGGTGCAGCCGTACTCGTGGCCTATTTGCGCGAGGAGCACGGAGTAGTTTTCGCCGTCCTTGATGTCGCTAGAGAAGTTGGTCACTCTGGAACAGTTGATTAGCATTGTTTCAAGCTGAGATCGGTGAGTCCAACAAACCTCCGCGACCAGTTGGCAGCCTTGAGGTGGTAGTTGAACCAGCGAAGGAGAATCTGCTCCGGGGGCAGGCGCAGGAACTGCTCCAGCGTCTCGTCCTCCTCCAGCAACCGGTAGAGCTCGGGGTGGAGCTTGATGTCGATCTTGCCCAGCAGACCGCGGCGGATAATCTGCCAGATGAGGCCGAGGATGAGATGCTCGCGGACCTCAATGATGTCGCCGGCGCCAATGTTGACGACGGAGCAGCCAATACCCTTGGCGGACTCGATGACGATGTTGTTGTTCTCGGTCATGTGGAAGGCATTGAGGGTCTTGATCTTGCGGCCCGGCACGTTCAGGACACGCTCGTCAATGGTGTCGGGGACGCTGTCATTGATGAGCTTGGCGAGAACCAGACCGTCCTTGCACTCGTCAAACATCTCAAAGGTATCGGTGGGGAAGGGAAGGCGGCTATCAATGTCGGCATCGCCTGCGAGGACGGCATTGATGTGGCGCGTGAACTCGGTCCGCTCATCTTCGTTGATGGTGTGGGTGACGTTGGCGCTGGAGCCCTGGACTTGAATCTTTCCGCCGACGCTGCCCTTGGAGACATGGCCGCCGCCGCCTCCGGTGCGCTGCGAAACGACGCCGGGGCTCGATGGCGTGGGTCCGGCCGAGAGGCGCTTCTGCGCCGGGGAAGCGTCGCGGAGCTTGGCGATGAGCTGCGACGGGTTAGCAGGGGAGGGCCGCGACCAGACGGCTGGCAGGACAGCTTACGCCGACGTAGTCTTCAAGCTCTACGCGCCGCGACGAGTCCAGCTCGACTTCCTTGAGGGCCTGTCGGACGACATCGTAGGGCTGGTTCTCGCTCTGCTGAGTGGCCTTGATGGCCGTGGCTTCGTCGAGGTAGCCCTTGTCGTCAACGTCGAGGCGCTGGAAGGCGTCGGACAAGGAGAAGATTTCGTTTTGGGGAAACTGAGGAAACTTCCTGCGGAGCCGTCAGCGTCGTCGCGCGGGCACTGTCGGGGAATCTGGGAGCCGCGCACCTCTGCAACTTGAGGACGTTCATGGTGGGGTAGGTCGGAGCGCCGGCCGTTGGATGGAAAGGACGCTGCGCGAAAGACAGCTGTTGAGGAGGGGAAGCGGCAGGTTCGCCGGCAGCTTAAGGAGGCAGCTTCAGTGCGTATTTGGGCGTGGAGACGCGCGAATGAGAGAGGGAGAAGCCAACGTCGACGTGAAGCTGGCGCGGGTGGTGGCGGATGGAGATGACGGAGGAGGACGAGAGGGCGAGTCGTGAGCGAGGTGGGTGGAGGAGCTGGCGCAGGCACGAGAGCGCTGGTGGCGGGTGGGCGCAAAATGACGACCCCACCCCACCTCGAGGCGTTGCTGTGAGGTCGGGTGCTTGTGCTGTTGAAGAGGCGGGCGGGCGAGCTTACGACGGGGAGCTGACGCGCAACGACGGGCGGGCAGCCGACAGGTGCTCGGGTGGGCTGGCGCTCTAGTGGAGCGCAGGGGTACGGACAGCACCTCAGTTAGGCGTTGGTTTAGCGCCCCAAGGCTTGATGGCAGGGGAGGGCGTCCCCCATTCCATTCGAGAGTCAGCGTCCCGTCCCCCGCTGGCCGCCAACCGGCCGGCACCCTCGGACCGCAACGAGGCCTGCCCCGCGCGCAACGCTGACGACTCCTTTCCCAGACGGACCAGCTGGCGCAGGGGAGCGCTTGAGTCGCCGGGCGCCTGTGCCTGAGCCGGGCTGATACTCTCGGGCATCAAGGCCCTGCAGGCATTGACGGTGACGTCGTGGCGCGAACGTCGCATAGGTATTTGGAGGGACTTGGCCGGCCGGGACGATGATGATGTAATGCATCTGGCCCGCTGGCGGGGCCATCCATGCACGAAATTCCCATCCATGCCATCCATCCACCGCCCGTCGTCCCGTCAGTGCTCCCCCGTTCCCTTCCAGAACCCCTCCAAAGTGGGCTTCCAAAACCGTCGCTTGTTGGACCCCCGTCGTCTCGTCGCAAATTTCAAGCCCGCCGCCCGCCAGCCACACCCACCGCGACGTCTTGCGTGTGCGTCTTACGTCCGCCCCAAGGCTGCCATATTCTTTCCTGTTTCGGGAGCCGCGTCGCCTCATTTCGCTTGTCTCGGAACGAGTCTGCCTGCAGACGCGAGAAGCTAGAGGTGGCCAGCCAGCCCAGCTCCACTCAGACCATGTCGGCGTGCAAGGCTTGCGATGAGCCCCTCGTCCTTCGCGTGGACGAGGATGAGGACGAGGGCGCCAACAACGAGAACCAGACCGTTCCCGATGACCTTGAGCTCCAATGCGGCTGCCATTTTCACTGGTATAGTCTCATAACTAGGGGACGTTGGTGGCAGAGAGTGTAGTGTACGCAGCTGACCTGAGTACCAGGGAGTGTCTGATGGACGAGGCTTCGTCCATTGCCATCTCATTGAAATGCCCCAGCTGCGAGGCGTACCTCCCAGCCAACAACGCCGGCGCGTCGTCTTCGAACCAGTTCGTTGAAGCTGCGTCCGGCGCGCCTATTCTGGCCAGATATAGCAACGAGGGCGGCGTTCAGGAGAATCTCGACATCCTGCCCTCAATCACGGAAGAGGCTTATATCCAGAACAACCCGGAGGCTCGACCGGCGCGGGCATTCCACGTCATGTGCTCCGAGGGCGACGTTGCCGGCATCGTCGAGCTGCTGCGCGATGTCCACGACGAGGTGAGCGACGTCGGGTCGCTGGTGCGCTACCAGGACCCCCTGGCCGAGATGAGGAGCGGTCTCCATCTCGCCGTGGCCAACAGGCAGGAGGAGGCGGTATGGCTTCTGCTGTGGCTCTCGTCGACGATGCCGAGCGAGTCTTTCCCGCCGCCTGCGAGGCAGGTTGCCGAGTCCATGGGCCTGGGACGGCTGAGCGTACAGCCTGACGCGGACATTCGCGCGCTGAAAGACGCGCAGGTTCGCACGGCTGAGAGTGTTGCGCAGGACGACCCTGAGGCATGGAGGATACTATTAGAAGCAGGTGCGCTGTCGCCATAAATCGACTATCCTTTCAGGCCCCTGGTCAGTCTCGGTGTTGCCGTGAACGGTATTGTGGCCGAACGAAGTCATAGATGTGTGGCACCATCCACCCCTTGCCCCTTGCCCTCCTCCCGCATTAGCTGCCAACCGTCATAAACGGCTCTGCAACGGTCTGGAGATTGCCAGTTGATAGTATCGGACCAGTCAGGCCAGCTACGAGGGGCAAAAGGCAGCCTCCAAGTTGGCAATGGTTCTCGCTTCTCTACAAGCCGCCTTTTCCATGTCCTCATTGCCCATCTCCTTCGCAGCATGCTTCACGAGAGTCCCGTCCAGCACGATCATTGCTTGATGCCGCATCTCGTAAAACTCCTGAATCCCCTCCAGCTCAAGGTTCCCCGCATCTTGCTCACCGGGCGTAAGCTTGTACGACCTCACAGCACAACGCCACAACGCCTGTCTTGGAGTGTGCAAAAGATGCATTTTCAGCTCTCTACACGTGACTGTCGATGATGTAGAGATAATAAAGGGTTCGTGCTGCGCAAGTGCAGGTAGGTGCTTCTCCCGCCTTGGCAACGTCGTCGTTGCACGCTCGGCTATCACACGGTGCGTCGTGGGGACGTCTGCAATGTCGTGTAAGTGTCCCACGCACCACGACACAAACACACTCCGTCAACTCTCCTGGGCGAGATGTCACTGCACAACCTCAACTGACTAATACGGCTTTACAGTCAACCACTTCCGGAACAAGCGCGAGGCTCACGCCCTTTCGCCGTGGGACCCCTTTGCGCAAATCAGTCGCAACAACACGCTTCGACATACCGGGACATGGGCCGCGTCACAGGCCGAGGCCGGCGAAGGCAGTGCCGACGCACCGGACCTGAGTGAGTTGACTACCACTGTCAGTGCTCCTCCCGTAGGGGCAACCGGTCATAATTCGACACCGAGCCCTGTACATGCCGTCCCCGCAGTCCGCCTCTCGCCACCGCAGGGCGAAGATGATGGGATCGGACCGGCGCAGGGTAGTGGTTCCAGCCATGCACTCAGACGTGCCATCCATATCCCTTCCAGGATGACTGTAGAGTCACTTCCCGAGGAAGAGGAGGGAGAGAAGGCAAAGAAGCGCCTGTGGCCGTTCAGGGAAGTAAAGCCCAAAGCCCCGCTGACAATTGGAAGCCAACTGCGTCGGCTGTATCGGCTCTCCATTGTCATGAAGCTCCTTCTGCTGTGCTGCCCCGTGGGGTTTTGCTTGAACTTCACCATAGGTCCCTCCATAGAGACGTTCATCATCAACTTCATCAGTACGATCCCCATCAACTTCCTCGGCGACTTTGCCATGACGGAGATTGGGCTGAGGCTAGGGGAGCTCACGGCGGACCTGTTGTCCGTGTCCACCAGGTAGGCGTGCTTGGCAAATAGCTGGGTCAACTGGCACTGACTGCAGAAGCAACTTTGTACAGTTTATATCTTGCGTCGTCCTCCTGGTAAACCGGGAGATTACGGTCCTGCAAACGTCGCTGGTGGGCGGCATCCTGGCAAACATTCTGTTCCTGCTCGGCATGAGCATCATTTGTGGCTGCCACAACCGGCCATACCAGAACCTGAACCGCACGGCGGCGCACATGGCGTCCAACCTGCTCTCGCTTTCCTCGACGAGCCTCTTGATACCCACTGCGTCTCGGCTGCTGTCTCAAGCGTCGGCGGAAGACCTGCTCAAGCAGTCTAGGGGCGCTTCCGTCGTCCTGCTCGTCGTCTACGGCTCGTTTGTGTTTTGCGAGCACTGGACGCACAGAAAGGTGTTTGGTCAGAAGGCCGAAAAGGTGCCCACCAGAGATTCGGGAGCCTCGCAACACGCAATCAGACGAGGGTTGGGCATGCCGAGTGGCCTGATAGGCCTGGCGGTGCCCGACACGACGGAAAACGAGAGACTCTCCAGCATGCTCATGTACCCGCCGCGAGTGCCCACCGAGAGCGAGGTCGCCGAGACGGAGGACAAGGAAGGGCCGCAGCTGCGCTTCAGCGTGGCCGTCGCCATCGTCGTTATGACGACGACGCTGCTCTACTTCCACATCGACTTCACGGTCAAGAGCATCGACGCGCTGACGACGGACGCGCACCTGTCCAAGACGTTTGTGGGGCTGATCCTGTTCCCGCTGTCGAGCTGCGACTACGTGCCCATGGCGCTGGCCATGAAGGACAAGCTGTGCCACACGGTGACGTCGACGGTGGGCAAGAGCATCCAGACGGCGCTGCTCGTGACGCCGACGATTGTGCTGCTGGCGTGGTGCCTGGGCGTGGACCAGGTGACGCTCGTGTTTGACGGGTTCGAGGTGGTGAGCTTGTTTGCGACGGTGCTGCTGCTGAACTTTCTCATTGTGGACGCGCGGGTTCACTGGTGAGTGCTAGCCGATGAGGCGTGATGCGAGATGATGAGACATTGGACGCGAGCTGACGAGACGGCCGTGGTGCGCGGGTGGTTCAGGGTCCAGGGTGTCTTGCTTTTGGCCGACTGGGGGCTCATTGCCATTGCCGCGTTTTTTGTGACGGAAAAGGAGACGAAGGCCTGAGAGATAGGGCTTGGATATGTCTTGTGGAATGAATTACTGGACACCCAGATGCATGCCTACCTCGGAAAGTGAATGATGTAGGCTGTGAAAGGATGCCGACCTCTCGGGGCTGCTTCACAGAGGTGGGATGGTGGAGGTTGTGTCCGCTGTTTGTAGGTCGTTTGGTCCCTGTGGGAAGCACGTGTCAGTGAAGCAGCCCGCTGCAGACAGCCCACCCAGATCCCTGCCACCCACGTCACGCAGCCAGTGACGTCCTCGGCAACGGACCCGTGCCTGCATTGGATGCAATCATGACAGCATCCGCATCGCCTGCATCTCGAGCTCCATGCCGCCCCGTTACACACCGACACGCCCGCTCTCCGACAAACACCAGCTTTCCCCGGCTCGCCGCATTGTTGTGCACCCACTCCCCTCTGCCCTTTCATCTCCCGCCTGCTGAACCCTGTCACCGCCAGGCAGCAAACGCATAAGACAACAATATCCCGTGCCACGTTGGCGGCCCGCTCGAGCGTCGGGCGCGGGCGACCGCTCGCGCACCTGCAGCTGTCCCGCCAAACGCGCCCGTTGCTCCAACGGCTTGGGACGCCACCCCAACTTCGACGCGGTCACTGTGCTGCGCAGGTCGCATGGCTGTCCTTTGGCTCGTGGAAGATGCCTCCAGCTGCTGGCGACAAAAAGGCCGAGAAGTCGTACCTGAGCTCGGCCGTCGACTCTATCAACCCGTGGGCGAGCAGCAGGACTACGACCCCGACACCGGATAACAAGCGCGATGAACAAGCACAGGCGGCTGCACCCGTGCCGGCGCCAGCAGCGGCACCGGGCGATCATTCGATAACGCCGCTGTACGGCCAGAGCTTCCGCACGTATCCAAAAGACTGTCCGCCGCTCAATGTCCAGTGGTTTCACGCTGTCGATGTACGTCCCCACGACTTCCAAGACCATCGTGCTCACCTAGTAACAAGTTTGCGCTAGGTGCCGAAGCGGAAGCCACAGCTCGTCAAGGGTCGCAAGGAACCCGTCAAGGATGCCAAACCCCCCGCGCGACCGAAAAAGTACACTGCCTTCTTGCCGTCCGACTCCCGGCGGCTCGAGGGGCGCTACCAGAAGCTGTTGGAGGCAACGGAGGAAGGCCATGACAAGGCCGCCGAGGCTCAACCGTACACGGCCCAAGCCGGAGGGTCCAAGGCCGACAGGGCCGGCCGAAGCCAGGAAGCTGGACTCACCTCCAAGGCTGGCATCCGCGTGGCGGTGAACGAGGACTTTCTTTTCGATGTCGACATTGAGGAGCGGGAGCTTGCTCCGGTGTACTGGCTTGGACCCGTATACGAGGTGCGGCGTGGCACCTGGTTCTTCCAAGAGGGATCCAACCTGCGGCCCTGCGAGGAGAACCTGGCAGCTCAACTCGAGGAGGGGTACCTCAAAATGAAGCCGTGGCTCAGTCCAGCACGATCAAGAAGCCAGTCAGCAGCAAAGGAACCGCAGAAGGACGCTACCAAGGACGGCAAAGCGTCATCCGCCGCGGAGCACCCCAAGGATCCCGGGTCTACGTTGGCAACGGCGTCGAAACCTCCGAACCAACCGGGGACCAGCACTCCCACCAACCAACCCCAGCCCTATCGGCTTTTCGGCGCGTACATGAACAATGTGGCGACATACCAAGATGCCACCACGGCCTGGCTCTCCACTGATGGCATCATGTCATGGGTGACAACTTCGGTATACGAGCGATTCGCCGGTGGGGGCTACATGAGCGGTGTGAAGCTGATACGAGGGTACTCGGAGCCCAGCAAGGCCAAAGACAAGGACAAGGACAAGGACAAGAAAGACGACAAGTCTGCGGCCCAAAAGTTTCCCGACATTCCTGGCTTAGATGAGCGCCAGCAGAAGATACTCAAGCGCAGATCCGCACCACCCACGACCAGAGACTCTAGCGACGATGTCCGGCGCGACAGCAAGGACCCGCAAAGTGAGGCACAGGATCGGCATGCGACGCTCCAGCGACAGATTTCGTCCCTGCTTGAGAGCGACGGGAAAAGCACGGCCGAGACGGAAGAGCAAATCCGCAAGAGAGAGGAGCAGGAGATTCAAGACGACTACAACGTGGAAGTCGGCGAGACTCAAGGCCGTGAGATTGAGCATCTCGTACTGGTCACCCACGGTATTGGCCAGCGTCTGGGCCTCCGGTGAGTCGCCCTTCAACCCATTCTTGGGCCACACTGACACTACTCAGCATGGAGAGCGTCAACTTTGTACACGACGTCAATGTGTTGCGAAAAACGCTCAAGTCTGTTTACTCCGGCTCGGCAGATCTCAAGGCACTTAATTCCGAGCTCGGTGCGGGACATGGCAATTGCCGGGTTCAAGTCCTGCCGGTTTGCTGGAGGCATCTTATTGAGTTCCCCAGGCGGCGGCAGAAGACGGGCGAGCACGATCTCGGCGACGTTGCCGGAGAGGAGGACGACTGTAAGTGTTGCCCGCTAGTAGCCGTGCCTGCTGGTGCTAATCGATACAGATCCGGCACTCGAGGACATTACTGTCGAGGGCGTCGCGTTTGCGCGATCACTCATCTCCGATCTCGCGCTGGACGTGTTGCTCTATCAGAGCTCCTACCGCGAGGAGATTTCCAGAATCGTCGTGGGAGAGACGAATCGCATCCTGAGACTATTCCGAGAGCGAAACCCCGAGTTCAAAGGCAAAGTGCATCTCATGGGCCACTCGCTGGGATCTGCCATCTTCTTTGATGTGCTGTGTCGGCAGAGGGAGCAGACCGAGGAGCACCGGCACCCGCTTCGCTTCTGGCCTTCGCAGAACCGACAGGAGAGCAAGCTGAAAGACCACGAGCTGCAGTTTGACTTTAAAGTGGACGACTTTTTCTGCCTCGGGTCGCCCGTCGGCCTATTTCAGATGCTCAAGGGGCGGTACGCAGATGATACACGCCGTGAATGACTGCTTGCTAACGTGCCTTAGGACGATTGCTGCCCGCAACACACCTCACGCAGTTCCGTCGGAAAGCCCCCTGCATCCCGATGAGGGTGACGACCCCTTTCTCACCGCGCCGGCTCCCACTGCCGACGAGATTTCCCCAGTCAGCGGCCTGCCTTACTCAATCTCGTCCCCCAAGGTCGCTCAGCTGTTCAACATATTCCATCCATCGGACCCCATCAGCTATCGCCTCGAGCCCCTAATATCGCCTGCAATGAAGGTGCTCAAGCCACAGGTGCTGCCGTATACGAAGAAGGGAATATTCGGCAACGTCGCTCCCCAGAGCCTGACGGGCATCGGCGCCAAGGTCGGCCAAAGCGTGAGCGGGCTATGGTCAAGCTTCAGTGCCGGAATCGCAAGCAACCTCATCAACCGCAGCCTCGGGTTAACGAGCGAAGAGGTTGCCCGAATGGCAGAAAATCCCCAATCTGTTGTCGGACAGGCGGCGGATGGCAATACTGACGAGCGAAAGCAGCAGCTGGCCGATTCAACGGCGGCAGGCCTCGAGAACGTGACTCTTATAGACGAAGAAATGGAGACGCTCTTCTCTACATTCCAGAAGAATCGCGAGAACATGTCCAAAGGAGACGAAACGCCCACCACGGGCGTGGACGGGCAGAAGGGGAGACGGCTACGAGCCGAGGAGACCAAGGTTCGAGCACTGAACCGCAACGGCAGAGTCGACTACAGCATACAAGAGTAGGTCCGAACTGTGAATGATGCATGGCTGGTGCTGACATTCGCAGGAGCGCCCTGGACTTCAACCCCATCAACACTATTGCCTCGCACATGGGGTACTGGGCGGACGAGGACGTCAATCATTTTGTGCTCTCACAACTTCTGTCGAACAGGCGCAAAAGCAAGAAGAGACAGCGAGATGGATTGAGTTGATCGGCTCAGGATCAAGCAGTGGCGACTTCCTCAACCGTTTCTCCCCCAGCGCCATACACGTATGCGAACGGTAGCAACTCCCGAACCGGCACTGTCCTTTGGACGCCCGTCTCGTCGAGCACAATGACGTTTATATCCGGATTGTAGTCGAGAAGAACCTGGCGGCACCTCCCACATGGGTTCAGCACCCTGATCTTGCCCTCGTCCCGGCGCACGGCGACCATGGCGGTGATGTCCTTGGCGAGGACGCCCTGGGCCGCGGCGACGCCGAGGGCCACGAGCTCGGCGCAAGGGCCTCCGGTGAAGTGGAACACGTTTGCTCCAGCAAAGGCGAGGCCGTTGGATGTGCGGGCGGCGGCCGTGACGGTGTGATCGCCGTCATTGTCAGGGATGGCGGAGAGGGAGGATGCGGCGAGAGCAATGAGTTCGTGATCGAGCTGGGCCGCCATGCTGGGCGGGCTGCGTTTGGCTGTTTAGCGATGAGTTTGCATAGACGGTAGAATCAATGAAGAAGCTGTATCATAAACTGGGCATCCCCGTCTTATATCGTCACCTCTTTTGCCGGGCAGCTGATTGTCGTTCCATGCATTGATGTTGTGCCGGGTGGAGTGGAGGAAGCGGGAGCTCGCTGCAGGTCTTACAGCGCTTCAGCCCGCAGGCCCCCACTGCCGCTTTGGGAAGAGGGCCCTGGAGACACCGCCGCCGTCTCATGCGGGCAAACCTTGGAAGCACAGCAAGCGTCAAATGGTGGGGTCCAATTCGTACCCCACCACGCCATGGCGCCCACCGCAAGCTTCGGTATGGCTCATCCACCGAGCTAGTAAGTCCCTCCATCGCAAATCTTTGGCGCCCGAAATTTTGTCACCCAGAACATCATCCTCTCGCGCCCGCATCGCTACGCCGCAACACCTGCCTTCGCCCGGAGCATCCATCTAGCCCGCGCGTGGGCCCGCGTAGCAACCTGTCATGTTGGCCGAGTCCGCCGAGAAGCCATCTGCACCGGATTTCGGCCGCTTGTGACCTCCGGCCCGACGACTCGACGACTCGACGACTCGACGGCGATCCGACGCCGCTCAACCACCGCCGCGAAAGCCGCCCCCCTCCATACGACGCTGCCCACCGGCAGCCTAAGAAACAGATACCATGGCGAACTCGATCGAGAACCCCGTCAAGCAGCAGCTGGTCGACAAGCTGCCGAAGCGCTTCAAGGGCATCAAGTTTGGCATTCAGTGCGTGCTGCGGTTGGGGACGAGGGGCGATGATTCATGTCGCTGACTTTGCATGCGCCAGGTCCAACCAGGATATTGCCAACCAGGCTGTCCTCGAAGTCTCCGATCGACTGCTCTACGACATTGAAAACAACCGTGCGCCGTATCGCCACGGACCCCTCGACCCGCGACTGGTACGAGTGAAGCCTCATGGGCCCGTCTGCGCAGTGGCTAATCCGTCGTCATAGGGCACGTCGAGCAAGATTGGCAAATGCGCAACATGTCAAGACTCGTTGCAAAACTGCACGGGCCATTTCGGCCATGTGCGGCTCCCGCTGCCGGCCTTTCACATTGGTTACCTGCGATTCGTCATGTCTATTCTGCAGGAGATTTGCAAGGTACGTTGTCGCGGTGCGCCCCTCTGGCGACGGCTGCTTACAAGCGCAGGATTGCGGCCGCGTACTACTAGAAGAGCCCGAGCGACGGTCGTTCTTGAAAGAGCTCCGCCGCCCGTTCCTCGACAACCTCCGTCGAACCCAGATTTGCAAGCGCATCAACGAGCAGTGCCGGAAGTGCAAGACTTGCCCTTACTGCGGTTCCATCAACGGCCAGATCCGCAAGACCGGCGTCCTCAAGCTGGCCCACGACAAGTTTGTTGCCTTCAACAAGTCCACCTCCGTTAAGAAGGTGCCTCCCGAGGCCAAGGTCAAGTTTGAGAACTCGTTCGCCGAGGCCCGGCGCGAGAACCCCGAGCTGGAGAAGCACCTCAGGAAGGCAATGGAGGATCTCAACCCGCTCCGGGTGCTCAAGCTCTTCAAGAGGATCAGCCCTACCGACTGTGAACTGCTGGGGCTGGACCCTGCCGAGGGCCGGCCGGAAATGTTCATCTGGCAGTTTGTGCCCGCGCCCCCAGTCTGCATCAGGCCGTCGGTGGCGCAGGACAATGCTAGTACCGAAGATGACATTACCACCAAGCTGGCGGATATCGTATGGGTCAGCGGCATGATACGATCTGCCCTCCAAAGAGGATCCCCCATCCAGACCATCATGGAGCAGTGGGAGTATCTCCAAACCCAGATTGCCATGTACGTCAACAGCGACGTCCCTGGCCTCCAGCAGCCTGGGTTCGGGAAATCCACCAGGGGCTTCTGCCAGCGGTTGAAGGGCAAGCAGGGCCGATTCCGTGGCAATCTCTCTGGCAAGCGTGTCGATTTCTCCGGACGTACCGTCATCTCGCCTGACCCCAACCTGGGCATCGACCAGGTCGCCGTGCCCATTCTGGTGGCAAAGAACCTGACGTACCCGGAATCAGTCAACCGACAAAACATTGAGAAGCTGCGCCAATGCGTCTCGAACGGCTGCGACGTCTGGCCGGGTGCACAGGCCGTCATGAAGAAAGAGGACGGCAGCCATTATCGCTACAATCTCAAGTTCGGCAACCGCGAGCAGTTGGCGCGACAGCTGAAGGCCGGTGACATTGTTGAGCGGCATCTCGAGGACGGCGACATTGTGCTGTTCAACCGCCAACCTTCACTGCACAAGCTCAGTATCATGAGCCATCTCGTCAAGGTCCGCCCCTGGAGAACGTTTCGCCTAAACGAATGTGTCTGCAACCCGTACAACGCCGATTTCGACGGCGACGAGATGAACCTGCACGTCCCTCAGACTGAGGAGGCCAGAGCCGAGGCCATCAACCTGATGGGTGTCAAATACAACTTGGCGACTCCCAAAAACGGAGAGCCCATCATTGCCGCCACCCAGGATTTCATCACGGCCGCGTTTCTGCTCAGCAGCAAGGACAACTTTTTCGACCGCAAGACCTTTACCTACATTTGTATGCACATGATGGACGGCAAGACGCCGCTCGAACTGCCGCCGCCAGCCATTATCGCGCCCCAATGCATGTGGACCGGCAAACAGGTCTTCAGCGTCATGATGCGCCCGAACAAGGATTCTCCGGTCAAGGTCAACCTGGAGGCCAAATGCAGAGCGTACAAGGCGCGTCCCGGCCAATGCCCCGACATGGACCCCAATGACGGCTGGCTGGTTGTCCGAAACTCGGAGGTTATGTGCGGTCGCATGGACAAGTCTACGGTCGGCTCTGGCAAGAAGGACTCCATCTTCTACGTCATCATGAGAGATTTTGGCCCAGACGAGGCTGTCATTGCCATGAACAGACTGGCCAAGCTGTGCGCCAGAGCGCTCACCAACCGTGGCTTCTCCATCGGCGTCGGTGATGTGTTCCCGACGGCGTCTCTCAACGTCGAAAAGGAGAGCCTGGTTTCGACCGCGTACAAGCAGTGCGACGACCTCATCGAAACGTTCAAGCAGGGAAAGCTCGAAAAGGCCCCGGGCTGCAACATGGAGCAGACGCTGGAGAATCTGATCTCCGGTATTCTTAGTAAAGTCCGACAGCAGGCCGGCACATACTGTATCGACACCCTGAGCCGCAACAATGCTCCGCTCATCATGGCCAAGTCTGGGTCGAAAGGTTCGGACATTAACGTCGCGCAGATGGTGGCTGTCGTCGGACAGCAGATTATTGGCGGCCAGCGTGTGCCTGATGGATTCCAGGACCGAAGTCTTCCGCACTTTCACAAGAACGCCCGACAGCCGCCGTCAAAGGGATTCGTCAAGAACAGTTTCTACACTGGCCTGTTCCCGACCGAGTTCCTGTTCCACGCCATCTCCGGCCGTGAAGGTCTGGTCGACACGGCCGTCAAGACCGCCGAAACGGGGTACATGTCGCGACGACTGATGAAGTCGCTCGAGGATCTCTCTACGCAATACGACGACACGGTCAGGACATCTGGAGGCGGCATCGTGCAGTTCCAGTTTGGCGCGGACAAACTCGATCCAGTGGACATGGAAGGCTCTGCCGAGCCGGTGCACTTCCTGCGCACCTGGAGTCACGCCGAGAACTTGACATGGGACAACAACGAGCCGGCCATGACGCCGACGGAGATTCGCAAGTTTGCCGACTCGATGCTCGAGGTGGAGCGCAAGCGCCTCCCGAGAATTGGCCTCCTCAAGGACAGACTCGAGTACGAGGACACCACCGACTATGGCATTGACGAGCACGAAAGTGCCCGAAAGTTTATCAAGACCATTGAGAGTCACGTCGAGGGCCTTGCTGCCAAGCTAGAGCGCGTGCGAGCCCTGGCTGGGTTCGACGGCGACACACCCCTCTATCCAGACTCTCAGGCGCACTGCGACCGGACGGCCAAAGTCACAGTAACAACGCTGCAGCTCTTCATCAAGATGTGTCTCGAAAAGTACAAAAAGGCCCACGTCGAGCCAGGTCACGCCGTCGGTGCCGTCGGTGCGCAGTCCATCGGTGAGCCTGGTACGCAGATGACGCTCAAGACCTTTCACTTTGCTGGTGTGGCCGGTATGAGTATCACTCAGGGTGTGCCGCGAATCAAGGAGATTATCAACGCATCCAAGACTATCAGCACACCCGTCATCACCTGCCCCCTGCTCAACAATGAGCAGATTGAGGTTGCCAAGGTGGTCAAGGCGCGTATCGAGAAGACGTACGTGTCGGACGTGCTGCACTTTGTCGAGGACGAGTGGCGCGCGGAGGAAGGAAACGTGGTGCTCCAGATTGACAGGGGCGCGCTGTCGGACATGCATCTGGGCATCGGCATCTACGACATTGCCGAGGCCATCTGCAAGCAGCGTAAGCTCAAGGTTGCGCGCGAGGACCTTTCTATTTTCGGCGACAGGATCGTGATTCGCGTCCGCGATGGGAGCCAGATGGCGGTCAAGAGAACAACGACCCGAAAGACGGACGCCGACAGTGGCGACATGCTGCTGCGGGCCAACTTTTTGCGACGCACACTGCCCAATGTGCCCGTGTCGGGCTACTCCGATGCGACCCGAGCCATCATCCAGACGTCGGAGCAAAACACCCATACCGTCCTCGTGGAAGGTTATGGCCTGCGAGAGTGCATGACGACAGAGGGCGTGATCGGGACCAAGACGCGGACAAACAACGTCATGGAGTGCCGCGACATCCTCGGCATCGAAGCGGCGCGGACGACGATTGCCAACGAAATCGGCGAAGTTATGGGCGACATGGGCATCGACCCGCGGCATATGCAGCTGTTGGCCGACGTGATGACGTACAAGGGCGAGGTCCTGGGCATCACGCGGTTCGGCCTGTCCAAGATGCGCGACAGCGTGCTGCAGCTGGCGTCCTTTGAGAAGACGCCGGACCATTTGTTTGACGCTGCGGCGGGCATGAAGACGGACCAGATTGAGGGCGTGAGCGAGTGCATCATCATGGGGCAGACGATGGGCGTGGGCACCGGCGCGTTCCAAGTCGTGCGGCGGCTGGGCATCCAGCCGGGACAGCTGACGCAGAAGAAGACGTTGTTTGAGGACGAGTGGAACAAGGAGATGGCGCTGAAGCGAAAGGCAAGGCGGAGAGTATAGGCGCCCTCATGAGCATCTTGTATAATGATACACATTCAGTCACGGTCTACGGTCTATTGAATCGCTGTCTATGTAAAGTCATGACGTGTCGCGGCATGAAGCCTTATTACGCCTCCTCGTCGTGTCTCGGTTCCCTGTCGCGATGCTCGCGGTTCTTAAACACAGCCAGCAAGCCCAGGTCGTAGCACGCCTTGAGGGAGCCAGCAGCCACAAAGCTGACCCAGAAGAGGTCCCTCTCCGCGAGAACGCCCGTGATGAGCGGCCCCAGGCTCTGCGCGGTGGTCTTGACGACGTTGACGGCGCCCATGACGGCGGTGCGCTCGCCGGGGAGCAGCACGGCGGCGAGGAAGGCGGAGCGCGGGGCGACGTCCATGGACTGCGTGCAGGCGCGCAGGATGAGGAAGAGGAGCGCGAGCGGCAGCGACGAGGGCACGGGGATGAGGGCGAGGAAGACGGCGGAGGGGAGGTGCGTGAAGACCATGGTCTGCAAGAGATGTCAGCATATGTCCATCATGCGTAGGGGCGTATCGGGCATGAAATGGAGCGGAGGGCAGCACAAGATGAAGAGGGAAGGCTACCTTGACGTTGCCGAGGCGCTTGGCGAGCGAGGAGGCGACGATGACGGACGAGGCGGAGATGAGGCTCGTGGTGAAGAAGACGGAGCCGAGGCGGCCCTCGTCGAGGTCGAAGCGCGAGCGAAAGTAGTAGGTGACCCAGGACCTAACCAACATGTGAGTGGACATATTCAAAGTGAAGGGGCTTGGGAGGCACGTACAAGGGGGCGAGGCCCGACGCAAACGAGTCGAGCGCAAACAGGAGGCACAGCGCGGCGGTGATGCCCTTGCTCTCGGGGCTGAGCTGCGGCAGCATGGCCGTCCACCAGCGTCGCGCCGCGTTGACCTTCTTCGTCTGGGTTTCTTCCTGCGCGCCGTCGGGCAGCAGCGGCGTCGTCTCCTCCGCGGAGACATCAGCAGCAGAAGCTTCCCGCTGGGGCTTCTCATCGGCCTCGACAGCCGGGGACAGCGCGAGCGCGAGCACCAGCTTCACCACCCCGAGCGCCGCATACGCGACAAACACGGCGCGATACGCATCCAGCAGCGTCCACCCCAACCTCGCCGTCGCCGCCTCCACCGCCCACCCGCATGTCACCATCCCCAGCGCCGTGCCCGCCGTCCCCGCCAGGCTATACCACGCATACACATCGGCGCGATCCTCCCTGGGAGTCAAATGCGCCACGACGCTCTCCTCCACGGCGCGGAACGGCCCAATCTCATTCCCGCTGGGGCTAATCACGCCCAGCACCGCCGCGGCGAGCAGCACGGCGTAGGACCGCGGCGCGGCGGCGAAGACGAGCCCGCTGGCGGCCATGAGGCCCGCGCCGAGGGCCAGCACGGCGCGCCGGCCCAGCAGCCGGTCGGCGGCGAGCGCGAGCAGCAGGGAGACGAGCACGTCGCCGGCGAGCGTCAGGCTCATGAAGAGGCCCGCCTGGGCGCGCGAGTGGCCGAGCGCGCGCAGGAGCGAGACGAGGACGAGCGTGGAGGCGCCGTAGGCGGAGAGGCGGACGAGGCGCTGGGCGATGAGGAGCTTGACGTCGAGGGGGGAGCGGGCGAGGGAGAGGAGGCCCAGCTCGGAGAGGATGCGGCGCGATAGTGTTTCTCGCGGCGGCGCGGGCTGCGCTTCTGCGGGTGTTGGAGGTTCCATGGCTGTGGTTGCTTTTCGTCCTTTGCGGCGTGTGAAGGCCGTTAGTTCAGCTGAGTTGCGTGGACGGCGCTGAGATGGCGATGAGGTGAAGTCGACGGCTTGAACCGTGGACGCAACTTTGATGACCATTGATTAAAAAGGCCCGACGTTTCTGCGTGTAAGTCGGCGTCCGAGCTATCTCCGATTGCGCTGCAAGCCCCCTTGACGCCACTGTGGATGATGGTGGGTGGGCGCATCTGGAAGAGTCGGCACGGCGGGCGGCGTGGCGTCGGACCAGGGGCACGCTTCACGCTGTCCCGCACAGGGGCGTGAATGGACATGGCGTGTTTACGGGAGAAATACGAACGGTTCGTGTGCATGCGTGTGTGAGTATATGTGTTTCTGGAGGAGCATTTGCAACACAGTAACGGTGCGCGCGTCGAGCGATTGAGGTGAGTGGTGGCGGGACGTGACGTGCCGCGACACGTAGGTGCGCATGCGAGAGCCGTTAGGTAGCAGGCTTTATTCTTAACCTTTTCATTAAATTCGTACATGGGCCTTCTGCGCTGTCGCTCGCCAACCCTAGTCCCCGAGATATACGTCACCTAAAGCCATCCAATGCAGTCCTCCCGCCTTGGCGCTGCACCATATTACTATGCATACAAGCCCTATTCCCAATCGTCGTCTTTTGGGTAGTATTGGGCGGGCGGCGCGGTCAGATACATGCCCAGTTGATCGCTGTCTGAGTTTTGGAAGGGCCATTGGCTCATCGTGGAATCCATGGGTGTGTTCTTGTCCATCTCAGACTGAATGAGATCCGAGCCTATATCGTCGCCGTCGGCGGCCTCCACGCTTTCTTCGGCCAGTGGAGAGCTGTGCTCCCCGAAGACGCCGTGGATCCTTCTCGTTTACCTCCCTGGACGTGGATGCGCCGATGGCCGCGGCGTCGACATGCCCCGTGGAGCCGTCTCATTCGTCGTCGCCGAGCTACTCCTGCGCGTCCATAAAAATCGTGTCTCCAGATTCGCTCGTCTCTTCGTCGGCGTCGGAGCTTGAGGTGGTCGGGGGCGCGGGGGGCTGCTTCTGCGGGACAAATCCCATGGCCCCTTGCGCGTTGCCATGTACAACTGGGCCATGTCGTCGTGTGGATGACGCAGCATGCCCTTCGGGATTGTCCAAGGCCATAGATGCGTCGTCGAACGGCAAACCAAGCTCCCGGCGCTTCGCTCGGCGCATCTCGTGCTTCCACGCCAGCCCGTGGAGTTCTTTCGTGCGAGCCTCCCCTACAGGAGCCGTGTGCCCGGAGCGAGCGGCCAAGTAGGCATAGTACATGGCTGGCACGCTATTCGTGGACGGGAAGAAGCCCTCCCCGAACGTCTCGACGGCCTTGGTGATATTTACTAGGTCCTTCCTCCGCACGAGAAACCTGGTGTCGTCGGTGCGCTGAGGCTTCTTGGGCGAACAGACGGTGGCGAGGTGGCGCAGAAAGCAGGCCTCGGGACATGCCACCTTGCCATTGGGGACCTCTTTGAACGCCTGCTCAACCCAGTGCTTTGGGGCGTGCTCGCGGTTGTCTACCAAGAAGAATTGTGCAATCGCGACAATGGCGCCGCACATCTCGGGCTGGTCCATGGTCCAACTGGCCCGGTTATCGGTACGGCAGGCGACGGCGAGCTGGATGGCGCGCCTGAGCAGGGCCTTGTTGCCGCGCCAGATGGGATGGGCGACTAGGTGGCTCAGGGCCTCGCAAAAGGTTACCGGCCAGAAGACCTCGCCCGGGTTGGAGGCATCGATCCAGAGGTTGTAGGCCGGCGACATGATGGCCACTGGTGAGCATCTAAAGAGCTGCAGACTCACCTTCCACAAGGCGATAACCCGCTCTATCCAAGACGCCGCCTCCAACGACCTCTTCTCGTCTGAAGCGGCCCATTGCGCCTGGACCTCGTCCTCGAGGGCCTGGGTCCAGCCTATGCGCATTGCTGGTTCGGGAGGCCCTACCATGCGGTCGATGAGGTCCTTTGTACCGACGGAAACCCGCGGCTTGACCCGTTTGTAGTATCGCTCAGCGCTCTCGAGCCCAGCGTCGATGGCCACAGCCAGGTTCTTTCGCATCAAGGCCTCGAATCGGCGGCCCTCAGGGGCAGCATTGTTGGCCATCTGTTCTTCGGCCCGGAAGGTGTGCGTGCTTGACGAAGGGCCTTGCTCGGGGCCCTCCTGATCCTCCGTTTTCTCATCCTCGTCTTCTTGCTCGTCCTCGTCCTTGTCGTCATCGCTCAGGGCGGGAAAGAAGGACGGGCTCTCGGCCCTCCGCTGCTCCTCCTTTCGCGGCCGTCCTCGACGTCGCTTCGGAGCGGGTACGTCCTCCTCCTCTCCCTCTTTTCCCTCTTCTTCCTCTCGCCGTTGTTCCTCCAGCAGCTCCTCCTTGCGTGGACGTCCTCGCGGTCGCTTCGCCGATGTGACGACTCCTTCGCCCTCAGCCCCAGCTGCATTGCCGGAGACGGTGATTCTTCCTCTCCCCAGACCTGCTCTCACGGGAGGCCGGCCACGCCGTCCTCCCCTTCCTCGCGGGGCTTGCTCGTTGTTGCTCATGATCATGCCATTCCAGAGTGCAAGTACGTGACTGTAGTCGGCGTCGTGCGATGTCTGCCGGTGTCGCTGACAATTAATCGTTGGTGGCTGGCGAGTCCAACATTCGGTAGCGGGATGTATTGTGTGCGTAGATTTGCTAGCTGTTTGCGTGCACGCGTCAAGGACGGGCAAGCGCTGACAGCTGCCCGCAGCTGCGAGGGTGCCTGGAAACGCAGGCATCCCTCGCTTGCGGCGCCTAAGCCCCGTAGTGCGGCATGGACACTGGGCCTGACATTCAGCCTTATAGCGCCCTATAGTTGAGCAACGGGCAGCCCTGGGGCGCGCCTGTTCATAGCCTGACCTTGAGCCCCGCCAGCGCCTGTCGGGTGACTCTGGTCCCTCCACTCCCCGGCCCCCTAAGGTAGCGTTGTTCACTCGCTACGCATACAACAGACGCGTTGCAAATTGGGTTCATGTACGACACGCTCCAAGGCAAGCGCTTCCCCGTGACGCGTCCTTCTTGCCCATTGCTGTCACTTAATGTTGCACAATGGACGCCAAACGTCCGGTGTAGAATTTGAGCTCCGTCCTTGGCAGGACTCACGTGACGAACGGGCAGCCCCATTCTCCCACAACGGACTTCCCATTACGGTCGTGCAAGGGTCGCTGATTGGACACGTCCCAACCGCGCCCGCCAGTGGGCTGGGGTCTGGTGCAAAAGGTACGCCCTCAAGGCAGGCATACTCAAGCTTGCTCGCGTTGGATCTCTCAACTTGCGCCATGGCTTGGCATTACTTTGGATTCAAGATGGTTGGCACTGCGCTCTGGCTGTCAACAGCAAAGGCCTGCTGTGTGAGGATAATCAATCGAGCCAAGGGGCCTTCATGTCATGGGGAGGCCATAACATTGAAGCGTTCTCAAGGAAGCATACAACACACGCCGGGTTGCTGCCCAGGGCAGGCCTGAACCTGGGTCCAGTTGTGGTAACTCAACATGAAGGCGCCTGGTGCGTACAGCCGGAGATTACCACGCAAACGTTAGCTACGCTTACGCTCCATTCCGTCCAGTCTGGACTCTGAACCTGGCTAGTTACCAACGGATTCGGCGGCCTTCCACGCTCACTCATTGTCCTTCATGTTCACTGGCCCTGCTCACCACGTGACTCATTGTCTGATTGCTCCAGCTTCGTCCTGTTCATCCCGTAGCTGCAGCCAGGAAGGCGCACATAAATACTTCCTTCACCTTCACCAAACAATCCTGTCACAACCACCAGACCACAGCAGCAGGAGAAGCAACGCCATCGGACGCAACAAGGGCAGTACTTATCACATCAAAATCGTCCTTTGTGCCACCATGCCCCCGGTCAACTACCGCGACTACAGCCCGCCGGGTAGGGAGGGCGAGCGCTTCACAGAGGCCCTGCAGGTGGATGGCTGGTGCGAGCCCAGGAAGCGGGAGAAGCACATTCTGGCCTTTTTCCGTTGGGCTAAGCCCGACCTCGACCCCTTCAAGTATCGAGAGATGGAGTTGAACGCCCGGGTCTTTGCTTGTTCCCGTTGGCATCGACATGAGCCGCGTAAAGGCCTGTCGCCGGCGGATCTCCAATACCGAGCCGAGTACGAGACGTGGGCCCTCATGTGTACGTACACACACACAGACGCAAAGCTTCATCTGCAAAGAAAGCCTCGCTAACAACAGACCGCAGTCCAAGACGAGGAGAATCGCCCCGAGTGGCCGTTTCCGTCCCCGCCCCAGGGGCAGTGGCTGTTTCACCCACGCGAGCATGGCTACTCGTGCCAGTATACCCAGTGGCGCGCCTCCCTCTACCTGCTTCACGACGAGCAGGAGTTTGCGGAGGAGTTTTGCGAGCACATGGCTGCCGAGTCCCGGATGGCCAGTGCCCGTCGACGGGCTAACAAGGAGGACGGGGTGGACGAGGATGGCGCGGACAAGGCCCTTCAGAACATGGAGGCCCTCGGTCTGGAGGAGGCGGACACCTCCGTGCAGGCGACGGCGGCGGCGACGACAGGCGCTGCTGCAAATGAGGGCGAGGCGACGTCGGAGGCGACGCCGGAGAACCAGGGCGAGCAGGCCAACGCGGCCCTTGAGTCTAGGGCGGACGACGTCGAGGACGTGGCGGCTCAGAACGAGAGGTTCAACCTCTTCTTCGAGCAGATACGCCGGCAACGTCACCTGGACGACTGAGGCCGGTTGCTTGGGGTGTGTCGAACGAGTCAGTGTATGCCTAGTGGAATGACTATGTGCGTGTGTGTGAGCTCTTTGTGCCGTTCCCCGCCGTGATATGATGTCAGCGTGGGCAGGTCAAGCGTATAAAACGTAGAGAGCTTAGAGAATTACAAGAGCATAAAGCTCCAGCTCCGGAGCCGACCCAGCAGCTTGAGATCGTGGCGAGCTGGAAAGAGACGGTGGAGCGTTTGAACTGGCAGCTGCGGGAAGCCATGGACGAAAAGGCGTCTTTAAAAGACATTGCCCCTGAGATGAAGCGCAGCTCGCTGAGATAAGTTGGGTTCTGGGGATGCTTGTATTATCGCTATCTGTATGACGAAAAGGTGCGCTGCGTGCCGTCTATTGCTCTCGTCCTCCCACTCCCAACCCCGCCATAGCTTGTCTCATGGGTCGTCACTATTATGCCACCGTCACCACCGTCGTCCACTCGCATTTGGGACACATGCCCTAGACAAACTTGCGCTGCACCTCGACCTTGACGCAGCTCGGGTTCTGGGGCTTCTGGCTGCCGTTGCCGAGCACCCAGTTGAGGGTGCGGTACTGGTACCCGGTGTAGTAGCTCTGGCAGACGTACCAGTTGCTGAGGGCGCGGACCTTGTCGCCCGTGGGCGGCGTGTGCGAGTCGTCGAGGTAGCTGAGCACGGCGAGGCGGCCCGTCTTGCTCTCGGCGGCGACGTACTGCCTGCCGTAGCCGGGCTCGAACAGCGGCAGCGCGACGTTGGTGGAAGGGTCGGTGTAGAAGCTCATGGGCTCCGACTCGACGCCGCCGTCGCCGCCGATGGGCAGGTTCCAGATGAGCACGCCGGCCGGCTCGTACTGCTTCAGCGGCGACGTCGAGCCCTGGGTCGTGTTGAGGAAGAATTTGGCGCCGGAGCTGCCCGCCAGGCAGAGCGACTCGATGGCTGCGCCCGAGTGGCAGGCGGCGAGCTGCTGTCCGTTGAGGGACTTGTCGGAGGATTGGAGGACGAGGTTGAAGGGCTTGGACTGCACGTCCTGGGCGGCGGCGAGGCCGGAGAGCAGAAGGGAGAGGATGCCGGCGGTCTTCATGTTGAGGATGGGGTTGTGTGCTTGACTTGGCGTGTGTCTTTTTGTGTGTGAAGTCGAGAGGTGTGAGAGGTGGCGTGTGACCGGGTTTATCTGATGATGGGCGGGTGTAATGCTGTGTCGATGAGATGGAAAGACGATCTCTGCAGGGCCCAGGAACCCCTGCCTCTTATACGCCGTCAACGACGATCCTCTTCCCTCCTCCATCCATGCAAAATCCCGACGTCAACGCACGCAGCAGGCACTGAAGCCATCGTCACCCCGCCTCACCTCGTATCGCACCGCACGTCACACTGGACCTGTGCCACCCAGCCGTTCCACCTACCGAGCCCTGTTCGCGTTTCCGGACGCAGCCAAGAAGCACACCCCATCGCCTTCGTGAGGCCATCTCGCAGCAGCTAGCCCGAGGCGGTTGCAGGGGGCCGGGCAACATCGACTGACCGACTGCTAGTTGAGTCCACCCGCCCAGAGAGATGAACATGACGTACGGTGTAATTGCCATCGGCGTGGGATGTGGCTAACCCCCCACTCTGTGCCGCCGCCGCCAAGACGGGATTTGCACCGTTCGCTCGGCGGGCGAGGCGCCCAAGACGCCCTATTCCCGGCAAACACGAGCGCCTGCGACCCTATGACGCGCGCCGGCCTGTCGTCTCTCCCGTCTCCTCCTCAAGCCTCCCCCGCACGTTGGTTGCCTGTCCACCCAAGGGTCCAGGTCCAGAGCGGCCCGCCCGCGCGGAGAAGCGCTAAACACTAGACTACAAAGCCGCTGGCTTGGCTTCCTGTGCGTTTGTTTGCCCACCCGGTGTTCCAGTGCCGTCATATCCGAGGCGGGCGGGAGACGATGGCAGTCTGACTGACTTTTGCACGACGTGACCAGGACGTTCGATACGAGAAATTTGGGACGTTGGCTAAAGTCGTGGAATCCTCCAATGGCTGACTGCCGGATCTGGATCAGGCGGGCGCCGCAGCTCGCCAGATCGGGGACGAATTGCACAGGAACTGAGCTGGACCCCGCCGATCTGCTTGTCCGAAGCCACCGTGGAGTGCCGACAAACCGTCGCGATTGCTGGTGAACAGTATATAAGCGGCTATGTGCAAACGTATGCATGCTGCGGAACGAGACAAAATCGGAACGCTGTACTAGAGGCTCATTCGAAGCACAAATTAATGCCGGTTGCAATGACAATGTCCTACCTCGTCGTGACGCCAACACCTGTAACTGTGCGTTTTCACAAGCGCAGCATCGTCTCGGCCGAAAGAGTAGTCCGTCGAAGTCACACCCGGTATGCCGGATGAGCTCCGGCAACTCAGTGCTACGGAACGTCAGCCTTGGCATTCTAGTGAATGCAACATCGTACTTGGTGTACAACCACGAGCGAGCGAAGCCCCAAGGGTGTCTGTAAGGTGGTAATACCTCGTAGACATGTCCCAACAACATTGAAGGCTCCGGGTAGCGCGTGCAGCAACCCTTCGCGTTCGTAGAGACATGCACAGCGTCTCAGATCAATTCCAGTCGACACCGATGATCACGGGCGCTCCTTCGGGTTCATGTTAACTTGAGATAGTAACGTCTCTCCCGTCTTGTGGTTCAGTAAGTTTCATGCTTCATTGCCTTCAATATGGCTTCCCAGACCTTACCTCTCGAATGGCCTGAGGCCTGACGGATTACCTAGCCTTTGGCGGCGCAGTCCGGCACTCAGCCTACACCGCCAGTCTTGTCTCTCAAGGGTTGCATTTTTTCGCTGGTCCCCGCATTGGCTGGGTTTATCAATCGCCTTTCTCGTCCAGTACCGAGTATTGCGGGTGCCAACGACCATCTTCAGCCGGTTCCATCAAGTATCCGCCTGTATCAGACCACGGCAAACATCAAGGCATTACCCCAGAAGTTGTGGTCTTTGACACCTACTCTACTGTACGGTACTTCGGGGGCTGACCATGTGTCAGGTGTCCCGGCTACACGGGCGTCGGCACCTGGCATGGATGCGAGAACAATACACTTTTAGCCAGGGCCAGGCGGGTAGGCTCCGCAGAGATGTTTTCAGCTACAAATAATTTCTGTGCAGCTGCAGAGAAACGGGATGGCTTTCCGGGCATCAACCGTAACGGCCCAATCAAATGCATCCAGTCCACTACACCAATGTGCATATGCAGCCCGTGGAAAGCACTGCTTCAAGTTCACGGAGCTGGATAGTGCAGCACGAAGCCTCGATTTTCCCATGCTCAATCACTTCAGTTCATTTGATTCTTGTTATGCATCTCGCGTTCGTATGCTTCATGCTCATCTTGTTCAAGGCTGAACCTCAATTGCACAAGCCGCACCCCGGTTTTGAACGTTTTTATCCCCTATGTTCATCTGTCAGAATGGCATACTCTACCAGGTTTATCATTTCAGAAGTTGAACGTGGCTCATTAGCCCCACCATCCATCCCCGTTGTTTGCTGGCGGAGCTGGAGAGTACCATCAGGAACGCGGCGACAATCACGCTCAACGCCGTAGACAAGGGGTTTTTGTCTCTGGCGACAGACAATTAGGAAAATAAAAGCGTTCCATCTCACTGCCCGCATCCGTCTCTAACCTCTACCGCCAGCCAAACTTGTTCGACACGATACAGCTGTGCCCAGTCTCAAATTCCAATTTTCGCCGCCTGCATACCACGGAGTACCGTTCCCAGAATTGAAGCCAATCATGCCATCCACCGCAGATGTCAGTCCGTTTCACACATTCGTCATTGGCTCCTGCTAGAGCACGTACAACTGCGGGACCGTTACAGTCGTCCCGTTACAGTCATTCATGCTGATCCTGACTTGGGCGGTGTCTTTAGCCGTTGCCCCTCCAACTCTATCTGCACGACCAGACGCCAAGCGATTATTTCTTTGCCTTGAGCAATGGACACGTACCCTGGGTTAACTCGCACCGTGAGGTATCCGCCAGAGACTGCATCGACGCGGTAGAGCGTGCGATTGCCACCGGCCGCTACCATGTGAGTATGCCTTCCGTAATACCCGGCTCTCGTGCATCTAACCAACGAAATAATTCTCTTAGAACCGCGGTGTCGAGGAGCTTGTCGGCGGCTTAAAGGGCCTGAGCTATGCCGAGACTGCCCTGCCTGCATCTACGCATCTGGCCTCCCTGACTCTCTTGAAGGACGATCCTCGGCTTCGTAACCGCTTGGTCTCGTCTGGGCCCCCCATCTCCCGAATTCTGCTCGGGTTTGGTAAGCCTCGCACATTCGCTACGTCAAACTCGTCCTGGGACTACGACGATAGCGCAGAGGGATCAGATACATGTACATCCAGTGCCTTGTCTTTGCGGGAAGCGCTTGCCACGGCTGCCGCAGCAGTGGCAGCACAGGAACGAAAGCCTCCTTCGACACTGCCTCAAGCACCAGATCCTCTCATATTTGCTACCATTCGCCAAGTCCTGTCCTCCAATCCGTCATATGCAGAAGATGTCATCTTTGCCGTGGGCCAGCTACCTCAGGACAAGCGGAGCCTCCTCTTTCTCGCCGACACCGAGTGCGTTGGTAGATCAGCGTCTGGGCAGCCAAAGTCGTCAGCGGGATCTTCCAAAAAGCGCCAGAGATGCTCGGGCGGCCCTTCGAACGAAAGCGACAACATCGGCAAACCGCCAGCTGGCAGGTCTGGAGGGAGCGAAAAGGGAAAAGATGGAGGCTGTGGAGAGAATGCTGGAGGCGGAGGGAGTGGCCGCTCAGGCGGCGGCGGCACGCCGCCTGCCAAGAAGACGAGGCAGGATAAGAATCGCTGCTGGATCTGCCCATACAGTCTCGCCTACCCCAGTATCAACGAGATCGCATCCTTCAAATACTGCAGGTCGCCCGGTGACATGACTGAGGTGCATCTCTGGAGGCAAGTCTTAGCATGAACTCCAAATCCTCAAGCCAACCTGCATGTTCTGTGCTAATCTGCCCAAGGTCTCATCTTGTAAAGCATCATTCCCCAGGCGCCAGGAATGTCGGCTCGCGTGCAACAGACCACGCTCAATTCTACATGGACTCTCGGCAAACAGAGGACGTTCAGGCGAAGATCAGGTCGTACAAGAGGCGCCCTCGGAACTGGGACGACTGGCACTCATACTGGAAGGCCCTTTTTATTGAGGTGTGGTATATCATCTTCCCAAAGGAGCATTTTCCTGACCTCAGAGAGCCTCGCTCCCCTTGTATGTTCATGTCCTCGATCCATGGCCCTTCAGCACTGTGATATGGATGTGTAATAACGATCATACAGTCCACCTAACCAGCGATGAATATGCGGATCTTGGACGCATTGCGAAGGTAATGTTCGAAGCAATCCATGATACCGAAGCAGACCGTGCTGTCAGGGCCAACATCGTTGCCTCGAAACAAGACTTTTGTCCAACCAGGGACGAGGTACTCGATATGATGTCGAAAGCTTTGGAAATCGTGCTGCACGACTCACCGAGCGCTGTTGGCGCTTCTCAGTGGCTCACTCAATCCACCCCCGAGGCTCTCCAAGCCGCAGTTGCAGCACAATACAACGCGCCTGAACCGCAGCCCGGAACAGCCATGGCCGCATCGCACGGCACAGAGCGCGAGATTGACATTCAAGAGTTCGTGGCGCGACCGTTGTTGGCGATAGAGCCCTTAATGCGGGAGTTCGCGCCCTTTACTCCGGGTGCTCTACAAGCAGTCCCGCCCACCTGGCCTGATTGCTACTCGATACTGTCATCCAACGACACATTTGCCGCAATCAACATGAAGTTGACTCCGACCATTCTGCAGTTGCTCCAGGCCAGATTCCAAGAGGGCGACCAGGATTTCACTCTGCCGGTCAATTTTCGCGTCACAATCACGAATGAGACATTGTTTACCGCCCCAGTCATGGCTATCATGGCAGAGATCGATCAGCTAGACACGGAATCCACGCTAGGAAACAGTCTGCCATCATCGCCTCAACTATCATTGATGCAAGGCATCTCCATGCGGATGGTTCAAATGAAGCCATTGAGTCGGGAGGAACATGAACTGTCCCATACAAGGAACATCCCAGGATCAGAAACATCCGAAATGTAACGTTAGATGGGACTTGCAGGATGGCAGTGTCGGCTGAGTGCAAGGAAAGCACCTCCAATGCCGTTTGGGGAACAAATACGAGAATAGAGGAGAAGAGAGGTTGGATTGTTGGCTGGCCGTGCCCCCAACCACCCACATCAAGCTACCATTCATGGTGGTGTTGGGCGGCATGCCGAGAATGGATCGAAACAAAGGCACTACGGACGGACCACGGCTGGAGCAAACAACTTCGTGTACATGACGGACTGAACACCAATGGAATCGTGTATTCCACGCTCACGGTCCCTGGTCTTACGCAGAACTGCAGGGAGCTTGCATCGCACCGTGGTGGGCCCGGGGCTGCAGTGGAGGGAGTCATCCATCTCTTCTGCCAGAGTCTGGTCTCGGTTTCAGACTGCTCCGTAACTGCAACCGGCTGTCTCGTTGGACGAGTGCCCAGTTGGTCTGCATCAATCAGTCAACAGAGACTGCTGAATATAGTTCAAGGCGCGCGAGCTCGGCAGGTTCCGGATCGTCGGCGCCCACCGACAGCAGAAGAGCCTCATCACTGTTGATGCACCTCGCGACATGGACGGATAAAAAAAGCCCACGCAGCAAGCAGGCACAGCCTCCCCATTGAAACCTTGGGGCATTAGTCTCGGCGAAATTCGTGACACAGACCCCAGCCTCCTCCGTGGAGTGGGACATGCCCTCTGATAAAGGCCGTCTTGTCGCTGCCTGTGGCGCCCAGGCCGGCTTCACCTTCCTGCCTTTGGTCGTAATGAAGAAGCTGTCTCTACCAGCAGTCATCGCTGAGCCATGACATGCGTTGGCTAAGGAGCTTCACATTTATCGTGCTGAATAGTGCGCTCGCCCTGGGAGCCAGGGCCGAAGGCCTCGTCGAGTGCTACGGGCACAACGGCCTGGCATACCAAAACAACACCCGCTGCCCCGGCTCGAACGCGTGCTGCGGGCCTTCGGCAACATGTATGCCGAATCGTCTTTGTCACTATCCGAAAGATGGAGCTGGCATACTGGTGAGGGGGCCATGTGCTGTGAATCCGTACGACTTTGACACGTGCGCTCAAATATGCGTCTATGGTGAGTTTGCCCGGTCGTGGGAAGACACTTTCTATTCCGGACAGGGAGATATCGTCAGCTAGAGTGGCGTTGCTAACACCCACGCTTCTATATCCCAGACGAAGTCCAGGGCGTCTTCCCGAGAGTATATGTTTGTTCCGATGGGTCCCTCTGCTGCAACGACAACCGCCAATGTTGCGCAGATGGCAAAGGCACATTTCTCGACGAAAACGGCCTCGTCACAACCAAGGACGCCGTGAAGGCCTTTGTGCACGAACCAGAAAGCACGCAATCCTTCAGCTCCAGCAAGAAGCCAGATGGTTTCAAGGGAGGCGATTCTGTGGACAATCCAGATCCTCCGGACGTTTTCCCTCCCTCTGCCTCACCCACGGCCCAAACATACACATGGACGACCAGGCGTTCGACGACGGCGGCGCCAACGGGATCGTCGACAGGATCATCTACGGGATCATCGATGCGGACGGCAATACCAACAGAGAATACAGGATCGGAGAAGGACCAGGACGGACAAGGCAGTTGGACGTTCAAGGTCGGTGTCGGGGCGGGAGTTCCCCTCGCTTGCTGCATATTGGGGTTTGGCGTGTTTTTGTTCCTCAACAGGAGAGGCACGGAAAGAGATGCTGCTGTTGCGGAGCTGCCAGCTGTGGAAGTGAGGTTACTGGCTCCTCCTCCGTCTTACCCAGAGTCCAAGGCCTTGAAACCCAAGACTGTACCCGACGTGGATGTTTCTGAGCTCGAGGCGAGCCCCCTTCGAGAGCATGGGTTTTTTTGACTGGGACGTTGTCTTGGCGACTGCAGATGAAATTGACAAGGTTTTGGGATAGCATTAGTTAATAGAAGGCGTTTGAGACTGTTCATCACCACTTCCTGGAAGAAGGCATCTCTCAAGTGCTGCCTGTGCCACACCTTCAAGGCCAATCATGCTATCCTTGACCCTTTCGCGCGTGGTGGCATTGGTCGGCGCGTCAGCGCGTTTCGTCATGTCGTATCATTGGCGAATTGCCGCGATCCAAGAAGCTCTCAAGTCAGGGGCGTTTGCGTGTGGGTGCTTCGCTCATGGCACACAAGGCCACGCTGCGAACAGTGCGTAGCCGATTGGCACAATACGCTTGTCAATCCTGTTATCGATGGCCTGATTCATGTTTGCTATCCTGGACTGGGGGTTCGATATCGTACATGTAGCGCGGCTGGTTACTTGCCTATCCCTCAACATACGCCATGAACCGTTCGGGATACCGCTCGCCGGCAGGCACAAACGCCTTGAGAATCCCATCAATCTCCTTCAGCTCGGCATCCGTCAAATCCACCACCTTTGCATTCTCCCGCACGCGCTCGGCCTTGGACGATCCAGGAATCGGGATAATCGTGGGCATGCCTGGTCGACGAGACATGGCTACGACCCACCCAATGGCAACTTGCCCTGTAGTGCAATCCTTGCGCTTCGCGATACCTTCCACAGCGCGCACGAGCTCGAGGTTCTTGTAAAAGTTGTCCTCGTGGAAGCGCGGGAATATGCGCTTGCGATCGTTGGCGGGGAGGTCGTCGAGCGACTTGAGCTGCCCGCCGAGAAACCCTCGACCAAGAGGTGCTGCCAACTATTAGTGAGAGCGTGGCTGAGGCTGAGCAGACACTTACAGTATGCTATCACGGGAATGCCGAGGTCACCGCATGCCTCAAGGATGCCATTGGTGAGGGGATCGGTATGAAACAGCGAGAGCTCCGTCTCAACAGCCGTAATCTTGAACCGCTTGGCGGCGCTGCGGATCGTGGCGGCGCTGACCTCGCTCAGGGAGATGCCGCCGATTTTGCCGCTCTTGACGTACTCGTCAATCGTGGCCAACGTGTCCTCCTCGTAGTCGACCTTGGGATCCTTTCGGCCAACCTCAAACTGAGCGATGCGGCCCTGCGGACCAAGCATTCGCAATACATTGTCGATGCTCTTGGCCACATCCTTCTTGGAGCCTGCGGGGCTCATGTCTGGGCCCAAGCCGCCCTTGACGTTGAGGACGATGCGGTCGGCGTCCGCCGGATTCGCGGCCAGGTATCGGTTCAGCAATGTGAGAGAGTTTTCCTCTGGGGTGCCGTAGAACTCGCCACCGTTAAAGTAATTGCAGCCAGACTCGAGGGCGGCTTTGATGGCCGCGAACCGTTGCTCGTCGGTCTGAGCACCGCCGGTCGTCAGCCCTGTACCGAGTTAGACGAGGCTGGGATTCGTGTCTATGGATGGCATTGCCTACCCATAAGCCCATAGCCGATAGGGCCAACCTGCTTGCCAGTAACTTGGACGGTCATGATGCAAACGTGTCTGTGATTGTAGTTTGGGAGTGTGTTTGGATTGCATGTAGTCTGGTCATGAGAGGGCCAGTTTATATACTCATCCGGATGCCCTTGGGTTCTGGCTCCAGCAAGGAGCACGCCACCGCTCAACGCATCATCAATCGAGACGCATTCTTCCAATTTCCGACATCATCGACTCGACTGTAGATGTCTGCCAGGTCTTAGAGCCCGGGGTTGGCGTGTCGCGCTTTGAGCACTCTTAACTCCGGGCCACTGAGCATGGAGAGTCCACCAGCCGCCATCGGGACCGACAAAGTGGGGCGCCGGCAGTAACGGCGGTCGGGTCCACGGGCTTGCCTCCGGCAACGCGCTTACCATGCCGCGATGGCGCGGCTTGTCGCAACAGGTTCAATGCAGGTCTTGTTCCGTTTGATCTGGCACTGCAAAGTTGCCATTGTCGATGTAGCTCGTTGACCTGGTAAGACCATTGCCCATCGCGGCGCGGTGCCCGCCCCGGAGGCTCGGACTTAGCAATTGCCAGGCACCGGCTGAGTAGGCAAAGTTTAGGCGGGCGAAACGCACTATGCTCGGTTGCCCGAAACGGACGCTCGACGCCACTGGCACGCGCCGTGCTCGGTTACCCAAAATGGACTGGTGGCAGAAGACGCACGTCGCTCTCCACGTTCAAGTTGACGTGGCCCGGGGTTGGACAGACAGGCGTACCGCTCAACTACCCCGAAGAATCGGCTTCCCGGCATTCGCAGCGCCCGAACATCGTACTGCATCTTTGCCCGGCCGATACTTCGCGCCCGTTCCTATGTCCGGGTGATGTGTCCTCCAGCTCATACGGCGGAGACAACCATGCGACGCACCACCATGGACTGGGTCAAGCACTGTTGCCGAAGAATTTGGTAATCTTCTGAGATCCCGGCGCCTTTGACTTGACCGGACTCTTCCGCTCGTTTTGCGTAGCGCTGATTTTCTTTCTCTCCGTGGCCATCTTTTTGGCGGGCGGACTGCCTCCAGACGGAACAGCCTTGCGCTTCTCTGCCGGGCTCGATTCCGGTGCCTCTTCCTTGACTGCTGTAAAGGGGCCTTGCTTCTCGGCCTCCGCCTTGGCCTCCTTTGCCGGGGCGGCCGCCTTGCTGGCCTTTCCGCCCTTTTGCTGGGCGTTGGCAAAGAAGTTTGCAATGTTGGATTTGTTCTCCTTGCTGTTTAGGGGGATGATGAAGGACGGCGAGTTGTTGCCCACTTTGCCGACGTCCTTGCTCACAGGGTACACTTCGAGCTCTCCATCGAAAGGCTTGAGCAGCGACTGCAGCTGGCGATCCCAGTCGTGCTTGCTAGGGTCGAGCCACTGCTTGATCTTGTCAGAACCCGGGTCGAACATGACGGGCATGCGGTCGTGCAGGAACTTGAGCTGCTTGTTTGAGTCCGTGGTGATGATGGTGTATGTGTAGAGTTTTTCATCAGAGCCTAGGCAGCATTAGCAGCGGTGCAGAGGGTAAGTGAGCACACGGCGGCGCACCCTCGTACTGGACACAGTCCCATAGCCCGGCAAAACACATGAGGTGGCCGTCCTTGCGCTTCACGAAGTGTGGCAACTTGTCCTTGGGACCGGTCTTGAGCCACTCGAAAAAGCCCTGCGCGATGACGATGCAGCGTTTCCGGGCCTTCATGCTGGCCCACATGCCACCGGGGGTGCTGAGGGAGTCGTCGCGGCAGTTGATGGTGCGCATCATGGTCGAGTAGTCTGGGTTCCGCTTGGTCCAGAAGGGAATGAGGCCCCATTTCATCGACTGGAGCTTGTACTGGACATGGCCGGCTGGTGCTGCGTCGAGCGCATCCTTGTCCTTTTCGGCAGACTCCGGGGCGTCTTCGGCTCCGGCATGGGAGCGGGGACCGGGACCGGTGCCCCAGTCCGGCGTGTCTGCGCGATAGACGATGCCGTGGTAACCGGGGGCGAAGTTGTACGATTGTCTAGGTGCACCAGCACTGTCGTCATCCGGCGCATAGGCCACGGGCATGTCATCGTCCTCCAGCATCTGCCTCACCTGTGAGGGGCGCTGCGGTGGGGACATGTCAGCACAGTGAATAGCTTCAAGCCGTGGTTCACCGGGAGCACGCAACACGGCTTGACGTACCAGGGCCAGGGCGTATCGTCCACACATGTTGAGAACTTCAGCCTAGAGTCGCCTTTGCTGTGAAACTGCCAATTGCCACCAATGTGTGGGTGGAATGGAAGTGGGAGATGCAGCTTGCGGCTGAACGATTCACGCGCCTGGGCAGGCGGCAATGCTGGCGCGCAGTCACGTGGCGACGGGTGATGGCAATTTAACCAGCACAGTGCCAGCATCCAAGTACCTCCCCTTGTCCCGCTCACTTCCAGGTCCGTACTCTGATTCCAAACGTCCTCAAGCCCTTCTCTGATTCAAAGACCAACATCCCTACAAAACGTGCCTCACAATGTGCCGTTCCCCTTCTTCACACCGAAATGCCAAACGGGAAGTGGCTGCCGCTGCCGCTGGGCTGTGCTGACTGGTGAGTGCCTCGCGGATCCGCTTCCCGTCGTTCAGCACTCAAAGCCGACGACTTGCAGGGTCTAGCGCCCGTTGACGGTGCGGTGCTAGGCCATAGTTGCAAGGCAGCCCGAGCACGGCCGCGTGTCCAACGGTCCAACCCAAACGACTCGCCGAGCAGCCTCAGCTAGGGGCCAAGGAACGGCTCCTCCACCACGTCACAGCCTGCTAATTCGCTTGAAGGTGTGCCAATACCACGTCGCGCTTTTCAAGACGCAACTCGAAAGCTGGGAAAGTCATCATTCCGTCCGACCCCATAGCGCTTGATCAAGTCCACGAACTCGAGGCCATCGCCGCTATTAGATGTCCATCAACGCTTTCGACCGGCCGCGGGCACGGAAGCCCTTTTATACCTTGCCGTATTTCTCGTATCGCCGTACTAGCTCAGGCTGGCGACCTGCCGGAAGGGTTGCATCGAGCTCAGCCCTGCAGCGAAACTAAACATGCGCCACGATCGTTGACCCAGGCACTTTCAACGGCCCCCACACGATCCCTGAGCCCTGCCTTCAGGCCTAGGCCCTCTGACCCTGATCCAGGAGTTCAGGGCCGCGCACGCTTGGCTATAAGAGCTAGCCTGCCCATTACGAAGCATCATCTTACACCGCTGAAGGCGAGCCGCATCATGTGCGTCCGACGGCGCCTAAGCCTGGCGTGCTGCTCGCAGTGAATTTTCGTTTCTATCGCGACACTGGCGTATACGCGGCGCTGGCGCACCCGACATCGACATCAAGCTGGCTTACAGCGCCTGAACGATCATGACCGACTTCACGCACACGTTCGCTACATTTCACCACTGCGTCGTCTGCGGCTCCGAAATTTCTCTCACGTACGCTACCCGCCCGACCGAGTCGTGGAAGGCCTACGCCCAGCCGCTGCAGCACCCCTCACCGTCCGCCCCGCGAGTCCCCCAGGCGCTCGTCCCGCCGGGTCTCTGCTCGCACACATTCGAGGGCGAGGAGGCGCGCCTCGTGCACGCCGCGTGCTGGGATGTCGTCGCGCGACTCTGGGGCAAGACGGAATTCACCCTCGCAGAACTCGATGGCTTCCTCGACTGCGCGCGCGACGCGAGCCCCTTTTTGCCCGAGATCCGCTTCCGTGAAGCGCCCGACCGCTTTGACGTGACTGTCGACCACACTCTCGACGCTGAGGACCTCGAGCATCGGACGAGCAGTGCCGAGACGGACGCCCAAAGGCGCTTCGAGGAGCTCTGTGCGGGCCTCAAGGATGAGGGTATCAAAAGCCCCGTCCTGCTCGCCGGGTTGCGACGCTACCCTCTCCCGGAGCGCTTCCATGCATTCGTCTCGACCACGCTGCAGAATCCGTCAGAAGCGACGAACAATGAGAACCCGGCGCTGAGGTTCTGGGCAAAGGTCATAGGCCTACTCACGTCGGTGTCCGCCGGGCCGGACTCGCCCTTTGCCCAAGCAGACAGCCCCAGCCGTGTGGACCGCGTCGCGCAAGCGCTGCGCAACATCCGACGCGGCGGGCCTTCGCGATTTCCGCACACTGCGAACCACGACGTCGTGCGCGCCAACGCCTCGTCCATCCTACTCACGTTGCTACTCATTCCCGTCGAGGACATCTTCGAGGCGGACCCGCTGGACGGTAAACGCCCAAAGCTACAGCGGCCGCGGCCCGAGCCCCTGGCATCGTTACGCCCCGGATGGCCGTTCCGCCTCAGCTTCCTCACGGTTCGGCGCGAATACTATGTGGACAACATGAACTTTGGGCGGCGCTTCCGTGTCGGCATGAAGTACCTTCGCACCATCGACTTTCGATTCCACGACGAGCCGCCGCAGCCGGAGCAGTCACTAGCTGGGTATGTGGTGCCCGCGGTACGCAGTCTGTGCGGGATGCAGCTGGTGAGAGATAGCATCGGCGTCTTTGCGGTCCACGCCAAAGACGGCAACGACTGGTACACGGTTTGGCAACAAGACCCGACCATCAAGATCACACCGCACATGGCCGCGGTGCCGACGTCTGCGCAGTGGCCCGCGGGGATGGAAAAGGGCGATCTGCTTCTTGTGTCTGATGTAAGTCTGGTTCTCCGAGTCGTCACTAGGCGTATTCGAGAAGTACCACTGGCTGACTTTGCGCAGACTCTCAAGGACATTGCGGTGTTTGACCAGTTCTCACAGTACCTGCGCGACTCGGGCGTATCATGTTGAGCGACAGAGCCTTTCAAATTTATCTCGATCCGGTCGGCCTCCTTTATGATTCAAGGCTGTGGTCTGGCCCGGTGCAGCAAGCGAGCGAGGAGTATCTGGGGCTTGTTCCTCCCTTTGGCATTCCTTACAATAGCGTCCATCAACTTGGACTGAAATACTTTTTGAAAGTCTCGGGCTGTCGGTGGCTACCATGTGCCATCGCGTGATGCTAGCTGCGTGAAGCCCACATATCAGCCGTCCTGTTCATACGTAGATGAAAGCGGGCTCACGTCAGGAGCGCTCTCTACATAGTTTACACAATGGCACAATGTTGTGTCAGAGAGCCTTTATACGTCGTTTTTCATCGCCAACAGTTGTCAGTCAAGCAAAGTCGTTGCAACAGCAGTGCCGGTCTCCAGTGGCCCGTCCAGTGGACGCCACCAACGGGCACCAGCTTGGTGGTGGGGACTACTAGCCTGCGCCAATACGGGTTGACGGCCACGGGCCCAGACCAGGAACGGGCCATTCGCCGCGACGGCGTGGCTTATCGATAAGATAAAATTTGTGCCACCGCCAAATTTTGCCATCACGCCCACTGCCCGCCGCCCACCGCCTTGGACCGCCTCTTCCAGCGGCAACAGCCAGCACTTTGTCGTCTGTCTTTTCCCTGTGCCAGACAAGACGCCTGCATTTTCCGACGCAATGGCTGCCACGAAGCACTCCCTTGCCGACAGCGAGGTCGCCGTCCGGCCCTCCAAGAAGACCAAGGTCGAGAACGGCGACAATGCCGACAAGGCGCAGCTGAAGAAGGAGAAGAAGGACAAGAAGAAGGAAAAGAAGGACAAGAAGCGCAAGGTCGAGGAGGAGTCTGAGCCTGCGGCCAGCGGCGACAGCAACGGCAACAGCGCCGACGAGGAGGCGCTGCGCAAGGCGGAGAAGAAGGCCAGGAAGGAGAAGAAGCGGGAGAAGAAGGAGAAGAAGCTGCAGGCCCAAGAGGAGGGGGCCTCCGACTCCCAGGACGTCGCCATGGCCGATGCGAATGGTGCCGACGAGGCGCCCGTCGAGGATAAGAAAAAGTCCAAAAAGGACAAGAAGAGCAAGACCAAGCCCGCCGCAGCGGCCGGCAACAGCGGCGCCTACGTCCAGACCATGAGCCTCTCGAGCGTCCCCCAGGCCGACATCGACGCCTTCCTCGCCGAGCACCAAATTACCATTACCGACCCCCGCAACAAGGACGCGCCGCTCCGACCCGTCACCGAGTTCGACCACCTGCCGTCGACGAACCTGCTCGAGAAGAAGCCCTCGCCGTTTGCCAAGTTCAAGGCCCCGACACCCATCCAGGCCGCGTCCTGGCCGTCGACGCTGAGCGGCCGCGACGTCGTCGGCGTCGCCGAGACCGGCTCCGGCAAGACCATGGCGTTTGCGCTCCCCTGCGTCGAGGCCGTCTCCGCCATGGGCACCCGCGGCACCAAGGCCGTCATCGTCTCGCCCACGCGCGAGCTCGCCATGCAGACGCACGAGCAGCTCGCCAGCCTCGCCGCCCTCGCCAAGCTCAAGTGCGTGTGCCTGTACGGCGGCGCCTCCAAGGACGACCAGCGCAACCTGCTCGGCCGCGGCTGCGACATCATCGTCGCCACGCCCGGCCGCCTCAAGGACTTCATGTCCGACGGGACGGTGGACCTCAGCGGCGCTGCGTTCGTCGTGCTCGACGAGGCGGACCGCATGCTCGACAAGGGCTTCGAGGAGGACATTAAGCAGATCCTGGGCGCGTGCCCCGCGCGCGAGAGCCGCCAGACGCTCATGTTTACGGCGACGTGGCCGCAGTCGGTGCAGGCGCTGGCTTCGACCTTTATGGTGGAGCCCGTCAAGGTGACCATCGGCTCCGGCGGCAAGGAGACTGAGAACGGCTCTGTCGAGCTGCAGGCCAACATGCGCATCACGCAGCGCGTCGAGGTCGTCGACGGCCGTGACAAGGAGTTCCGCCTGCTGCAGATTCTCAAGCAGCACCAGCAGGGCAAGGCCAAGAACGACCGCATCCTCGTCTTCTGCCTGTACAAGAAGGAGGCCACGCGCGTCGAGGGCTTCCTCGCCCGCAAGGGTGTCCGCGTCGGCGGCATCCACGGCGATCTGAGACAGGAGCAGCGCACGCGCAGCCTGGAGGCGTTCAAGACGGGCCAGACGCCTGTTCTTGTGGCGACGGACGTTGCCGCCCGTGGCCTGGATATTCCCGAGGTGAAGCTGGTCATCAACGTCACCGTAAGTTGCAGCTCCGAAACCATGGTCGTTTCGTATCACTAACACCCCCAGTTCCCCCTGACCATCGAGGACTATGTCCACCGCATTGGACGAACGGGCCGTGCCGGCAACACGGGCGAGGCCATCACCCTCTTCACCGCGCAGGACAAGGCGCACTCTGGATCGTAAGTCTTGCCGTCCTCCGCAGTGATGCAACAGCACGCTAACCAACGCAGACTCGTCAACATCCTCAAGGGCGCCAACCAAGAAGTTCCCGAGGACCTGCTCAAGTTTGGCACCACGGTCAAGAAGAAGACGCACGACATGTACGGCTCCTTCTTCAAGGACGTCGACATGAACCAAAAGGCGACCAAGATTACGTTCGACTAGACGGCGTGGCTTTATTACGGTATTTGCGTGTTGTTTATTTACATGTCTATATGGCGTTACGGCATCATTGTTTGGCGGCTCGCCGGCCGCGAGCGGCACGGGCACACTCGAGCAGGAATGTGCGCTCAAAGAAGAGTCTGCGATTGTCAGTACATCAAAACGGAGATGGAGTCGGGTCCGTACATCAATAGAAGCAACGGCGCTGCTGTGCCCGCGACCTTAACCAATGTCTTTACGGGCTCTGTTTCTGCCGTGTCGAGGACGTGAAGTTGGTGGAGGAGCGCAAAAGTCGCGAGTGATGTCGTCACCGTAGCCGTGGGTATCAGCTCTGCCACAGCAAAGTCCGTGTTGTGCGCCGCGAAGAAGGACTTGATGAAGGCGACGCTCCACACGATGCGACAGAGCATGTTGACCGAGTTGGCGAGCACCAGGCCCTGCGCTCCAAGTGGGAGCACCCGCATGAAGAGGAACGCCGACGCTGCGAACGCGACGGAAAAGGCGCCCATCCACACAGATTGACGGTGCACCTGGCCCTCGGACGCGACGGACGCGACAAACGACTCGGACAGGCCGTTGAGAGCGAGAAATGGGATGTAGAAGCAGTACGCGCCGAGCACGTCCCCCGCGCCAACGCCCGTCCAACGTCTGCCCGCCACGATGGCGAGGAGCGACGGCGCGGCAAAGGGGCCGACAGCGACCACGACGGCAGAGAGCAAGATGTACAGGCGCATAAGCGTGCTCAGGCTGCGTTTCGCTTCCTGGACCTCCGGGCTGGGCTTCTTCTCGGCAGGTCGCTGGACGGACTGATCAGAGAGAAGGCGCGAGAAGTAGCTCCGACTGCTCTCTTCGACGGGCTGGAAGAGAAGGCGCGCGATGAGTCCGCCGTAATTGTTGGCGAGGGCATACACGCCCTGGACCTGGGGCGTGGAGAGGAGCGAGACGAGAAAAGTGTCGCCCTGGGTGAGGAGGTGCTTGACGACGCTCTGGGCCATCATGCTGCCCGCAAGTGACATGGTCGGTCTGTAAAAGTACGAGCACAGGAATTCACCCTTCGTCCCATCGCCGCCCTGCTTCCGTTGACCAGCCGGCACGGCAACCGGCCGAGGTAGGAGAGAGAAGCCAAGCGACGACGCGAGACCCTGCCCAGCAACGAGATACACCAGCAGCAACGCAGCCCCATACGCAAGCTGACCAAGCGCAAACGGCAAGACGCCCAAGTCGACGCCCCTCCGCGTCGCGAACAGCGCGGAGCCGAACACGACGAAGCAACGGATAAACGTGGCGGCGGACTCGGCGGCGGCGCGGGTGCCGAAGCGAAGCCGCGTCTGCATGAGCACGAAGCACGGCTCCGAGAGCAGCTCCACGACCGCGGCGATGCCGTAGAGGCGCAGGCTGCGTGCTAGGAAGGGCGTCGCGAGGGTCGCGGCGGGGGCGTAGGCGAGGTACGTCCAGCCGAGGGCGACGGCGGCGACGAGGCCGAGGAGGATGGCGAGGTAGCCGAGGTTGACGACGGCTTGGGCGTCGCGACGCTCCGTGTCCGAGTCGGATGGTGTCGCTGCATCCTGCTGTCTGCTGGCCTTGCTGTTGTCTTTGGTGCCAGTGGCCGCGCCATCAGTGGCTGCGGGGGAGGTCTTTGGCGCAGTGGCAGTGGCGGTGGTGGCCTGGCGCTGGATGGCGACGCGCAGACTCTCGCGGGCGAAGAAGAGGACGGAGAGGTAGTAGACCTCGAGCTGCGTGGCGAGGCCGAGGAGCGGCGCGGTGAGGAAGCGCAGGAGCAGCTGGTTGGCGAGAAAGGTGGCGAGGCGGGAGAGGAGCTGCAGGAGGATGAGGAGGGAGGCGCCGCGGACCATGGAGGCCTGGGGCGCCATGGTAAGGGATGGGGATGCGGGGTGCGAGGGGGAGGGGAGAGGTGGTGGTGTGAGGTGAGGTGAGGCGGTGGTGATGGTGTTGATGAGGTGGCCGTTGACGACCACTAATCGGAATGGGTGGGCTGCAATGGAGTTGCTGCTGAGTGGCTCCACCCGGGGCAGTGCGAACCGCTGCCCTGTTCCGTCCGTCGGGGGCTGGAGGGCCGCCGCTGTAGCGAGCGGGTACCTGAATTAGCGCCCGACTCCCCTGCTAGGATGCTCAAAGGTCAAGGCTGGGTGCCTCCGTCTCCATAGCCTCACTCATGGAACTTGGACTTCTCAAGACACAGCCTAGGAAGACCAAGGATTCTGAACGACGAGCATTTTGTGATAGTACCGAACTCAAGTTGATCCCGGACCGATTACTCTACCGGTCGACTCACACGCTACTCCTCAACTCCCACCATCACAACCTCTCTCAGCCCTCGCACCTCAGCGATCAATACGTCGTCAGCGACGGGCTCCCCTTCGCCGCCGGCAGCGAGAAGCGCGTCTCGACAAACACCTTCTGCATCCCGTCCTCCCTCTTCTCAAACTTGTAGTACACCTTGTCCAGGTCCTCGAGCCGCACGCGGTGCGACACCATCTGCAGCGGGTCCAGCTCGCCGCGCCGGATCATCTCCAGCAGCTCCTCCCAGTACTTGTGCACGGGCGCCTGGCCGTTGCCGATGAGCCGGATGCCGCGCTGCATCAGCGAGCCGACGTTGAAGTGGTTGGTCTGGGGCCTGTGTTAGTCACTGCATTGTCTCGTCTCATGGCAGACTGCCGCTGGGATGAGTCGAGGTGGTAAGTGGAAGGACTCACGTAGCCGACGTAGATGCCTGTGACGCCGCAGCGCCCGTAGTTGCGCACGCCCTCGACCATCTCGTTGATGATCTCGCTCGTGTCCGTCTCGGCGCCCGTGGCCATCTCCAGCCAGTGCATCCAGCCCTTGGCGTATTCGCCCGCCGCGCACTCGAGCGCTGCGTCGGGGCCGCGGCCGCCGCACAGCTCCTTGAGCCGGCTGACGACCGTCTCGGCCGACGTCACGCCGTGGGACAGCTTCTTAAAGTCAACCAGCTCCATCTTGTCTTGGTGCTGCGTTGGGAAGTGCTCTTTGATAAAGGATAGGCGGGGCTCCGTGTCGACGAATATGACCTTGGAGGCACCCTCCTGGAGGGCAAAGACGCCGCACATTTGCCCAATCGGTCCGGCGCCGAAGATGGCCACCTCGTCGCCGGGGTACACGGCCGTGTCCTTGACGCAGTTGTATGAAGTCGCCAGCACGTCGGAAAGGTAGAGGGCTGGCAGGTGTCAGTTGGCTCGGGATAGTCACATGCAGGGCTGGCCAGACTTACCCTTCTCATCAGGCACATCGTCCGGAATCTCAAGCAAGTTCACGTCCCCCAGCGGCACACGCACGTACTCTGCCTGTCCGCCGGCGAAACCGCCCGTAAAGTGCGCATACCCAAACATGCCCGCCGTCCGACCGCCGTACATCGCCCGCTCCGTGGTGTTGGAATTTGTCTTTTCGCACTGCGACGACAGCTTCTGCTTGCAGAAGAAGCAGTCTCCGCACGCAATCTGGAACGACGCGACGTAGCGCTTGCCGACTTTGATCTTGTCTTTGTTGACGCCCAAGCCGACCTCGTCGACGATGCCGCAAAACTCGTGGCCCAGGATGTCGCCCTTGGACATTTGTATGACGGCTCCGTGCAGGAGGTGTAGGTCGGAGCCGCAGACGGTGGAGCCGGTGACTTTGAGGATGACATCGCGGTCTTCGAGGATCTTGGGTCGAGGCACGTCGACTGTAAAGCGTCAGCTGGCGCGTGAATGAAGGGTGTGTCCTGCGTACGCACCCATCTCGACCTTGTTCTTTCCCTGCCAGACGAGAGCCTTCATCGTCTGGCCCGCCTTGCCGGTCTCTGAGTAGTCAGCCACATCCTGCTGCGTGACGGCATTGTCGCCGTGGCCGATGGCCTTTTCCGCCGCGTATGCTGCTTGTGCTGCCATTGTGGTACCGTGAATAGTAGGTATTTACTTTACTATTCTATTCCCTCTGCATTCTCTATGCGCCTCAGATGAGTCTTATAGCACGTTGTACCGCTAGCTTGCCTGACGAGGTTATGACGAGTACACGCTGAGATCGGGCATCGGCGTTGCAATCAGCACGACGTCATTGACTCGGACGGTTTGCTCCGCGCAACAACGGGCCGCCCGCCAGCCGCCTAGCAACGACATTTCATCGTCTACTGCAATTAAAGCCGGGAAACGCCGGCTATACGGCAGCCACCCTTCTTCTCTTCTTATGGGTGTTTTGGACATGGCCAAGGAGGTCGGACCGGGAGACGGTGGCAGGCTCCACTTTTCCGGCCCTGAGCGCACCGGAGGCCGACCACGCGGGGCCGGCGCCGCGGCGTGGCCATCAAGGTCAGATGCGAGAGCGGTTGACTGTGATTGCGGGCCTCGTGTTCACACGCTGGGTGCTAACTTAAGTGACATTTTCGCTACGCATTGAGGTCCTTTCCTGTGGATGAATTTGCAAAGTAGGTCGGCGGTTGCAATTAATGCACCATTGTCACGGACAAGCCACCTCAGGAGCCCGTCCACTCGACCTCAATAAACCACATGCGCGAGTTCTCCGGCTTCCATATCTTGTTAAACTGGAATCGCTCGTCCGCACGACGAAACAACTGCCGCCAATCGTCCGGCTCCCTCTCCCGCGCATTGACCGTCACCTGCATGAACAGGTCAAGCGTCCGCATCGTCCGTTCCTCGATGTACCCCGCTGTCCCTGGCTCGGGCAGGGCGCCGTCGTTGATTATGATCTTGGCACCGGGCCGCAGCGCGGGTATGAGCGCTTGAAGGATCTTCACGCAGTACTTGTCTGCGAAGCCGTGGAAGATCATGCGAAAGAAGTACGCCTCCGCCACGACGGGCTGTGTCGTGAAGAAGTCGTGCGTCGTGAGCTGGATCCTGGACTGCAGCGCGTCAGGTACCTTGCCAGTTGTCTCGTCGGTGCGCATTCCAGCCGTGTCCTGTACGATGAACCGCAGATCTGGAAACGCCTCGGCAATGGCAAAAGAAACGTAGCCTTGGTTTCCGCCCATCTGCATCCGGCATTAGCGACAGATATCCTGCGGTGTTCCATGGCGACACCTACATCAACAACAGTTGCGCCCTTTGGCAAGTCACCCCATGGATATCCCTCTACCGTAGCTGCCAGCGAGTACCCTTCGCCCCCACCGTGCGCTTGCATGGCGAGATTGTATCTCTTGGCGAAGTCCTCGTCCTGCTGCAGGTAGTCAAACCACGGAAGGGACTGGTTATAGGCCAAGTTGACACCAGTCTCGGTGGACTCCTCGCTACCGGGCCACTTCTTCATCGCGCCGACGACGTTGGCGATGGGCAGCCACAGGTCATTGCACATGAAGCCGACCCAGTTGCTCAGGGGTGCATCTTCGAGCACCAGCCGTGACATGCGCGTGTGCGCCACGCGACCCTTTTCGGGCTCGATGAAGATGCGGTTGGTTATGGCATGTCGGATGAGACGACGCAGGTTCAGCATGGGAATGTCAAAGCCGTTGAGCTCGGAAACCTTGGCTGCTAAATCCTCGTATGTGATTGTGCCATCTAACGGGACTGCCTGTGGGATCTTAAAGTCCCAAATCGCTTGAAGCGATAGGTTGTTGACGCACTACACGGCGAGTCTCCAATCAGTTCGGCTGCTTCGCACTGCACATGTGAGTTCACAGTGATGCACCTACATCCCAGGCCAAGTACCGCAGACCTTCCTTGGGGCCGACGGAGATGTCATGGAGCTCCTTGGTGAGCGATATCAACTCCAGTCGGGCCTGATACGGCTCCTCGTCCTTTGGAGATATGGGGAACTCGGCGAGCCCATTGACATCAAAGGAGGCAGCTTCCAGACCATTTCTGGAGAGGTAGTCGGTAATGATCTTGGTCTTCTCGGTAATTTCGTGCGCGAGCGTCGCCATTCGCTCCACAGATGCCGTAGGCGCCATGATCACGGTCGTTTGTTGTGAAAGAGCTTGAGTATACAATGACCCCGCGGTTGCTCGACCCCTCATACGATGTGCTGGCCAGGCTGGACCTTGCCTCCTTTTGTGATAGTGATGCACGACGACCAGGGTCCCTGAACTTCTGTTGCAGGGATGGCAGCCGGGACCGCTGGCGTGCAGTGTACTGGGGGCGGTACAGGTCGGCCAGGCCGGCGCGCAGTGTAAGATTCGCTTGGCCCTCATGGGCCCCATTTGACGACCAATGATGGCCAGAAACTCGTGGCACAATGGGTAAGACTTTACTTGTTCACGTCGGCTCTTCCCTTATTGCCAGAGGCCCAGGGCAAGTTCTGTCATCTGACTACTTTGTAGCGCCCGCGTGTTGTTGCCGATGCGCCTCGACCTGGTTGAAGATTGTGGCTTCTCAGTGACCAACTGAAGCGGCAGCGCACCTGGTCGGCAAGTGAGATGCGCCGCATCAGTAACGTAATCGCCCGGGTTCAATGCACAGAACGAAAAGCGCCGCTCGACGGCAGTGACAGCAACAGTAACACGGCCGGAAAATCTTCCTCTCAGAAGCCATTACAAGTTGTCAATTTTCATCTCCATAGCGTAATTGCAAGATCCACTTCATGTTTTGCATTCGAATTCTCCACGGTGAAGCGGAAACGCACGGCTTGCACGTTGATCTTGAGACCTTCTTGACAATGCACGTGTTGCCTCGTGGGGAAATTTCGTGTACGTAACTCGCCACCATTCGCGTCAGGCTCAGTATATATATCTTGCCGCCGACTTCTCATCCATGACAATTTTCCTCACTCATGACTGCTCGTTACAGGCATCGGTACAATCTAGGCCGAGACAGGAGATCTACGACTGTCGGTCTGAACACGATGCATAAACTCTGTCTCTTCGGCCTGTTCTCGGTTGGTTCCTCAGCAGTGCTGCGACGAGCTGCTACTCTTGATGAGCTTGCCGCTGCAAATTTGAATTGTAACCTGGAGAATTCTCTCAGGCTCGGGGTAAGTCTTCTCGCCAACTGTGTACATTCTATATTCTATCAAGCTTACGACTCCAAGAAACTTGAGGGTTGTGGTTGTTTGGTCGAGTGGAAGGATTGGCAAGTGAAAGATGGGTCGATACTCTACCGAACCTATGAGAAGAGATTTGAATGCACGGAAGGTTTGAAAATGAACGTGAGTTCTCATCTTTTGCGATTCGGCTGAGTCCATTGATGTATGCTAACACCTGAGCTTAGTTGCGCAGCGGAACTTGCATGGTTCGTTCAATTGGGCCTCCCCACAGCAATAGCTTCGCGTTGAATAGCCTGTATAACGTCTTTTGTTCTTGAAGGCCGGTGAACAACTCAGCCGGCTCAGTGGAATGTTTGTCGCGAGTCAAGTGCAAGGAGGAAGACATGGGATCAAGTTGTGACGTTCTTAGACACTGGTTCAATATCGCGAGATCACGAGAGTATGCTACAGGGTTACTGCGAACTGACACTCATGAAGTGCCAGATAATGATTGCGGTTTGTGATTTGCACTCCTCGCATGGCTTCGATTGGTTCGAGTCCGAGGTACCTCTTTATAATCAGTCCATTGGGGATATTTCAGCTGCGCACCCGCGATGTGCTGGCTCCGGGGACGGCACGGCCTCCCAACTCCTTGCAACACGTCATGGCGTATCAGTGTCCGCGCAGACGCGTCGTCACTTGACGAGAGCTGTAATCCCAAGCAAGTCAGATGACGAACTGGTTCAAGCTTCCTTCGCTCACTGGGACCATTGCCATTTATACACTTCAAAGTATTCAGTTTCACGTCGCTTGCGTAGTGGTTAGTTTCGGCCCAGGTTTCAGCTGTGACTTTCTGTGACTGGGCGGACGCACGGCTTGCAGGTTGGTCTCGAGACAGGGAACCGGTCTTGCCCCACGGAAGGTATTCCGGGCAGACAGTCAGTGCGTCGACTCCCGCAGACCGATATAACCGCTACAGATTCTCGATTCAATTCCTCACACGCAGTAATGACGCAGTCATAATCGCAACTCTCGAGTCTCCAACGCGAAATACAATGTACAAACTGCTTCTGTGTGTCTTGTTCTCGCTCGGCGCGGCGCAACACGTGCAGCAAAATGATGGGCCGACGACAGAGGAGCAGCAGCATGCGACTAGAATGTGCAACCTGGACAACTCGTTGCGGCCCGGGGTAAGTGCTTCGTTTTTCTCGGGCCAGACGTTTCGCAATGCTAACAGCGTAGAAGGTCTGCGCTGACATGGACCGTAGGGGGGGTTGCATAGTCCAATGGAAGACTTGGGACGTGGTCGATGGGCGTATTTCCTATCGGACCTATGGCAAGAAGTTCGCCTGCTCTCTTCCCATGAACCTGCTTGAAGCACGACCGGTATTTTCCCGTGATTCACGTTGCGCCTTCATGCGCTAACAACACGGGGCAGCGCGGATATTGTCCTAGCGGAACCTGCATACTTCGTGCAATCCGGAGCCCGAGCACCGCTGACTGCGTGGTCGAGAATCCGGGCTACTTCTATGTCGATTGCTCTCTTTAACCCCAGAAACAGCGTACCCAGATGAGTGAGGTACAACCTCGGACGCGGGCGGGGTGGCAGCGAACACTTTGTTAGCGAACCTGCGCTTGTCAAGGAGTTTAGCTTGTCTTGCGGCATATCAACGGGTCAAAAGGCCATGCACCTGTGCGCTGCGTTGCGGTTAGGTGCCAGATCGCTGTCATAGAATGACTTGTATTCTCAAAACCTCTACGCCTGACGCGCAAGGGCCTTTGCTGCAAAGGGGGATCGTGCGGTGACTTTTGCAATCATCATGAGCTTCATGAACAGCACGGCGTGCCAAGCCCCTCCACGGAATACAACATTGTGGCGTCTGTCTGGTAACCAAGAGCATACGTTCAGTGTGATCGCTAATGCAAGGTCAGCCATGTCCGAAGCTACGTTTGGAGGACTACAGACCGGTTCGGGTCCAGTATGCCGGCAACTACATGAATTGTCCGTAAACCGCCCTCGTCACCTCAAGTGATGGTTAAGGAATGAGTCAATCATTGCCTAGAAAGCCCGAGGTTTCGATGTTCCGCCGAGACTCGCCACAACACACGCCTCTGGCCCCGGACAGAATCCGGCTCTCACGACAAGCGGGCGGCCATTTGCGCTCGGAAGATATTTTCGCGTAGAACGACTGGTAATGATAGGATCAGCGCTGTTCGTGAAACCACTGTCATTCAGCTCTGGGTTGCGCCACGTCAAACAGAGGCCGCGGTCGAGCCGGCACAGATGCTTGCTAGTTGAAACACGACTCGGCAGTCGGTGCCCTGCGGAGTGTTTGCGGGGGACTGGGGTATTGCGGCAACTCGTGTCCAGCGGCTTTTCACAACTCCGTGATCCCGGACTATCGGACTCAACTCCTCAGGCGTGAGCTTCCCTCTGTCTTCAACATAGCCAGGTAAAGGACTTGCTCGCCAGGTAGCACAGGTGGCGTCCCGAGAAATTAACCCGCGCCTATGCTCCTTCGACGGCGCGTCTCTCCCCTCTCCCACTGGTGCGAATCGGTTTTCGCGAAACGCCGGCGCGTGGCGACCCCGACCGGCCGACAATGTGCGTTCGCGGCCTAGTGCTGGTGATCGATGTCACCCTCGCCGCAGCCCCGCGTTGTTTGGCTTCGGCCCGATGCGGCGGCGGTTCCTGCAGAGGTTCCCGAATAAAACACCCGGGCGAGACTATGCTACGCGCGATCCTTCGCGCGGGAGATGCGACTTTGCCCTTCCCCACGTGGGCGGCAGAGGGCGGCAGAGGGCGGCAGAGTGCGGCGGAGGCGCACGGGATGGCAGTATAAAGAAGCGAGGGACGACCCCATGGGGTTGAGGTGTTCGAGCAGGTCTCTCCTGATTCGGAGTTCAATCTAGTTCTTGAAGAAGCCAGCTCTGGTTGTCGACATGTTTTCTCTTTCTACGGCTCTCCGCCACGTCGGGGTGGGATGGCTATGCGCTGCCGCCCTGTCCGCCGTGGCAAGCGGCTCCCCTGTGCACGACACGTCTCTGGCCACACGCGCGGCCGCCGCCGACCGCCTCGTGTTCTGCCACTTCATGGTACAACCCCAAGATCCTTTTGGTTGCACTCTTCAGACTGTACTTACACTATGTATGTAGATTGGCATCGTGGGCGACCGCACAAGCCCAAACGACTACGACGACGACATGAAGCGTGCCAAGGCCGCCGGCATCGACGCCTTTGCGCTCAACATCGGCGTCGACGGCTACACGGACCAGCAGCTGGGATACGCATACGACTCGGCCGCCAAGAACGGCATGAAGGTCTTCATCTCGTTCGACTTCAACTGGTGGAGCCCCGGCAACGCGGGCGGCGTCGGTGCCAAGATCAAGCAGTACGCGAGCAAGCCGGCGCAGCTGCGCGTCGACGGGCGTGTGTTTGCGTCGTCGTTTGCGGGCGACGGACTGGACGTCGATGCCATGCGGAGCGCGGCCGGCGAGAATGTCTACTTTGTGCCCAACTTTCACCCGGGGCAGTCGGCTCCGGACAAGATTGACGGCGCCCTCAACTGGCTGGTAAGACACCGATTTTCATAACGGTGTGCTTTTCTGGATCAATCTGACGATTGTAGGGCTGGGACAACAACGGCAACAACAAGGCACCCACCCCCGGCCACACCGTCACCGTCGAGGACGGCGACAACGCCTACACCAGCTGGCTCGGCAGCAAGGCGTACATGGCGCCCGTCTCGCCCTGGTTCTTCACGCACTTCGGCCCCGAGGTGTCGTACAGCAAGAACTGGGTGTTCCCGGGCGGCGCGCTCATCTTGGACCGCTGGCAGCAGGTGCTCAGCAAGGGCTTCCCCATGCTCGAGATCGTGACGTGGAACGACTACGGCGAGTCGCACTACGTCGGCCCGCTCAACTCGCCGCACTACGACGACGGCAACTCCAAGTGGGTGAATGACATGCCGCACGACGGCTGGCTGGACCTGTCGGCGCCGTTCATCGCCGCGTACAAGGCCAAGGCGTCGTCTGTCAACAACTACATTACTGATGAAAAGGTCGTGTACTGGTACCGCCGCACGCTCAGGTCGCTGGACTGTGACGCCACGGACACGACGTCTGGAAGGCCCGCCAACAATGACAGCGGGAATTACTTTATGGGCCGGCCTAATGGGTGGGAGACGATGGAGGATGTCGTCTACGTCGCGACTCTGCTCAAGGAGGCGGGGACTGTGACCGTGACATCGGGGGGACAGTCCAAGACGCAAAACGTGCCAGCCGGCGCCAACATCTTTACTGTGCCCGCTGGTGTCGGCCAGCAAAAGTTCAAGCTCAGCCGCGGGTCGGCCACGGTGCTCGAGGGCACGTCGCTTATGGACATCTCCAACGTCTGCCCATGCGGCCTGTACAACTTCAACGCCTACGTGGGCTCGCTCCCGGCCGGCTTCTCGGACCCGCTGCAGCCTCACGGCCTCGCCTCCCTGACCGTCGGCCTGCACGTCTCGACATGCGAGGCAAAGCCTTCGCTCGGCACCAATCCGCCCGTAAGCACGCCTCCCGGCCAGACCACCACGACGACCACCACCACGCCCGGACAGCCTCCGACCTCCACCAAGACAACCACGACACAACCCCCCGTCACGAGCCCTCCAGGCGGCGGAAGCACGTATCCCCTATATGCCTTTCCCTTTTTTGATTCATAAACACGTGCGCTAACATTCCAAGCAGACGTCTGCGTTGAAGGCACCAACGCCGACGGCGAGAGCGGCAACTACTCGGGCCTGTGCAGCTTCTCGTGCCACTACGGCTACTGCCCGCCGGGGCCCTGCAAGTGCACCAAGTACGGCGCCGCGGTGCCGCCGCCGCCCGAGTCCGGGACCAACGGGTGCCCGCTGCCGGGCGAGGGCGACGGGTACAAGGGCCTGTGCAGCTTCTCGTGCAGCCACGGGTACTGCCCCGGCACAGCCTGCCAGAGGTGCTAGGGGGTTGTTTATGTGGATGTGGCGGAGCAAGTGGCGGCGATAAGCGCAAAATGGTGGTTAAATCTGTGGTTTGACGCGAGGTACTTCAATTCGATTCTTGTAAAGGTGATGATCGTGGTGGATCTGCTTGGGCGATGTCCTCGTTCGACCCCGATCTGAAGCCATTCCAAGACCACATGGTGAAGAGGTTCATCTTGCAACCAAGTACACTTGAAGATGTAAATGAAAGACCCGTACAGAGTGACGGAGGAACGGAGGATCGGGCAGACTCAAACTCGCGGCCCCCCTCCGTCCATCAGGGTCTCCAGCTGTGTGATTGCCTGATTCGGCAATCTGGAGCCGCCGCTGGGGCCTCTGACTGGACAGACCCTATCCCCAAGGCCGCCTGAAACACAGGGAACCCAGCGCAGCCAGGACCACCACCACTGCTGTGTCACTGCCGATGGATCGCCCCATCCTCCTTCATTACGATAACGTTGACGATCGTGGTGTGATGTGATGCCGGCCAGGGCATCCCGTCAAAGGAAGGGTTCGGGTCCAGCAATCTGAAGGTATGGTGGGCTTGACGTTATCTGATGGCGACTTAAGAGCACCCCCCTCCCCCAGCCATCAGTCCACTTACAGGGCTGGGCGCTGTCCATTGCGTCCGTGCGACTGCAGCAGTCGAGGTCCTTGCGAGGAAGCGAGGTCAAATGATACCACTCTAAGACCTCTCGTGCAGGCTCTTAGTGTGCTCACCGCACGTCAGGTAGACATTGCGCATGCACACCTGAAGACTAGACTGACCTGCTAGCCTGTCTGTGAGATGTGCAGCATGCAAATCCCATTCGCGATAATACTCTCAAGTAAGGGCCACTATCACGGGCATTCGTGGCTATATAAGTATCCGTGAAGCCATGCTGCTGTTAAGAGGGATGATTCTACAAGCTCTTCCATTCCGTCACTCGCTTATTCACTGTGTCTTTGCTGCATCATACATTCGTTTAATCCAATTCTCGATATCAATATCCACAATGAAGCTCGTTGTGCTCGCCTCGCTCCTTACCGCTGCGCTTACCGCACCCCTTCCCAGCCCCGACGTAAGTAACCAGCCGTCACGTCCACCAACATGAGGCGAAATCACGCGCGTTGAAGTGCAAGGCGCTAACACGCCTTCAGCAGGCCGCTCCCCAGGGCACTCCTCAGGGCACTCCTCAGGGCACTCCTCAGGGCACTCCTCAGGGCACTCCTCAGGGCACTCCCCCAGCCAGCTTCATCCCCCCTATCAACGCCAACGGCAACACCATCACCGTCCCCGTCAACGTCCTCGGTCTCCAGACCAAGGACAACTCCTTCCTCAACGGAAACTCGGCTTCCAACGGACAGCGGAATGGAGGCGCCGGCAGTTCGGTCACTGGCAACGGCGTGCCGGTCAACAACAACGCCGCGCCCGTCAACACCAACGGGGCACCGGTCAATACGAATGCAGTGCCGGTCAACACCAACGGGGCACCTGTCAACGCCAACGCTGCCCCCGTGAATACCAACTCCACCCCCGTCCAGGGCAGCGTCCCCGTCGCTGCACCGCCGCCAGCGTCGGCCGGTGTGCCTGACGTGCAGGCCCTCACGCAGGCCCTTAACGGCATGACGGCGGCGTTGAACGGCATGACTGGATCCATCATGGCGGAAAGGGGTGGCCGCACCCAGTAGGAGCCACGTGGAAAAACGACGCACCTCTCATCGTAGGGATAACTCAAGACGACGGAAATTGGTCCGCCGGCTTGGCGCTTTACCGCCGGCTAGTACTATTCACTATAAATACTTTCGATCTGCGGGTACCTATTGTGGGAGCTTAATCTTTATCGCACGGGAGCGTGGCTCGATCAGGCCAGTCTTGTATACGATGCACAGGAATCATTCGTTGTCACCATATTACGAGCTTTAATAAATGTTGATGTTTTCCGGCCGCTCAGATGGCAATGACATCCTCCTTCACCGGGACTGGTCTATTGATACGTGACAAGCTCTTCTGACGTGCCAACGTCGTCGAGATTTGTGGCTGACAGCAACAGCGCCATCATGCGGTCCCGCAGCGTCTCGAGCGGTTCATAGGGAATAGCAATGATACCCACGGAAAGTGACTGCGGCATCGGTGGCGAGAACGTTGGATCATCAAACATGCGAATCATGGTTGCCGACACGTTTGTTGAGTACAGATGCATAGCTCTGCCATCATCAGACGTATAGAGTACCTTTGGCTGCAGACCGTTTAAGTATCGGATGGCGTCTGGAGCAGCCAGCAATGTTAGGACGAGAAACTTACAGTTACGCCCGCGGCGTGCTGCCGACGTTCGACACCAAGCCCCTTCCACTGCTGTTGTGCTAGAGCAATCAAGAGGGCGACTAGATAGGGGTCATGGAGTTGGTTCTCGGAGACAAGCCTCTTCTCTTTGATAGCGAGGATATTGTCCACCGGTCGGCTGTACCTGAGATAGACATCATCAAAGCAGGGCAGCTTCTTTTGTCGCAGGTAGGCGATGTGTCCGTGGTCGATGTGAGCAGCGACAGGAACGGCAGACCCAGCGTAGCCCGCTGCGCACTCCTTGAGGAAGTAGTAGCATGAGCAGGGGAGCATGATGGCACGATATCCGCCGAGGTGGAAGTATAGCTCGCCACTGGTGCAGACGGTCAGATCTGAGATAACTCCAACGGGGCATGGAGAAACGCACAACAGTCGCAAGGGGCCTTGAGCCACGAATCCCCCGGACAGAAAACGGACAACAATGGATTCTCGTTGGAAGAATTCCCCATCGTGAAACCACTTCTCAAACTGCTTGAGTAGAAGATCATCACCCGGGTATTCAAGCTTCATCGCTGCCGGCGGAGCAGGGTAAGGACCGTGGAAAGAGCATCGCAAAACCTCGAGTTGCAGTTTTGTCCAGAGAAGGGGCTCGACAACGATTCTCTCTCGGGGACGGCGACGCATTGAGTCGCGTATGGAAAGCCCCCGGCCCAGGATAGGCGGCTTGGGAGCCGAGTCGCGGCAGGCGCTCCGAGCGTCGATGCCAACGTGTTGCTCTGATGCGCTGAAGAGGTTTGCGTCATGCCCGTCGTTGTGAGAGCACGTCATGGCGGCGGTGAATGCGACAATCGGAGCGTCGGCATGGCAACGTTGTCGGGGAAAGCACGCGCGGCGCGAGCGACGAGTAACTAGAGCGACGGAAGGACGATGAAAGGTGTTGGGAGGGGACGAAGTTTGGCCTACAGCCTAACCTGAGCCCAAGCCGCTGGCGGCGCTGAGCTAATTCGACCAACACCCGTTTGGGCACCCAGCCAGAAGCCCCTAAAGGCAGCCCTAGAGGGCTTTGGAGTGCCTGGCGACGCGGCGTCCTTCATTGATGGCTCATGGGGTAGTCATACAGCTTTCATTCAAAGGCCCAACCATCTGGCCCAGTCAGTGCAGCCTTTGGTCACCCGTGCCGACCACTGACGCCACCGCGGCTACTTTGCCCCGCAAGCCTGTCCATCGTCACCGACCATGTTCGCCAACTTCTTCTTCTCGCATCACGCCGGTACGCCCACGTCCAACACGTCCAACCCGCCCTGCAGCTGGCTCTTGCTCGGCATCTTGCCCAGCTTCATCAGCTCCGCGCTCTGCGCCATGGCCGGGTCCTTGCCCATGCTCGCCATGGCCACCACCTCGTCGCCCTTGGTGTAGTAGGCCACGAACTTGGCCTCGGCCGGGTCGCCGCGCAGCACCAAGTCGTCCCACCCGTTGTTGACGTTGCCGCAGTACCGCATCTGCGCCCCCAGCGCGGACCAGAAGATGGGGATGAACGACAGGTCGCGTCCTGAGGTATTGGCAATATGCGCCGCAGCCACCCGTCCGGCGTTTTGCGCCACGTTCCAGTGCTCGATTCGTACCGGCTTGCCGTCGCCTCCGGGGCCGTGGTATGGGTACGTTGCGATGTCGCCGATGGCGTAGACGTCCTTGAGGCCCGTGACCTGGAAGTTCTCGTCGGTCGCCACAGAGCCGTCTTGCTCGAGGCGCAGCACCTTGTTGTCCCGGAGGAACTCGGTCGCGGGAGCAACACCGACACCGAGGATGACCAGGTCGGCCTCGAGCCGGGTGCCGTCCTTGAGGCACACGGCGCCAACCTTGGACGGGTCAGACCCCGACGGCTCGGCCTTGTCGATGCTTGCGCCGTTGTAAAATTTGACGCCCTTGCCCTCGACGAGCTTCTGGATGCCCGCGCCGACTTGCTCGCCGAGAACGCGCTCCAGCGGCGTCTTGGCCATGTCAACGACCGTTACGGTGTTGTCGGCGCACGTTGCCACAGCCACCTCCATCCCGATAAAGGACGACCCAATGACGACAATCTTCTTGCCCTTCTCGCCGATGGCATCGACAATGGCCTTGGCGTGGTGCACATTGCGGAGGACAAAGATGTTCTCCAAGACCTTGAACCCCTGCAGAGGTAGTGACCGCGGCGCTCCACCGGTTGCCAGGATGAGCTTGGTGTAGGAAATGTTGCTGCCTGCCTTTGTCGAGACCTTGCGCTCGGAAAAGTCGACGCTGGTGGCCTCGTCGTCGACCCAGTCCACGCTGCCGCTCTCGAACCAGGCCTTGTCACGCCAGGCCAGCTTGGCCGTGTCCGTCATGAGAGCCTTGCTGAGCTTGGGGCGGTCGATGGGCAGGTAGCCTTCGTTGGAGATGACGGTTATGGCGCCCTTGTAGCCCGCCTCGCGGAGGCCTTCAACGGCACCAAGCGCTCCGGAGCCGCCCCCCACGACGACAACCTTGCCCTGATCAGCGCTTATGGAGGCGGCGCTGCAGGTAAAGTTGGGGCGCCTGCGGGAGCCCTTGATGGCGGACTCGTCGCCTGTGACGTAGACGGCGCCATCGCGCTCGGCGACTGCAAAGACGGGGAGCGAGTCGAGGCCGGGCGCGTTTTCAATGTCGCCGGTTTTGGCGTTGAAGCAGGCTATCGACATGGTCAGCGTCGTGTATGCGCAGTCATGGGCGACAGTCTCACCTCCGTGCCACGGGCATGTCAAGCGTCCTTCTTTGGTCAAGACGCCCTTTGCGAGCGGCGCGCCGTAATGTGTGCACTTGGCGCCGAGGGCCTGGACCTTGCCGGCGGTGTTGACGAGCAGGACCTTGCCGTCTTGAATCCCCTCGACTTCGACCTCCCGCTTGGCGCCGGGAGAGAGGGAAATGGACGAGATGTCCTTGAGCTTGTACTCCTTGGCCATGGCTCGTGTGCTGAGAGAGAATTGGCGTGTTGGTTGATGAAGATGATGTGAGAGACGCAGGGTGCGGAGGAGACGGGAGGTCCGAGGAGGGGGCATATGTAATCGCCGGGCGGCAGTTACGGAGGGGGAGGGGAAGGGAACGGGAAGAGGGGCCGTTGGGCGGCGATGAACGGCACAAGTCAAGGTACGATGAGCTTTGAAACCGTGCAGGTACTGGTTCCGTTTAGTGAAGACGATGCGGCGTGGCAGGTGAAGCGATACAGCTGCCGATTGGGCATGTGACGGAGGGATGGCGGCGGCGAGGGACGGGCGGGCTGACGAGGCAACACAATGGCGCACGGAGGAGCAGAAAAGGTACTGTTATCTGGGAGAATCCAAGGGATGGACTGCATGACGCGCTGGTGATGAAGGAAGCTTGCGATGGGCGCACTGGGCGATGACAATCCGGCGATGCTGAGTGGCCGGAGCTGCAGCGGGAGCTCGATCGCTGGGGGCGCGCCAATGACGACATGACTGGGGGGAGTTGGAGGGGCATCGGCTACACTGCAGCGGGGGATGCGCTGACGTGATGCACTGGGAGATGCTGAGGTGCTCGTCACCCGCGAAGTTGCCGTCGTTTGGCCCAGCTATTTTCCCATCGGCTACCCGGGACTCGACATTCATTCAACCGCGAATCGCGTTGAACTCCTCAGCACTACTTTGCAGGATGTGAGTAGATGGAGAGGATGGGTCTGATCAGACGATCTCCAACAATGATACGCCCTTAGAGCCATATGCGCCTCTTGTCTGTTCAACGTCGTCGTACTGTTCACGACGCTGTACCACCGCGTCCGTCTCCCCGCAAACTGGGCTTCAACCGTAGGCCCTGGCGCTGTTTGTTGTGAGACATGGCACGACAGCCTGTCAAAGCACGCCTCCCAAATCGTCCCAGTGGCGCGCGCGTCGTCCATGCAAGATTCACGAACCACCGGCGCCGCGCCGCCCCCAAGCCGTGAACCCGAGCGAATAGCAAGTCGGGAGGTTGGTCGCACCCTCCAACGCCTTGGTGCCGGGCGGTTTGGGGCCTCGAGGGCCAATGGCTTGCGATGAGGGGAGGCTGCCCAAAACGGCCCAAGCAAGGTTCACCGTTATTCGGTGCCGCGGTTCAGAGAGATAAATACACGTGGCGGTCCGCCGAGCCGTGTGCATGGACGGCCTTGTGGTTTCTGCTTTTGCTGCTTTTCGTATACGAGAGGGCCAGTGAACACGCCTGCCCGCGCCAGTCCAGCCGTCACGATCGCCGACGCGGGCGTTGGTGCTGATAGCGGGCACTCGACAGTGGAGATACGGGCCCGGGGCCGCCAGGTGCCTGGACGATCACAGCGCCGGCTCCAGGCGCAACCAGGCACTGGGGCCGCCCGCCAAAGAACGCCACGGATGGGAGGCCCACCACCCACCACCCACTACCCACCACCACAGCATCACGGGCTCCCAGGGCAGCCAGAGGCTGATGCGGTCCATCATCCACCAGCACCAGCGCCAGCGCCAGCGCCAGCACCAGCCACGGCCGCATCCAGCCCCGCCCCGCTCCCCCGCCCTCACCGCATCTGGCAGCCGCTGCTGCAGCACTTTAGCCCTGGTCTGGCATCTAAAGACGGACGCCCGCCGCCCATCCCCACTTCGACATGCTAATTAACAGATCCATCCACCATCTCCCGTCCCTGCAGCCCGCAGCAGCCCTTCTCTGCGTCGCGTCGCCTTCTCCTCTCGCGCCCGCCGACGCCGAACCTCATTCCTCGACGACATGCCATAGTGCCACCGCCCCAAGTCGCGCGCCCTCTCCCACAGGCCAGGCCTCTCCGCCGAAGCCACCGCCGCCGCCGTCCTCCGGGCGCACCCGCTCTCGACACGACGCTCCCTCCTCAACTCCACCATCTCCGCCTACACACGATCCTCTGGACCATGAGCGCTGCCGCGCCGACTGCGCCTTCGCCGTCACCCTCGAAACCCGCCGCCCGCGCAGCAGCGCCTCAGTAGCCGCCATGTCCTTTCCGTCGCGGACGCTCGACCCCCTCGCGCGCTCAAGCTCTGTCCGCGCCCGCCGCGAACCGGCCTCCTCGTCGTCCCTGCACTGCTGCTGCGGCCGCCCCGACTGCATCCTCCTAAAGCGAAACTGCTCCATCCTCGAGTCTGTCGAAAAGGATGTGCACACCGCCGCACAGCTCGGCCAGGTACGTGCTCCCGGCCCGCGCCAGCGCGCGCGTGCTCGCCTCGCTCCGTTCCGCTGCATTCCAGCGCCGGCTTCGCTGCCGCGATCCCCACCGTCTCATGTCTTTGCGTGCCAGCCGTTTTGCTCGTGTTTTTGGCATCACGACAGAATGTTCCTCCGCTAGTTGGCTCTTGTTTCGTCTTTGCTCGGGTCATAGCGCCAGGCCACCATCATGGAGTCGCTGACGTTCTCGCTGCAGGCTTTGTTGGTCCGGCACGAGGCCTACATGGCCGATGCCGAGCGAGACCGCATCGAGCTGAACACCCGCATACACGAATTGGAACTGGCCAAGCTGGACCTCGAATCCATCAACGCGACCAAGATTGAAGAGAACCGCAACCTCCTCGACCAGCTCGAGGCCCTCAACAACACCGTCTCCGACTCCGACACCAGGGTAAAAAGCCTCGAGGCCAGTTTGCTCTCGTCGCAACAGAGCGTGCGTCGCCTGGAAGCTGCTGCTGCGCGCGCTGCCGATGCCGAGCGTCACATAGCCGTTCTGGAAGACGAGCAGAATAAGCTGCATGAGGACCTGAGGTCGAGCCGGGAAGATGCTCGCTCCCACGCGCAGCGCTTCAAGGAAGCCCAGCGCGGGCTCACTGATATGCAGGACCAGCTGGAGCGCATGGAAAAGGAGGCACGCCAGGAGCGTGAGCGGCACTCCGAGGTGGTGGAGCGGATGGAGCGGCAGCGCGAGATTGACAAGCAGCTCGACATGGCAGCTGGCCGCCTGAAGGGTGCCGCCGCCAGCAAACAACTCCAGGAACCCAAGAGCAACAACAAGATTGTCGGCCACTTTGTACGCGACCTTCTCGAGGATAACGCGAATCTCCAGGTCGGCATCGCGGAGCTTAGGGAAATGCTCCTCAATTCCAACGACGAGATCCAGTCATTACGAGAGCAGCTCATGTTTCATCAACCTGTCGAGCACGAGCAGACCCAGGAATCCGGCTCCATGTCGACGCTCAAGGCCGAGTTGGAGCCCAGCGACGCGAAGAAGCGGCTGTCTCAGGAGTTGCACATCCATCATCACTACCACGTTACCCCCAAGTCAGAGGCGAAGAAGCCAAAGAAGCGGCGGCAAGGGCTCTTGTCCGGCACCTCAACACCGCCAGTCTTTTCAGCACCCTCCTCTCCCAGGCGGCCTGGTAAATGGGGCGGCATCGCTCCATCTCCTACCGCGCCTGCTCTCTTGTCGCACACGGACGAAGGCGACATGACGCCGACCATGCCCAAGGCTCGCAACTCGTGGGCCGGTTGCTCGAATCCGCCCTCCGAGTTCTCGTCATCTGCCCCGAGCTCACCGCCGTCGGCCCATCGCCACGCCGTGTTCGACACGAGCTTTGGCGACTCTGATGCTGTTCAATCACCAACGACGAGCTTCGACCCCATGTCGCCCACCTGGAGAGCATCGCATAGCAAGCGAACGTCTGTGGCGTCTTCTCGAAGCTATCATTCCATGGCCACGTCGCTGCTGGACTCTGTGCCGGACACACCATGTGGAAACCCGGCTACTCATCGCTCGCACGGAGACCACACGATTCACGAGGAGGATGAGGATGTCGAGGATCTGCCGCCTCTGGACGACAGGCCAGCGCTGGTTGTTGAGACTGCGCCGGCCGTGCAGGAATCGGCGAATGAATTCGACTCATTCTTGGAGCATCCGATATCCCGACCACCGCTCCGCAGAGCTCCGTCGCACGAGTCCATCATGTCTCTCACGGGAGGACTCGAGATTCACACGCTCAAGGCGAGACCCAGTCAGATGACTCTCCGGCCCATTGGCGGAGCCGACGTAGTCGTCACGGGCGTCACGGCCCAACCGACGCTGTCTCGGGCCAGCGGGAAACGCAGCGACGCCGCCCTCCGAGACCACTTTGTTGGCTTCCAAACGCCGAGGTCCGTGTCCAGCCCTATGGCAGCGGCCACGTCGCCGGGAGCCTCGCCGGCGCCGCGGTCCCGCCCGTTTGGCAAGTGGGCTGGATGGCGACCATGGGGCGCCTCAAGTCCCAGCGCGCCCAGTCCCTCGCCCAAGACTGCCGAACGGGATCGTGATCGAGACGTCAATCGTCCACCGGGTATCAACCAAGCTGGGGCGATTCCAGGGTTTCAGCAGTACTGGGCCGCGCACAAGCGCAAAGGTGCCCCGGCGAAAGTAACTGCCGAGACGATCGATCGCGACGCGCTGAACGAAGGCCTGCGGGAGTGAGGCAGCTCTGTCACACGGGCCACGGCCACCACATCGGCGGATTGACCCACGGGCAGCACCGTTGGGGCCACCCGGCCGCACTTTTAATACTGCCTATTTCCTTGTGTCAGCACAGCATCGAGCATACATATGCGTGTGGCTCCTACGGCGTTTTTTTTTCCTTTCTCAAATTGCATAGGCCGCGGAAACGGCCTCTACTTGTCTGGATGGGCTGCATCATTTGGGGAGTTAGTTTTGAAGTTGAAGGGGGTGCTTGGAGATACCCGCGCCTACAATAAGCCTGCGACTGGCTGGCTTTCTTTTGTCTTTAATCTAGATGTTTGGGTGAGAGTTGAATGGAGGGACAAGGAGGTAGCGTTGAATCGAAAGTCTGAGCTGCACTGACAGCGTGGTTCCATGTCGTTTACGTGGCTCTGCAAAGGGGAGTGGTGAATTGATTGAAAGCCCCGAGGCGAGTTTCTATGTACAGCTGATGTTGAATCAGGCTGAAGAGTGTCAATACGTCAAGCCGGTCCGCTCTTTTGTCCATTTTGCTCTCGACATGTCAGCCCCATGCCCCGCGGGCTTGTTACACCCCGTGCGTCAATCTCCGGCGTTGTCAGACTCTATTCAGTAGATTCTCGCATTCCATGATGCTCTTAGGCACACCATCGAGCTTGCGATTGCATCGTCCCAAATAGTTTGCCGTCTGCTGCATCACCATGATCGTTAGCTCCTCCACTATGGAGTCCTGGAGAAGCCCCTCAATCACTTGCTCCCAGGTCTCCGTCTGGTCGGCGAAGCCATATGTTCGGTCGATTCTGTCCAGCACCCGCCTCGCTCGATCCAGGGTGGCGAGCTTGCTTTCTGCAGGCTCCGACGCGGACCGAACAGAGATACTTTTTCGGTCCTCAAGGCTCTTCTGATCGCGAAGACGACCGACATTTTTCGAGATGGAGCGATAGTCACTCAAGCCGTGTGGCCACTTAACGCAGCCCTTTTCGAAATACTTCCATGTTGAGACGTTGTTGATTCGGCTAGCCAGAGTTCCCTCGCCAAGTATGACATTCAGACGACGATCCGTTGGTAGTGCGGGCATGTATCGGCCGGTAAGACCTTCCAAGTTGGCGATGTAGGCGAGGTCATCGTACCCCGGACCTGTGCTGAAGTGCGGGTAAGATGAATAGCTCATTGCGAAGAAGTTGTTCATGGAGCAGGGTTGCGATGCAGAAGCCGATTCTCAAAGTTGTCTAGGACGAGAGATGGTGCAGGTGTGTGTGTGTGTGTGTTTGAGAGCAGTGGAGAGAAACCCGGCGACAGAACACCCGTATTTATACTCATCGTTTCCGCGGCGCGAACACTGAGAGTGATTGAAAATTTCGTCTTGTCTGACCTCGTGACTAGTTGTTTGCGATCTGTGAAAGAGCAACTTCTGCTCACGCGCTGGGTTGGCGAGCTACTGCGCTGGCCGTTGTTTGCGCCGACAGGCTCTAAGGTTGAAGTAATTGGCATCCCCCAGGAGGCCTGTGATACAGGGGTGATACGGGGCGGGGCCCAGAGAATAAGAAACGCCTGGAATGTTCATGCTGTGCTATGGAACAGGAGGCGCTGTCAGGGCTGTGGTGATACGGCGCGCGGCGTTATTGTGTAGCGCCAATCGGCACTGACTGTAAAGTATGTAAGTACAGCTTGACACCCCGCGTTTGCCCAGGCAGTGAATATCAGATCTTACAGTGTTTGCCGAGTGTGAGACGTGGCAGTGTATGCTGTCAGGCCTCCAACGCTCACGAGGATGCACGGCTATGCCGCTCTTGTCCGCGCCAGCGCCGGTCGACGTCTGACGACGGCGATGCTAGCCTCCATCAAGTGATTACTCTAGATCGGACAACCATTGTAAAGAAGAAAATCGACCGATAGCTACGCTTCAGCCGCTATAAGCTTATCGTGCTTGCCCAATCGCCAAAGGACAGTGTGACAAAGGAGGTTGCTCACAACATGAAGCCACTTGCGGATGGGTAGGGTATCCTAACTTGCTCAATGCAGACTCAACCCATGACTGGCGTCGTATCCGGCCTGATTGCATAGTACTCGCTGCAAACACGCGCCGTTATGGTCCGTGACGGGTACGGCTGTCGACCGGGCCGAAAATGGCCTCTGGTAAACGGCGAGGGTAAACTGGCGCTGAGACTTGCTTTGCCACTTCACGAGCCAGGCAGGTTGCTGAAAACAGCCGCTGCGGACCTGGTCAGTCCGGTTTGTTCGCGATTCGCGTACCTGGACACCGAAATCAAGCCGTGCGGCGTAGTTGCTAAGTAAAAGAACATCGTTGCGGAGCGTGTGGTTTGCAAGCACATACCTACGCTGGCTAGTTTAGCCCTAGGTAGTTGATCGTCGCTATGCATGTAAGCCACGGGTCAATACATTGCTTACCGCCAAGAGACCAGCAATCGCGCTTAATAATTTCCCGACTCGCGTTTCATCGCGATTCAAAGAGGGGCTTGCTGCCTGCGAGACTCAGCAACCGCACAACCCGTCACAGCAGCTTCCGAGGCGCACATCTCGGCCGCAGCAAGGCGGCCAGGCCGCCCGCCAGCCCAAACGGCATGGATCCGCTCAGCATCGCCGCCTCCGTCGCCGGGCTCATCGCCCTCGTCGGCAAAGTCGCAGAAGTGTCGCGTGAGCTGTACCTGTCCGTCCAGAAGGGGCCGCAGCTTCTCGCCAGACTCACCGACGAGCTGGACACGTTCCACGCGGTCTTGGTTGAGCTCCGGTGTCACCTTCGAGACGAGGGCGATGTCGATCGCGACGCCCTCAGATCCGTCTCGGTCAGCTGCGACGAGACGGTCCAGAGCCTGGAGCAGCAGCTCAACTCGCTGCGGGAAATGTTCACAAAGGGCCGCCTTACCAGGCTTCTGTCCAGGTCGCGCTTCACGGAGCTCATGTCTGACATTGAGGTGGCCACGGGCCGCCTGTACGCGTATAAGCAGAGCCTCACTGTCGCGCTACAGCTGCGCGTATTGTAAGTCCCGTCTGCGTCGTGGCCTTTGGCGCTGTCCCCTCCATGCTGCCAACCAGGCTTCCCTCCCAACATTTTGCTGACGACGGCGCCAGGAAGCAGCAGGCTGCCGGGTACTCTCGAACAACGGAGACGCTCGACGACCTGACCAAGACTTGCCAGCAGCTGAGGGCGCTCAGTCTCCCGGGTCCGGTTGAGCAGTACCTCGGAGTCAGTGAGACGATTATTGAGAAGCGACGAAACGACACGCCAAGGAGGAGGACGCTCGCCTTGTACGACTACGACGCACCGGTGGATGCGGACCCCGAAGCTGTGCACGGTCTACCATCCCAGGGGCATGACGCCGAGACCGACGACGTGGACAAGGTCAAGTCGTTTGGTTCCTTTGAGGACTGGCTCGATTCTTTTTCACCCAGCTCTGAGGCGCCGGCCACGGATGCCGCTGCTTTGCCGGACCGCGGCGTCGAGAAACCTCTTTCTAGCGAGAGCTCCGTTCGGGTACGTGTGAAGACTTTTGTGGGAGGCAATGGCATAGGGAACAGCAGCTCAACGGCTGAAGTCGACGAGACGATAGAGTTGAAGATGACGGATTTCATCCACGAGGCACTAGACGCCCTCCACCAACGAGGTCAGCTCCCCACGCGAGATCCAACCCCCTCGCCTCCTCTCAGCTTTCGTGTTTGCTAAACCCATCGAATCAGGACTCCAAAACGTTCGAGGGTTCCGAAAAGAGGGGCAGCTGCTAGCTCCTCTGGCTCCTCTCGGCGAACCTGTCGCCGTTCACATCACTGACGGGCCGTCGTCCTATTCCCTCGACTGGCTTGCCATAAACCTGCATGAGAGATTCGACGAGTTCTACGACAATGTCATCCGACACTATCGAAAAGACAGGAATTCGCTCGACATCTCGCTGAAAGCAGGTGGTGGAGGTTCACTTTCGGTTCGAGACAACAACTACGGGATGACGACAACCGTAACTTTTAGCCGTACGCTGAGGGTCCCAGAGGACGGCACCACGTACCATCCCCCCGCCAGGATCAGCGACTTCCCCCTTGTGAACACGAAACATCTTGAAGGAAAGCTTCCCGAATCCATGATACGGAAAATGGGAATGGTAGTGCCGATGTACCCTAGAGAGGCGCTGGTGCTGAGCTTCCGGTGTCAATCCGATGATACAAGGCATTATATTTACAGCGGAAGCTCATCTGGCGGTCAAAAATTGGCGATCAAAGTCCTCACTGGCGGCATCAACGCCATCTCTGGGCTGCCCGCGACAGAAGGCGTCGCTTCTGACAGACAGGACCACATCACGGTGCCCGCTCAACAAAGACTGGATGGATTCAACGTCGTCTCCAAAGACGGACAAGGCATGGTTAGGCAATTCGTGAGCATGCCCGTCGGGGAGGGCTACTCAGTCGAAGGTCAAATCACCGGCGTGGAGAAGTACAACGGGCTCCAGCTCATTCTTGCGCCCCCGTTTATCGGGCCCTGCAAGTTCTGGCTGGACAAGGGTAGTGGGCGGCGCCTTGTCGAACTGAGTCGCCTGGACGAGTCATCGTCGTCAATGGGGCTCGCTGCCGGGATGCGATTGCGCATGTCTGGCAAGGATCTGACAGAACTGTGGCGGCAGAGACATGAGAATTCCCTAGACCGGCTTGACAGTGAATCGTGGAGCGCATGCGGCAAGTCCATTGGCCAAAACACTTCGCGGAAGAGCCTCTGTGGCATTCGTCCTCTTCAAGCCCACGAAGTGCTTCAGCCTTTCCTCGGACGCTTTGAGCCCGTACAGCCTCTGGTCCTGGAGCCCGTCTTTGACATGACGATTACTATCAAGCTCGGCGACCTTAGCCAGTCCCACATTCAACCGCAGGGGCCGTATACCTGGTCCATCTCGCCATTCATGACGGACGAGAGGCTGCGCGAAATCATCATGAGAGAAATTGCCCCTCTGCGGTATGCCAGGAGGCTGCAGCTGATACATCCTGCTCGGGTCCTTGGCGTCCAGCGTCCGGTCATGCTACATGAGTTCGCCAAGGACGGCGACATCATCACCGTCTCAGAGCTGGGTGACGTGCCCATCTACACAAACGCGCCGCCGCCGGAGAGAAGCGATGACTGGCCCGGGGTGAAGCCGCCGCCGGTGTCCCCGCTGCCAACAAAGGCCAAAGGCTGGGAGTTGGGCTTGGGCTTCGGCGGCTGGATCTATCAAGATTACATCGTGGACGAGGAATTTTCGAGATGGAACTGGAAGAGGTCACGGTTGCTGAACGTGTTGTTGCTGAATGCTGTTGCGTTCAAGTCCTTCACCGGGTTCGCGGTCCCAGGCGTGCCCATCTCGTTTCGCGACTACGTCGCCCGCGGGATCCCCTTTCACCATGTTCTACCGAGGTCGAGCGTCTTGGGTTCGGAAGCCATCCGCAGACTTGACTCCGTGTCAGAGATGGATGCCCGCAAGGGCGTCATCAGAAGCAACGTGCTGCACGGCGTGAAGCCAGTTCAGTGCGCCATGTGCGAGACCATGCTCGCCAACACCATGTGAGGCAGCAGATTCGGTGTGACGGCCGGACCGAGACTGACTTGGAACAGACTCCGCCCCTGCAATCACGTCTTCTGTAGCAACTGTGTTCAGCCCAGCGCAGATCACGACGAGCCCAACCGGTGCGATGCGTGCGGCCAGCGCACAACGCATCAGATCCATTTCGCTGGCCCGATGGAAGTGACACGCGAAACCGGACCGTCCCCAGAGGACACGAGCCGGCGGCAATGGGAAAGCATCCTTTCATCTGGGTCGAGTCGAGAGTCTTTGTTGTCGACCAAGAGCATGTGGAGCGAGAACAGTTCGTTTGTTTCCGCCATCAGCCGCGCTGCAATGTCCAAAATTATATGTGACCTCGCCACGACCCTCCGAGACACGGCGCGACAGAAAGAGACCCCTGAAGTGTCTGATCAGTCTGAAGCCGAATGGGATGACGACTTTGAGAGGACAATGCTGCAGGCCGCCGCGGGGCAGGGCGAGGCGAACGTCGTGCGGTTTCTCCTGCAGACCTCTCACCCGTCGCCAGCCGACCAGATGAGCGCGCTTCGGATTGCCGTAGAGGCTAACAACTTGGGAGTTGTGAGTGCGCTGGCCCGGCGCGTGCTCGAGCATGAACGACTGGCGCAAGCAGAGGAGGCGA